AAACTCAGAAGAGCCTAGATATTAACATGTGTAAGAATTCAATTTGATCAGAATTATGATAACGTAAAGCAATTTCTTTCAGCCTCACCTCATTTGGAATGAAAAAAAAAGGCAAGAACTGGATGAAACGTACTCAGACTATCGCTGATTGATCTTTTGTGCAGGATCTCCATAATGTCATTGTAAATGGAGGAAGGAAAACGGGTCTTCATATCAGTGGATAATGGATGCTTTGTATGCCCAGCTGAGTACTAAAAGCACTGCTGAATGTTGATATTTGTCTGTTGCCGTGAAAACTGCTTCATTGTTGATTTCTGGTTATGTATTCCCCCATCATAATCGAAACCAGGCTAAATCCACCCACCGAGAAGCCATAAATGTGGAGGGGGAATTAACTGGGGGGGGGGGGGGGGGGGGAGTCATCAAATTTTGTAGTAAGCCAGACTTCTTTTCATTTTATTCCTTCTCTATTCATTTTCATTTTTTAGGCAGTCTGCAGCAGGTTTTTATTTCTAGAAGATAAAAAAAGACAACTCAGATACCCAAAGAAGTGAATAACAGTAATGCAAAACAGCTTAACAAGCAAACAAACAAATAAAAACTCAATAAACAATCAAACAACTAACTCCTGTAATGAAACACAACAAGCACCCTAAACTGCAAAAAGCTCGGTGACTCTGTTAAAAGAATGTCTAAGCCCCCAGCGATTGGTCCAAAGTTGTTTGTTCTGTAGTCCGACCGACCGACCGGACAGGTTAATCAAATCTGACAACAGTTACCACAGCTTCTGTCAATATCGGACGCGTGGGGCCCTACCGCCAGCAATCACGTTGGAAGCAGTCCAATGCACGAGGCGAGGATTTTCTTTCTTTCTAGTCAATTTCTTTTTGTTTTTGTTCTGACGTCGTCATTACCGCTAATTGAATAAAGACAAACGATTAAGCTACAGCTGATAACGTTTGCGAGACAGGTCCGTCTTGCCTTCCCCTCCGTTCTTGCCATCAGAGATGCTCCGAGGCTCGGCTCCTCGTAATCAAATTTGGAGCAAGCCTTGAGCTGGATCGTGAGCGATGGACTGGAAACGGAGCTTGCAGTATTATCGGCAGCTTCGTTTCAAAGTGGTTATTTTTACTGAGATTCCTTCCATGTTTCTTTAGAGGCGTTTTTTTGTCGTTTGGAAGCATTGCATTTTGAGTGTCTTAAAGGTAGAGTCCATCATTTGTAATTTGTGCATTTTGTTCGTTTGAAGCAACAAAAGAGTTCAAAATCTAATGAAGAATACTGAGCAACTTACCTGATGAAGTTTCAGCTAAGCTTCAGCTGTACATTCCGACAAAAACAGCATTCTAAGATCTCAATTTCAAATCAAAAGTTACTGAATCATGTTTTGAATTGCAACTATACGCGACGTCGCGCACTGATCCGACGAATTATAACAACCGCGCGCGCGTGTGCGTCTTTCGAATACTTGTGCACGCTTCGCTGAATAACAAAACGAACTACTAATTTAAATTTTCCTACGGTGCTTCTTAAGAATCACCATTGGAAATGCCTTCTTTTGTTGATTACTTCAAAATGACAGCTTCCCAGAAAGAATAATTTCACAGGGAGTTTAGTCTCCCTACTATCTTTCAACCAAGTTAGTTTTTCAACAATAATACGCCAGTTACTTTTCGGATGGCTGCAAATGATGGACTCTACCTTTAAAGGAAAGATACAACATTTGCAAACATCACAAAACGAAACGATCAAACTATCACGAAATACCTTATTGGATTGTAAGGGAATGACAGTCTAAAGCATCCTGTAAAATCGTGGCTCCTGGTGTGCTGTCATTTTCATTTTCAACATTTTTCCAACGCTAGTCGGCCGACCAGCGTTGGAGAATACTGCCTTTTTTTCAAAAACTGCTGCTAAGTTTTCATATTTAGTTATTCCGCGTTTTCTTTGCAATCGATTACACACCTGTGAATGGGTACATGAAGCCTGCCAGACTAATTCTCTGACCTTACAATTTCCCAAAGTGTATAAATTGCTCCGTTTCATCTTAAGTGGGGTCAGGACACCAGACTACAAGGACATGATTGGTTTTCTTGGTTTTTCCAGCATCTACAAGCCCAAAACGTGAAACAAGTCATTTTAACAATATTTGCTATAACATACTAATCCTCCAAATCCATTTATTTCTGAAAATTGCAGCAAAAGCAAATGTTGTACATTCCCTTTAAATCTGCTCCATGTTGTAACCTTTCAATGTTAGGTACTGGAGTGTATGTTCCTGTAGAGTTAGTCTTCTGCATGTACATGTAGGTGCTAAAGCTTTGGTTTGCGGTAGCACCATGTTGTTGTGTCTACTTTCGCTCAGTAGATTTAGTTTCGATAAGCCCTGTCCTGCTAGTTCAACAATAGAAAGTTCTCCTGCTTATTATCTACTTTCGCTAAGTACAATGGAAGGCGGTTGGACATCTTGCAATTATCTTCACTGAGGCTGAGCAAGATCAGTTGGGTCTCAACGTTTTGACTAGCCTGCTCTATAGTCATCGTCTGGATTGCATACAAATCTTATACAGAAGGATGGTGCTCTCGGTTGTTTTTTCCGAAAATATCTTTAATCATTATTATTTTTAATCATTTCTGGTAATGAAACAGGATTCCTCAAAAGCACCCTAGGCACTGTAGCTCGCAAGCCTGAGGAAACCCGTGGAGAGAAGACAATGAGAAGAAATTACAGTTTTAGAGGTGGGAGGAAAACCCCAGAAGAGTATTCTGGGGAAAACCCACGGAATCAGGTAGGGACTGAAAACCCAATCCACATATTGACCCATATATTCGAACCCGGGTCACTGCGGTGGAAGGCGAGGAAAGTACCGCTACGCCAACCTGACTCTCTTAAATCTCTTAAAGAGATTCCTTCAAATTTTGTAGATCCGCTCTTAAAAATAACAACATCTACATGCAATTTTAAAGAAATATATCTGTATTATGAATTTATGTTATTCATTATGAATATAGATTATTCCCAAGTAGAATTTTCTGTTCTCAGAGTGTGTGATCTCGCTGCATTGTTCTATAAATAACGCCGAGTTTGAATGAATCATCATTCCGATACCTGAAAACGAAGAGAGAGACAAAGGTGATGTTTATCAAAAGGCTGATGGTTTATGCAGTGCTTATCTCACGAGCCAAGTCAATAAATCCTGCTTCCTCAGCTAAAGGAAACGAACTATACAATATAGAAGAAACCTGCTCCGTCTTTGTCCATCCATGTATCTACTTTAGCTTTTATATCCTTTTTTCTTTTTGCATGTCTGTCTCTGCCAGGGCAGATGTTCTGATCGTACCACATCATTTCCTGAAGTACTTAAGGCGTTTCGTTGATTGATTGCCCACGTTGATTTCTAGCGCACAAGACGGAACTCCGAGGCAGAAAAAAAAAAGACGTCCGAGTGCCTTTTTCTTTTCCTCCGTCCCTTCTCTGATTCTGTCTCTCCTTTTTGCTAGGACCTCTTAAGCACCTGTGATTAAACGAAAGAGGTGGATGGGGAATACAGTTTTCCATGCCGTAGCGATTTGTTCCAATTAGATCCGATGTTGAATGTTGATCCCTAGTCCGTGCAATGGAACATTGCGATGATAGATGCCTGATTTTTGCCATCTAGTTTGCGGCAGTTTATTTTGGGTACTGTAATGATTTGTTCCAGTTCGTCAAGCATTGATTTTGTTTTCCCTCGGAATAATCTAGCTTTTTGAGATGAAAGATTGGGCTCCACTTTTTCGTTATTATGGAGAGAGAGGAAGATTTTTGTGTTCAGGTGCCGCACGAGTATGTTTCAATTTGGCCAGAGGGCGAGGATTAGTGGAACGATTGACGAGGCAGGGAATGATGGGAGATTGGGGAGATGGTAGCAACAAAAAGAAGAAAAACAATTGTAGATCGAGAGAGAGACAGGAAGGCAAGATTGTTTTCAATGGAGATATGATTATATGCAGATCTGTAACAGCGATTCCAAGAAATTGAAAAGGCTATAGGGATGTTCATTTCTTCTGATGTAACTGTTCAGAGAGGCGCATCTCAAATTGGCAACCATTTTTTTTGTATTGGCACCCGGCGTTATCTTTTGAGGGTGCTCTAATGCTCTTTGATTTTACTCACAAGAGCCAAGAGGCAGCATATCTGTGACACTGGCATTTCGGATATGATTTGCAAGTATTATCCCTCCTATGCAAACATACATTCTGTGCCAAGTTGTCCTTGAAGTCAAAATCAATCAAGTGACTGTTGTCAACCCGTAAGAATTCCCAGCCCACATAAAGCAGGATTGACTGTCTTGGACTGATTAAGTAACTTGATACATCTATGCTTTACTCCGGATGAGTGATCAAACAGCTGTGACCACAACTTGCCTGCTGACGCAGTATGACTGGACACAGTGCTTGCTTGACATGTGATCTGACTGCTGGTGACTAGCCTTTGTTAGCAGGGGAAGTTGAAGTGAATTTTGACTGTCCATGACTGCTTAAAAATAGCAGGAGGTTTAATGTCAAGCCCTCGCTTGTATTCTGTTAAATTCTTGTCAAAGTTTCTTTGTTTGCTTGTTTTTCAAGAGTGAAATTTACTTTTTTTTATCATACCGTAAAAAAGATGTTGCCAAATATTTAGGTGGAGGGAAGATGATCAACCTGTAAAGATGTCTTAGTTTTTTCTTAATGGAACAAAACGGCAGAAATGTCTTCGTTGGTGCTTCATAATTGTCCCATTTTCCCCTCGAATAGCCTATTAGTCCTGAATCCTCTAATTTTAATATAATTTTGCACACCCCCTAGGGAGTTAGGGTTAAAAGATCGTACAATCAAGTAAATACTGATTTAATAACATAACTTGATTGCCATTTGAGCTTTGCTTGGTTTTGAAATGACAAAAGGAAAATGTGACATCAGAAAATTTGCCGTTTATCGCTCAAAGCTTACTGACAGTTTGAACGTGATTTATTTGTCTGCAGTAACGTCTCCCAACCCACTGTTCCAATGTCGGCTGGGCCTGCGCGTCAACATCACGGTGAAGGACAACACGTGCCATTACCCAGAATCCCCTGCGGGCATGCTCTGTTTGGACCACGGCCACTGCGCGACCTCCGTCACCCAGGTATGTACGCAAAAAAAAATTCTGGGAAAAAAAAATTGACCAGCTTGTCTTGATAAATTCCTTCACTTTGCCGTGGAAGTGTCTGTCGCTGGTAATTCTTAATTGGTCTGTGTTGTTAATGTCGTAGCGACTCCCACTCCAAAATGTGTAATTCTGAACAGCGCGATACTGCTAGCAAGCCGGAAATGTTTAACGTCTCTGACAAACAAATTCCACTTTTGTGTTGAACAAGATCGAAATGATCTCGGAAGCTGCGGGCCAACGAATTTGTGTTCATGCATGAGTGACGTGATTGTGTCATGTAATTTCTGGAAGAAGTAGTGTTTTCAGTACAAACATCAGGTTTTTGATCCAAGTGACCCTTTTTTCAGGACTGTATTAAATTGGTAGGTGGTCAGTGGGGACCCATTTAGGTGACACAAAGGAAGGCCCGGCCCTGAGGGAGGAGTTGATATATTCCCTTTGTGAGGGCCTGAGGGACTAGTTGATTTATACCCATGGAAGGCTGTCACTGGAACATTTGTTACTAACTAACTAACTAACATGACGATTTGTTGAGCTGCTGTCCGCAGCGGCAAAAAAGAGGAGCTAAACAAAACGAGCAGACATCGCAATGAATCAAATGCCCCAGGACCCTAATGACGAGGTTGATTATATAACGCGTTGTGTCCGAGGCATTTGAAAGGTGTGCAGAAGGGAAATCCATTCCTAGCTTTCGCTTTAATTCCCTGCCATCAAATCAATGCGTCCGAAGGCGAAAGCAGCGTGGTCGGGCCATGCTGGCGGATATTACGTTTCCTGTCCCTTCGCATCGGTGTATTTCCATCATGCCTGCTCGGTTAGGCGTCCACAAATGTCCCAGTGTGGGGCCGATCGGGTATTTTTTTTTCTGCAAAGGAACAGGGGGAGGGTCATCTTGTGAAATTGCAGTTGAGCAGGGAGCGGTTACGGTAGGAGCAAGATTTCTTTGCAACTGCTTGGGTTGTTTGGCGAAGCCAACTCGTTTTTATTACTCTTTACCTTTTTTTCCACTTTTTTTTTTTGGCGGCGTTGGAAAGTGATTGTGTGTTTGGAGAGAAAACAGTGAAGTTATATTGCTAGCTTGTTGGAGGAAAAAAAAAACAGGATATGATGTTGTCTGAGATGATGTGCCTTATTGAATGCAAGAATTTTGGTTTAATCCTCTGCACATCCCAATGAACCTTAGGGAAAGGGGCGGAATTTTCAAACAAATGTCTACAAAAAGCCCCAGAGAAGTCTGATATCTCCTTGTTTGGTCCTGTTATTTATTGACAGTTAATTTCATTTATATAAGTTTCTTTAATTAAAAATTGGAGACATGAAAGTTTGCCCTAACATGAATATTAACCCTCACAAGACATTTTGTATGTAACCAAAGTGTTTTAGGTTTTGAGTAAGATTCAATGCAACTGTTGAGGGCAGGGTGACATTTCTTCGCAAGATTGCCCTCATCCAAGAAAACTGGGCTTTGTGCGAAGTGCACGCACAGAGAGGCCTGATCTAATCACTTTCCCGCGCCGCCGAGCGGTGACCACCTGGGAATGTCATGATGATGAGGTGGAATCAATGGTGGCCGCGGCACGTCAGAGGCTTGAAACTCTGAACGATCAGCCGGCTTGTCCTCAGTTTCCAAGGGATCTGTTATCACTTCATCCCTACGGCCCCAGCCCCCTATCCTTCAACACCCCTCTCCCCCCTCTCTTCCCCCCCCCCCCCACACACTAACTGAGAATTTCATGAAACATGCCCAAATCAATGGTGGTGGAGGCATGTCAGAGAGAGAGAGAGAGAGTGAAACGATCGGATAGCTGTCCTTAGTTTTCCCGGGCTCAGTGCATTTTTATAGCCGAGGGCATAGCCCCTCCCCCACAATTACTTCCCCCCCCCCTCCCCCGCACCATTGGGAATGTGCAGTCAAGCTGGGTTAGATTTTGTGCGATAGAAGGCATCATGGATCATGGGTTACAAGTCACGCATGTATTTAAATATTGATGGGCACTTGTACAAAATTGAAGAAAGAAAATTTAAAAAATTGAAAAAAAAACTATAGATTTTAGTGTTTGTACCTGAAGAAGTACAATATAGTAGAAAATGGAATTCTCGCTCCAGAAATTCTTCATGTACTCAGGAAAAACAATCTTCTGAAACTCATCATGCAGATATGCTACAAATATCTTTTCTACAGATCTCAAGTTCATTCTTTCAAAATGTGACAGACAAACTTTGCAGACAAACTTTTTTGAGTATTCAAAATGCAAGAGGAGGAGGATTTAGAGAAGTACATTTTCAGCAACAAGAGGCAAGAACAACAAAAGCAGGCAAATGATCAGTTGTCACTTGGGAAAATCAAAAGAATCATCGTCCTTCCTCGTTCTCCGACCCCCTCTGCCCAGGGAAATAAGTCACGACTGAGCTACAAAACATCTCTCCTTATGGCTCCTTTATTATTTTCAAATTACTCCCAGTCTCTTTGAATGAACAGTCCTTGGAATTGATTTCCATCATAATTGTCTTCGTTCTTTGTTTCTTTCGGAGTCCAATCTTTGAGAAATTGCAGACTCGAAGAACAAACACACAATGCCGTCTGAATGCAGATGACAACAGAGGAAATCAAGAGGTTTGGTCCACTCGTCCCTACATGCAATTTATTACTGGAATGGCCTTGCGCTGATTGTCGTAATGAGTAGTTGGGGTCCGTTATGCGCGGAAGCAATTTGTGGAATTACTCTGCGCGATTCAGGAGTACTTGTTTTATTATTGATTACACGGGCGAGGTCACAAGAGTGACGTCTCTGCGTGGTGTGTGCTATCAGCTTCAATATTCATACAGCAGGCGGATTTGGAATACAAAATATGTAGGCACCTTCAACCAACCCTACTAACCCCTCCCCCCCCCCCCCCCCCCCCCAAAAGTAAAATTAATTAATTAACTTTTTCAACATATTCAAAGACAAAAATAAAAAAACTCAATAATTTTCCAAGTTTTTTTAAACCAAGAAAACAACATATTTTGTTGCACCAAATAGCATGCTATTAGTTTCTGACCTGTTTCTGTCAGTTTTCACCTCACAAACTTCAAAACTGAAGGCACTGCATTAAACGCATCAACTGCAGTCCTAATTTAAATCTCCCTAATAGTGGGACATTTCTGCATCATATAGTCGGCAAAGCATCCCAGGGGAAACATCACACCAACTAGAGAGAAGACAATGATAAGAAATGACAGTTTTAGAGGTGGGAGGAAAAAACCAAGGAGATATTCTGGGGAAAACCCACAGAATCAGGTAGGGACTGAAAACCCAATCCACAGATTCGAACCCAGGTCACAGCAGTGGAAGGCGATGAAAGTACTGCTATGCCAACCTGACTCCCTTTAAATTACACAATTCCAGGGGTAAAGATTGCACAAGACATAATGGGAATCAACATGGCGCAGCAACATTGTACCCACGGGGAACGAGGCTGGCATCACTTGTGGTTGATAGCACCTCCCCCTTCCCCTCCCCCCTCTCCCCCCCCCCCCCTCCCCTTCCTCCTCTCCCCCCCCCCCCTCTCCCCTCCCCCCTCCCCCCTCCCCCTGCTTCTGATTGCAGTCATCCCGAACATCCATGTTGACTCTTCCATCGAGAGAATCACAGTAATTGCTCCTTCTGACCCATTTACCGGAGTGTCTATAGCTTGGAGGGGTTCCCGATATAAGCCTTATCATGGGCTGGGTCGGCTCGGCTGGCCAGTACTGACCTGACTGGCACCTATTCATCAAATGCACTCACCTTGTCAGAGCAGTCATCAGTCATGGAACAGCAACTTGCAGTCGAGAAAAAATCAGTTAATGCCAGAAAATGCGAGAGAAAAGATTTAGCCGCTTGCAAAATTAAGCAGTATAGCACTCAAATCAGTCCCTGCTGATATGTGTGAAATTCACTGCATTGATTTTCAATTTTATTATTCTCCTCGGGATATAACTGGCAGGGCTTTGACAAAAATATTGATTTTTTTATTTGCTGCACTTCCCCTCTGAAGTACAAATTTATGGCGAGGTGTAAATATAATTTGTTTTTAATAATTGGACAAAATCGTTAAAGAAATCGGGGGAAAAAAGAAGAAATTCGCTTCTTCATCTGATCTTAAGAAGTAATCACCGAAGCAATAAGTAAGAAGTAATCAATAGCAATAAATAAAATTCATGTCAAGAGCTATTTTGATATAGTCCACGATCAAGGATTTTGTTTCAAAAGCCTACTCCAGTCAAAAGCCACCATCATCATCAAGACTGAATTTCCTACTTTCAGTCACCCGAAGCATTTCTCCCTCCAACAAAAGCCCTCAATTCACTCAAGAATCGAAGCTGTTATCGATTGTTGGCCTGAGGGTTTGTCCTCAGAGCACTGACCTGTAGTGCTTTCGCTGCCCGGGCTCAAAATTGATTTGAATTTGGACACAAATTGTTCTCAGAGTGATTCTGGCCCAAAGGGTTTATGTTGAAAGGCAGTGATTTCAGGCCATGCAGGCAGATTTGGTATGGCCAGTCCGTTGATATGTGAACAGAATCTGTTAGTTGTTAACCAATGAGTTTCAGAACAGTTTGACATAAAAGAAACAAGGATGCAATGTATACACAGACAGACATCAGACAAACAGACATCAGAAAGACAGACATCAGACAGCATAGGATCTTCAACAAAGTTGGAAAAATCGTTGGCGTTTTGACAAATTTGTAGATGGAGTGCGTGGACATTTAGGAGTCACACATTTTAGCGACTGTTTTTGTAAACGTTGGTCGTGACTCTTCCAGTTGTTTTAGAAATGTTCAGCATTGTATTTTTTAAACAAAACCGGCTTTGTATTGATGGACAAATCGCAGAGAACGTGACAGACATTGCCTAGCCAGCGCTTGGGAAATCCAATGCGAAATCATATTGCTCTTCTAAAGCATTCTGTTAATTTTTGCCAAACTTCCGAAAAAGTGTGCCATTCGACATATTCAGCAAAATTCCTGAATCCTTTTTTACTGATCATTGCACTGTACTCTTCAACTTAGTCATAAAAAAAAGATTCAGTGGCAACAATAACCTCCCACACGTCCGACTTGAACGAAATGCCAACCGCTTTAACATTTGCATAGATCACTCGCGCCGGTAGCTGACATTTGTACAGTCTTGTATGTCAACAGTGTCTTGTGTACTACAAGTTTTTAGGCCATACAGAGGCTCTTAATTTTAACATTTGCAGACTGGACTCTCGGTAACAAATGTGCTGCCGGCATTGCACATTGTAGGTTTGTTCTAGATCCATTGGTCATCGATTGTAAACACAGTCCCCCAAATTTGTGTTTGATCGTCTACAACTTTCAGTGGTGGCTTCGATCTGTACCAAATTCGGGAGTGAACAGTGGCTCAGGACCAGTTGAAATGTCATGTGCTTTTGCCTGCTTTGGGGGCTTTTATCGTTTCATTGCAAAAAAAAAAATATGCTATTGTACACTATCATGCTTATGGACATAAACCATGCTACATAAACAGTTTAGCCACTGTCATCACAAAATGAGCTTAAAGTCAGACTTTTTTAGAATTGAGATATTTACATATCTGGATTCCGCAGAACCAAAGCTTTCCAATGGTATACAACACTAAGGGGTACTGAGTTTAGTAATGGAAATATAGACCACCAAGTCACTCCAAGTTGAGAACCGTTTCATGAGAAAATGGCATTGAAAAATCCTGCAGTTGTGTTACAGTGAACAGTCAACTCATAACAATGATAACAAAGCGATGAAATAGGTTTTAAAGATGTTTGACAGAACACAAATAATTGGAGAAAGGTAGCACAGGACTGACAGATTAAGGTTCACCTGAAAACAAACAATTGACCACCCCTTCAAATGTTGGCAATTACCAACTTAAAAGGGAATATACCACATTTTCTGTTGCTGTAATTTTCAGAAATGGATGGATTTTGGGGTTAGTATTTTAAAGCAAATATTGTTACACTGACTTGTTTGAGGTTTTGTGTTCGTAGATGCTGGGAAAAAAGATAGAAAAACAATCGTGTTCCTGTAGTCTGGTTCCTGGACCCCACTTAAGATGAAAAGGAGCAATTTATAGACGTCGGGGAATTGTAAAGTCAGGGAACCAGTGTAGTTGGCTTGTACCCGTCATAGGTGTGTAATCGATTGCAAACAAAATGCTGACTAACTAAATATGGTAAATTGGGGGGGGGGGGGTACTTGAAAAAAAGCCATTTTTTTCCAAACGCTGGTCGGCCGACCAGTGTTGGAAATTGATACAAAAATACCACTTTTTTTTTAAAATGACAGCACACCAGGTGCCACGATTTTACAGGATGCTTTATAGATTGTCATTCACTAACAATCTAATAAGGTATTTCATAATAATTTGGTAGTTTAGTTTTTGATGTTTGCAAATGTTGTATATTTTCCTTTACGTTCACGATGACAGGTCACATTTATGTGTGCCCTGCTTATAGAAATTTTCTTTGCTAGTGAAGTATGGAAGAAATGTAAAGGAAATTGACTTGTTATAACTGTTGAAAGTAAGAGAAGTATGATTGTAAAATGTCTTATAGAAAGTTCATTTGCTACATCTTATGTTCATTTGGGTAATGGCAAAAAATTAGCAATTCAATTCAATATCCTTCTCTTGGCCAGACCATGAGAGTACATCAGACAGCAAAACTTTCACTTGTAATATGCTATCAAACCAAGGAACCAGACTTTAATCACGCAGCTTCGCCAGTTGTGTAGTCACCAACATGTTGATCTGAATCCCCCTCCTTACTTTCCTTGCCTTTCCTCGGAAATGTTTAATTTTAATCTGGAGACTATTTGCAGACTGTAAAAACAAAATAAAAGAAGAAACGTCCCCTTGGTCCGACTGACGCTCAGTCAAAGACAACACTATCGGCTTTCCCGCGGGTAGGATGTGGAGTAATTGTGCGCCATGTTGGCAACTACCGCTTACCATCCGCAGAAACGAAAGAAAGAAAGAAGAAGAAAAAAAAAAACCTCCTTGGACAAATACCCACCTGCTTGTGTCTCAAAGCAACTTCCTAACTTTACTTTTTCCATCGTACTTTTTCTTGTTGTTGCCTTGAAGGCAGACCAGCATGATTGCTGCGTTTCACCTGCATCAACAGGATAGTGACGCCGTTTTATAGCGACTTGGAAGGTTTTGAGGAGATAACAGACAGCAGCGTGTGTGAATCAAATCCTTAAATATGATGCCCTTAAGATTTTTAGAGACTGATGTCAACCTTTGGTTAGATAGCTTGGTAGAGCACTGGTGTTGTTTTCTGAGGTTGCAGGCTCGAATCTCACTCCAGTCAATTTCTGTCTTTGATCTAAGACTGATTAAAAAATAAGCTTGGCCAGTTATTTACCATGGAATAACTAATCAGTTACACTTGATGAAATGATTTGTTTTGCGAGATTGCCAATCTTTTTGCTTGATAGGTTTGTAGAGTGCTGCCAATGTGGTATTCTTGAAGTTGTGGGTTCGAATCGAGCTCCAAACAATTTTGTACTCAGTACATTAATTGAGCCTTTGTTTCAGACTACAGGGTGGTTCAAAAGGAAGGAAACCCAATTTTGACAGGAATTTTAACCTACTTGCTTAACTTATTTGAACTGGTTTGTTATAATAAAGTGAAATATAGCTCTTCAACCATACGAGGTGAAAAAAATGGTCAAGAAAATCGCAAGAATAGTGTTATTATGATAAGTTGAATACAAGTCACCAAAATCACTGTTGTCCACATGTAAGCCTAGTGTAGTGTTTCTTTGTCTTCAAATCAAGTTTCGGAGCTCAGTCAAGCAGGTGGAATGAAGCCGTCGGTGCACAAACAGGTTTGGCACATGAAATTTGTAAACTACCATATCTCAGAGACAAAATATGCATTTGCAATCATTTCTTGTCACTTACGTTAAAAGATCAATATTTTAATATCATTAAATTGCATTTTTGAAATACATGTATGTTCAACAAGTAGGTAAAAATTGCTGTCCATAGTGGTTCGCTTCTTTTGCGCCACCCTGTATTGTACGCATATCAATGACTTGACCTTCTCTTGACTGCTGCTCCATCTCTCTTTTGTCTCCTTTCTTAATTATTTTTTAACCTACAAAAGCTAATTACTGTGTAATAAAGCTGTTGATAACTTGAATTTAAAAGTGCTTATTTAGAGAGAGATCAGATGAATTTGCTTTAAATGTTTTAAAATTGAGGATTTAAAAAAAAATTCTGGTTTTTGAGTTAGAAATTAAAATTCTGATCTTCTGCAGTGACACATATACCTTGGGTTGAACACGTATTTTTTTTTTAACCTCCCCCTCCTCCGAAAAAATAACCAAATAAGATTTAACTTTAATGGTTAAATCTAATGGTGGACTAGCTGCCTTGATTTAATGCAACGTGCATGTTTTGTTCTACATACATGTACATTGCCTACGCGTGCCGTGTATCTTTGTCAAGAGATTTCCTCCCGAGCGTACCTGACCCGCCGTTTTTCCAAGTCAGGTTCTGTCCCCGAGTAAACGTCACGTGGCTAGTTTCTGAGAGTCTCTTGACACACTTACACAAGTGGATGACATTAGTAGGGAGGTACGGGACATGTAGCTATGAGGAACAAACAAAATCTTATTATGCTCGGGCGGGCCACGGGGGAGAAATGAAGAATACGTTTGAGTTGTGTTGGTGGGAGGTCGTTGGAAATTTAGGTTAATTTTTGTATGAGATGCTGTGTTGCTATCTTATACTTCATAGCAGAATTATAGAGCATTAACTCAACTGGTTTAAGTTATTTCTTTTGAGGAAATTTTGAATTGGAACAGGCCAATGTTTTACATGCTGAAATAGAGTAATTTGTGAGACTTTTTTTTAAAAAGAGTCATGTTCAAATAACAGAATGTTCTCATAAAAGAAGCCTTTCAACAAAAACAACAAGATTATATTGTTTTACCGGTCCAAAACGATAACAAAAAGGTGCAAAAAAAGTGTAGCACAAATAAACTTATAGAGTTGTGTTAGCTTCCCTGTATACAGGTGCCGATATGCACATATCGCAAAAAGAGTCATGTTCATATAACAGAATGTTCTCATAAAAGGAGCCTTATCGATAGGCTTTGTTTCAACAAAAACAACAAGATTATATTGTTATACAGGTCCAAAACGATAACAAAAAGGTGCAAAAAAAAGTGTAGCACAAATAAACTTATAGAGTTGTGTTAGCTTCCCTGCATACAGGTTCCGATATGCACATAACAGAATTGCCCAAGTTTTGTTATTTCTCCAGGAAAATTATGCCTGCCACTGTTGCGCGGGTTTCACCGGTCCCCACTGCGAGGAATACGACGGGTGCCAGTCGAACAGCTGCGCGGCCGGCTCCACCTGCGTGGACAAGCAACAAGGCTACGACGGCTACGACTACCAGTGCGTCTGCCAGCGGGGCATGATGGGAGAACACTGCGAGCTGGAAGCGGACGAGTGCGTCAGCAGTCCCTGCGTGCACGGGATATGCCAGGACCGGGTCAACGGTTACCAGTGTTACTGTACACCAGGTGAGGCTTTAGTCTATGGATCAAGACGACATTTTCATTTTGGTCTGCTGAATGCAGCAGGGTCCGATTGCTAGCAAGCTTGGTCAAGCTGATGGACCTATAGGAGCTATAAAAAATTTTTAAAACGAATCAAATCCGGTCTAGGAAAATTTGCACTGGAAAATAACAGTAACCCTAACCTTCCCGAATCTTCCCGAAAGCTCTTTGTGAAATCGAGGATTTTGCAGAATTGAGACTATGTAGCAAAAATGTGTGGCTGATTTCCGAGGATGCACTGTGTCAAGGTCTTGGGCCGGACCTTGTACTGTTTATGCTCAGCAGTGCATAAATTAAGGCTCAGATTATACTTGAAATCCTCCGCACTGCTCCAGGATGTCACTGGCTCTGCCTCATGAACATACTGACAGTGATAGCTGGGAGATTTTGCAGGATTGAGGCAGTGGTCACCCCTCTGAGGACCACATTCAAGAAATAACAGAGGATTTGGGGGGATTGAGGCTGTATGCAATTTTTACATGGAGGCAGTTGCAGGATTTTGCAGGATTGAGTTTGCATCCTAGCAAAAATACCTAGGGAGTGGCGTTAAAAAAAGTGAAATCTTTGACTTGGAGCTCGTCAGTGATGAATGGTCACAATTATAACATATGTTCTCCCAGGTTACACGGGAACTCACTGCGAGTCGGAGTACAACGAGTGCGTCTCCAGCCCCTGCCGAAACGGCGGTACCTGCCTCGACATCTTGAACCGCTACGAGTGTGCCTGCGGCCCCGGCTACACCGGCCAGCACTGCCAGACCAAAGTGGACCTGTGCGCCAGCCAGCCGTGCAACAACGCCACGAAATGCGAGGACCTGGGAAACACGTACACGTGCCAGTGCTCGTCCGGTTTTTGGGGTAGGTTGAAACAAATTTGACCCTTATCGAGTGTGATTTACAGTGTGTTGACATCTCGGGTCATTGTGCGGGCGCTGCTCCATGGCGATCGCCATGCTGGCGCAATGCACGAAAGTGTGTATTGCTACTTGTATGATAAATGCAGACGATTGTGATGTGAGTTGGTATGGCAGTGGCGTATCCAGCTTTTGATGTTGGGGGGGGGGGGGGACCATCCGCACTCACACATCGATCCACGCCGAAATGTACACTCGTTTTTTTCCTCTGGAGTCCGGACACTAGGCCTTCGTAAAATTAAAACAAAGCGGGGGGGAGGGAGGGGGATGGGGGACCTATCTTTCAAATTGGGCTCTTCTTCAAAACTGACCATTATAATGCAATACTCCGCCAGGGGGGTGCAAGGTGCCCCCCCCCCCCTCCCCTGGATACGGCAATGACGTATGGTGAATTGCGATGGTGTCTGGAGCAAATACCTATTGGTACTATCTCCTGTAATATAGTTTCCATTTCTCAGAAGCGAAAAGAAATATACTTCCACATGTCCTTACTCAACAGATCATTGAAACAGTTAATAAAAAGTGTGTCGGGCAGGCATCCTTGGCGCTCGATTCATCATAAGAGAGGTCGATCCACGTCAAAAAGCACCCATTGATTTTTGTCTCCTCTTGCTCCCCCTCCAACCCCTTCTAGTTCGCCCCTTCATCTCCGCTGCAAAAAGTCTACTCCCAGCTCCGCCTATATCATTTTACAAACTAGGATCGAGGCCCCAATTGTCCAAACGCGACGGGGGACTATACATAGATCTGGGCTGTGTCAACAACGGGTAGTGGATGCCACAATAGCTTGAGGGCTACTGCGTTAAAGATCTGTTTGTGATCTCTCTGTCCGTCTCGCGGAGACGATCGTTTGTCGTCAACGTGAATTCTAATTGAATTAACGACCAATTATGAGGCAATGACGTGCACGTGTTCATCTCTGTATAATAGATGTTTTCGTTTCGGGGAATGTAATTTTGTATGTTGTCGGACGGAATGTTTTGCCGCTGTGGGGATAGTCTGCAGCTTGGCTCGCTGCACACACGTATAAAGATCAGTTTTGCGAGAGGTCGTCGGATATTTATTTCACTGCGCAGTCTAAAATGAGATGCTTTTTTTTTATTCTTGGAATGGTGGTTAGGTTGAACATTACATTAAAGGGTTAAAAGTGTGATTTGACATAAGTAGTAACAAGCATTGGGGGCCTTTTTGACAACAAAGTTCTATTTCTCCATTTGTAGTCATCTAAAAGTAAATTGGAATGTCATTCATTAAAGCTACAGTCCATCATTTGTAATTTGTGCATTTTGTTCGTTTGAAGCAACAGAAGAGTTCAAAATCTAATGAAGGATACTGAGCAACTAACCTGATGAAGTTTCAGCTCAGCTTCAGCTGTACATTCCGAGAAAAACAGCATTCTAAGATCTCAATTTCAAATCAAAAGTTGCTGAATCATGCTTTGAATTGTTTTGAATTGCAGCTATACGCGACGTCGCGCACTGATCCGACGAATTATAGCAACCACGCGCGCGTGTGCGTCGTTCCAATACTTGTGCGCGCTGCGCTGAATAACAAAACGAACTACTAATTTAAATTTTCCTACGGTGCTTCTTAAGAATCACCGTTGGAAATGCCTTCTTTCGTTGATAACTTCAAAATGACAGCTTCCCAGAAAGAATAAGTTCACAGGGAGTTTAGTTCCCTTACTATCTTTCAACCAAGTTTGTTTTTCAACAATAATTACGCCAGTTACTTTTCGAATGGCTGCAAATGATGGACTCTAGCTTTAAAACATGACTCAGTTTAAAGGTATCAAACACCCTGGGAACTTATTCCACTTCACACATTATCCGTTTTAAAGATCTTCATATATCCACTTGCGACAGAAATCCCTCAACACTTTGCCCCTAAAATGTCCAGTTAGTTGTACATTTCAGCAAAACATGTAAGCCCTCCCCCCCCCCCACGAAAAAACAAAACAAAAAGGAAAGTGTTCCTTTTTGTGAATTGGGACAGTCATAAATCCCAAAGTAGATTGGATGTTTAGCCACGGACATGATAGCCTAGTTCCTTAATCCCCTTGAGGAAATCCCCTCCCCCCCCAAAAAAATAATAAAAAGATTGGAGATTTGAGACTGTGCCCCATCCTGCCCAGCGACGGCCATAATCGACAGCGAGATCGATTTTTGTTTCTCGGGGAGACCATTAACTCGGAGGGATAATGGACTTCTGATTGGACGGCGTATCGAATTCCTGGCGCGGATGTGAAGCGACAACACACAAGTGGCCCACGCTGTAATGCGGGGAGTGCTAGGCATATCGTTCACAACTTCTACGATTTCTTTCGGGGAAGATCCCAAGAGATTTTTTTTTTCGTCCCGTCTTATCGAGGAGGGACTGACGGATTTGTTTTCCATTTTTTTCTAGGAGGGTATTGCTTTCAATCAGAGAACTGCATCTGTATTGGAGTCAACATGACCGGCTTTAAAGCAAATTGGGAGGAATCCATCGACGTTGTTTTAAAGTGAAAAAGTCACTGGAAAGGATTTGCCAAAATGTATTGACAATTAAAGCAAGCACTCGCGAACTCCGTCATATGATCATCACAAGTCAAACCACAAGTCCATCACACGTCCATCATACGTCAAATCACAAGTCCATCATACGTCAAATCACAAGTCCATCACAAGTCCATCATACGTCAAATCACAAGTCCATCACACGTCAAATCACTAGTCCATCACACGTCAAATCACTAGTCCATCACACTTCAAATCACAAGTCCATCACACGTCAAATCGCAAGTCCATCACAAGTCAAATCACAAGTCCATCACACGTCCATCACAAGTCAAATCACAAGTCCATCACACGTCAATTCACAAGTACATCACACGTCAAATCACTAGTCCATCACACGTCAAATCACTAGTCCATCACACGTCAAATCATAGTCCATCACACGTCAAATCATAAGTCCATCACACGTCAAATCACAAGTCAAATCACAAGTCCATCACATGTCAAATCACAAGTCCATCACACGTCAAATCATAAGTCCATCACACGTCAAATCACAAGTCAAATCACAAGTCCATCACACGTCAAATCACAAGTCAAATCACAAGTCCATCACACGTCAAATCACAAGTCCATCACCATCAAATCACAACTCCATCGCAAGTCAAATTGCAGGTCCATCAAAATTCAATCAAAACACCAGTCCTATGCATCACAAGTCAATCACAAGTAATATCACACATAACAGGGGATGAGTAATGACAAACAAAGTATTAAATGCCTCTGTTTCAGATACTGTTCATCCAAATACACTTGTGATTGATAAGGACTGGACAACTCTGCGTTAATGTTTGATTAATTTTGATTTGATCTCTGCGTTCTCTAGGAGCACACTGTGATGAGAACGTGGATGAGTGCGAGTCCATGCCATGTCTCAACGGTGGAAGCTGTCTGGATGGCATCAACTCTTACATATGTCACTGCCCACCAGGAATCATCGGCACACACTGCGAAAGTGAGTTATATCATAATATCCTTTGCCCGATCCCACACCCCTACCTCCCATCCCCAAACCCCACCTCCCATCCCACATCTCCCATCCCAATCCCCACCCACCCCACCCTATACCCCCTATCATATCCCCCATCTCCCATCCCCCATTTCCCATCCCCCATCCCACTCCCACCCATCTCCCTTACTCACCCTCACCCCCATCTCCTACCCCCATCTCCTACCCCCCATCTCCCATCCCCCATCCAACCCCCATCCTTCCACCCCACCCATCTCCCTTACTCACCCTCATCCCCATCTCCTACCCCCATCTCCTACCCCCATCTCCCATCCCCCATCCCACCCCACCCATCTCCCTTACTCACCCTCACCCCCATCTCCTACCCCCCATTTTCTACCCCTATCCCCTACCCCCCACCCACCCCACCAATCTCCCATCCCCCACCCACCCATCTCCTACGCTAATCCCCCATCGCCCCACCAGACTTTTATTCACCCAGTGTAGCTGAACAGACTCTTACTACAATGCCTGTGACATTGATTTTCAGCTTTGCTAACTTCTGCTCAATGTAATACAAAAACAGTTTCTCAATAATGCATTATTTATCACCACGTACCAATGTAAAAAACTCTTAATGCTACATTGACCGAAAGTGTTGACAACACAGATATTTTTTTTTCATCTCCCAAACCTTAGCAGGCAGATTTGTCACGCATACTGCTACGAAACCATACACCTCTACAAGCTGCTAACACAACCGTAATTCAATTTCTTCACCCTCGGTGCCACCTAAGTTGTACTTTGGAGAGAATAAAGAAAAAAAAATTCTGCGGCTGACACATTCACAGGTTTCGCAGCAGGTGTGCCAACATGCACGCCCTGTGTTATGCAAAGTAGCCAACCCCCGTCACAAAGCGAAAATTGACAGTGGCTGAACGAAATTTCCATTTTTAATGAAATTTCAAGTATTTTTCAAGTATTGTTTGGAGAGCAAAATGTAGTAAGAATTGGTTTTGATGGTAAAATAGAAAATTCAATGGAAAAAAACAAAAGCATTTATGATAAATTATTTTATGCATTCTTGCTCACAAGAAAAGTGGATTATGCTTTGTGGCATTTTTTTTCTCTCAAATTCAATTTCACTTCCATGGTTGAAGTAAGTAAAAAAAAATAATAAAGTAAGAAAAAAAGGAAAAATACAAGGCCCCAGAAATATTGTGGGGCCGTTGTTAAGTCAATTTGTTAGCACAAATGTAATCACTCTTTAGATACAACATGAATAGGTTGTTCATGTTAAAATCCTTGCATGAAGAAAGCTGAAAGTGCATTTTTAAGTGAATTGTGAGAGAAATCTAGGGCCCGATATTTACGAATCTAAAACATTTTTTTTGTCCTGATAATTACTCACCTGGGAACCAGTTCTAGTTTGGCTGGTTACTTGCTCTTATTATCGCAGACATTTGCTAGGCACTTAAAGGGACACTAAAATTTCAAGTTTTGGATTGTTTACTTAGCCTATTTCCAACATCTGGTTGAAAGGAAACCAACCTAATGTCTTATCGTTCCCGAGAAAAGACGAAAAAAAACCCGTTGTTTACTTGGACATGACGGAGTACGAATACATTTTTCGTGTCGTTCTCAGTATACGATATACACGTTGTGTGTCTCGGGAACAGCGGTGACCAATCGCCGATGCAAAAAAATATGGTTTCTTCAACGTCCGCAAAAGGAGGACACTTTACGAATGAAATCACAACTAGCATCCAAACAGCTCGAATTTATGGGGTCGCAAAAGTGGACCCCGGAATTCGTTTTCGCATGCATAATACAGGAATAACACAAAAACGCCCAGTTTTTAAAGGATAGTTGTGTGGATGTTTATATCCTACTTTTAAATGTTCTTTCCGATTAACATCATCTCGTTCAAAGCGCGTTTTGTAGCCCAATTGGGCTGTTCCAGGACCCAGTGTCCCTTTAACAATTCATGAAATGATGCCCTGCAGACCTCTTACAGGAATTTACAATAACTGTCTTCCACTGTTTTGTATGTCAATTTGAGTTTTATTCAAACAAAATGGACAATTCATTCTTAAGAATTTGACAATAATTGCACAGAGAAATGTTCAAGTTGAAATTTGTTTACCTTTTTCGAATTCTTGCTGGGACGCCACAAATTGGCATAGTTATTTTCATTATACCAACTATGAACAACTAGGTTGTACTCATAGAGTTATTTTAAATTACTAGAGCGCTAACTCGCTGTACAAATGAAGCCTGCTGGGCACATCCATGTTTGTGCACAAACCTATGGAAAACTCTACATTTAGTGCGGCTTTAGTACGGCTGTTGGCATAGACGATAACGCACAATTAGTAAATGACACAATTAGTAAATGAGCGTTTCATTTTGCTCTGCGCGTAGGCGTTGCAGATGATTGTGCCGTGAATTTTTTTTAACCGTCATACTCATAGAGTACATTATCCGAAATCCATTCCTTATGATTTTATTATATTCCACAAACACGCACATGAATTCAAAATGTCGATCTGCACCCAGGACAGCTTCAAAGTATCTCCGCGCGTGAGAAAGAGGAGCTAGCACTCTAGTACTTTGATATAGCTCTATGGTCCTACTACTGTAGTTTCATTTTAACTGATACAGCCTCTTATTGATTGCCTTTCTCTGCCCTCCCCCCCCCCCCCTCCTCCAAAATATTAGTTTTGGAGAGCCGGACAGTCCTTGAAGTTCAAGAGAAGGACAACTGGCGCTTCTACGTGGTCATTGGCTGCCTGGCGGGGGCGTTGCTCTTCGCTGTCTGCATGATGGTGGTCTGCGTCTGTGCGCTCCAGAGCCGAACCGAGTCCAACAAAGTCGGCCACTATGATCCCATGTCTGATCTCAGAAAGTAAGTGCTCAAGTCGGCCACAAATCAGCCACAAGTCAGTCACAACTAAGTCAGTCACAAGTCAGTCACAAGTCAGTCACAAGTCAATCTCATGTCAATCACAAGTCCACCACAAGTTCATCCCAAAGTCAATCACAAGTCGATCACAACTCAATCACAAGTCGGCCACAATTCAGTCACAAGTCAGCCACAATTCAGTCACAAGTTAGTCATAAGTCCATCACAAGTCCACCACAAGTTCATCACAAAGTCAACCACAAGTCAGTCACAAGGCAGTCAAAGTCAGTCACAAGTCAATCACAAGTCAATCACAAGTCAATCACAAGTCAATCACAAGTCAATCACAAGTCAATCACAAGTCAATCATAAGTCAATCATAAGTCAATCAAACGGAAAAGAGGATGACAAATGACAAAGGAAAGTCTTTGGTAACAGTTCAGTTTAGAAGTTTATCACTTGGCATTGAGACTGGCTGTGACTTGTGATGACTTGTGATGACTTGTGATGACTTGTGATGACTTGTGACGACTTGTGACGACTTGTGACGACTTGTGACGACTTGTGACGACTTGTGACGACTTGTGACGACTTGTGATTACTTGTGACGACTTGTGATGACTTATGATGACTTGTGATGACTTGATTACGACTCTAGCGTGGATCGTCCCTGAACTTCAGTCTTTCCAAAGATTGTCATTTATTTAGCTCAGATCATGCAACTAAGCTCAGATAGCCACTGATTTTCATTTTTCAATTACAAGAAATCCTTTGTATAGCTTTGCACAAGAAACCATTGCAGCCTTCAGCCTTGCCAATTTGCGGCCAAAATCACTAGCGAAGACAAGTCATTAGAACTAACATGGACCTTGAATTCCCCATCCCCCATTTTCCCTTCAAGTCCTTGGTTTTCAGTATCGATGCATGTAAGAGAGAGTACAATAATTGAAAGGCAGGGATCTGATCTGGAAATTGCGCTCTTGGGACTTTCAGCAGACCTTGGTGTCACGTGACACAATGCGTCATAAACTTAATGCTCCCATAGAAATGTTAAAAAGGAACAATTACCTGCAACGCTCGAGCGATTTGCTAATCTCACAGGCTGGTATAAACTATGGAGCTATAGCAATGCATAAACATGTATTTTTGTCAGCTTGCAGTTTAAAAGAAATGATAAGAGCTGAATTTGTCATTGAATTTGAAAATCAATCTTCCTTTTAAAACCTTGTCGCCTTGCACATCATATGTTCCGTGGCTTAATTGTGACAAAAGTGGGAGCTTGCTTGCTTTTTTCCTTCTTTATTTTTGGGTGCAGAAGGGGGAATAGAACGCGACCGCAGTTACGCAGGCCAAAGATATATACCCTAGCTGAATTTATTATTCATGGGAGAAGTGAAGCAGAGTATATTGGCCAGGAGTGGAGTGGCTGGGGTGTTGTTTCACGCCTTCTGGACCTGCCTAATTATATATTTTTTTGGTTTGCGTTCTCGTTGCCAGTGATGCGCTTTTGTGTTGCAAGACCGCGTTTGTTCTTCTAGCACTTTCATGCGATGCACATATCCTACAAAGCTTGCCTAGCGATCGCGTTTGTTTTGAGTGTAATCATCGGGCTCATCAGTCGTAACAACATTTGATCAGACGGAGGGCCGAAAAAGTACATTGTGTCAGCCAGCGTATGGCGCTGTCAGGTCGTGCATTACAAATTTGAGGGCGAGATCTTCGGGAAAATTACCTGCCGCAACTTATCCATCCACTTCAGAATCATCCTAGTTTGGGTAAATTCTAATTTTTTTTTTGTTTTCTCCTTTCTGCGAGACTTGACTGATGATGTAGCGTCAAGCTGTATACACATGCACTTTGGGCAGTCAGCACGCTAATGTGTTTGGCTCCGGCAATCTAGCTGCAAAATCAGGCTGGAGGTTTTTTTTTTAGCAGGATAAGCCGGCGTTATAGAACCAGTGCATCTTAAATAAAGTCTTAATTACTCTTTAAAGGGGCGCACCTGAACATAAATGGATATAGAAGTGTGCCAAGCTTGAAGGTGCATGCATCCCTTTTCGAGGGCGACAACCACAGAAGGAAGAAGGGCTGTGAACATCACTCTCCAGCCGCCCCCCCCCCCCAAAAATAGTTGACACGCATGTTTTATACACATCATCTCAATGCTCATTTGACGATACCACCTCAATACATAGCTGCCAACTTTTCAAAATCCCAATTAGTAATCAACCTGTGCGGTCATTTTCAACTGCTTGTATATTAACAGTGTATGTACCAGCTTTACCAACATCGAGTATAGGTACATGGTTTACATGTACACATACATGTGCATACCCTTCTTGTTGTGATTAATAATGTACTGTAGGCCGTAGGATTATTAAAAAAAAAAAAATAATAAAATGCTTATTAGTCTTGTCACCAGTCCATCCATTATCGTAACATTTTGCCAGAAGTTTTCGGGCAAAAACGATACGTTACAAGTATTTTTTTCCCCTTTTTTTTTAGTGGCAATTCGTATTTTCATAATTTAACAAAAAATTCGTAATAATTACGAAAAAATTCGTAATAGTTGGCAGCTATGTGTGTGCCGTGTAGCGAGGTCAACATATTCATGTAACGCGCCACCTAGAGTGTCATGGTGTCCAGCCATAATAACGAATCATCAATTTTCATACTTTCCCTGCGGTTAGTCACCCAAATCCTGATTCACCACTGCTGCACTTTAATAACATAATCGTGGTGATGTTGTAAAAAGGCCTCGGCTATTGGGCCTGGGGGGAGGAAGGTTTCAGATATATGTGGGCAAAATAAAAAGGATTAGTGGTCCCATTACTAGGCAGATTGCCTGCACGTTCTGATTTTAACGGAAAATGTCAGTATTATTCCTGACGACAAGACATATCACCCATCTTTATTGATCCGTTCATAAACACACTTTCTGAAATGCTAGTGAATTTCCTACATGCACTTTCACATTTGAGGTGTGTTAAGGCCCCACAGCTCCTTAGAAAAGATTTAGTTCAAGTCTTGAAGTTCAAGACTTCGAGAGCTTTCAAGACAATGATTAATGACTCCGCGTGTCTCATCAAATACGTTGCACTTTGAGCAGGACGGGCCAAGCGAACTCGACCAGCCCCGACATGATTGCCCTTCGTCAACGGGTCTGCAAAAAGCAAAACGTATCAACCGTTCCCGAACGACGAAGGAATCCAGCTTTTTTCCTTCTTTCGTCTCGTACAAGAGCCATTTGGCAATGAATGTTTAATCTGGATTTTTCTGCCTTGCTTGATTACCTATCTGGCTGTATAAGGACAAAGGTCTAAGCCATTTTTAGTGGATATAATTGAGGTTGACAGGTCTGGCTTTTCGACGACCAGAGTTCGTGCAGCTGCTGTTTTTTACTTCTTTTTTTTTTTTTAAATTTTTATTTCAGAACGGGTTACACATACGACGTGAGCAGCGCTTGCGAGACGCGCCCTTCCAAGCAGGCCATCTATGAAGTCACCACCGTGGATTACCGCAACAACCCAGACGAACCTCTCATCTCCTCCCTCAAACCACGGGTCATCTAAAGAAAAAAAATATTAGTAATAAAAATCACCGTCCGCCAATAACAAATCTTTGGAATTTGGAGTTAAATTTTACCCTTGACCAAGTGGGAAATTCCAGGGACCAATTTCGGAGACCTGCTGGGCCGAAAAAGAAATTGTATGTGCTGAGCAAAATCTAGCGGGGAACCAGTTATGGGCAATGTACACTGTATGACATTTTGGCCGGTTACCTGTTTCTGCTAAGCAGATATTTTCTGTGCTAAGCAAAGTTCTCTGCTAAAGCCCATTGCACACCTTTCTGATTTGACCGGTTCACTGGATCATCAGGCCATCGGACGGAGGTGTGGGCTGGAAAATCGGACCGATCTGATGACCGTACACCGGGCTTGATTTTTTTTTTTGCATCCGATTTCACTGGATCCGATGTCACCGAAAAGGTTTGCGGGCGGCACTGGATACAGTATTATGTAAACCAATCAGATTCACGAAGGCAGTCACACGATTCAAAATTGACGGTTGCCATTTTGTCATCATGTGACCGATTATAGAACGGAATCGGGCATGGGTGCGGTTAACGTTGCGGTCTAATCACAACGGTGAAAAAAAACCATACCGGTGATCCGCTGAACTCATCCGGTAAAATCAGAAAGGTGTGTGCCGGACTTTAAATGGGAGTGGGGGGGGGGGGGGGGGGGAGGGGGGGGGTGGAATTCCACAATTTATGGGTGTGATGGAGCGTGAAAAAGCAGAACAGACTTTAACGTGTGTGTAAAGTTTGAACATACGGTGTGTACTACACGCAGAGATCTGGCACACGGTGCCCTGTGGAGACATGTGCATAATAGGGAACAAAAGATTGTACACGTCTCCACAGGGCAATGTCTATAGATGAATACGTCTCCACAAGGTTATCACGAAATAAATATATGGATTTTACTCAAAAACGAGGAACTTCCAAGGTGGGTTGATCCGTCGCAAATTGAAGTATTTTATGTAAGGGATATTAAGTCCGAATTTCAGCCCAGGAAATTAATTCTGGTTAAAATAGGAGCATTTTGAAACTACACTTTCAAACTCGAAAACTTTAGTACACGAGAACAAAGAAATGACTCCACAAGGATACAAATTCCAGTAACTATGCTCTCATGAGGGTCATCTAAGACTATCTACTGTCCAAGAATCGAGTCCTTGGAAACTGTAGTGAACTATTATTGGGAATTGTGAAAAAGGGAACAAGTTGAAATGTCGAAACAAGCCCACCATTATATACTCGATGAACGGCGAGCCAGAGAACCACAATTCAAAATTAAATTTTATGGTTTTTTTCCCTCAATTTTTTTAGAAACCAAGATTTTCTATTCCCTTGAAAACCCTATACCTTTGTAGTAGTACAAAATGTAACAAAAACATGTCTAGAAATGTCTAGACACGTATCTAGAATGTCTAAGAAAACAATTGAAATTTTTGAATTTTATTTGATTTAACAATTTGTTGGGTGATGATTGTAAAAAAAAAAAAAAATCTGTACATAGCATGTTTTTAGCAAAGGTAAATATTTAAATAGTAATATTTAAATATTAAAGTCCTGTATTAATGTAATTATATGTGCATGGTGTGCTATTTCAAAATCAGGCAGAACTGGGTACAGCTGTAAAATGAAGGAACGACGAAAAGACGATGGGGGGGGGGGGAATTGTTTACTACCGTTTAGATTTTGTAGCATACTGTGCATAAGTTTCAAACTGTAATTTAACCTGGATTTTTCCTTGCCTTTTCTTGTAGAGAGGCAGAGGCAAGCATTTAAACAAAAAACAACAACTTAATTTATGATTTTGCCGTCATTAAATTACTGAATAATTTGTGAAGTGAAAGGTTTCTACTTTTATTGTAAAAATGGGGTCCGCTCATAAGTCCGACGCCTCATAGGTCCGACGCTTCATAGGTCCGACGCTTCATAAGTCCGACGCCTCATAGGTCCGACGCCTCATAGCTCCGACGCTTCGTAAGTCCGACAAATTAAACGCCTCGTTTTTCCGTTGTCAGACTGAAAGGTTTCTACTTTTATTGTAAAAATGGGGTCCGCTCATAAGTCCGACGCCTCATAGGTCCGACGCCTCATAGGTCCGACGCTTCATAGGTCCGACGCTTCATAAGTCCGACGCCTCATAGGTCCGACGCCTCATAGCTCCGACGCTTCGTAAGTCCGACAAATTAAACGCCTCGTTTTTCCGTTGTCAGACTTATGAGGTGTCGGACTTATGAGGCGTCGGACCTATGAGGCGGAATAAATAAATTGTATGCCTCATAAGTCCGACGCCTCATAAGTCCGAAATTTCGGACTTATGAGGCGTCGGACCTATGAGGCATCGGACTTATGATACGGCCCCGTAAAAATCCATTTTTGAATTTGGCTTTGATTTTGACATGACTATGTCAAGTATGAGCAAGTACAGGTACGAACTATAGTTAACCATAGTTAACCATAGTTATAGTTAACTATAGTTAACCATAGTTCGACTAACTACTCTAGTCAACTATTAGGAATCAGGCACGGTTGCATCACTGGTTACCAATAGCCGCTGGCATCGTAAAGTACATGAACAACGGGGAGCCAGGACTTTTGACCATCATTTGACTTGATGTTGTGCAGTCGTAGGTTACGTCACAAATCCACCACTAGTTGACTAATGGCCCTCACATGAACTTGCTTTAGCTGTGATGATAAAGTACTTTAATTTTTTGTGAGCAAATAAATTTGAAATGTAATGTTGTAACATTCCACCTGAGATATAACAAATTATCAACATTCCCTTCGTATTTTATCATTTATCCATTGTTTGATTTGAAAGTTTTTGTTCTCCTTGCGATATAGTCCGCACTTGCCATAATTATGTTCCACCGCAATGCATGCGTGCAGTACTTATTAAACTTTTTTTTATTAATGGTGTATCTTTGTAGCATTGTAGTGGTGGTTTTTACCTAAGACGTTTGATTGTAACAATACATTCCTTTTTGTGTGTTACTTAAGAATGAGATCAAATTTGAAGTGAAGCAGATGCTTTTTTGTTGGTTGGTCGGTTATTTTTTTTATTGATTTATTTTTAACAAATATCAAATATAGACTTAAGAGGTGTTCATTTAAAACTCGCAGCTGGTGGAAAAATTCACAACTATCAGTTACAGTTTTGTTAAAAATTATCAGTTTGCAACTGTTTATAAAAATTACCTGTAGAAGTGTCATAAATTGGACAGCTGAGTGGTGCCAAAGTTGTGGACTGTATGTAACATACATGTGTTTACATGTAAGTACATTTAGATTTTGGGTTATACAAGTATCTCTTTTTACCTAATACTCCCCTTAACATTATTTTTATTTATAATTTCATTAATTAATAACTTTTTTTGGAAAGAACGCAGTATCCAGATACCACTTTTTTGGTTGTGTACAAAGTCTGTGGAGAGTCCAGTGCACTTTCAAAGTATTTTCTAACACAATTTGAAATGTTCCTTAGTCCCAGATTCATGTCTTTTGAGTTTTCAACATTGTTGCAATGACTGACCTTCATTGAGATAATATACGATGAAAAGAAATAGCACCGATATGTTTCGTTTTCAGATGGGCTGTCAGCCGTGTTCTTTAGCCTAGAAATGTGGTTTTGAAACCTGCGTAATGTAGTAACGTAATATCAATACCTTGGCTTCATCTCTTAAGTGATCAAGTTAGCCACGTTTTGTTTGGTTCGGACATGGAAGATTTACAAAGGATTGCAGATTGAGCTGGAGAGGAAGTCAAGACCAGATCACAAATTATATTTATCAATGTAGGATTTTGAAGTAAGTTTGAATTGAGTTTTTTTGCTTTTGTTTTCTTTCTTGATTTTGGACATCAACAATATATATGAACTTTGTACACCAGTTATTTGATTTGTGGTTTTTACATTTTATTAGATTTAGCGTTGTCGTCACAACAAAAAAAATTTTCGTGATTGAAAAAAAAATTCCGTAAGGCCAAAAAAAAAAAGTCTCCGGTTTCTGGTATGGAGCTTGCCCCAAAAGTGGTGCGGCGACGCGGCTTTTTTTTTTTTTTTACCTGTTTCTTTTTTTTTTTGGGCTTCAAATGTCGGCTGATGACTGCAAATGGTGCCCGACTAAACTTAGTGCAAATATATGGGAGTCCAGAGAGGCCACATAAATCTTATTCTCGTTCATAAACCCATCTAAAAACACGTTAAAATTGTGCAGCAGCAGAATTCCAATCAAACCAGTGAGTTTGGCGGTTTTGAAACATCATCTTGTATTGAAAAAAAAACTTTTTCATTTTGCCGACGCGCATGGCTACAGTGACGCGCGCGCATACCAGAAACCGGAGACTTTTTTTGGGGGCCTAAGCCTTGATCCTCTTATTTTCTATATCCAAAATTACAGCTTTTTAATGCATGTCAACTGCGTGTCTGAAATTGAACATAAAAAAGGAAAAAAAATCAAAGCTAAAATTTGTTACAAAATTTATACAAAAGTTGCAAATTTATTGCCAAGCAACCTCTGTGTCATTTTACGGCAAAGGGACTGAAGCCATTTAGTTATATTATTCTGACAGACTATAACAAGCCTCTAGAGGGCAGTATTTACAATCAATGATTTAACAAGTTCAATCCAGGACTGTGGTTAGCTATAGTTGACCAACCATCATCGATTACACACCAGCCAATGGTGTTTGGACTTGTCTAGTTAAGTTCTCATCGACGATAATTATGAGCTGTTTGAAATCAATGCATTTTTATGAAGGCAGCAAATCAATTTGATACCAGATTTGCAAATCATGCCACAGGGAATACAATAATTTGACAAGGGCGTCAATCGCTTCTCAAAAGTGGGGGGAGGGGGGAAACTGTGATCGTTTGGATTATAGATGCTCTGTGGTGCGATCTGAGGCAATTTCTGACAGCTTTAACCATTTTTTTTTGCAAAAGATCATCATTTAAACATCACTTTCGAGTTTGGAGTCATTGAATCAGCTATTCTGAGCTACAGAATCATATGTAGGCTACAATTTTTATTCGGGGACGAAAAATGTGGGGGGAGGGAGGCACTTGTCCACCATCCCCCACCGATTGACGCCCATGTAATTGGAGATGATTCGGCTGTTGGTAGGTCCATCAAGCATTCAGGTATCGCATGTGGTGCTTGATGTGGTCCTTCAAGAAGGTCGCAATGAAGTAGTAACTGTGGTCGTAGCCCTGCAGAGATCACAAGAGATATCAAACAATAGTCAGTTTAATTCAATTGATGCCGCAGTTCGCACGGCCCCACTAGCTGGTCAGTGCGCCCTCAATTGACGTACTTTTGAGAAGGGGTTCATTATACATTCAGGTTTCAAAATGCATGTATTAAAGTGTTGGAGCGTATTCATAGAGACAATGTTGTTACATTTAACTATTCAATGTCTCAAAGAAACACCACCAAAAAAGCAAACAAAAATTATTTTCCAGTGGCGACCATGACTTCAGAGGACAGTGAAATTGGTGCATGTACCAGTGAAGGACCTCCATATACTGGATGACCGCATAATCAGAGTTTTTAGGCATTTTACAAAAACGTCGGACATCAGACAGACATATATTGGACTTTGCTCATACCCCCCGCCCTGCAAACAGGACGCTGGGATATTCTGATGAATTCACGCTCTGATTGGTTGGATTTTCCGTGACCAGTGACCTGCGCGTAATCACAGTCATGACTCTACAAGGTTTGAAACGGCCGTTTAAGACTGATTCATTACTCTTTTATTCCAGTCTAGAGATGTTTTTTTTCTCGTTGAAAAGCGTAATAATGTAGGAAATTCTGTGAAACTTATCTGTCACTCACTCCGGCTCCGTTTCGAATCACGAACGGTCGGATTACATTACGCGACGCTCAAAATTTTGTCCACATGGTCCGCAATGAAACAGAAATCACATCCGGTATGGAATACGAGCAATTCTATGGGAAGTTTCGGATAGCATTTGCGCACATTGTCTAACTGCGGTCTTGAACAGCTGCAGCCAGATGCTTTATACATAGGTCATAGGCCACTTCCTTCACAAGATTCTGTGAAGCTCATCAGAGTATCCCAGCGTCCTGTTTGCAGGGCGGGGGGTACGAGCGAAATATTGGACAGCGTAGGACCTTTTAACATACATAGGATGATGTCCATTTTCTTTGGAGAACTAAAACAGCATACATGTAATGATATATTATAAAAGGGAAGGGGTGGGGTGGGGTAGGGCTGAGAAGAGGATAGGACCCAAGGAGGGGGTGGGGTAGGAGGGAAGGGCAAAGGAAGGGGACGGGAAGAGGGGAAAGGAGTTGGGTTAGGGGACTGGGAGCAGGGTGGGGGTTGCCTCGGCCTCTCTCCAATTTGCTCTTGCCTTCGTGTGTCTTCTACTTACCTCTTGCATACGCAGTGTGATGGCGGTCTTGTTGGCGGCACACGCTGCGACCAGATTGTCCGGGAGGAGTTGGGACTGCTTCAGGAAGTTGTCGGCCTTGCCCTGGTGGTACAAACCAAGATAAATAGTGTCACAAGACAAAAAAAAATGACCAGAGGACATCTTAAAGGGAATATACACCATTTGCAAACATTGAAAAATAAAACTACCAAGTTTCAACGAAATACCTTACTAGGATGTTGGTCAATGACAGTCTAAAGCATCCTTTAAAATTATGGCACCTGGTGTCGATTCATTTTCAAGAAAATGGTATTTTTGTAAACATCTCCAACGGTGGTCGGCCGACCACCGTTGGAAAAACCTAACTATTTTTCAACTACTGCTCCAAATTTACAAAAAAAAAATTCAGTCCAAATTTGTTTTGCTATTGGTTACATGTTCATGAACGGGTGCAGGCCAGCTTGACTGGTTCCCTCACCTTACAATTTTCCGACATCTATAAATTGATCCATTTTATCTTTAGTGGAGTCAGGGAACCAGACTACTTAAACAGTTTTGTTTTTCTTGGTTTTTGAAGCATTTTCGAACACAAAACTTCAAACCTGTCAGTTAAACAATATTTGATCTATTATACTAACCCCTCAAATAGTTCATTTCTGAAAATTACAGCAAAAGCCAATGATGTACATTCCCTTTAAAGAGTTTGCAAACACCATGTGAGGTGTGAGGCAAGATTCAATATAAAAAAAGTCTGCATATCCGTCTGCTGAGAGCTGCAGAATAGATTGATCCGTTGTCTCATGACCATTGACATTGGGGGATTTTCTGTGGCAACATACCTGATCTACAAGAATTTCTAGCGGCGTCCCCTGATACGCCTTCACCAACTCGCAAGCGTCGTATTCCTGAAAATAAAGTCAAACATAACACATGTAAAAAGGTAGCTAACTTGAGTTTCAAGCACGAATGAAATTGATCTCCGAGACTCCGAGCACAATGAAATTATGTGTCTCGTACAAGGAGATCTTTTGAAATTTCTAAGACAAGTTAAAATGATTTCTGAATTTTACTGAGGCCTTTGAAACAAGAGATCTCAAACTAGTGCTGGTAAATATAACAATACCATTTTTCTGCAAAGACACTGCTATGAAGTGAACAAAAATTGTCAAAGGAAAAAAATTGTCGAAAATTTTGTTGGGAAAAATTTTTTGATTTTGATTTTTTAACCAACCTTCCAATTTTCTTGGTCAGATCCCAGGTAGCCATTGAACGCCTTCTGTCCCCACGGACACTGCATGGGGTTACAGATGGGCGCAAAAGCAGACACAGACTGAGGAGAAAAAGAAACAGACACGACAATAACCCAGGGGCATTACGGATTGTCTCAAATTCTCAACTGGAAAATTCTTTTAGAAAGTCGACAATTCTTACCCGATATTTTCCGGGGTTTTTCAAGGCACAAATCAGGGCGCCGTGACCTCCCATGCTGATAAAGAAGAAATACAAGAATATTTTAATACAACTGGTACTCACATATCCAGGAATGTGCTGTTTAATGGAATAAATAATTTTCTTTGTGGACGACGTACCTGTGCCCGAATATGGACATCGCATCAGGAATCGTGTTGAAGTTTGCATTGATGACGTTAGGCAGCTGTAGTTAAAAATAAAATGAAAAACAATTGATTTCATCTTAAGTTTTATGTGAATGTTTTGCAAAGATCAATGAGAAATACGAGCAATGCATGTGTGCTATCAAATATTTGTCTAAAAATGCCACTTTTTAATTTTACTGCTGGAATTCTGTGTATGGTATTCTGCAGTTAAAGGAAACATGCAGTGGAAATTCAGCTCATCTTGTTTTCATGCACATTACTATGTGTTGCAACAATACATACAAGATCTTAATACTTGTTTTCATTGGAAGTGACAAGAAAGTGGTAATTTTTCAATTATTAGCAAATCCTTTCATCAATACATGTAAGAGGGCGCTATTTTGCTTTTGTCACACAAGGCACTCATTGTCAGTAGTGCATATGAGCGGTACAAAAATAATGCCTTCAAAATTACCCACAAAAGAAAGTTTCGAAGAAATATTGGCCACTACTATTGTCCAAACAAGCTGTTTTAACATGATAATCAAGTTAAAAGTGGAACTTACTCCAAGAAAATGAAGAAAAGTTTGATATATACTTGTACACAAAGCTATGGAGACACTTCTGTTCTGCCTTGAGTGACATCAGGCTTTGGCTCATTAATATGGAAATTTGCATTAGCATAAAAACTAAAATGGTGAAATTTCTCCCTTTTACTGCTACAAAGGAGGTGGAAAGTCATAGTTACATGGCAAGAAAGCTGTTTTAAATGTATTTCAGGCATAAAAATCCTCAGAAAAATTCATTTCATTGACCCTTTAACAATTTAGAACAAAATTTCACTGGGAAATAGTTTCTGCGACAACACAGCCTAATAAGCCACTTGCGTGTAACCTATACCCTTTGGGATTTACATTTGAAAAACGTCTGGTACAATGACTTGCTCAGAATGCTTGGCACATTTTAACTGTGAATTCTCCAGACCAAAGACACTGTTGCTAATCACATGATTCGGGGCAAGCTCTTGCATAGTTGCGTAAGAGACGCTCAGCACCAATACATCGTTCACAATGGGTGAGAATGGCACAAAGACACCAGACCATGCCGGAGCTGGGGGTTGCTAGCATAAGGCTTGCCCCGAATCACGTGATATAGTAACAGTCTCTTTGGTCGGGAGAATGCTAGGTTAAAACGTGCAAAGCATTGTATTAAGTCAGCGTTCCAGATATTATTCAAATTTAACACGCAAATGGCTTATTGGATCTCACCTCCTCAGTGACGTAAGAATACATCCTGTAGTTGGTCTTCCACTTGTCCTCGGTAGCGTTGATGTAGAAACCGGCGCCGGTCCCAAAATCCCAACCGTCCTCCTCTCCTTCGATATTACATCCTCCTAACAAACGGATTTTTTAAAAAAAGGAGAAAAATAACAAGCACCCAGATTTGAATATCATTTGACGAGAGACTTTGGCACATTGCAGGTGCAATGTACACAGGGGTGCGAGTGGAGTGACCACTGATAAAAAACAGCTGAAAACAGCTGAAAAAGGTGTAAAAAAGCTGAACTTTGGAAATCTCCTACACTTTTGTACACAGCAAGTGAGGGAAAAAAGCTGAAACCCAAAACAAAAAAAGCTGAAATCAGCTTTAAAGCTGAGATTTCACACCCCTGTGTACAGTCGACTGACGTTCCTTTACTGCGCATGTTCTCGGCCTGACAACACCGCCCTCTCTAGTTCCAACACAGACCCAATATAATACTTACGCGGGCTGGTGTCGGGCATGACGATGATGACCTTATTCTCGGCTGCCAGGCTCTGGGCTCCGGCCTTCATGGCAAAGTTGGACTCGGTGCACGTCAGTCCTGGCGACCAAAAAAAGAAAACAGATTCACAATTTGTGCCCCTTTCAGATTTCGTCGTGTCCATGCAACAAGGTCGTATGGCCTGTGACATCATGTACGTGAAACGCGAGTTTTCAATGTCAAAAGCTTGTATCTCGCTTAAAATAACCCGGATGTACACACAAAGTCAATGGACGTCGCCGTACGCGAGATACAACCTTGTTGCACGGAGCGTATTCGCGCGAGATACGACTTTGTTGCAGAATTGAGTTACGACCTTGTTGCACTGACGCGACGATTTTATTCACTGCTACACTCTCTGGCACCACAATATCCCATAGTTGTGATAAACTGTGGCGTCAACAAACTCTGTCTTTAAATCACTGTAATTTTTTCTGATGTTATACACTAATAGCGTTTACCCTGACCCCCTAGGCCCTTTTGGCTAGGAACCATCCTCAATCCTGCAAAATCCTCCAATTGCCAATGTGTAAAACTTGGATTCAGCCTCAATCCTCTAAAATCATTCGTTATATCTTGAATTTGTTCAGTGGAGGGGAGGCCATTGTCTCAATCCTTAAAAAATCACTGTTAATGGGTTGAGGCAGTGCTGATGACATTCAGAAGCAGTGTGGATGATATCGAGCATAATGCTGGGCTCAATTATGCATGACTGAATAAAAAACAATGCAGGGTACAGCCTACGAACTTGACGCAAAGCGTCCTCAAAAATCAACCGACACTTTTTTGCTATTCAGCCTCAATCCTCCAAAATCTTCCAAAACCACCTGGAGGATTTTTGAGGATTGAGGAAGGTTAGGATTAATTCTCGGGATAGGAATTTTGAATTTTGTTGCACCTGACAGCCAGTACAGCACAGGCAGCTTGTCGGTCTCTGCTTCAGCTGGCAGATAAATTCCAACGTTCATGGAACATTTCACCTCCTCACTGTGACAAAAAGAAGAAAAATTGTCAACATGTTGGGAATATGTTGACAAGAATGGAACGAGGCGCGGGATTACTTTTCACTTGACCTCAATGCCACGCGGGTTGGAGCCATCACCCTCGGGCAGCACACTCATATTTCCAGCCTCGCTCGCTGCGAGCGGGTCGCTGACAGATATTTCTTGCCTCTCTCCCTGCGTGTTTTTCCGTCCCAATATTTGGTTCGACAACCATTTGATTAAGTTAAACACACTCATTATAAACAAAATACTGCAATATATCAACGCCTAGGCCTACCTGTCATGCTTGAAAGTCTTCTGCCATCCTCCAAAACTCTTTGTACTTGAAACTTCAGTTATTGCGGTGGCCATATTTGTGACTGCATAGATGGGAAAAATACAGATTATTGCACATAACACTAAAATATTAACAGATTTCATATTAACAACAGATTATAACACTTATTATTTTTATATTAACAGATTTCCAACTGGAAAGAGAACACAAAATTGCAAAACAAAAGCTAAACAAAACATACTACACTACTTTTCTAAAATACCAAAAGCATGCGGAAAGAATGTTGCAACCTGACGCTACTTCAGCGGTTGTGTGCAAAATCTATGGAAATTGAAAACAATATTTTAAGTATTTCCCAACAAAATTGGAAATATTTCTCAGTCCCAGATTGTCTTATCATCATTTCTGCAATGACTGACCTTCATTGAGAAAAATCAGCGTCATTCCTTCCAAGCATGCTTTTATTATAATCAAACTGAACTCACAGACCCAAAATTAATAATACTCATAAAAAATTACCCCCCTCCTTGCCCCCAAAACATCCATCTCTCCCCCCCCCCTCCCTTTCCAAATCAAATGAATGCAAAGCCCGCAAGCTGCCTCAGACGGGTGGAGGAAGACCTATTTTGACATTTGTTCCACATAAATGAGCTCAAAAATATAACAGCATGCATTACATAACCACCTGTTTGAAACGTAGGCTGGCCTTGGATGCAAAATCGGAGAAACTTGCTGGAAATCCGAGAGTGTTTTAGAAAAGTTCTGCGGAAGACAGCAAACATGTGTGGAAAGAGATGGAGCCTGGTGCCACATCATTTACCAACTCGGTGTTGACTTCTCCGTCTGGGTACCAGACGACAATGAAATGCTTTTCCAAAACTGGCCAAGAGAGGGCGCCATCTACAACTACCTGTCAAAATTTTCCTCTCATCTTCCACGGAAAAGGGGATCAATTTCACTGGATTTTCTACTAATTTTACCGAAGACCCATGAACGACAACTCCACCAAGTGTTGCCACGAAGGCCAGGGCGCAGTATCCGGGGTTTGCCGAGGGGAAAATACCCATGGAAGACGACCAGGAAATTGCACTTACGGAGGACCCCGAAGAGGTTTCGATCTCCTTGGAAGATGAAGCCTTCGCCGGGAACGGGACGATGCGCTCACCGGGCGTCGCGGGTATGGATGGCGGGGCAGGCGCAGCGCTAGACGGCGGGTCATCTTCCAGTGACGGTCAGGTCCCTGAGGTCATACGGGAAATTGAGACGAAACTGGGCCAGGCCAAGTCGGCAGTCTGGAAGTCTCTGGAGAGAAAAGCAATCTATATACAATGCTGTGTGTATTCTATGTCATATGTTGTACTATCTGTCTAAAATTTTAGATTAGCATAAAAAATGTAGTGAAATACTGCTGAGTATGTCCTGTGTACTGGCTTGCTACAGACTTCAGTATCTATTTCTATAGGTTAATGTTGGCCCTATATAAAATTGCTTTCTCCTTTTCAACGTAGTTAACAAAACCGGATGTTTAGTTATATTGTGTTTCCTAAAAATACCAGAAACAATTGTATTAAATAAAATAGGCCTAACACTCAGTTTTATTATTAATAGTGAGTAAATTATTTTAAAATTAAAAGATAGGAAAGAGTTCCATACCTGGACATCACTTGTCACCCTGTGCACAAATAGACTGGTCTGATAATTTCTAAGTGTTCTCAGTAAATGCTTTAATATTTTCCCTGCTAAATTTGACTTTTTAGGGCATATTCACAGATATTATCACTTTCTGATGGCAAATAGGTCACTGAGGGGCTAAGTTAGTGATGGCTAGGTATGGGAATCTTTCCAAAAGGGACTTCTTTGAGTCCTTTTTTGTTGGATGATGCTTCTAGTTCAGTAATTTTTCTGGTAGGCCTACTGCAGGCATTTCAAAACAGAGTGGATATCACTGGCAATACACCTCCTTATGCTATTTTGTCGTGGGTGCGCTGTGATTGGCTGTTTTTGATGGGAAAGTTACGTTTATTCATAAGAAAAGAAAATGACGTCATGGTGTATCATTATTACTCGACTAGTAATATGTTATGGTGACGGTACATTGAAGCATTTAAAGAAACAGCTGTCATCGAGCTGCCACAGTAGTCTAGAGGATAGTGAGATGAGCTAGGGATTGAAAGATCCCTGGTTCGAATCCACCAATGCTCATTTTTCATCTAGGTACTATTTTACTTCTTCAAATCATAGTTGGGATAGGTTTTTTTTAAAGGAAAAAGAAGAGTCTGAGAACCTGAGCGTCTTGCAGTGATTCCACCGAATTCGACACGGGTTCTCACTTCTCAGAGCAGACATATACATTAGCCCGACTGCGTCTGGCCGTACAGTACTATCGCAAGCTCTGTAGTACGGCCAGACGCCCGATGCTTCCACAGAGACTGAATTTTTCGGGCCGCCGATGTAGCGATTTTGCTACATCTTTCGATCGCGATTATCTTTTCATCCAGGACACAAATTTCCAAAGTTAAGGTTCGTAGTCGTAGAGCAACTCATACCTTTTTGAAAAAACGTTCTTTGGTCTCAATATTTTCATCCATCTGGCCACAAAACGAATTTCAGTCATCAGATTCCACAAATATCGTCCCCCATGCGATCCCCCATGCGATTTCAAAATGGCGGCCGCGCTGTAATGTATGCATTATGCGAGCGTGCTTGGGCAAGATAATGAATATGCATTATTTAGTTCATGACCTCGTGTTTGTATGGCCAGCCGCGCTGAGTGTCCCACAAACGTCATAAACTATGATGCATATTCATTATCTTGCCCAAGCACGCTCGCATAATGCATACATTACAGCGCGGCCGCCATTTTGAAATCGCATGGGGGATCGCATGGGGGACGATATTTGTGGAATCTGATGACTGAAATTCGTTTTGTGGCCAGATGGATGAAAATATTGAGACCAAAGAACGTTTTTTCAAAAAGGTATGAGTTGCTCTACGACTACGAACCTTAACTTTGGAAATTTGTGTCCTGGATGAAAAGATAATCGCGATCGAAAGATGTAGCAAAATCGCTACATCGGCGGCCCGAAAAATTCAGTCTCTGTGGAAGCATCGGGCGTCTGGCCGTACTACAGAGCTTGCGATAGTACTGTACGGCCAGACGCAGTCGGGCTAACATATACATGTACTCACAGCAATTTACCGTTAGAAACATAGTGACCGTTTTAGCCGATATTCGGCTAACTCTGACAGATTTTTTTTTTTTTTTAGAGTTTGACAGAAAATATGACAGAATGGATTTTTTTTGGCAGATTGCTGGCAGAAGTCTGCAAAAATGGTTATTTGACAGAAACACAGCAAACTTGCCAAAAAATGGTACATTTGTTTACAAAAGCTTCAATCTTTTCAAACAAACCCTTGCAAAATAGGACAGGTTGCCTGGTCTAGGTGCTGAGGTTCACTAGGAACCGGATTTTCTCGTGACGCAACCACGTTTTGCCTGAAATTTACGCAATTTCATATTATCTTTATGTGGCTATAGATTGTTTATAACGTAATTTGAACATTAATTAAGGCAATATTACAACATCTGCATGTGATTTAAAGTGTTTATAGTGCATTTCGAGTAATTCTGGGGAATTTAGCAGATTTTTGATAAATCTGACAGATTTTTGAAGCGCATTTAGCAGAATTTATTCAAGACCTTACGGTCACCCTGGTTAGAAAATATAATGCCGATGACGGCAAAATGTCCACTGCCTTAAGTGTTAAGAATATATCTACACAGTGTTGTGAGCCCATCTGTTTTCACTTTGAAAACTCCACTTTATTACAAATTCAAACAAATTCTTCACTATTCAAGAAATTTGCACAAGTAACTTACCCTGCAACCAAAGAAGTTAAAAACAGTTGATATCTTCATCAGACACAGAAGTACTGTTTGCCAACCCACTAATGTGTTTTTAATTGGTTGAATATGCACTTAATCAGATAACGAAAATGAACATCTTCTTTTATTTGAGGAAGTGAATCAATATTACACTCCCATTGTTTGTTTTTTGGCCATCCACGTGTTTGAGCAAAAAATTTCCCACAGTCAAATTTGCGTACATGTGGGGAACTCATGTGCATGCATTCAGCATACCTGTTTTGAATGCAAGTTTGTGAGTATCGATGGCAATAACAAGTTTGTTTTTCTTCTCTGGGGCATTTTTGGTCATATCGTTGATTGGGACTAGCTGACCATATAGGGCATTGCAATGTAGACCTTTAAAAAAAAAATCGCCCTGTTGAAAAATATAATCTTGTTTGCACTAAAACTTTACACCTTGTATAAAGACTAGTAAATATATGAACTAAATTTAACATATATTGTATTTCGGAGAATGTGACATTTTTGAATGGATTTCAACTTAGAGTTTATGTTTAACAAGATTTTTCTTTTCAGGAATGATTTTTTTTGTGTTTCAGTATCCCTAACTATACTTTGACCAATTTCTTGAAATGTAAACATATTTTCAGAAAATTTTGCAAATGCTTGTATTTTTTATATTATAACAGATTTCGTGACGATCGCCTGTATTCTTGGCACAGGAATCCTTGGTGAGAGTTTTCCCATTTTACAAAGTATTTCTCCCTTTTTTTTCAAACGGATTTCACAATCCATTATTTGAATAAAGTTTTTCATACGTTACACTCCTTTTATCATTTTATGTGCAATAACATTTGTTTAGGCCAAAAAAAATTGTTCTGCTTCCGATTACGTGGCATTCGAATATAGGGTAGGTAGGTAAGGAATTTTTTTGGGGGGGCCATTTTTTGTGTGCACGATCGTATGGAGGCGTCTGCGTGTAGTCAAGGGTAAAGGTAGAAATTGATGGTTTTGGGTGGTTTTTTTTCTCATTTTTCCAATAAAAAAATTAGGGTAGGGGCTGTCAGAATAGGGAAGGTAGGGAAACCCGAAGCAGAACTATTATTTTTTTTGGCCTTACCATCAAAAATCTTTATCCAAAAATATTGGTCCATATTGTACATCATGAACATCTATTTACATGTACGTATCATATATGTTGATGTGAAAATCCATTGTAAAAAAAAAAACACTGAAAGGTAGGCCTATCCACCGGGCCATTATTTTTCTAGTTATGAATATTTAAAATATTCATAGCTAGAAAATAATGGCCCTGTTAAGGGTGGATTTTATACAGAGACGGGTTTGGTGGTGTGGGGGGGGGGGGGGGGTAAAGGGGGGTAGGGTGGCTAACCAGCCCCCTCCCCTTCCATAGTACTGGAAAAAATCCTCAAATTTCCTTTCTTACATCCCAAATCTTGGTTCATTTTTGTAAAAGACCATTGGTCTTTGTATGTGTTGACTTCAGCATTTCAGCCATCTGCTTATCTCTGCCACTGCGCACTGTAATTTGCATAATATGATTATTTGCATATTTTGATAGTTGTTTGTTGCTCTTTGTTTACTCCAACAGGGCTTCCTGTTACACTGGCCCACTCCGGTCTCTCTCCGTTTCTCGTTTCATTCATCGTCGGTTTCTTCATGCAGGTTAGAATTAATAATAATAATAATAATAATAATACCGGAGTCTTATATAGCGCACGTATCTACCAACAATTAGGTACTCAAGGCACTGGAAATTATGTCTATTATTAAAGACAGGTAAAAGAAGTTTATGAGAAATATGAGACCCATTATGTAGCACCTTGGTTTACAAGGTGCTGCGGCGCATATTGCAGCCACTGCCAGAAACACCAGGGCAAACTTATGTCTATAAAGACAGGTAAAAGAAGTTTATGAGAAATATGAGACCCATTATGTAGCACCTTGGTTTACAAGGTGCTGCGGTGCATATTGCAGCCACTGCCAGAAACACCTGGGCAAACCCCTTCTCTTAGCGATAAGTGTTACTGGGTTCTTTAACCTGCATTACACAACACACGGGACCTACGGCTTAACGTCCCATCCGAAGGACGAAGCAATAATGGTAAAGTGCCTTGCTCAAGAGCACAAGCCCCATGTTCCCACGATCAGGATTTGAACCCATGTACCACGGCACATGAGTCGAACACTGTAACCATTGGACCACAGCACCCCACGTCTAGCTTTTTTAGATTTTTTTAAACAAATTATCAAGCTGAATTTTGACCTGAACTTGGCTACATGGATCGTACAGGCCATATACATAAGGCAGTATCATATTGTACGATTATTTTTGTGTGTGTGTAGATTTAGTATAATTCTAAAGTAACTTGTTATTGTAGTAACACATTTGCATACATTTGCATGTCTCCTCCCCCAGGCGCTTCTGATCTACTTCTTCACGGACATTCTCCAGAGGGCGCACGCATGCCAAATAGAACGGCACAAGGTACCCAATGTAAGCTAAGCAATCTGATTTTGTATTAACCCCCGTTTCCCAGCGTTCTCGATGTTGTCTGGTGAAGCTGTGAGGTACAGTGACCTGTAGTTGTAAGTGGACTGTGATTTTGTAAGTGATGCAACACACTATTTTCATTTGCAATTTTTTATTTAGCATAGTTGTAGCAGAAAAGTTATCAATGGAAGTATAAATGTGTGGTTTTGAGTTGCTTTCAAAGTAATGTTTTCTACCATGCATGTTTTGTGTACTTGTTATAAAAATGCATGAAAGCCTCTCTCTGTCAATATAAAGTGTTTACTTTGATACCCATTGCACACAACACATGTACACATACATGTATACAACAAATGAGTCGCAATTTTTAATTTTTTGTACGAAATCCATTCCTCGCTTTTTAAAAAAGAATATGCAATTTTAGCTTTCTTAGCAACACTAAGAGGTCGACTCGGGTCTAAGTAACACTAAAAGTTCTATCGTGACAAAAGTTATTCTTATTTTCCAGAGTTGTAGGACTCCAGTCCAGGACTCGGACTTTTCAAATTTTTCATGACTCTCTGTATCTGTATCTGTAAGCTACTGCACAATCGCCTATGGTGGGGCTATCACGTCCAATGTGACTCGAACTCGACTCGAGTCACATTGGAAAAGGACTCGGACTCGGACTCGACCATGATGACTCAGACTGGACTACAACACTGTTATTTTCACATTAACAATAAATGTGGAATTATTGAAACATTTCTTGAGTGCTGTTTTCGGCCTCATATTTTTTTTACTCAGAGAAAAGTAGCTTTACCTCAGTAGCTGGCATAGCCTGTTGGAAGTGCCAAATCTCCTGGATCTGTTGATCTCAATCAGATGGAAATCTCGATCCAGCAGAACAACCAAAACTTGTCTCTGTTTTCAAAGTGACTAATTTACTTTGGTTATTTAATGATTTAGTCAGGTTGAAATAAAGCGTGCATTCTCTTTGAGAAGAGGGTAATTTCAGATGCGTATTTTGACATGAACAGGCAATTTGTAGTGAGGAAGTCAACGTTCCACTGCAGGACATGATGTCAGATGAATCCACGGAGGATGGATCAGGTATTTAAAGATATACATGTAGTCCATCATTTGTAATTTGTGCATTTTGTTCATTTGAAGCAACAAAAGTGTTCAAAATCTAATGAAGGATACTGAACAACTAACCTGATGAAATTTCAGCTCAGCTTCAGCTGTACATTCCGAGAAAAACAGCATTCTAGGATCTCAATTTCAAATCAAAAGTTGCTGAATCATGTTTTGAATTGGGCCTGAATTCAGCGTCCGAGACGCGTTCTCACTGAGCCGACTGCAGCTATACAAAATGTCGCGCACTGATCCGACGAATTATAGCAACCGCGCGCGCGTGTGCGTCGTGCCAATGCTTGCGCACGCTTCGCCGAATAACAAAACGAACTACTCATTTAAATTTTCATACTGTGCGTCTTAAGACGCACCGTTGGAAAGGCCTTCTTTTGTTGATTACTTCAAAATGACAGCTTGCCAGAAAGTATAATTTCATAAGGGAGTTTAGTCCCCTTACTATCTTTCAACCAAGTATGTTTTTCAACAACAATTACGCCAGTTACTTTTCGGATGGCTGCAAATGATGGACTATAACTTTAAGAACAAACTTCAATAAAAAGTGTGTAAATTGTCTGCATTATACTGAATTGGTCTTTCATTACTGAATTGCCTCAAACCAGCCAAGTTTTAAATCATCATCCTCCCCAACCAAACAAAAGTCTTTACAATTATCAAGTAATAAAGAAAGTATTTTTGAGCAACACATTGACTTGTGGATTACTATTTTTTTTTTTTTTTCTGTGAGCAGGTAGCGAGAGTAACCCAAGAGAACGAAGCACGCCAGCGTCCCTTGGCAAACCACCGACGCCCAACCTGCACATGCTGGGAAGTCTCTTCTTACAGATTGGTCTCAGACAACTCTTTGATATCGTTCTGCTGTTACAGTTGTAAGTGAAAGTTGTAATGCAGAGATGTGATCAAGTCGATCACTAGTCAATCAAAAGTCTGTCATAAGTCAATCACAAGTCAGTCATAAGTCAAATCACAAGTCAATCACAATTCAGTCACAAGTCAGTCACAAGTCAGTCACGATTCAATAACAAGTCAGTCATAAGTCAGTCATAAGTCAATCACAAGTCGGTTACAAGTCAATCACAAGTCAATCACAAGTCAATCACAAGTCAGTCACAAGTCAGTCACAAGTCAATCACAAGTCAATCACAAGTCAATCACAAGTCAGTCACAAGTCAGTCACAAGTCAAATCACAAGCCAATCACAAGTTGATCACAAGTCAGTCACAAGTCAGTCACAAGTCAGTCACAAGTCAATCACAAGCCAATCACAAGCCAATCTCTAAGCATTCACAAGTCAATTACAAATCAATCATAAGTCAGTCACAAGTCAATCACAAGTCAATCACAAGTCAATCACAAGTCAATCACAGGTCAGTCACAAGTCAGTCACAAGTCAAATCACAAGCCAATCACAAGTCGATCACAAGTCAGTCACAAGTCAGTCACAAGTCAATCACAGGTCAATCACAAGTCAGTCACAAGTCAGTCACGAGTCAAATCACAAGCCAATCACAAGTCGATCACAAGTCAGTCACAAGTCAGTCACAAGTCAATCACAAGTCAGTCATATGCTAATTGCAAGTCAAACACAAGTCAATCACGAGTCACATCAAAAGCTTCTCAAATTCCATTTGCCAAGTACTTTACACTAACTTATTTACTGATTTTCTTTTTCTTTAATTCCAGTGTGTCTATTCTCATCAGTTACGCATTAGCTGGCAGCGAAGCTTACGCACAGGTCCTCAATGTCAAGTAATTACAAAATCTATTTTTTCTTCTAATAACCGTTAAAGATCACAGCTTTGAGCATTTTGCAGAAGATTTGACAATCATAATGCCATTCCTTGTGTACTTCATCTTCCCAGGTACATGTACATCATTCCAGTCTTCGTCAGTGTTCTATCGGTGGCGATCGTCTTCGCGCAGAAGTTTGTCCAGCCGTTTGTTTCCCTGCTGACCCTCGCCAAAGGAGGGGTTCTAGTCGCTACTGTAAGTGAATCCACAAGGAGCATTTAATGTCCAGCACACTTTTGTGTGTGAATTTGGGACTTTCCTTTTGCACAAAACAGCCTTTAATTATGCACCCTAACCCTGCTAATTCCAGCAGGATCCTACTATTTTACCTTGCCGTTAGGTCCTGTTGGATTGAGCAGTAAACCCCTTGTATCTATTCCTGTTAAAATCTGTTGGATTCAGCAGGCAACTGAAAACATTCAGAGTCAGATTCTGTTGGGTACTGGTATTAAATAACAAGTTGGACTCTGTTGGATCCAGCAGCAAACAGTTACATAAGGCACAGTTGGATTCTGTTGGATTGAGCATGGCAGTCATTTTATATGTTCAGGTACCAACAACTTGGCAAGTTAGGTTGTGTGGGATTGTGTTGGATTGTACAGGAAACTCACATGATGAGTGACCGTCGGACTCTGTTGGATTTAGCAGGGTAGTTCTGGAGAACTATTGACCAAAACGATGGGTCCTTCATGTTTTAAGATATTAAATTCTTAATGGTCATGGTACCTTTTTTGTTTTGTTTTATTTTGTTGATAGGTTATAGTCACATTTGGTGTAGGTGCGATCGTTTCAAATGAAATATCCAACGACTTCAACTACATTGGGTCACCATTTCTGATGGGTACCGTCGCATTAGGTAAGCCTTTAAGAACGATAATTTGTAACCATGGGGTAGAAAAATTCCTCCTATTAAAGGGAATATACAACATTTGCTTTTGCTGCAATTTCAAAAATAAATGGATTTGGAGGATTAGTATGTTTTAGAAAATATTGTTAAACTGACTTGTTTCACATTTGGGACTGGAGATGCTGGAAAATTTAAGAAAACCAACAATGTTCTTGTAGTCTGGTTCCCTGACCCCACTTAAGATGAGACGTTGCAATTTATAGACTTAGGGGAATTGTAAGGTCAGAGAATCAGTCTAACAGACTTGTACCCCTTCACAGATGTGTTATCAATTGCAAAGAAAATGCGGAATAACTAAATATGAAAACTTAGGAGCACTTTTTGAAAAAAAGCTAGTGTTCTCCAATGATGGTCGGCCGACCAGTGTTGGAAAAATACAAGTTTTCTTGAAAATGTCAGCACACCAGGAGCCAAGATTTTACAGAATGCTTTATACTGTCATTCACTAACAATCAAGTAAGATATTTCGTTATAATTTGATAATTTCATTTTTTGATGTTGGCAAATGTTGTATCTTCCCTTTAAATAAACAGCTGTTTACTTTTGTACCCACATTAAGTCTGCCTTGTTTGCATTATGTTATTACTTTTTCCACCAAGCAATCAATCATTATTTTTGTATTAATTTGTTTTTACCACAGGGGGCGTAATAAACATCATGCCAATGCTGTATGCCAGAATTGATTTTGATAAAACACAGGTAAGATTCGCTTTGTTCATTTTATTTGAATGACATTTTGTTTTTATTTGGGGGAAATAAGGGGATGGTACTCCTTTATTTTTTTGTAACAATTTTTATGTTGGTGGAATCATGATGTCAAATCATTCAGAAAAAAAATCTCTGAATTAATATGATGGAAATCTTAAATCCATTTCTTGTTTATGAATCAAATTGCATAAATTCCATTGCATTTTGGTATTGTTTTTTTTCTTCTCTACGTCCTCTTGAATGTTATTTTTGTTTGATTTCAGATCAAGTGTTTCATGTGGGCTGTGCTCTCTGGCCTGATCACATGCACCATTCTCAACATCCTGTGGTAAGCTCTTAAAGATATAGTCCGTCATTTGTAATTTGTGCATTTTGTTCGTTTGAAGCAACAAAAGTGCTCAAAATCTAAAGAAGGGTACTGAACAAGTAACCTGATGAAGTTTCAGCTCGGCTTCAGCTGTATATTCCGAGAAAAACAGCATTCTAGGATCTCAATTTCAAATCAAAAGTTGCTGAGTCATGTTTTGAATTGGGCCTGAATTCAGCGTCCGAGACACGTTCTCACTGAGCCGATTGCAGCTACGCGATGTCACGCACTGATCCAACGAATTATGTCAACCGCTCAAGCGTGTGCGTCGTGCCAATGTTGGCTCGCTTCAGAAAAACAAAACGAACTACTAAATTTTAATTTCCTACGGTGCATCTTAAGAAGCACCGTTGGAAAGGCCTTCTTTCGTTGATTACTTCAAAATGACAGCTTGCCAGAAAGAATAATTTCACAGGGAGTTTAGTCTTCTTACTATCTTTCAACCAAGTATGCTTTTCAACAATAATTACGCTGGTTACTTTTCGGATAGCTGGAAATTGATGGACTATAGCTTTAATGTCATTGCATATCTGAACCAGGCCCAAATTGCGGTAAGATGCCTTGCCCATGGACACTAGCACCACAATCTTACAGGCTCACCTCAAACTTACAACTTGCAGAGTCTTCCATAAGATCTGGCGTTTCAAAAACAAGGATCCAAATCTATGGAGCTGCTAAGAAAAGAAATGTACTAAGCCCAGAAAATATCTGCTAAGCAAATACTGGTAACAGCAATCAAAAATGTCATGCAAGCGATACTGCTTTTCACTGGTTCTCAGCCGATTCATGCTTAGCACATAAATTAGCTGAGCATTTATTGTTTTCTTCTGTTCAGCAGGTCCACAGAATTGGGCCAAGACCACGAGGCCATCCAACTCTGAAAGTGCTTCACAAGTGTCAATTTTTTTTCAGTTTTTTTTCTCCGTATTCTTTGTTTTCTGGTACTTTTCAGGTGCTGGGCAGTGCTGGACATTGTCCCCCAGACCAACTATTGTGAGGTGGTCAGTCACATCACAGACTATGACAACAGCAGTGGGATGATGATCACTATTGCCTACACGCTAACGCCGGGCCCGCACGAGTGCTTAGAAGATCTCTCTCTCGAGCAGTAAGCTTATAATATTTCTGCAGAATGTTACTTAGCCTTTCGCCAAGGCCATCGTGGCTTAACTTGCCGGCATTAGACAAAGCGGCGAAAACGCGAAGCGACTGGAGCGGGAGACCACACACGCGAGTGGCGAAGCCAAGAGGGCCTTTTCCAACTTGTCAAGAATTTCTAATGTTTTTCTTTATAATCTCGATTTTTGCTACCCCTAAGGGTAGCAAAATTCCAACCAATCATCATCCTTTTAGTGCGCGTGTGGCTACTACCCGGACGCGTCGACGCGCCCAAATGCTTGCACAAAATTTAAAAACAAAAAATGCGAGTCTAGTTTTCCACGAGATCGTGACCGCGTAATTGTTCTTACATTATCTTATTTTAATTTTACTTATAAAAGTATTTCAAGAAATTATTTGAGTGTATGAACTATTTTTCATCTGAACTTACAGTTATTTGTTCTTACGTTTTCCTTATTCACCCTTCTTTCACAAATGGAAGCGACTAGGCAAAATCCGCGTTGTGATTGGTTAGCCTTTCAGCACTCTTCTTATTTGCATAAAAACTATGAATAATTCAACAAAATCAAGTTCCAAAAGACCTCGTGGCTTCACCACTCGTGCGTGCTGACTTAATCTTTGCTCCAGTCGCTTCAGGCTTTCGCAGCTCCGCTTCTATAAGCCGCGATGGCCTTGGCGAAAGGCTAAATGTTACTAGACTCCATTCCAGAACTACTGTAATATACCTCCTTTGTGATTTTAATGACTCCTTTTTCCTACTCATTTTTCCTTTTCAGCTCGGAGCAAGAAGGTGAAATTGCGACAGTCCCTTTAACAAAGGTAAGTGTGTCTCTGTTTTTCTGATTTAATGTGTTATGTGTAATGGTTACTGACAAAACTGGAAAAGTTTACGGCTCCCGTTGAGCCTACATCATAAACACTATGTCCTTGCGAGTCGAGTTTCATTTTCGTTCATTCATAGTGATAGTGAAATAACCCTTGTTGTTTTCTTTCCCAGATTCTGCAGACTGATTACCCGCAATACTCCTGGGTTGCCGTCCTCATTCAACTCTTCATCACCATCAGTATTACCGTGTCCTATCTGACCATCGGATCGGCACTCATGCATTCATGTGAGTCACTTTCAAATTAACCCTAACCTTCCCAAATCCTCCAAAGTCCTCTTTGCAAAATGGAACATTTTGCAGGAGGATGCACTGTGTCAAGGTCTTGGGCCAGACCTTGTGTTGTTTATGCTCATCCGTGCATAAATTTAGGCCCAGATTATACTTGAAATCCTCTGCACTGCTCCAGGATGTCACTGGCTCTGCCTCAACATATTGACAGTGATTGCTAGAGGATTTTGCAGGATTGAGGCAGTGGTCACCCCTCCAAGGACCACATTCAAGAACTAACGGAGGATTTGCAGGATTGAGGCTGTATTCAGTTTTTACATGGAGGCAGATGGAGGATTTTGCAGGATTGAGGCTGTATGCAATTTTTACATGGAGGCAGGTGGAGGATTTTGCAGGATTGAAGTTGCATCTTAGCAAAATTGCCTAGGGAGTTGGGGTAAAATATGTATTATTTTGTCACATTAAACAAAGAGCAGTAGGTGGAGCATCAGTACAGTGTTCCGAGGATCACTGGTTCAAGTCCCTCACCAGTCAGTTGCTTTTATTCCACCGTGTAATGATTTAAAATGTAACCTCAGGTTTTGGTTTTGTTTGTTTGTTTGGTTTTTTTGGGTCGTGTAGTTTTAGGTTGGTTGGATGCTCAGATGGCGTGGGACAGAATTGATCGCCATGTCAACACCCCGGCCAGAAGCTACAGCTTTCTCTGCTCTCAGAGGTAACAAACTCGAAAAAATTCAAAATCAATGCTTTTTTTCCCTTCAATATTTCTAATAAAGGTAGTGATGTTGCGCTCCCGAGCATGTCTGTGGATTATTGTCACAATAATGATTTGCACTAAAAGCCGTATCCTCTCCGAGTGATTTCCCGTTTGCTATTTGCCAGGTTTGCAGCATTGCTAATGTTGCTAGCATCGTGACCTTGGGCGTGATCCCTGGCTACATGGCATACACGGGTGTATGGTTTCTGACTAGCGCCCCTTGAAAACAAAGACAATGACTTTCAGGAAGACCGCCAACATCTGGCTGGGTAGCTCAGTCAGTAGAGTACCGGTACGGTGCGCTAGAGGTTGCAAGTTCAAACCCCACTCCAGTCAATCCTTTTGTTCAAATCTAACATTGACGACAACTTTCTGATCTTTCGTGCAGGTATTGCCGTCCCTTCTTATGTCTTGCCGTCTTCATGGTCGTCTTTGTGGTTGCGATGCTTGACCCAAAGGTACGTCCCCAATACGATGGAAAATAGTTCCCTTCTCTTAGATGGAATACCAGTCCATCATAGGTTACTCTCCAGCTGATGCTGTAGTCCCAGTAACTGCCTTTTTTAACATTTGGACATGGTCGGGCAATAGTAGAGTCCTAGGTACATAGCCTTATTGCGTTACTAATAACTTTTTTTGACCATTTTCACTCGTACCCCCAACCAAAATCTTCAGATTTCACCCCCAAAAGAGTCTTCAAACTGCCTTATGCGCCCCTGTAGGCTTCAGTGGGAATTGGAAATACAAATGGTGGTGGTTAGGTTTACATACCTTTTGGAAGAAAAGAGAAATTTCACCTTCAAATTTGGGAAACATCCTTGTCACACATGCCTTGTTTGAGGCTGCCATTTTGAATTCAGGAAAAGTAGACTGGTGCATGGCTGGCTACACTGTTTCCTGGCAAGCATCAGACAGACCAATCACAGGGCATTTTGATTTGTCACCTGACCAATCACAGGGCACTTTGATTGGTCACCAATCCAGGTGACCAATCAAAGTGCCCTGTGATTGGTCTGTCTGATGCTTTTCCTGAATTCAAAATGGCAGCCTCAAACAAGGCGTTTGTGACAAGGATGTTTCCCGAATTGAAGGTGAAATTTCTCTTTTCTTCCAAAAGGTATGTAAACCTAACCACCACCATTTGTATTTCCAATTCCCACTGAAGCCTACAGGGTCGCATAAGGCAGTTTGAAGACTGTTTTGGGGTGAAATTGAAGATTTTGATTGGGGGTACAGGTGAAAATTGTCAAAAAAAGTTATTAGTAACGCAATAAGGCTATGTACCTAGGACTCTACTATCCCCCGACCATGTCCAAATGTTCAAAAAGGCGATTCGTAGAGTCCTAGTTACTCTCCAGCTAATGCCGGTACCGATTCATACTTCTTGTGGGGCACTGTGGTCCAAATAGTTACGGTGTTTAACTCATGTGCCATGGCAAAAGGCAAGGCACTTTACTACGATTAGCTCTCTTCACACAGGACTATAAATGGGTACCTGTGAAAGTACAGACCAAATTGCGCTGATCTCGAGCTGCTGCAGAAAAATGGTCGCATTCCTGATGAACAGCGATAATAATTGCAAAGCACTTTGACAACATATGTATAAGGCACTATTATAAGCACCAGATTATTATTATTATTATTATTGATGGAGATGGGCAAGTTGGGGTAAAGTGGCTTGCCCAAGGACACAATACATGGCCAGCAGCTGGATTCGAACCCTTGACCATCTGGCCAAGTGTCAAAACCCTAACCACTTGGTAATTTATATCTTAAAATATACTACAACTATTGACAATAGTAACGACAATAAAAAAAAATTTGGAATTTTGTTTTTATACGTTTGCGTTTATGTTTTCATTGACCTTTGACCTTTGACCTAGGGTTTTGTGACCATGTTGGATAAGATTTCATCCCTGCTCCTCAACACGGAGGCCGGCCTCTTTGTCTTTCTGATGCTCAGAAACAGCCGCGCGGAGAAATACAGGTCAGTCAACATAAACAGTAATTCATCATACTAAATGATATATACTATGTTTCGCACTCTCTGAAATGAAGCTTGATTGTGCGTTCCATTGATGAAAGGGATAGATAAAAAGCATGTTTTTAACCAAAAAGCACACAAAAAATAAGAACCCAAAACGTCCAAAATTAGAACCCAAAATCTGAATACAGAAGCAAGATTTTCTTACAAAATCCCATCATATGACTATCTGTACCAGTTATTAGAGAATGGAATATTTGTAATATTTAATTTTCCCTAACAATAAAGGGATAAAACTCAGTCATTGCAGAAACCAGTTTTGGTCAATAACCATATCTCTACCATATCATAAAGCACAAATAGATTTTTAAAAATTTATTTTCTAGTATTTTCATTTTTACTTTCCTTTTTTTCCCCTCCCATGCAGCCACTTGACGATACCGTTCCCAACGAGTCCCTATCTGTATCCTTTCCATTTCATCATGGCAGCCTACTTCATCTTTGCCGTGGTCTACGACATTGTGGTGTCCCTCATTGATATTCTGAGCTGAGCTATGAATCATTCATGACTTGTGAATAATTCATGAGTTGTGAATAATTCATGAGTTATGACTTATTCGTGAGTTATAGTAATTCATCTGTAATGATCTTTACTTGTTAAAGCAGCCTAAATGGGTCCAGTAACCTGTGATGTTGTCACGTCATCATCATCATTATCAGTCTATGAATTATTCATATATGAATATTCATGACATTTTTAACAAATAATACCATTCCCAATGCCTTTAACCAACTCTTTTCCGAGCCATCAACCATCCTACCGAAAATCAATGAAATATTCATGTTTACAGAAATCAGTGAATATGTATACAAAAATCAATGAATATTTATGTCATGTGTTAAGTGAATACTCATGTATCACAAATGCGCGCACTTCCATTCCATTTTGTTCAACAATATCCTACTTCCAGGTTTGCAGTGGTCTTCTGCCATCATGGTACTTTCATCTTTGGAAGTCTTCATTATAAACAATGAATTATTCAGTTTAACAGTAATTAATATTCATGATTATGAATTATAAATATTAATGAGGTATAATTGTCACACTAGAATACATTACAATATAAATTCATGTCAAATAAAATCATGTGATGTAAATGTTAATATTGAAGTTATGTATATTTAGCAGAATATTTCGTGATTGTAAATGCAGAGACCAAGAGATTTAAATGTTAACTAAAATATTTTTATATTGGTCACAAACATTGTCACAGTGTTCTGATTAGGAATACATGTCTGCTTGATCATGCACACACAAAAATCCAAGAAAAGTAAAAGATATTTTGTTTATTTTAAAGGTGCTTATAAAATATTTTTAGGAATTATTTCAAGATGTAACAAGGTTTACAAAACTCAAAATTCATCAAATTCTGATTTTTAAAAAAAAAAAAATTCTTCAGTACAGGTCTGGTATTTTTTTTCCAGCATTCCAAGCTGGACTCACATATACTTTTCTTCCTTTTTAAAAAAGAATAAAAAATTTAAACACTCTTTAGTTGTTTTTCTCTAAAATTCCACTGAATTGCTTTGGGTAACTTCCATAAAAATAAGGTGTATGCTTAAATTCAAAGTCAATCAATATTAATCTTTCACAAACAGCCATGTTGGTCACTATAAGATGGAATTTTGTGCCGGGGTGATATAAATCAAATTAGGTTTTGCCCTTCACCGACGTTTGAACACTGTATACTCAGTGTGTTATCTCCCGAGTGAAAGTTGGAAAAAATCACTCGGTGGGACTCGAACCCACGACCTCCTGCTTTCTAGTGCAGATGTCTTACCACATCTATAAAATTCCATCTTATAATAGTCTATGCGGTACCCGCTGCTATGTACATCAGATTCGAACCAGCCAACCGATCCCGTTAGCTCGGTGGTCGAGTGGTGAGACATCTGCACTAGAAAGCAGGAGGTCGTGGGTTCGAGTCCCACCCGAGTGATTTTTTTCCAACTTTCACTCGGGAGGTAACACTGAGTATACAGTGTTCAAACGTCGGTGAAGGGCAAAACCTAATTTGACATGTTGGTCACATTCCTTGAAGCCAACCCCTAGATTGCTATGAAACTAGTTGCCATATAGTATAGAAACCAGCCTATTTTCCTTGTGTCCAAGTCATTCTTACTGTGGTTGCAGCGGTACCTGAATAAAACCGTAACCACAGCTGAAAGTGAGATTTAACTTACTTTTTGGATTTGGCTAGTGTATTAGTCTATAAAAGCACAAAAAAATTCTGCATTGTGATGGAAGTGTGTAGGTATTTCCAAACAAAACTATAAGTGCAATAATAAATGTACATGTGTGATAATATAAAGTGTGTAGCTAAAGTACTATTTTCGATGTGTAAGTATATAAATGAAGCAGTTCAGTACACGGCAAGCTTTCTAGTTTCTGTGCTCATGCAGTGTTGTATAAAAGGAACTACTTTCTGCAGTTTTGGGATGTGCAACGCAAGAGCAACACGCAACTCTGTTGTAATTTTAAGGTATTGTATTTTTTTGCAATCTTTTTAAAGCTATAGTCCATCATTTGCAGCCATCCGAAAAAGTAACTGGCATATTATTGTTGAAAAACATACTTGGTTGAAAGATAGTAAGTGGACTAAACTCCCTGTGAAATTAATCTTTCTGGCAAGCTATCATTTTGAAGTCAACGAAAGAAGGCCTAAATTAGTAGTTCGTTTTGTTATTCGGCGCAGCGCGCGCAAGCATTGGCACGACGCACAGGCGCGCGCGGTTGCTATAATTCGTCGGATCAGTGCGCGACATTGCGTATAGCTGCAATTCAAAACAATTCAAAACATGATTCAGCAACTTTTGATTTGAAATTGAGATCCTAGAATGCTGTTTTTCTCGGAATATACAGCTGAAGCTGAACTGAAACTTCATCAGGTTAGTTGTTCAGTATCCTTCATTAGATTTTGAACACTTTTGTTGCTTCAAACGAACAAAATGCACAAATTACAAATGATGGACTATATCTTTAAAGGCCAGATTTCAACTCGACTCGCAGACTGTGTATGGAAATGTATGCAAAAAAAAGGACTCAAATGCGACGTAAAGTTAACTTTTTTTTCCGCAGTCGTCTAAAGCCCTACAGGGTAAATAAAAATTGGAGCTCCCAATTTTTATTGTAAATCTTATTGGGAAAATAGTTTCTTTTTCGTCAATATAAGCCTTGTTTTTAAAAACCTTGTGAAGCAAAAGTCGATCCGACCAATTGGGTTAGTATGAGTATTCTCCATGTAAGTATATATAATGTATAAGATAAAATAACTTGTTAACCCCCCCCCCCCCCCCCCCCCCCCCCGCTGTATTCCAAGAAAGTAATAAAGTGACAAAGATATTATCAGTTGTCTGTTTTTTTGACATACATATTCAAAAAAAGAACCCCAGAAAACGTGATTTCCTCTTTCCATTTCAACTTTTATTGCTGAAAACTGCTCAAATTCACCTTTATACATATTTCTTGTTATGTTATTCTAATCACTGATGACAGACGGTTGTTTCTAATTTTCAGCCAAATTTCAATTTCTTATTTTCAAAACTTTTAAAGAGAATGCAAAATAATGGTCTCGACCATGATTAAGTATGCACAGAAAATGAACTGCAGTTCACATTTCGTTTTAAGTATACATTTGTACAACTTTTGCTGTAATTTACAGAAATGGATGGATTTCGGCAGGGTTGTTAGTATTTTATAACAAATATTGTTACACTGACTTGTTTAAAGTTTTGTGTTCATAGATGCTGGAAAGAAAAAAAACAAGGAAATAATGCTGTTCTTGTAGTCTGGTTCCCTGACCCTACTTCAGATCGAAACTGAGGAATTTATAGACGACAGGGAATTGTCAGGTCCGGGAACCAGACTAGCTGGCTTGCACCCATTCATGGATGGCTAACCGTTTGCAAACAAAATATTGACTAACTAAATTTGGGACAGTATTTGATAGAAGTCAGTTTTTTTCCAATGATGGTGGACCAACCATTGTTGGAAATTGATACAAAAATTCCACTTTTCTTGAAAATGACAACAGACCAGGTGCCATGATTTCAAAAGATGCTTGCAATTGAGATTCTGATTCACTTACAGTCCAGTGAGGTATTTCATAATTATTTTGCTACTTTTGTTAGTGATGTTTGCAAATGTTGAATATTACCTTTAACCGACCCCCTCCATCTGTATTTGTACCTGATGATCATAATGTTAATCTAAGACCAGACTTCAAAATCAAAATCTTAGGTAGACATAAAAAAAAATCAGGGAAGCATAACCATTTTTCCCCCCATTGAAACAGATTCAAAATATTACAGACAAGTTAGTCAGGACTACAAATGTACATGCCTATTACAGGTTTGTTTTCTCTTTTATCTAGCATCAAATGCAGACACCATTCCATACAATTTGTATACACGTACTTCACTTTTAAGCAAACAGTTACACTAGCTAAAAATATATATTGTTCTTTTTCAAATTCAGCTGACTGTAATATAGACTTCACACTCTTTTAATATGGCAAAAACTGGTAACATCAGCCCAAAGGTCGTGTGATGCATCTATTGCAAATACATGTACAGTCGAGTCTCGTTAATACAAACTCGTTCGGACCTAGCCAAATTGTTTGTTATATCAGAATTTTGTATTAAGAGGAACATCAGTCCCATTCATTGTGTACATAAATGCACAGTCGGGACCAAGGCTTTATGTTTGTTATAACCAGAATTTTGTATTAAGTGAGTTTGTACTAACGAGAGTGGACTGTAAGTACACATTTTTTCTACTAAGCATGTAAATCTGCTGAAATATTTATTTCCTGATAGCTTCAGCCTGATATTTAGCTTAGGCTGAGAAAAACATTGTGTGTATACGGTACCGTAATGCCCTACAAAATTAACCATGTAGGTAGGTTTGATTATTTGGGGGTTAATTTGTTTGTTCTTTCTTTCATACTTTGTTTGTTTACTTGAAAAGGATACCTTTAACGGTCTGTTTTATTTTATTGAACCAATAAGACGCACAAAATAGGGAAGACTTTTGGCGAAGCAATAAACAATTTGAGGTTCGCAACTTGGCCTAAAAAAATCCCAAGGGCGGATCCAACCCCCCCCCCCCCCCAAAAAAAAAAAGAATCCAATTTTTATATTTTCAAGGCGACTGTGCAATTCTTTTCCTTCATCTTTTCCTCAAAACATTGCGGGTTAAAGTGGTCAGAAATTGCCTCGGATCGCACCACAGAGCATCTAGAATCCAACAATTTTTTGGCCCCTTAAGCGGGCCCCACACCCCACACCGTAATTTTTTGGGACACACTTTTTGGGGACCAATTTGGGTTTTTTTTGGCCCCCCCCCCCCCCCAAAAATTGTGTTCTGGATCCGCCCTTGAAAAATCCAGGTAGGTTGGGTACCTTACCATAATGATAAACACACAATGTTTTACTTTTTTTTACGCCTTAGTAGAATTTGTAAGAATGCTTCAGCATAACCCTATCATCAGGATACCACAGATTAAACATGGTATTTTGTGCTAAACAAATAACATGTTTTCAAAATGCAAACCCACATTGTTACTGAAGTCATGCAATTAATATCTGCTTCAAGCGCATCACACGAGGGCGCAATACTGTTTTTACAACAATCAACCAAATGCTGCCAGGGACACAACAACCAAAGGTAAAATTTACACACCTCGCATCGGTTTTCCTCTTATTTCTTTTTCTGCCCAGGATCATTCCGGGACTTCGTCCTAAAAAGGACGGCAGTATATGTTGAAAATGAAATTGTTTTTATCAACAGAGGGCAGTATACAAAATTACAGTTTAAAATACTGGCATTTCAAGATGGTGGAAAGGTAAGCATTGCCAAACTTTTACAACCTAAATTTCTGTTATAGTTCCTATTCCCCAAGTAACTTTTTTAATTTCATAATGTCATAGGACAGTTCAAGGGTAATCCTTACTTTTAGGACCCCTTTCCTATATAGGAAGGGAAAGACTCGCCAAAACAGTCGACTAAATGACACTCAAAATTGACATTCTGATGTTTCTTGGCACATCTGAACAATTGGCAATGACACCTTGAATATCAGTAGGTTTGATATTGTGGAAAGAGGGCAGGGCTTTGATTTTAGAGGGAAATTGAGGGGTAAAAGACGACGATGACAACCAGAAAACAGACTCAAAAACCAAGATGGCAAACGTGAAAGCTCGATGCAATGAAAGCTCGATGCTTATTGGCTGAAAAAAAAATAAACATCTTATTTATTTTTTTCAGCAGCCAATCAGCATCGGGCTTTCATTAGGTAGCGCTTTCACTTGTGTTGTGAGAACTACAACATGCACGTCTGACTGCAAAAAAAGGTACGAAAGTCACATTTTCTTTTGAAAGTGCTTTCAAAATTACAACTAACAAGAGATTATATGAGGAAAAAAGACTGCATTGGCCTGCAAAAGTCATTTTGATACTGGACAGTCATCTGCAAACGTCAGTTTTGAATAGAACTCGTAAAAAAATAGAGGTGTCCTAAAGATAAGGATTACCGTTTAAGTGAAAACGTCGAAATTTGTTCACATACCTCCAAAAGTAAATGTCAGTTCCAATTCAAGAACTTAAAAATTAGGTCCAATATTTTGGCATGCCAACTCCATTACCCATTTGAACCATCTGAACCGCAAGTAATGCCTATGCAATATTTTCCTTAACTCATGGGTATAAAAAGGGACATGTTCCAATAAAAGCCTTACATTTCACACACTGCACACATTAGGTAGCCATCGTTTTAGGGAAAGGGTACAATATTTACGCAATGTCCTCGTAACATAAAGATTCTACTAGCATTTAGTACAGTAATCTTAGTATGATGACAGTGATCTAGTATATGTGTTATTTCCATTTTATTTCGTTGAGTCCTTTGGCTTTATTCCAGCTCGATAATGACGTCGTCTTCGCCAATGTTGTCGCCTACTGCACAGTGGATGGCTTTGACCTGGGGGAGGGGGGATGGGAGAAACAAGTAACAGGTAAGACGTCATTTCGTCTGAGGGCTGTTCACAAAATATACAGCGGCAGTTCGTGGAGCAATTCTGACTACACCCACAGTGCATCATCAGGTCCAAATCAAAATGTTAACATTGCCAAACGGTAACCCATTTTGTTTTCATTCATGCAACCGGTGTTCTTGTTCATATTCTGTGACTTGTGATTAAATTTGTGACTGACTCTTGACTGACTCTTGACTGACTCTTGACTGACTCTTGACTGACTCGTGACGGACTCGTGACGGACTCGAGACGGACTCGAGACGGACTCGTGTTGGACTCGTGACGGACTCGTGACGGACTCGTGACGGACTCGTGACGGACTCGTGACGGACTCGTGACTGACTCGTGACTGACTTGTGACTGAGTCGTGACGGACTCGTGACGGACTCGTGACGGACTCTGTACGGGCACGTGATGGACTCGTGACGGACTCGTGACTGCCGACTCGTGAGGGACTCGTGACGGACTCGTGACAGACTCATGACTGACTCGTGACGGGCTCGTGGCGGGCTCGTGACGGGCTCGTGACGGGCTCGTGAAGGACTCGTGACGGACTCGTGACGGACTCGTGACCGACTCGTGACCGACTCGTGACCGACTCGTGACCGACTCGTGACCGACTCGTGACCGACTCGTGACCGACTCGTGACCGACTCGTGACCGACTCGTGACCAACTCCTGACCGACTCCTGACCAACTCGTGACTCACTCGTGACTCACGCGCGACTCACTTGATTAATTTTTATCATACTTACTATTCCAGTTGAAGCAGCTGATAAGCTATTATGCATCTTCATTGCTTCCACCACGCATACTTCCTGTCCTTCAAAGACCTTCTGGCCGACCTCGACATCAATGGCATACACCTATCAAATTGCAATAGTAATAGCAAGCTTCAATAAAAAAAAAATTTAATTGTTCTGAAACAAAAAAATGACAAGGTGTCCGGGCAAGGAAACTATTACCAAACAGTTTATGTATATTTTCATCCTTACCTTTCCTGCCATGGGCGACACTACCTCCTTGCTTTGGTCCGGTTTGACTTTCTCTGGCATCAACGATTGCAGCTCAGCCGCTTCCTTCCTCAGTACAGACAGGGGAAACTGGACCGGGGGAAATAATGACAAACTATTGACTGGCTGTGAGGGCAATAGTTATTATATTGACTGTTCAATATTCTGACCTTACTGGTTATATATAAAACAAATTTCAATTGTTGGGCATGTATGTCAAAACAAATGCTTATAGCCAATACTTGTATACTGCCCCAAGTATAGAGGGCAATAGATAAATATTGACCAACAACACTAGAGGTATTAATTATTGTAAAAAGGTATTAATTATTGTAAAGAAGTCAGGTGTGTTTACAAACACAAATGCCCCACAACCGTGACTGTTCCCATGACATAACACCACTCTTTTAACATCAACTTACATGTACATGTACATGTTATACCGGTACCTTGGTCACATGGAACGTTCATTGACAGCATTAAGTGTCTTCTGTAGGTTTTATATGAATTAATCCCTAATCCCTATGATCTCATAATAAAAACAAGATTTTTATTGTTTTAGCCATTGTGACCTTGACCCTTGACCTTTCGACCCCCAATGCGATAGGCCTATTTGGATTACCAAGAACGATCCACAAACCAAATTTGAAGTTCATATGTAAAGTATTTCTCAAGTTATCGCGCTGACAAGATTTCTTTTGTTTTAGTCACTGTGACCTTGACCCTTGACCTTTCGGCCCCAAATGCAAAAGGGTTCTTAGGATTACCAAGAACAATACACAAACCAAATTTGAAGTTCATATGTTAAGTATTTCTCAAGTTATCGCGCTGACAAGATTTCTTTTGTTTTAGTCGCTGTGACCTTGACCCTTGACCTTTCGGCCCCAAATGCAAAAGGGTTCTTAGGATTACCAAGAACAATACACAAACCAAATTTGAAGTTCATATGTTAAGTATTTCTCAAGTTATCGCGCTGACAAGATTTCTTTTGTTTTAGTCGCTGTGACCTTGACCCTTGACCTTTCGGCCCCAAATGCAAAAGGCTTCTTAGGATTACCAAGAACAATCCACAAACCAAATTTGAAGTTCATATGTTAAGTATTTCTCAAGTTATCGCTCTGACACGATTTGTCCGGACCCACACACCCACCCACTCACACACCCACCCACCCACCCACGGAAGGACAAGGCGGAAACAGTATGCCCCTTCGGCTTCGCCGCGGGGCATAAAAACAAATATTGATCATTAACATACCACAGTGCCTCTGTACTGTAGCTGCATAGCTCCTGTTGCGCCATGGGATATCACCTGGAACAAAAATACAAACAAACTTCAATCCCTTGCAAGAGGGATCTATAAGAGCTATTGTCCCCTGAGAGGGCAATAGCAATTATATATTACCCTGAAAATCAGTCAATATTTACCTGCAGATGTGGGGAATAACTAGTTAGCATATAAAAACTATGTATTGCAGAGGGCAATACAGCTCGTCTATTGACCCCAAATCAGTCACTATTTACCTGCAGATGAGGGAACAACTGATGGTGAGCATTATAACATATTTGTCTCAAAGGGCAATAGTGCTTGTATATTTCCCCCCAAATCGGTCGATATTTACCTGCATATCATGCTGGGCACCATCGATGGTCGGTGAGATGATATCTTGAGAGAGATTCCATTTGCCGTCGATGGTGATGTCCTTTCCACCAATTGAAACCTGCCGCCATAAAAATGTAGTAATACTAGTTGATCCTCCACGATAATTTCATCAGCGTAACAATTTTTGCTAGGAAATGTACTGAATTCACCCAAAATCGTGCTTTAATGTGCTTTTAGTTGCATTCCAAATTCTTTCTGAAATTCTGAAATTCCTTAGAGAAAATCTTGACTTTGGAAACTATACTTGCTGCTCATGTTACCTTATACCCTGTGTCCGTTTCCCTGACTGTAGCCTCATGTTCGTTGCCGGCCACCTTCACGCACAACACCCATTCCTGCTCCATTGTGGGTGCAAGAACAATTCTGGGAACACAAGAAAATCAAGCAAACAATGAAAGCTATTATTGTATATATTTTTTTCTGCAAAAAAACCCAAAAACATAGCTTTTATCAACTAAATGAACCACATGTTTCCTTATGATTACATTTTCCGACTTGAATTGGGATAACTACAGACAACTTCTGTGACTTTTGATGCAACATGAAGACTTCAGGGGTGTGATTGGACAAAAATGAACATGTATACATGTACATGTATTATTGTACATCTACATGTACATGTATTATTGTACATCTACATGTACATGTATTATTGTACATGTACTTGTATTGATGTACATGTATTCATGTACATGTACATGCACGTATGTCCATATATAGGGCATGTATATTTTATGTACTGTAATTTTTGTAATGTTGGCAAATTTTGTCGCTTCAGTAAAGAAAACAAATGGGGGAAAAATTAGGAAAAAATGTCTGGACATTAAATAATATAATCCATACGTGATTGATTCAATAATGTCTTTTTCTGTGTGTGATGTTATTACTTTTGCATGTTTGCAGAAAGAAATGATTCACACAAAACAAATATGAATGGTGCTTAAAAGTTACTAGGAATACTTTACTAATCTTACTTTAAACTCCCAGGCTTCCAAAACATTTTTGAATTTTGTGTTGGTGGTGGCTATTTTTCAAAGCACTACTGCAGCTCAAACCGATTTCCATCCACAGTGACACAGTGATTACCAGTTCTTCCAACCATACTCTTAAATTCCTTGACAAAATCTTGCATTGTTGATAGTTGTCATCGCGGCAATATTGACACCAATGTGTTTGCGAATTGCTAGCTCACGATCCTCACTGCACGTACATGCACAATACACACACATCCACACGCAATACAAACACGAGGTGCAAACCCATTGAAAATTATTTTTAGTCTGGTCCTCAAGTACTCCACTGTGCACACTGCATTGATGTCTATCAGGTTCTTGACTGCACTGCTTATTAGACTTGTGTCACCAGTCCATCCGTTATCGTAAATTAGGGCCTATATTTCGCCAGAAGTTTTCGGGCGATATTACGGAAACAGAAAACGTTGGAAATCTGGAATCTGCATAAAATTCCGCAGACGTTAGACTAAAATCCGAAAATCTGGAAAAATCCGGGCAAATCACACCCCTGAGACTTGTGATGACTTGCACTGGCTCCCAATGATGTCTTCACAGCGCCCTGCCCCCCTTTCCTCCCTCTCCCACTTCGCCCTATTTCTGGAGGTTTCAAAACAAGAGACACACTCACCTGGTCTGGTTGAGAAATTCTTGAGCCCTAAGCACATCCTTGACAAACACGCAGCAGGCCAGAGCAGCTAGCATGCTCTCATCGTTGAGGTTGAGTTGATGCCCTAGAATCAATTCAAATCAAAAAGTTGAAAATCTAAATTCAATTATTCTTTGAATAATTTGATACTTGATGTTTTGTTCAGGTTAAAGAGGTTGTGGAATGCTCGAAGACATTTCTGTCATTTTTTGGGTATATGTAGCCTAAGGTGTGATGAAATAAAAACGACTATTGTTTCTGTCATGAAATGAGTACAAAGGGTACTTTTGAGAGCTGTTTTTCAGGTCCTGTTTCGACCCGAACGTGCAATTTGTGTAAAAGTCGTCGTTGCGGGCAGCAAACAAAACACAGTCAATCGTGACGTAATAAACAGGACTCGTTTATGCTACTCTGCATCGGGAGTCCTGTTTATTACGTCACGATTTACTGTGTTTTGTTTGCTGCCCGCAACGACGACTTTTACACAAATTGCACTTTCGGGTCGAAAAAGTCATGACAAGACTTGAAAAACAGCTCTCAAAAGTACCTTTTGTACTCATTTTATGACAGAAACAATAGTCGTTTTTATTTCATCACACCTTAGGCTACATATACCCGAAAAATGACGGAAATGTCTTTGAGCATTCCACAACCTCTTTAACAACACTTCACTGTAATGACAATCAACAGGTCTTTTCTACATTTAACATGTGTGTTGTTTTTAGGTTTTTTTTTAAAATTTCTTCTCGATATCTTATTTCAGATACTTTTTTGCAACCAACCTTTGAATCCTTCTGGGTATTCTGTGGGCAGGAATTTGGTGTCGATGTCTCCCGACACAAAGCGTGGATGAGCGATGATTTCTTGAAGGAGGGAGATGTTGTGAGTAACTCCTATATTTTTCACAAAACAAAAGAAGAAACAGAAAGTGTTGCTGGACATTTTTTCTCTGAAAAGGACCGAACACCATGGAGTTCTAGAGACAGAAACCTGCTTGATAGAGTTCTTGAGCATCAACATCAGTTAGACCACACACAGAATGGGGAGTCATTACGAAGTGCAGAGTTCTGCAGAGTGTGTAGAATTCTATTGAAACTTACCCCTAATGATGTAGTTATCCAGGGCTCTGGCCATCAGATCCAAGGCTTCTTTCCTGTCATTCCCGTATGTCACCAACTGAAAGGACCAGATAAAATACAAATCATTATAACAATGTGGCGCTCTTATACTTGTGCAGTCCTAGACCGGAGACGTTACCTCATAACACACGTGTATACATGATAAATTTTAAAAAGTGACATCATGTTGGCCTCTTTGTCTGTTGCATCTAGCCCATATAAAGCTGATATGTCATTTCCTGAGTCCAAGTGGCGGCCATTTAAAAAAAAAGCTGGCGGCCATCTTGAAAAATAGCCAGGCCGGTCGTTTTAGAAAATGAGTCGGGCGGCCATTTTGGGAAAAAAAAAAAAGGGGGCTTCCTCCTTCCTTTTTTTCAAAAAGGCAAGACACATGGTTTTTTTTTTTTTAGCCTAATGGCATATTGGTAGTTACTTGGCCTATTTCTCCGGCACACTCATGCTTTACCCTTAATATTTAAATTAGGTTGACCCCCGACAATAAACGTGCTGGTCATTGACAATAATCTGCCATTTTGAGTCTGTGTTCATACTAAGCTATTGTTTGCATGGTCCTCTCCAGAAGACCAATTTATGTGTGTGAACATTTAGATTAAAAGGAATCATCCATACTTTAGACCGTATGAATGCGAACCATTGAGAGCACACAAGTGTGTCCCCCCCCCCCCCACCTGAGCTTCACAAGCGGTCATGAACCTCCATCTACCCTTCATGCCCAGAGCCTGTACCTTGGGCCAAGTTCGGGCAAGGACCATTAGTCGACTAGTGGTTGATTTGTGACGTACCTTACGCCTGCGCACTGATAGCAACGTGCGAACGTCTCTAGTCAAACGCTGGTCAAAATGTCATCGCAAAACTTCTGGATCCTGGCTCTCTGCTTGCGTTATGAATGCGCGCGGCTATTGGTTACCAGCGAAGCAACCAACCCCAGTAGGCTGGTTCCAAATAGTCGACTAGCGTAGTCAACCACCGTCGACTAGACAGAGTTCGGGCAAACGTTAGTTAACCATTGGTCAACTATAGTCCTTGCGCGAACTTGGCCCTAGCAGTGCGAGGACCGCGTAGGCTCACCTTAGATATCATAGGATCATAGTGGATGCTAATCTCGCTGCCCTCCTGGATGCCGGTATCGACCCGGACATTGGGGACATGTTTGGGCTCCTGGTACCTGTACAGGTGACCGATGGATGGCATGCCGAAAGCCTTGTAAGGATCCTGAAAGGGGAAAAATAACATTGCATTCATTCAGTTGGTTTACTGCTTCGTTAATCTAAGGATTGGCAGGATAATTGCGTATCGGGAAACTTCAAATGCTCAGGGACGCGCCATGTCCCAAAGTTCGGCTTCTGTACATTGTCGGTTTGCACAGACTCATTGGAGGAGTTGGAGTGGAGCGGCCTCGTTTTTCCGATATTTGGTGCTCAGAAATTGTTTTAATATCCTAAAATTTGGTATCGATGTGAAGATGGTGTGATGTTCATTGGGTTCTCAAATCTCAGCTGAACGAGAATTTGATAAATAACTTCTACTCTTTGATCCTTCCGTAAACTGTCCGTCCTCTGACTAAAATGTGACCTGTTCTGTCAAAATCAGACTTTTCTGGGCATAAGGTCGAAAATGATATTTTTACATATTGTTAACATATGTTCTTTTTCCTTTTAATAGGTGGTTTAATTTTTGAAACCGGTCATTCCTGGGCAGAGTTATGCTATTTTGAAGTTTATTGTGTCGAAAAGTAGAAAACGGAGAAAATGGCCACGAACGTCACAAAACAGTTATTTCTTTAACTGATATACCTTATCAAAATCATCAAAAGTAGTATATGTAGAGTTCAAATTAGGGTTCCAAACTTTTATAATATATTTTAGACATGTTCAGGATTACAAATATGCACAAATTTGAAAATCAATAAAAATCGCCCCCGCAGCATTTTTTGGCCCTATCTCAATTTCAACCTCTGCCCAGAAGCGTCTGCTTTTGACAGAACAGGTCACAAATGTAAATCGATGGATTTTTAAATCAACAAAATGATCAATAACTAAATTTATCACTCACTATATTTAAATCAATACCTCAAGTGTAGATCCTGCATTGCACTTCAGGGTATGCACGAATGATTGATAATTTACCAATACATAAATCAATTGATCAATACCTTAGCATAGACCCTTTATTCAACCCAATGCTTCTGATGGGTAGGTCAGGTTGACTAAATGATTGATCAATTGCTCAATCAATCAACTAACCAATAAACGAATTAATCAATAAATAAATCTATTAAAGGGAATGTACATCATTGGCTTTTGCTGTAATTTTCAGAAATGAACTATTTGAGGGGTTAGTATAATAGATCAAATATTGTTACACTGACACGTTTAAAGTTTTGTGTTCGAAAATGCTGGAAAAATCAAGAAAAACAAAAATGTTCAAGTAGTCTGGTTCCTTGACTCCACTGAAGATAAAATGAATCAATTTATAGATGCCTGAAAATTGTAAGGTAAGGGAAACAGTCTAGCTGGCCTGCACCCGTTCATGAACATGTAACCAATAGCAAACAAAATTTGGACTGAAAAAAAGGGTGAAGTTGGGGCAGTAGTTGAAAAACAGTTAGGTTTTCCAACGGTGGTCGGCCGACCACCGTTGGAAATGTATACAAAAATACCATTTTCTTGAAAATGACTTCACACCAGGTGCCATTATTTTACAGGATGCTTTAGACTGTCATTTACCAACATCCTAGTAAGGTATTTCGTAAAAACTTGGTAGTTTTATTTTTCGAAGTTTGCAAATGTTGTATATTCCCTTTAATCATTACCTCCGCATAAACCCTGCACTCAACAGCCCAGCCTCTGATGAGTACGTCGGACTGCTTGACCTGCAGCGGATAGCCCTTGGCAGCACGGATCATTTCCTGGACGATGTCCACTCCGGTGATGCATTCTGTGATTGGGTGCTCAACCTAATAGCATTTTAAAAATAACAAATAATATGAGCCAAATTTTAGAGATTCTTCATTTGATTTTGGACATTACGATTTAATAATTGATTTGGATGTCCCAGATGAAGCTGAAGCTAGGACAAAACCAATGTTTGAAAAATGTTTGAATATTAAGTGTTCAGCTCCGGCTAATAATAATAACAGATAATTTATAAGGCGCACAGTATCTGGAGAACCATTCAAAGGCGCCGGTCACGAGAAAATCACTGTGGTTTAAATGATAGATTGAAAAGATGAGTCTTAAGATGGCGTTTGAATGATGACATATCAGTTGAGTCCCTTAACTCGTCTGGCAAGGAATTCCAGAGACGCGGTGCACAGCTTGAAAAGGCCCGGTCCCCGTAGCTTGCCAGACGAGTTTTGGGAACAGAAAGTATCTGTGATGAAGATCTGAGGCCTGATCGCAGGTTGCGAAGTTGTAACAGGTCTCGTATGTAGGATGGAGCTAATCCATGAAGGGCTTTGAATGTAAGGAGCAGGATTAACAGGAAGCCAATGAAGATTGAACAACAGCAATTTTTTTTTTCATTTCAGAAATTGGGGGATGATTATTTCTCCTAATTTCTCAAGGAAACGTTTCAGCATAAAATGCAAAATAACATTTACAAAAATATTGTCCAAGACTCACCTGCAATCTGGTGTTCATCTCCAAGAAGTAAAAATTCCTCTGAGAGTCAACTAGAAACTCCACAGTTCCTGTGAAGAAAAAAAAAGGATGAATTTTTGCCAAAATGAGGTCATTCTAAAATGAGATACTGACTCAGAACAAAATGTGAATGTGCAGGCATTTCAGTTCTAGCAACTTATGGCTGTGATGCTAACTAAGGGTTAAAGAAAAGTGCCATTTGTTAATAAACAAAGCTGAAGACATGAGGGACATAGTTTGGTCTATTCCATACCTGCAGTGAGGATAAAAGGGAAATAGTTGATCTCTTCCCTACATGCACTGAGGATAAAAGGGAAATAGTTGGTCTATTTCATACCTACATTGAGGATAAAAGGTAAATAGTTGGTCTATTCCATACCTGCAGTGAGGATAAAAGGGAAATAGTTGATCTATTCCCTACATGCACTGAGGATAAAAGGGAAATAGTTGATCTATTCCCTACATGCACTGAGGATAAAAGGGAAATAGTTCATCTATTCCCTACCTGCAGTTAGGACAAAAGGGAAACAGTTGATCTATTCCCTACCTGCAGTGAGGATAAAAGGGAAATAGTTTATCTATTCCCTACATGCACTGAGGATAAAAGGGAAATAGTTGATCTATTCCATACCTGCCGTTTGGATAAAAGGGAAATAGTTGATCTTTTCCCTACATGCACTGAGGATAAAAGGGAAATAGTTCATCTATTCCCTACCTGCAGTTAGGACAAAAGGGAAATAGTTGGTCTATTCCCTACCTGCAGTGAGGATAAAAGGGAAATGGTTGGTCTATTCCCTACCTGCATTGAGGATAAAAGAGAAATAGTTGGTCTATTCCATACCTACATTGTAAGTAAATAATTGGTCTATTCCATACCTGCAGTGAGGATAAAAGGGAAATAGTTTGGACTATTCCATACCTACATTGAGGATAAAAGGGAAATAGTTGGTCTATTCCCCACCTGCAGTGAGGATAAAATGGAAATAGTTGGTCTATTCCCTACCTGCAGTGAGGATAAAAGGGAAATAGTTGATCTACTCCCTACATGCACTGAGGATAAAAGGGAAATAGTTCATCTATTCCCTACCTGCAGTTAGGACAAAAGGGAAATAGTTCATCTATTCCCTACCTGCAGTTAGGACAAAAGGGAAATAGTTGATCTATTCCCCACCTGCATATAGGACAAAAGGGAAATAGTTGATCTATTCCTTACCAGCAGTGAGATAGTTGACCGCCTTAGCTAGCTGCACAGCCTGCTCCCCCATGCTCTTTCTAGTCTCTTCATCTAAAAATGTACTGCAATGGCACAACCAAAATGCAAACAACAAATAGTGTATAAACACGGAGCTGTCAATCGTTTTCAGAATATTGTGCATTCTCTAAAACAGAATATTTTCATTGTTGCATGCACTGTTGGAATACTGAACTACAAGCTTTGTTTTCTATCTGTAAAAATATTTGTGACTTTGAAAAATTTTGGGTGTATTTTTTTGTTGTTGTTCATCTTACCTTGGGGCTTCCTCAACCACTTTTTGATTCCGACGCTGTATGGAGCACTCTCTCTCATTAAGGTAGATTGTGTTGCCATGGCTATCGGCTAAAATCTGAAAATGTACGAGTATTGCAGAAAAATCAGAATATGATGGGCAAATTTACGTTTGCAGAGACTTGTGTTAAAGTCCATCACAAGTGAATCGTAGGGAAATCACAAGACAGGTCACAAATCTGTCACAAGTCAATCATAGTCAATCACAAGTCACTCACAAGTCAATCACAAGTCAATCACAAGTCAATCTCAAGTCATTTACAAGTCAATCACAAGTCAATTACAAGTCAATCACAACCACAATTCAATCGCAAGTCAATCGCAAGTCAATCACAAGTCAATCACAAGTCAATCACAAGTCAATCTCAAGTCAATCACAAGTCAATCACAAGTCAATCACAAGTCAATCACAAGTCAATTACAAGTCAATCACAAGTCAATCACAAGTCAATCACAAGTCAATCACAAGTCAATCGCAAGTCAATCGCAACTCAATCGCAACTCAATCGCAAGTCAATTGCAAGTCAATCACAAGACAATCACAAGTCAATCACAAGTCCATCACAAGTCAATCACAAGTCAATCTCAAGTCAATCACAAGTCAATCGCAAGTCAATCACAAGTCAATCACAAGTCAATCACAAGTCAATCGCAAGTCAATCGCAAGTCCATCACAAGTCAGGTCACAAATGGACGCTTTTGCAGTTTGGAATGGCTTATTATTTGACTTGAGACTGGATCGTGACTTTTGGACTTGTGATTGACTTGTGATTGACTTGTGATTGACTTGTGATTGACTTGTGATTGACTTGTGATTGACTTGTGATTGACTTGTGAGAACTTTGGCTATGATACTCACTTGCATTTCAATGTGTCGTGGGTCGTCTATGAATCGCTCAATCAACAGACGATCATCGCCGAAGCTGGATGCTGCTTCTTGGGATGACAGACGAAATCCCTCTCTGAAACGACGGAATTTAAAATCTCAAAATGAATATGAAACAATATGAAACTTATTGACTGCTTCAACGGGTATAGTCAACCAAAGAGTACTACTTTTGTTCTTGTTTACCTCGCTTCATCGTCATTCCAAGCAATTCTCATTCCTTTCCCGCCACCGCCAGCCGACGCCTTAAGCATAACCGGGTAACCTACAAAAACAACAAAAATAATTAACAGTGCAGGTAAATTAATTAGTCTGGTGCACTCCACACTACTGACAAATAGTACTGAAATGTCCGAGACGCACTGTATTGTGCATCACTTATATTGACGAGCGCGGGATTCGAACCCGTAAGCCTGAAAGGAATGGGTTCTCACCGATCTCATTAGCCTTCTTGACGGCCTCTGCCTCATCTTTGATGACCCCGTCGAACCCCGGGATGGTGTGCACCCCGGCGTTCTTGGCCAGGATCTTACTCTCGATCTTATCCCCCATGGCGCGGATGGCGTCGGTTCCCGGACCAATGAAGACCACCCCTTCATCGGCGAGCCTCTTGGCAAAGTCTTTGTTCTCCGACAGGAAGCCGTAACCCGGGTGAACCTGTTCAAAGATGAAAAGAGGGTTAGAACCTGCAACCTTTGGCATGCGATACATCTAAGCAACCACACGGGGAACAAAGGAAATGGACAGAAGCAGGATTAGAACCTCCAACTTTCAGAGCACCATCCTGGTGCTCTACCAACTGAACTGCTCAGCCTTCAAATCAACCAGGATGGCGCAAACAAAACAGACAAAAGCTGAATTAGAACCTCTAACCAACGAAATATCCATACAGATGCTCTACAAACTGAGCTACTGAGCCCTCAAATCAACCACATGAGGACAAAGAAAATAAACCGAAGCTGGATTCGAGCCTCCAACCTTTGAAATACCGTCCTGGTGCTCTACCCACTGAACTTCTCAGTCATTATAGCAACTGCAAGGGAACCACTTTTTTTTTTTGAACTCTACAACATTCTAAGATCCTTCCTTTAAAATCCACCTGGATATTTTGGAAGAATTACAGAATTTAAAAGTCTTATTTAACTGAAAGTGTAATAAGACGGTGCCATTTGTTTCTGCGCAGTGGTGGACCTTGAATGACACAGGAGGGTTAGTAGCAGGAAGACCTAGGATGCTTTTTGTCTACTTACAGCCTGGGCACCAGTTTCTCGAATGACCTCCATGATGCGGTCCACATTGAGATAGCTCTCCCTGGAGGCTGCCGGGCCTACGCACATCGCCTCGTCTGCCATCTCAACATGCAGCTGTTTCAACGTTAAAAAAAAAAAAATTGTTCAAATTCTGGTTTAGCACCGATCATCTTTCTGACTTGCAAGTAACAGTTATCCAAGAGGAGACACCAGCCACTTCGTCTGACCAATAGCAACCCAGCATGTCCCAATTTCACGGACCGAGGTCCAAGTTTTGAGAGCTGCTAAGCTAAGCACGGGAAGTACTTGCTAACCAAAATGGGTTACCAGCCAAAAAAGTCACGTGATGTGTACATTGCTTTTGCCTAGCTCCCTGCTCATTCTGGCTTAGCTTCTCCGACGTACTTACCGAGTTGGCATCAGCCTCACTGTAGATGGCCACCGTCTTAATACCCATCAGGCGGCAGGTGTGCATGACACGGCAGGCAATCTCACCGCGATTGGCGATGAGAATCTTGTCAAAAGTCTGTGGAAAAGAAAACAAAATCACACATCAAAATCAAATCCACCAGATTTTACTTTGGGGATTTTGAAGCTTTGTAAGTTTGAAAACGCTATATTAAATTAAATAGCAAGAGCCACAACTGTAGTTGGGACGGTAGTCGGGACGATCCAAACTGCAGTTGGGATGATGCTGTAGTTGGGATGATACTGTAGTTGGGATGATGCTGTAGTTGGGATGATACTGTAGTTGGGATGATACTGTGGTTGGGATGATGCTGTAGTTGGGATGATGCTGTAGTTGGGATGATGCTGTAGTTGGGGCGTAACTATAGCAACACCCAGCATACAAATATCAAGGTTTTTCGATAACAATAGCTGAGAAATCTCAAGTTAAACTTGTGTTTTACAGTGTGTTTCCCAACAACAATATTGTACAAAATTAGAACCCGTCTCACATCCAGTGATGACAAATGTACAGTTGCCATGGCAACTGAACACTCACCTGCTCATCTGGGTTGATTTTTGTGGTCGTGTAGATGGAATGGTTTCTCCACAGTGCAGCGCACGGAGCATGCCTGTACAGAAGCTGCAGATATTGTGAACAGAAACTGATACCAATTAATTTTCAAGTCTGCACACACAAACAAATTCAAAAAATGTGTCTGTAGGTAAAAACGTTAATTGTAACAGAGTTTGATTAAGTGGGAAACTTATTATAAATAACAATTATATTCACATCATTTTCTCAATTAAATTTGCCATCGAACATATCACAATTTGCATCCACATTTTACCATATAGTCGTGTTCCCTAACGTGGCGCACTTCGAAGCTTACCCGGCTATCCTAATGTAGTGTTGCCAAACCTCTTTGTTGACAAACCTCAAATTCATGCAGTAAAATACTAGTACTTTTACCTTATTAATGCTTGCTCTGTGAACAATTTCGGTTTCATAAAATTTAATCCGACATTCAAAAACGGTGGCGTCCGGAAATTGGGCACAAATTGGCGGAGTGTTCCCTAACGTGGCGCACTTGAATAAATCTCGAAAAATTCCAAATCAACATTTAAGAATTTCTGTAAACTTGATAAATTCTGATAAATAATTATTATCTCTACTTACATACCCAGCCAGATGTTTGTCAAAAAATTGTTTTCTTATTTTTCGGGGCATTTTCAAAGGGTTCACTTTGCACTTGCAAATAAAATCGGAAAATCACGCCTAAATAAATTTTTCTTCCAACTTTGTTACGGGTAAATAAACTCGCGATTTATGAACAGGAGTGATTAGAACTTGATGAAATTTCACTTTCTGTGAAATTTCAGTTACAACTTTTACTCTAGGTAGCTAGCGCTACAGGCGAAAAATCAAAGTGCGCCACGTTAGGGGCCGCGCCACGTTAGGGTACATTTCTCCATGGGTACATCAACAATACTTATCTCGTTTATCAATGATCAGTCTGAAAAATAAAATCAAGTTGAATATGACATTTTTATATAAAATTGTAGGGAAAGAACTTGCAATAAACATGATAAATGCGTCATATGCCTAGTAGTAGTATTACTATTAAAGCGTATAAGCCAAGGTGAGGCAAAAATTGCCAATCAAATGTGCCAAAGACAGATTTTGAAAATGCATGACAATGATGTAACACAATCTACCAGTACCAATACCAGAGTAAAAAAATTGGGCCAAGGGGGGGGGGGGGGGGGGGACCGAGGGCAACATGAGGGCAACTTCAGCTCAGCCTCAGGCAAAAAAGGCAATTAGGTCAAGCAGATACATTCATTATTTTAAGGCCGATTTGAAACTTTTTGCTCATCACTTGAGCAAGTGAGCTCAGAAAACTCAACTCACCTTGCTGCCTACTGCAACTTTGCTTCTGGGGTACTCGATCCCCCGCAAATACTGCAAAATGCGAGACGTTCTGAAGCCAGTTGCCATTTTCCTGTAGTTTAATTAGCTGCTGGCGATCGCATGGATCGCACGTAGCTAGCTAGCTCGGGTATATGGTACACGTCCGGTAATTTTAAAGAGCGCCACCAATCGCTAACCTTCCAGAAAGTGGTCTGATCTTCGCCTCTCCATTTAGTGTACCCTTTTTTTTTTCATTGTCGATTTTGACTGCCTGCGTTTTTCATGGCACTTATCGGAGGTCGTAAAGCCAGACTAGTTCCAAGTTGCTGTTGTATTAGAAATTGCACCCCAAAATTATTTAAAGATTAATTCCAGTTCTTTTTCGTTGTATAATACCCTCCATGATAATACCAATGCAATACTTCCTTTTTTAAATTTTTTATTTTATTAAAAATTAAAAAGGCCATCTCAATAATTTTTTACATCATTTGAATTGATTTTTGCACCCTTTTGTAGACTTACATTGAGGCTTGATATTCTCTAGGTAACCGGAAAAATGAGCTCATGACGTTTTTCATGACGGAAAGCACGGCAAAATCCCGGGCGGTCGCGCTCATGTTTACCAGTTATTTCCAGCTGATTTTTCCTTCATTTCAACTGGAAGGGAACTTGCAAAGGGCGTAGCTCCACAGAAAGGTACATCCTTCGCCTTTTAGTTATCAGTAAAAGCGAAAATAATGTATGATCTGTGAGTGTAGTGCCGGGATCCGTGCAGTGTTGAAACTTGTCCCAAAATTGTTCCGAGTACGTGCTTTCCCTATGCGTTTCTCAACATTGGGAAATTTATAACCGAACCGCATGACATGACGGACGTCATGATATTGACCCATTAGATTTTGAGGTAGCCCTTTAATGCTGAATAGGCCAGTTGTTTCTTATTCCATGGAGGTAATATACTAGAACAATTTAAAAAACAAATTGTTGGTTAGCATCCTTTTGATCTCAATTTAATTTCTGCATATCGCATGTTCAGGGTCGGTCGGGAAGTTTTTTTCTTATACTTTATAGTGGATATATTGCCGGAGGTAATGCTGGCAAGCTAACGTTTAAAGGTTTGCCGGCGGCAATCCATATCAACAGAGGGCGCTGTACTCTCTAAGATATGGCTGAATTATAACTATTAAATAACCACCAACAGTTGTGTAGCATACTTGGTCATGTTGGTCTAGTGGATAAGCAATGGATCTCATGAGCGGGAAGACCCGGGTTCGATACCGATCCCCGCTGGCGACATTTCTAAGGTTTTTTTCCCCATCCCAAAAAATAAGAATATTCTTCTTTTATTATTTTAACATGTCTCAAACATTTTATTGCAGGGTATTACATTTTCTTTTTTAGGATTTGTGGCTCTTGAGGATTTTTTTTAAAGGGAAATAAAGTCCGAAATTGTAAAATGGTCTGATTCCCATCTTGTGAATACGAAGTTACAACGATAATGTTGGCATAGAGCCAGACTAAAATTTGTCACCGGAAAATGTCCAAGTACAAAAAAAAGTAACTGCGCATGTTCAGTGCCTATCCGGCAAGCTAACGTTTACTAAAGGTTTGCCGTCTCCGGCAAAATACCCACTGCCTTTTTTTTGGCAAGTGCCTAGTGTGAATGAGAGAGTGAGATCTTAACCATATTTAGTCACTACATGATCATGTACTTGCTGTTTACAGCATTGCATAAACCCTAGTCAGACCCAAGGCTTTTGCTTAGTAACGATTGGTGGGATTCTGCCTCCGGTTGAATATATTCCCAGTTACTTGTAAACAGATGGTAAAGGGGGAGAATTTGACCAGATAAGGAAAACCTGCACTGCCTGGTGTAACTGAGAGAGTGAGATCGTTACTTATAACATGACCATGCACTTACTTTGTTTGCAGCATGTAATCAACCCCAGTGTTCTCCAACCTGTAAAAATAACCTGGTGCCCTGCCAAGCTTTCTGAGGCACCGGCCAAGCTTCAAAAGCTGCCGCCAAACTTAAAAAGTTGCCCGCCATGCTTTAAAAAAAAAGGAAAAAATATAAAAAAGACAAACAAGTGGGACTACCCTTACCCCCGAGGGTATATTTTGGCCAGAAACTCTGCCAAAAGCAGTAACATGCAACACTTGTCAAACTGACAAGCCTGCCCATTGTAGCAATCCATCGGGTCAAAAGTCTCAAGGCCAAACTGCCTCAGAGTCCCAGGTCACTGATGTGTTAAAAAAAGATGATGCTGAGCCAGTATTGTACTTAATTGTTAGTGTTACTGTGTTAAAATGGCCTCAAAGCTGTTATCCGTACATAAATTACATGTTCATCTGCAAATAGCGCCTCCTAGCGTAAAGAAATGTATGACTGCAAATAGCACCCCTAACATAATTATAACGCCCCCCCCCCTCCACTTTTTGACGGCGCACCGACCATTAATTTTGGAGAACACTGCTAGTCAGACCCAAGGTTTGTGCTTAATAGCAAGTGGTCAGATTCTCCCCTGGTCGAAAATACCCCCTCTTACCCTACACCAACTCGAGATTCAGTACAGATCGATAAAATAAGATGATGGCACCGGTAGGCCTAGCCCGGGTTGGACTCCTCTGTTGTGTACACACGACAGAGTCCAGGATATAAAGTTCTGCTGCCATAGCGAAAAAAAAACCATCCCGAATTACAAAGATGCTTGGCTTAGAAAAAGTAAATATGTCCATGGGCGACATGTTTACCGAAAATAAATCACATATGCACCCTTCCGTTGTAAATATCCTTAGTACGAACTTCTTGTGTGAAGACTTGCACATCCATGCACCATAGTTTTAATTTTCTTGGCTATGGCAGCAAAGTTCATACCCTGGACGTCAGTCGTAATGCAATGAAGACGTCGTCCAACCTGGGCTTATGGTAAGCCTACTAACCCACCTCACTCCTCCAAAATACTCCTTGCGGTTTTGGAGGATTCTAGAGGATTGAGGATGAATGGTGATTGAATCAAATGAGGATTCTGGAGGATTGAGGATGAATGGTGATTGAAGCACATGAGGATTTTGGAGGATTGAGGATGAATGGTGATTGAAGCACAAGAGGATTTTGGAGGATTGAGGATGAATGCATTTTGAGGCAGGACTGTCTGATGATTTTGAAGGATTTGGCGTTGGTTATCCTTCATTTAAACACGAGTGCAAAGTTTTGGGATGAGGAGGATTTTGGAGGATTGAGGATGAATGCATTTTGAGGCAGGACTGTCTGACAATTTTTTAAAATTTAGGCGGAGTTGCAAAATTTTGGAGGATTTTGGAGGATTGAAAATGGTTGTAAGCAACAAGGGCCTAGGGGGTTAGGGTTAGTATTAGCTAAGGTAGGCCAAGGCGTATTACTGTTTTTTGGAAACAATAACCAGCAAATTTCCTTGAAATTGATTGACTTTTTTATTATTGAAAGACTGTACCGATGTACTGGTATGACATCAAGCGTCCGACGTCTTCAATCGCCACTCACGACTATCCCCCAAGCATCATCAAGTGTTATCGAAACGTAAACACACAAGCATGACAGTAGGGATGCGAGGCAGCCCCACAGGGGGCGGGGACTCGGGGTCAGAGGGCAACCCGGCCACAGACACCAACCCACAGCAGCCGAGTCAGCCCCAGACGCCAGGCCAGCAATCGCAGCCGGTGACGCCCCCCAGTCCTCAGCAACCACATACACAGGTACGTGTCCAGCTGGTCTGAAAAGTTCCCTTCAGAATCCCCAAACCGATCAAAGACACAAATAAACAAGTGCCTGGTGTATTTTGCAGGGCTTAAATTTTTATGTAAAAATCCACTAGACAACAAGGCTAGTAGTTAAACAATGGTGCCAGAAGTTATTTCACTAGATCAGGACACATTTGCAGTTTAACCTTCCTGTCCTACTGATATAACTGTTGCAGATCGTCAAAAAATCTATCCACATCCTCTCCCGTAGCTTTTGTACAGGCTGGTCACCAACTGCTAGAACCCCTATGGATTAAAGATATAGTCCATCATTTGTAATTTGTGCATTTTGTCCATTTGAAGCAACAAAAGTGTTCAAAATCTAATGAAGGATACTGAACAACTAACCTGATGAAGTTTCAGCTCAGCTTCAGCTGTGTATTCCGAGAAAAACTGCATTCTAGGATCTCAATTTCAAATCAAAAGTTGCTGAATCATGTTTTGAATTGGGCCTGAACTCAGCGTCCGAGACACGTTCTCACTGAGCCGATTGCAGCTACGCGATGTCGCGCACTGATCCGACGAATTATAGCAACTGCGTGTGCGTCGTGCCAATGCTTACGCATGCTTCGCCAAATAACAAAACGAACTACTAATTTAAATTTCCTATGGTGCGTCTTAAGAAGCACCGTTGGAAAGGCCTTCTTTTGTTGATAACTTCAAAATGACAGCTTGCCAGAAAGAATAATTTCACAGGGAGTTTAGTCCCCTTACTATCTTTCAACCAAGTATGTTTTTCAACAATAAATACGCCAGTTACTTTTGGGATAGCTGCAAATGATGGACTATAGCTTTAAACCGTATAACTGTCAAAGCCTGTAGAAGGGCTTTGATAGATACATGTAGGCTGACCATTACAGCTTGTGTAGCAGCCATTTTAAAGGGTGATGCCTGTGTTTGGCTGGAATGCATGAGTGAACCTTTCGTGCCTTCATTGTTACTGAGTTAAATCCATCATTGACAGGCACTCACCAGCGCTGACCCACCACATCTATCAATGTCAGTCAAGGCATGGTACCCTCAGTTAACAAAAGTACCACAGCCTGTCAATTGTACCAATATGAGGCCAGGGCCCAATTTCATGGCGCTGCTAAGCACACGATTATCTGCTAACAGAGCCTCCGTCTATTTCATGGAGACCGTAAGCATAAGCACAGCAAAAGGCATGCTTACCTCAGTGGAAAAATTTGCTTAACTTAGTGACGTAACAATAGAAATCTCCATGCACCCGCGACCGTTAGCACACACACGCCGTGAAATAGTGCTTAAGGTTAGCACATTTTTCTGCTATGCTAAACACAACTTTTCTGCTAACTGTTAAGCAGCGCCGTGAAATTGGGCCCTGTTAACTGTTAAAAGCTGTCACCTGATAGATTTGTGGAAGCTTACTGTTTCTACGCTGTTCTCTTCCCACAGGGAGGCAGCGGCGACAGCGACCTGGAGGTGGATTTGGAAGAGCCCGAGTTCCCCTTAGAGGAGCTGAGCCGATTAGACGACATGATCAACAAGCCGCGCTGGGTGGTACCCGTCCTACCCAAGGGAGAACTGGAGGTTCTGCTGGATGCTTCAATAAGTCTCTGCAAAAAAGGTAAGAAGAGTCTTGATATGTGGGCCTTTCCACATTACCGTGAACTGTATGTTCCTGAGGCACACGTCACATTTGAGTACATGCGTGTTGGTCAACTGTCAAACATTAACCCTAACTCCCTAGGTTTTTTTGCTAGGATGTAACCTCAATCCTGCAAAATCCTCCAACTGCCTCCATGTAAAAATAGCATACAGCCTCAACCCTGTAAAATCCTCCATTATTTCTTGAATGTGGTCCTTGGAGGGGTGACCACTGCCTCAATCCTGCAAAATCCTTTGGCAATCACTGTCAATATGTTGAGGCACAGCTAGTGGCATCCTGGAGCAGTGCGGAGGATTTCAAGTATAATATAGGCCTAAATTTATATATGGCTGAGCATAAACAACACAAGGTCCGGCCCAAGACCAAATGGAGGATTTGGGAAGGTTAGGAATAATCACGGCTGTGATTGGTAAAAAAAAATCAATTTAATTTCCTAACTTTGTGTTATCAACTTTCTATTCCCAGGTACCGATGTCCGCAGTGAAGCGTGCCAGCGATTTTTCCGAGAAGGTCTCACCACATCCTTCACCAAGATCTTGACTGATGAGGCCGTGAGTGGCTGGAAGTATGAAATCCATGTAAGTTTATTTGTAAAAAAGTTGGAAAGGTAGTAGTTAAAAAAAGTCTTGTCACGAGCCAATATAGCCCATCAGGTCGGCGTTATCTCCGGCTTCAGTGGCATGAAACGACTGAGAATATTTCTATTCTCCCTGGATGGGATGCCAGTCCATCGCAGGTTACTCCCCAGCTAATGCCCGTACCCATTTATACTCCTGGTTGGAGAGAGGCAAGTTGGGGTGAATTGGCTTGCCCAAGGACACAACACATGGCCAGCAGCTGGATTCGAAACCCCTGACCCTTTGATCTTAAGTCACGAACCCTAACCACTAGGTCGCACTTCCTCAAAAATTGTGAAAGCCATCCAAAACTTTAAAAATCTGACACAATTTTTCTGACAAGTTCGGACAAACTCAATGTGAAACACAGGGATTTTTTTTGTATTGAAGTCAGACTCGGTATTCAGTACTCGGTTGGTTCTTCTCCTAAGGACTTCCAGAAGGGAGTATAACTAGGAGGCCAGAAACACCGGGGCAAACCCCTTCTCTTAGCGATAAGTGTTACTGGGTTCTTTTACGTGCGTTAGGCCTTATACAACACACGGGACCTCCGGCTTAACGTCCCATCCGAAAGACGAAGCAATAATGGTTAAGTGCCTTGCTCAAGGGCACAAGTGTCCGAGCCCGGGCTCGAACCCACGCCACTGTTGCCTCTGAAACACCAGAGCATGAGTCCGGTGCTCTTAACCGCTAGGCCGTGACACTCCACTAGACGCCTGAGAACAAAGTAAAATGGCTCAAAATTTGTGTCTGACCGTTTTAATATTGTCATTTTTTTTGTTTTGTAGCGATGCATTATGAAGAACACAGAGCGTCTCATCCTGCTGTGTCTAGTCAAGTTAGAACAGGACTGGTTCCCACTCTTAGATCTTCTGGCGATGGCCCTCAACCCCCTGTGCAAGTAAGTTGTTAAAGGGGCACTAGGTCCTGAAATCCCCGAAAATTTTATGTTTTGGATTGTTTACTTAGCCTATTTCAAACATCTGGTTGAAAGGAAACAAACCTTATATCTTACCGTTCCCGAGAAAAGACGAAAAAAACCTGCTTGTTTACATCGGACATGACGGAGTACGAATACTTTTTTCGTGTCGTTCTCAGTGTACGATATACAAGTTGTGTGTCTCGGGAACAGCGCGCGGTGACCAATCACCAATGCAAAAAAAAGTGGTTTCTTCAACGTCCGCAAAAGGCGAACACGATACGAATGAAATCACAACTAGCATCCAAACGGCTCGAATTTATGGGGTCGCAAAAGTGGACCCCGAAATTCGTTCTCGCACACATAATACAGGAATAACACAAAAACGCCCAGTTTTGAAAGGATAGTTGTGTGGATGTTTATATCCTACTTTTAAATGTTCTTTCCGATTAACATCATCTCGTTCAAAGCGTGTTTTGTAGCCCAATTGGGCTGTTCCAGGACCTAGTGTCCCTTTAAGCAGTGCCTTCAGATAGTCAGATTCGGACTGATGCTTTTGGGTAATCATTTTGGGAGAAATAGGTGGAGGAAAAAAACTGATTATTTGTATCGATTTTGCAGTGTGATTTCATATAGTGATTTTGAGCCAATTCTAATATAACACAAAGTGAGGATTTCCTTCATATTTTGTAAAATATCAAATGAAGGTATTTGAATACCTCATTTGAATTAATCATGACAACTTTTTTTATTCCAGATTTCATGTTTACAACGGCACCCGTCAATCAGAATCTGTCCCGCAAGGATCCCAGGTCAGTATCACTCTGAGAAAATCTGATCATTAAAAAATACTAGAAAGTAAAAAAAAACACCAAAACTTCATGTTTTATGAGATTGTCTTTTTAAAAGGACTCATGAAAAAATAAAATTAATAAATGTGTTTATAAATGAATTGTTTCACAGATGAACAGTAATGAGCTATATGCAAGACCCCCGGATCTCAGAACTCCGAAAGTAAGTCCGATTTTCAGGAATTGTTGGGTTTTTATTGGTGGTTGAACAAAAACGGTCTTAGAATTCCTTAAAAGAGACAATAAATGTATAACTGTTCACGTATTTTTACATGAAAAAGAAAACAAAATTATGATAGTCTCCATCACTCTGATAAAGGTCATAAATTTGCTAAGTTTGGAAAATTTGTGTTGAGCTCAAAAAAAGGTACCAGCCAAAATCACATGTAATGTACATTGATTGATTGGTTCTCCGCTAATTTTTTTGGCTTGGTGCATAATTGGCTTAGCAATATCTTAGCAATATGTATGAGTTTCTTTTCAAACAGAAAAGGAATTCCGTCCATTAACCCTGCTATGCCCAGTGCAGTTGGCAGAGAATTATCAGACCTTTCAAAACATTTTAAAATTGCCTGACTAAAAGGGTTTTGAAAGGTGAAATAGTGCTGGAACTTTGAAACTTTTCGAAAGGTTTCGGAAGGTGAAGCAACTCTGTGGGCAAATTCAGTAAGTTGCCCTTCAATACCTTTCGAAAGGAATTGAAAGGTGTGGTAGTGCAGTAACAATAAATTCTGGAGGATTTTAAAAGGTCCTGCATTTTTTGTCCTCCAATTTGCCAGAACCCAGATTTTGAGGTGTTTTGAATGGTCAAACCACAGGAAAGTTAATCATTTTTCTCCTTTTTTTTTTTGGCCAGGGCTGGCTCGTTGATCTGATCAACCAGTTCGGCCTCCTGCACGGTTTCGACACTCTCAAGAATCGGTTTCTGAGCGAGACGCAACCCCTCAACGTGCCGATAATTCATGCTCTCGTCAGGTCAGTGAAATAAAAATGCTGACGATAGGCGGCAAGATAAAATGAGTTAGCGTCCACTTAGCACACACAAGAATCTGTTTTCCTTGCCGATTTGGTGTGTGGATCAACTTGTTTCAGTGTACATAATAAACAAAAGTTGCTATAATATACATCTGGTTATTTCTGCGTATTACACTGTTAAAATAATAATAATAATAATCGGCATTTAAGAACGCTCTTATTAGTAAACTAAATCACAGCGCTTACAGTATTATTATTACCCCTGATCATTGGGCCAATAAAACATTCCATATACCATCTCAGCTCCCTGGGGAGTATACAGCTCGATGCAGCCTGTTAGGCGCAAGCAAGCTTATTCAATCACAATGACCATCTCTACCTTCACAGGTACCCATTTACTCCTGGGTGGAGAGAAGCAATGAGTGACAAAGTGCCTTGCTCAAGGGCACACGCACCATGACCCCGGCTGGACTCAAACCCACAACCCGCAGCTTTACCCACAGGCCACGAATCCAGTGCCCTTAACCACGAGGCCACAGCACTCCAGAATAAAAAAATAATTAAAAATTTAAAAAATCCTACATCGCAACAGCTGACAGGTATTTCCGAAACCCGGGTTTGTCTATAACTTTGGCTCCAGACTCCATGTTCATTATTGTAGGCCCCTACAAAATTGAATTCTGTGAAAGAAAATTTGCTTCAATGAATCACCGAAAAGGGCGTTGTTATTTTACCAACACTTGTGTATTTGTTTCTTTAAGGGAATGTACAACATTTGCTTTTGCTCCAATTTTCAGAAATAAATGGATTTGGAGGATTAGTATGTTATAGCAAATATTGTTAAAATGACTTGTTTCACGTTTTGGGCTTGTAGATGCTGGAAAAAAAATAAGAAAATCATTCATTTTCTTGTAGTCTGGTTCCCTGACCCCACTTAAGATGAAACGGAGAATTTATAGACTTTGGGGGAATTGTAAGTTCAGAGAATCAGTCTAGCAGGCTTGTACCCCTTCACAGGTGTGTAATCAATTGCAAATAGTTTTTGCAGCAAAGAGTTTGCAAGCAGTTTTTGAAAAAAAGCCAGTTTTCTCCAACGCTGGTCGGCCGACCAGCATTGGAAAAATATGATTTTTCTTGAAAATGTTAGCACACCAGGAGCCACAATTTTACAGGATGCTTTGGACTGTCATTCCCTAACAATCCAGTAAGGTATTTTATGATAATTTGATCATTTCGTTTTGAGATTTTTGCAAATGTTGTATCTTCCCTTTAATCTACTAGGAGAGTTTTAATAATTGTGTCCGTTTTTTTTTATTTCTCGACGCCTAGGCCATGGGGCCAGTGCTTCGAGCTCCTGACTACGCATATCATTCAGAGCCACTTCATGCCAGTTGTGGTAAGCAAATAAATCTCATCATTTGGAAATCCCCTAAAGATGAACGAAGATTACTGTTTGAAACGCTGACAATAAACAAAGGGATATTCCAATAGCTTTTTCCCATGTGCTGCATCTCTTTGGAATTCCTTGCCTGGTTCTTGTTTCCCTCCAACCTATGATCTGTCCTGTTTCAAGCGGAATGCTGGTTCCTACATTCAGTTTTCCTTAGTACCAACTCTTCTTTTAATTTCTCTTGTAGCTCTTAACCTGGAGTTGCTTCTAACCATGTTCAGGGCGAATATACATAAAAAAAACTGATTCTTGTTTTCATAAGTTTGACACTTTCACTCACTAGATTAATATCACAGAAGGCTCAAAATTGTACATGAGTTGAGAAGTTCAAATAATGATTGCATTTCTTTCAATTATGTCTCTGCTTTAGGATCAGATCGTGAGCTACTTGGACAATTTAACAGACGAGGAGCTGAAGAAAGAATCCAAGAATGAAGCGAAGAACGACGCGCTAACATCCATCATTAAGGTACTTCCGTGGAATACTTTTTTTTCATCGCCCTCCCCCTCCTAGACCTGAAACCACCAAGACGTTTTGGGAGGACTTTGCAGAGCTCGGCAGAGACGATCCCTCATTTGGAGTCTTTCTATGCCAGTTACTATCAAAGCATGACTAATTTTAAGTCTCCTGGGTTCTTTTTCAATCCGTTCTTGCAGTCCCTGAAGAATTTAGTGTCCAGAATACCCAACCAAGAAGAGAAGATCAAGAATCTGGAGATGTTCCGTCTGAAGATGATTCTGAGGTACGATATGGAAAACAGTTTTTGTTCAAAATATTAGTCATTATTTTTGTATCGGGAACCAAAAACCTTCAAATCCGAATTGAGGTGACGAAGCGTTGTATTCGTCTTCTCTGAAATTCTGATTAAAAACAAAATGTTTGTTATGTTTTTGTTTATTCTGTTGATAATAGAGTACATAATTTTTTATTTTTTTTATTCAAAACCACAAATGTGTACAGTTTTTGTCAAACATTTTCACAAACCATTATCAAATTTTAAAGGTATAGTCCATCATTTGTAATTTGTGCATTTTGTTCATTTGAAGCAACAAACGTGCTCAAAATCTAAAGAAGGGTGCTGAACAACTAACCTGATGAAGTTTCAGCTCAGCTTCAGCTGTATATTCCGAGAAAAACAGCATTCTAGGATCTCGATTTCAAATCAAAAGTTGCTGAATCATGTTTAGAATTGGGCCTGAATTCAGCGTCCGAGACACGTTCTCACTGAGCTGATTGCATCTACGCGATGTCGCGCACTGATCCGACGAATTATAGCAACCACGCGCACATGTGCGTCGTGTCAAGGCCTGCGTGCCCTTCGCCGAATAAAAAAAACGAACTACTAACGGAAATTTCCATTGGTGCTTCTTAAGACGCACTGTTGGAAATGCATTCTTTTTTTGATTTCTTAAAAATGACATCTTGCCAGAAAGAATAATTTCACAGAGAGTTTAGTCCCCTTACTATCTTTCAACCAAGTATGTTTTTCAACAATAGTTACGTCAGTTACTTTTTGGATAGCTGCAAATGATGGACTGTAGCTTTAAAGTATGATTTAAATTGAAGTGTAGAATGTATCCTCACGCATCTAAATTAATTCCAGCGTACTGGAACCAAACAGTTACTTTAAAAGTAATTCTTTTCTGACATTGTCGTAGACTTCTACAAATTTCCTCCTTCAACGGTAAGATGAACGCGTTGAACGAGGTCAACAAAGTCATCGCCAGCGTGTCGTACTACACACACAAACACAGCGGCATGGAGGAAGAGGAGTGGCTCACTGCGGAGAGAATGGCTGTAAGTATGGGCTCCGTGCGCCAACGAAAGAGGGCGCCCTTTTACCTAGCAACGATGTTCCATGGGCGGGACATTTAGCTGGTTGACGGGCACCGTTCCTTGTGTGTGACGCACGTACACCAGGGGATTTGTACTATGTACGCAGTGGTACTGTGCGGCCGCGCATCGCAGCCAGGCAAGATGGCGTCGGTTGGTCACCCCCAACTGTTCTTTCTTTGCCGGTGAGGGGGTACTTGTGAACGGAGCGGATTGGCTGCAAGTAGGAACATTCTAACATGAATTCTAACAAGTCTTTTTGTCTGTCTTTTAACTTTTAGGAGTGGATTCAGGAGAACCAAGTGCTTTCAATTGTCCTGAGGGACAGTCTACATCAACCCCAGGTAAGGCTTAGGTCAAAGGTTAGAGGTCAGGGCACTTAGGTAAACAATGGAACTTGATTTATATAGCTACACTCGTGTGTAATATACACATATTGCCATTGAGGGCACTATTGTGAAGCTATTTTCCCGTAAGGACTTTAACGTCGGAAGCCGATTAAAGGGAATGTACAACATTTGCTTTTGCTGCAAATTTCAGAAATAAATGGATTTGGAGGATCAGTATGTTATAGCAAATATTGTTAAACTGACTTGTTTCACGTTTTGGGCTTGTTTATGCTGGAAAAACCAAGAAAACCAATCATTTTCTTGTACGCTGGTTCCCCGACCCCACTTAAGATGAAACGGAGAAACGTAAAGACTTTGAGGAATTGTAAGGTCAAAGAATCTTTCTAGCAGGTTTGTAACCCTTCACAGATGTGTAATCTATTGCAAAGAAAATGCGGAATAACTAAATATGAAAAAAATAGGAGCAGTTTTTGAAAAAAGCCAGTTTTTTTTCCAACGCTGGTTGGCCGACCAGCGTTGGAAAAATACAACTTTTCTTGAAAATGTCAGCACACCAGGAGCCACGATTTTACAGGATGCTTTAGACTGTCCCTAGCAATTCAGTGAGGTATTTCGTGATAATTTGATCATTTCGTTTTTTGATGTTTGCAAATGTTGTATCTTCCCTTTAAAATAAGCTTCCCTGATTTATATATGTACTCCCTTTTGTGTAATATGCACATATTGACTGGCAGTGAGGGCACTATTGTGAAGCTGTTTCACCGGACGATCTTTAAATGTCCAAGCACTATTTAAAATAGGCTTCTATGTTTCTGGCAAATTCCATTACGCAATATAATTTTAGTAATTGTCCTGCTTTTTTTTTTTTGCTCACAGTATGTTGAGAAGTTGGAGAAGATTTTGAGGTTCGTCATTAAGGAAAAAGCCCTGACGATGGAGGATCTAGACAATATATGGGCCGCTCAGGTGAGCAGATGTAGGCAGTTTCCATAGAAACGGTAACCTTGGTAACAGTTTGTTAAAGAGCATAATGTTGACAATTTGGATGGTTGCCTGTGAATGATGTCAGAATTATTCTTTGTTGTATTGGGAGAATTTAAATTTACTTGAAAATTTCATACGCTTGTTTTTTTCTTGTTTTTCATTGTTTTTAGAGAAAACTATGCTTTATAATTTTCTTCTCTGGTTTGTCTGAAATGTAACCGAAAACGAATGGTCTAATTTTGAGTAACTGCATCCCTTTTTCATTTAGTTGGATAAAATTGCCTTTGAGCTCATGTTTTTAATTTTTTTAGAAGACCTTTTTAACTGCCACTCAATTAACGTGACGTCTTTTGTTCATTTAATATTCCTAGGTTGGGAAACATGAAGCTATTGTTAAAAATGTCCACGACCTTCTTGCCAAGCTAGCCTGGGACTTTTCACCCGAGCAGCTAGACCATCTGTTTGACTGTTTCCAGGTAAGGTTCTCATCTTTTTTTATTTACTTTTCTTACATTCTAAGCAGTACTCTCTGCCAGAATGCTCTGAGAAATTACACACAAGACGCTGTTAGATTTCGTCGTGTCAGTGCAACAAGGTCGTATCTCCTAAAATGGCATGAACGCCGCAGAACGCGAGTTTTAGAATGTCAAAAGGTCGTATCTCGCTTAAAATAACCCGGATGTACACGCAAAGTCAATGGACGTCGAGACACGACCTTGTTGCACGGAGCGTATTCGCACGAGATACGACTTTGTTGCAGAATGGAGTTTTGAATGCAAAACGCGAGTTTTAGAATGTCAAAAGGTCGTATCTCGCTTAAAATAACCCGGATGTACACGCAAAGTCAGTGGACGTCGAGATACGACCTTGTTGCACGGAGCGTATTCGCGCGAGATACGACTTTGTTGCAGAATGGAGTTACGACTTTGTTGCACTGACGCGAGGATTTCTGACAAATAAAAATGCCCGTGCATTTTTTAGCAAACTTGTGTTTTAGGACCAGGGAAAATAAAACAAAAATTAATTTCCTTTTTGCAGGAGAGCTGGTCGACAGCGTCCACCAAACAGCGGGAGAAACTCCTGGAGTTGATTCGCCGTCTAGCCGAGGACGACAAGGATGGGGTGATGGCCCACAAGGTCCTGGGTCTGCTCTGGGCGCTGGCCCACCAGCAGGACGTCCCCACGGACATCATGGACCAAGCCCTCCACGCTCACACCAAGATCCTGGACTACAGTTGCTCCCAGGTACGCTCAGATGTGAGTTTGTGCCGTCGACGTATCGCAAGACCAAAACTAGAAGCCGTTATGGATTCCGCGCACAAGTACTCCGTCAACGATTGTAAAATGGATAGTTGGGGGGGGGGGAACCACTGGGAGTGGCATTCAAACGCATTGCCGCCCCGCCTGATGCTCGCGCGAAAAAGCTATGTGTTTGTGCACACTACGAAACAAAATGTTCATGCCTGCTTTGCGTCTTACGCGTGCGAACCATAACGCGCTCGCGGCGTGTCCCAATATTGGAGCTTTTCAAAGTGGTTTGAAAGCGTCATCAAGTGTTTGTGCCCGAAGTTAATTGAGTTGAAACCGCATTCGCGCGCAGGTCTTACGTGCACACTTGGCACTCCGACCGATAGGGTTACTAAAATGCGCGCACACCTCCGACTTCAGAGCGGACGCGACATGCACGTGAGGATGACTGCACTTCATTAATGGCTTCTATTTTTGTTTGTCGCATTTAATAGTCTTTGTTGCTTTCTTTCATGGTGAACAGCAGCTGTTATATCCTCTTTGTATTCTACCATAAGAGTTGTAAGATTTGGTCCCCAGATTTTCCTCTTAAAAAAAAAAATTCAAACCAAAATATTAAACAATAAAAAATTAATTTTGAAACTTTTAAAAGCAATGCACTTTAAAAAATGTTTAAAGGCAATGAAAAAGAGCAACTATAGATATGGTTTATAGATAACAATTACTTACAATTTTTAATGGTTTTTGACAAATTTTTTTAGTGTTTCTCTTTTTCGTCGTTAGGAAAAAAAGTACTTCTAACCAAAATATTAAATATAAAGACAAAAGTTAAAAAAAAATTAAGTTTTCTGTTTAAGAAAACAAAGCAATGAAAAAGAACAATCATAAGAATGGTGTAACGATAACAATTACAATTTTAAATTTTAAATGATTTTTGACAAATTTTTGGAGTGGTTTTTGTTTTTGTTTTCATTGTTAAGGACCGAGATGCCCAGAAGATTCGCTGGATCGACCGGTTCGTGGAAGAGCTACGGACGGACAAATGGGTCATACCGGCGCTGAAACAAATCAAAGAAATCTGCTGCCTTTTCGGAGAGGTAGGCATCAATTTTCTTGATGTATTTCTAGGAAAAATGGTCATTTGTTCAAAAAATTTATGAAAAATTCTGTGACATGACACAAAGTCATTTCAACTTTTCCCAAATCTCTGTTTCTCTTTGAGAACCTTGAATGTAAGCACCGTCGATATCACAATTTTCAATAATCGATATATCAGAAAGCCAATATAGAGAATATTCGATTTATCGATTATGTAAAAGTTAAAAACCATTAAGACGATACTTTGATAACAACAAAGAAGTAATACTTTTAGTCCCAATTTTGTCCAGAACGAGCAGTTTCTTTTTAGGGTTATACTTTGGGGGAGACAGCGCATTCTAGCGAGCACAGAGCACAAAGCGACGCCACTTGGCGCGATGTTCGTGATATTTTTATGTTGAGTGACAAGTACAAATTGCACAAAGTACAAGCACAAACTGGAGGTATATTTTGACGATAATCTGACGCATTTTTGATATTTTCAATATCATTCCTCAATATCAAAAATGTCGATATTTCGATATGATTAAAAAAATTACTATCGGTGATGTTAGTATCAAAATTATATTGAATAATCGAGTAATATCGGTATATCAACGGTGCTTACTTGAATGTCCTCCGTCAGACAGAAAGAATGTTTATACTGTCTTTTCTTTTAACTGTGCAGCGCACTAGTCAACTCAACCAGGTACGTTTCTACTCAGGCAGATTTGTTTACAATTTCCCCCTTTTGAATCCAGTCGTGATTATGCTTGGGTTCTTTCTCATTTTGTTGCAAATTTTGTTTTGTTTTTGAGTGAGCCCCCGGCATGACATGTGCTTGAGGAATGCAAATTTGATTAAACAAATGTATCCATTTTAGCTACATTTATCTATCCAGATTTGAAGTTTTTGTCACTAATAGTCCTCTATTTAATTGTTGTTTTTTGAATTTCTGATTTCTACTTGTTTCAAGCAATTTTCGTGGCCTGGTGGTTGATTCTGTGTTAAATGTTTCAGTTAATTAGAAACTTTTATGGAATAGCCATCATCCAATATTTAAAAAAAAAACGATGCGTTTTAGAAATCCCACCAAAATAATGCCATGGTTTATATTTTATTTTTCTCAACTTATTGCCACGCTAGCGATAAATCAACTACCGATGAGCCGTAGAAAATATCTGTTTCTTGTTCGATGTGATCCATTTATTGTTGGCGTTCATCTGCTTTTACCAAGTTTTTTCCGTATATTTTTGAAAAATCATAAACAGGACAGGCAAAACTTGCCTCATTGAAAATAAATACTTTTTATGGAATGCAAATTACCTTTTTGTATCAAACTTTACATTTCTGTGTTTGATTTGGGTGTTGATAATCTCATTGTAACTAAAAATGTTTATACATCAACCATTTTCTTGCTTGTTTATTAAATAACGTGTGAAATTTTGTACTCACATGTGATTCAGAGTATTTTCAGAATGACATTTATTATTTGAGTTAGTAAGTACGGAACAAGAAATATACAGATCTACAAAGTTTCAAATTCCAAGTTGCAGCCTTTTTGCAAGTACTTGGACAGTTTTGGCATGCCTTGTTGTCCATTTAAAGATCATTTGCAGCTATCCAAAAAGTATATGACCAAATTATTGTTAAAAAGCCTACTTGGTTTAACTCCCTGTGAAATTAATCTTTCTGGCATGCTGTCACTTTGAAGAAAAACAATAAAAGAAGGTCATTTCCAAAGATGCGCCAAGTGACACATTTTTGGAAATTTCCGTTAGTAGTTGGTTTGTAATAAGGCGAATCTGTGAATGGGTGCGCGCAAGCGTTGACTCGATGCACACGGCGCGCAGTTGCTATTATTCATCGGTTCAGTGCGTGAAATCGTGTAGCTGCAGTCGGCTGAATGAGAAAGTTTTCAGAATGTTGATTTCGGGTGCAATTCAATACGACTTGGCAACTTTTGAACTTGAAATCGAGCTCCTAGAATATTTTTTTTTCGGAATATACAGCATTCACAGTGCTAAAGCTTCATCAGGTTAGTTAAGCACCATTCTTTAGATTTTGAGCACTCTTGTTGCTTCAAACGAAACAAATGCACAATGGACAAATGATCTACTTCTACCTTTTACCGGACCCGTTTCCATAAACCATGTCAATTTATTAGGCTTGATTTCTACTAGGCCAGTTTACAAAAAAATAAAAATTTGGATATCTACTTGTTTCATTTTACCTAGGCACCTCAGAATTACACCCACGCCCAGCGCTGCCCCCACGTACAGTATCGGCACGACGTCATCAACATGCTACAGCAGAAGCACTCCTTAGTCACTCTGGTCGCCGAGAATCTGTCCAGCTACATGAACCTGGCCAGGCAAATTGCAAAAGGTAGGGCGTGGTTCCTCAGACTATCTGCAGTTTATTTTATTTCTTTCTGGTAATGAAAGCAAGGATTCCTCAAAAGATCCCTTGGCACTGTAGCTTGAAAGTCTGAAGAAACCTGTAGAGAGGAGACACTGAGAAGAAACTACAGTTTTAGAGGTGGGAGGAAAAGCCCAGAAGAGTATTCTGAGGAAAACCCACAGAATCAGGTAGGGACTGAAAACCCAATCCACATGTGGACCAGGGCAGGAATCGAACCCGGGCCACAGCGGTGGAAGGCGAGGAAAGTAACCAATGCACCAACCTGACTCTAGTTTTGTAGTATTTTTCTGATTTGCAGACAGTCATACCGCAGCCAGCCCTGTGAGAAAGGGATATAATTTCTTCCCTTATTGTTTTGTGGCTCTGTATCAACCTTTGTGCGAGACGTTCCGCTCATTTTGGTTTTGCTCGTTTTCTCGTCTAGAAAATCCTGATCTAGATCCCCACGACGTATCCACAGAGAACAGGTATAGCCATGGGCAGCAGGTGCAGGAACGACTCAACTTCCTAAGGTAAGGATTCCATAATTAACCCTAACCTTCCCAAGTGCTCCAAAATCCTCCTTCGCAAAATGGAGGATTTTGCAGGATTGAGGCTGTATGGCGAAAATGTGTGGCTGATTTCGGGGGATGTACTGTGTCAAGGTCTTGGGCTGGACCTTGTGTTGTTTATGCTCAGCCGTGCATAGATGTAGGCCTAGTTTATACTTGAAATCCTCCGCACTGCTCCAGGATGTCACTGGCTCTGCCTCAACATACTGACAGTGATTGATAAAGGATTTTCACCCCTCCAAGGACCACATTCAAGAAATAGCGGAGGATTTTGCAGGATTGAGGCTGTATGCAAGTTTTACATGGAGGCAGTTGAAGGATTTTGCAGGATTGAGGTTGCATCCTAGCAAAAAGCCTAGGGAGTTAGAGTTAAATAAAAACCTGTCATCTGATTCCAAGAAACGTGATGGTATGTAGGAAGAAAGGTACAAGCCCGGCTTGTTACTTTACTTGCAGCACGATGTCCCTTGCAAGTTTAAAGTGCAGAAAATGTGCCTTTGGCTTCCTGCTTACATGTGGAAACAATAAACCACCTCGTTGGCTCAAAAAGCTGCAGAATTAATTATCCACCTTGTCGGCTCCAAAAGCTCCAGAATTTTAAAGTTTTAAGCCCCAGTCACACATTTACGGTTTGGACCTACAGATCTCCACGGTTTGAAATTCGTGATAAACCGTGGGAGTACCGTATCCATCCTTAGTACAACCGTGGTTATCCGTCATCTTCCTTGGGTATTCGTGGAGGGGCTACGGAAGTTTGAAACTGTTCCAAACTTAATAATTGTTCCAAACTTCCGTCGTGAAACGTCATGAAAATCAATCCGTATTGTAACCGTGGTACATCCGTAGGACAACCGTACTGATTCGTATTGTTATTTGTGGCTATTCGTACATATTCTTGGAGATTCGTAGCTACTTCGTGGTACAAATCTCTACGAATTCGCTACGAATGTCCTACCGATATGCCTGGGTGTGCTAGGGTTCTGCTTAAGTTGTACTACGAATATCCACGCTTGATTCGTAGGAGAATCTTGGTCATCCGTGGCCCAATCACAGACTTAACCGTGACGTTAATGTCATTATTCTTAATAATACCGTCGATATTCTTCACCCATCCGTCCATATTCTTGACAAACCGTGGTGTATATTCGTAAAGAAACCGTAGGACAGTCGTGGCTATCCGTCCTGAAACCGTAGTGCATTCTTAGAAAGTTGATTTCTCCACGAATCTCGACTGTTCATCGTGATTGATTGATTCTTGGTTAAAGCTTAGTCCATCATTTGCAGCCATCCGAAAAGTAACTGGCGTAATTATTGTTGAAAAACATACTTGGTTGAAAGATAGTAAGGGAACTAAACTCCCAGTGAAATTATTCTTTCTGGGAAGCTGTCATTTTGAAGTAATCAACAAAAGAAGGCATTTCCAACGGTGATTCTTAAGAAGCACCGTAGGAAAATTTAAATTAGTAGTTCGTTTTGTTATTCAGCGCAGCGCGCACAAGTATTGGAACGACGCACACGCGCGCGCGGTTGTTATAATTCGTCGGATCAGTGCGCGACGCCGCGTATAGCTGCAATTCAAAACATGATTCAGTAACTTTTGATTTGAAATTGAGATCTTAGAATGCTGCTTTTCTCGGAATGTACAGCTGAAGCTTAGCTGAAACTTCATCAGGTTAGTTGCTCAGTATCCTTCATTAGATTTTGAACACTTTTGTTGCTTCAAACGAACAAAATGCACTAATTACAAATGATGGACTATAGCTTTAACCGTGGATATTCGTAGCTCCAAACCGTAAACGTGTGACTGGGGCTTTAAACAGTAGCAGTCGTTTCCTCTAGGAATCTTGCAAAACAACACTTTTCAAACGTGGATTGCAACATCAAATGAAGTGTTTGTTTCACAACGCTGCAAATATTGCTTTCTTGACAAATTTTTTGAAGTATACTTTTGTCATTTTGTCCCTGCCAGATTTCTGCTGAAAGACGGACAACTATGGTTGTGCGCACCTCAGGCAAAACAGGTCAGTACATACACCTGTCAAGATTCAAGATTCCAGATTCGGTTCAATAGTCACGTAAAAAAATTACATGAAATATGATCTCCTATGTGAAATCAGTGTGTCGATCTTTGCATATTATATTTGATACATGTCCATGTGGTATCATTGCTTACAACTTTTTGTAGTTATTATCCTTAAAAAGTTTCGTAAATTTTTTGTCCACTCAGATCTGGAATTGTCTAGCGGAGAACTCGGTGTATGTCAGCGACCGAGAAGCCTGCTTCAAGTGGTTTTCAAAGGTAAGATTTGTGACTTGAGTTCTTATTCTCACTGGCTTTAAATCTTAATTTGGCAAGACCTTTGTCTGCTGAAGACAGTATTCTTATTTTAGGTTGTGGATTCTTTTTATTTCTACAGCTGATGGGTGATGAGCCAGACTTGGATCCTGAGATCAACAAGGATTTCTTTGAGAACAACATCCTGCAGCTGGAGCCCTCACTGCTCACGGAAAACGGCATCAAGTAAGTTTCTTTCACCTAAACTAATACGGGTGATTCACAATGTAGTGCGCAGAGTTGTAATGACTCGAGTCAATGACTTGACTCGAGTCCGACTCGAGTCACAATTTTTGGTGACTCGACTCAACTCGAGTCCCTAAGGGTAAATGACTCGACTCGACTGGAGTCACTGCGAGCAAATGACTCGACTCGACTCGAGTCCCTCATCAGAAGACTCGACTCGACTTGACTCGAGCGAAAGCTAATAAGACTCGAGTCCCAAAAATAAAAGCGCAACTTTGCGAAAAGTATTTGCAATGACTTACGGTGCAAAATTTATGCTCACTTTACTTTGCGAATAGCAGTCATTTACAAATATACAACGTGTCACAGACTCCCACCTCATGGTTCTAGAACGCACAAAATACTATCCAGGAACCAGATTTTTAAACACATTTTCTAATTCGCTGTTTCATCTTTGTTTTTTGGGGCAATTTCTTATAAAGCTCTTGGATTCGAACGCTGGCTAAACTTATGGCCTCCTTTTATAAATTTTGGTATATATAGTGTTCAAATATTCGTGACTCGAATTGACTCGAGCTAAATATTTGACTCGACTCGACTCGACCTTTTGACCTAATGACTCGACTCGACTCGTCACCTCTTTAAAATGACTCGACTCGACTCGAGTCACTTCTTTAAAATGACTCGACTCGACTCGAGTCACAAAAGTCAGTGACTCGTTACAACTCTGGTAGTGCGCCACCAAGAGTTTGCTGTGGAGAGTCCATTTTTCAAGTTTACGGCCGACAAAACATGGCCCATTTGAAGGATTGTCAGTAGACAACTTGAGCTAATTTGTTATAGATTGGGGCATAGCGTTCTGCCGCCTTACAAAAAACACCATATTGATAAAAAGCAAAGGGCAAACAGATACTCGAATCATACGCTTACGAAACTACTGACTGAAAAAACTAACAATTTCAAATGTCCCGCGCTGCGAATTTGTCAACCATCTCCCACAATGCCCTGGGAAAAATGAACTCTCCATGGCAAACTCTTGGTGGCTGAATTAGAACATGTGAAAATTTGTCCTGTGATGCACAGTTGACATAAGAGTTCCTGAGAAAATATCGCTTAACAAACTTATGTGCTGAGCAGATATCTGCGGAGAACCAGCCACCAGCAATGAACAGCAGGGGACCATTGGACCGGTAACCAGTGAATACTAAGCAAATATTTGTCAGTGCTTAGCAAACGTGCTGTGAAATTGGTCACTGGTCACAGAACCAAATCAACTCGATCCTTTTTAAAAAAATGTCTGCTCTTTGAAGGTGCTTCGATCGCTTCTTTAAAGCCGTCAACTCCAAGGAAGGAAAGCTGGTGCCCAAGCGTCGCAACTACCTGATGGACGACCTGGAGCTGATTGGTCAGGACTACCTGTGGCGGGTGGTGCTGTGCGGTCTGGACGAGATCGCCAACCGGGCCATCGATCTGCTGAAGGAGATCAACACCAACCTGGGGCCCAGGCTGCAAGCCAACCAGGTGGGGACGGGCATTTCTATTCTATTTTGAACAGTCGTGATTCTTTTTGAACATTCATGTACCTTTTGGAATGCTTGTGTTTCTTTGGAATCCCCATGCTTTTTCCGGAAAGCTCAGCTTTGTTTGAGAATGTTCCTGTTCCTTTAAGAATTCTTCTGTTCCATTTCAAAAGGTCCTGTTTTTTTTTTTTCAACATGCTCCTCTTTTTAACCAGTTAACGCCGGGAGTATTTTGACAAGAATGGAACGTGGCCCAGGATTACTTTTCACCCGACCTCAACGCCAGGCGGGTTGAAGCCATCACCCTCGGGCAGCACACTCATATTTCCGGCCTTGCTCTCTGCGAGCGGATCGCTGACAAATATTTCCGGCCTCGTTCCCTGCGTGTTTATCTATCATCCGTTCCAAATGTGGCCAAACCTTTGCGTGTATAGAAGTCATGGCGATAGAAAACCACCAGTGTTCCAAATGAGTTCCAAACATCAACAAAGCTGTTTTGGAATACATGTGTACTAAGCTAAATGTTAAACACTACGTGTTGCCAGGCTGTTTCTAGTTTTTTCCAAAACAGTATTTCATTTTGCAATACTGCTGTTTTCCGCACATTTTTCTCATGAAATGGTCACACTATGCTGCGGGATTGAGCAATTTTGTGAACAATAGACGAATATATTTTCTGCTTGTTCTCTTTTTGGTGCCCAATATTATTTGGTGCTAAATCTTATCCTAGTACATCATGTCGCATATTTTTCTCCTTTCGTCCGACCACAAGGTTGACATCCATGAGGATTTCATCCAGTCGTGCATGGACCGGCTCAAGGCCATGTACGACACGCTGCGTATCCTGCAAGAGGATAAAGACGGGCTGGACAAGGTCCAGCAAGAGGCCGTCCGTATGACCCGGGTCCTGACCGTGCTGAGAGAGTACATCAGCGAGTATGACTTGGAGTATACGGAGGAGAGGACCATCCTACCCATGGCAAGGTGGGTGGAATTTTAAAAACTGCGGACTGTTAAAAAAGTCTGGAAAATTTCAAAAAGTCTACACACTGCTTAACCCTAACCCACCTCAATCCTCCAAAATCCTCCTGGCGGTTTTGGAGGTGGTTTTGGAGGATTGAGCTTTGGAGGATTGAGGATGAATGGTGTTTGAGAAACATGAGGCTTTTGAAGGATTGAGGATGAATGGTGTTGATGCACATGAGGATTTTGGAGGATTGAGGCTGAATGGTGTTTGAAGAAGAGGAGGCTTTTGGAGGATTGAGGATGAATGCATTTTGAGAGGCAGGACTGTCTGACGATTTTGAAGGATTGAGGCGCTGGGTATCCTTCATTTGAATATATATGCTAAATTTTGGAGTATTGAGGATGGTTCCTAGCAAAAGGGGCCAAGGGAGTTAGGCGTGTTAGGGTTAAAGATAATATGCAACATTTGCTTTTGCTGTAATTTTTAGAAATGGATAGATTTGTTGGTTGGTGTTTCACAACAAATATCGTTCCACTGGCAAGGTTAAAGTTTGGTGTTCATGGATGCTGGAACAAAAAAAACAAGAAAATACGCTGTTTTTGTAGTCTGGTTTTCTGACCCGTCACTTCAAATGAAAGGGAACAATTTATAGACGTCAGGGAATTGTCATGTCAGGGAACCAGTCTAGCTGGCTTTGCGCCCATTCACGGATATGTAGCAGTATTTGGAAAAAAAATCCTTTTTTCCAAAGGCCGAACCGTCATTGGAAAGAATACAAAATTCCACTTTTCTTGAAAATGACAGCATACCAGGCGCAACGATTTCACAGGATGCCTGAGACTATTATTTACTTATAGTCAAGTAAGGTATTTCATAATAATTTGGTAGTTTCGTTTAATCTTTGCAAATGTTGTACATTACCTTTAAAAGCAATGCAGACTGTTTTTAAAAAGTCTGCAGATAGTTTCAAAAGTCTATAGACTGTTTAAAAAAAATTGAAGACTGTTTAGGCGACACTCATTTCAGGTCAATCAATCAAGCCTATCGCTACTCTAGACAGTCAAAGGAGGCCGTGGCTAGACTACATTGTGTTTGATATCAAGATGCTCAACGCTCCTTTATCAGCAGTTAAACCTTCATATTTTGTTTGTTGGTTTTGTTTTTTTCAGGGCACATCGTGGGAAGCACGTCACGTTACTAGTCCGGTTCCCCAACCAGGGGCGTCAAGTGGAAGACATCGATATCTGGTCCCACACCAATGAGTCCCTGGCGTCCGTCCGGAGACAAATACTACAAAGGTATCTCACTCTATAGACCCTTCCCGCTTGCCAGTCAAACAACTCGCGTTGACCAGTCAGATCACGACTGTCGGTCAGGTGACCAGGGTAGCTTGGTGGGCGGAGTTTTTGTCAAATCCATTGAATGCTCTGTTTTGGCATGCTAGCGTTTATCCTAAAAACATATTTTTTTGAAAAGCGCAACTTTGTATTACATAAATTTCATATGTAGTTTGTAACAGATTTTGCCAATATTGGCACATTTTTTCCACCTGAGTATTCCAGAAAAAAGGTATTTGTTAAAAATGCCGGTGGCTTTTGTATTTTGCTGTTGACCAGTCAGCATATTTTGTACTTCAAAGGCATACTATGAGAAAATCGTCAAAGGTTGGAATACCAAACTGTTGGTTTTTTTTCTTGTCTCACTGGCATGTTTTCATGTCCAATTTCAGAGTCAAAGCCAACACGGCTACCACCAGAGTGGACCTGTACGTGAACGGAGAGCTGCTAGATCCTACCGAAGACCGGAGGCTGGTGGGAAAGATCCCGCTCAGAGACAAGACCGTAAGTCCAGTCCTTACCGCCAAGAATCTTACAGAATCTAATAGTTGAATTGCGTCAAAGTCGCCTTTTTTGTTCCAGCTTATTGTGTTTATGTTATTCAAGTTACAGCTTAGTGATAGATGCCAATGTATGTTTGAGTTTTTGTTTACTGTTTTGTTTTTGGTTTTTTGTTTTTTTTGGTTTACAGTTGATCACAGCCAAGTTGTGTCCCGTGGGAACCAACATGCCTTCCTCACCGGACAGCTCCTCCGATTCCTCCACTGGTTCCCCGCATCACCCCAGCGAGGGCCCCAACCTGGAGGCCGAGAAATGCCTGCCGGGAGTGGTAAGCAACAACAGGGAACCGGTCACTTTAACCCTAACCCCTTGGGCTCTTTTACTAGAAAGTATCCTGAATCCGCCAAAATCCATCAATTTTGCCATGCAAAAAAAATGTTGGTGGCCAGTGAGTCCATCAGAATCCACCATTTAGGCGGGAGTAAATCTGTTGAGATCCTGAATCTGCCAAAGTCCCCCAACGGCTCAGTATAGAGGTATCCTGAATCCATCAAAATCCTGCAGTTCCGCTAGGCTTACAATCCTGAATCCAGCAAAATCCCCCAGTTTGTGCAATATGGAGGTATCCTGAATCCGCCGAAATCCCCCGAAACAGGGGTGTGGATTTTGATGGATTCAGGTACGTTAGGGTTAATTGTAAAAACAAAATCCAAAGCAAAGGCCCATTTGAATTATATGACTACGGCTTATGACTACGGCTACGACTACGGCTTGCAATTACACATGCATCTATGGTAGCCGCTGCAGCCACTTCCTATAGACTTGTGTGTTACTGATGGCCGTAGCCATATAATGGAGACACAGCCAAACATACTGACTCTGAAACCCAAATCAGGAAAAATGTATTCACTTCTGGCCAACAAACTCTCCGAAAATGTTCATTAGTTAAAGATCAGATCCTGGGATTTTACCATTTTTAAAGTTAGAGGTCTCTTTAGACCTTATTCACGAAGAATACATTATTGATCTTGTTCCCTGAATGTAATTTATAAATTGTAAACTGTTGAATGGGATGGTGCCAGACTATTTATGCGTTCCAAGCCTCATTTTTTGTTCAGATGTGGGTTAAAACATTAAGGTATGTTTAATCACAAATTTTCAATGATTCATCAGAGCAGACTGGTATTAATTTGTAATTAACTTTATTTCATTGCTTTCATTTCTATTCGCAAGTTCCAAAAATGAAGATTTTATCTCGCTTTCAATTTAATATGGCTGACTCGTGAATAAAGCCTATTCAAATTTTAAAGAAACATTTTTACACTAGTGAGTGCAGCCAGGTGATTCAAATTTGTAACCTTTTAATAATACTTTCTCGTGCAGAGCAAAAAAAAAATGTTGGACTTTTGTCTTGCGGCAGTTAATTTTTCCTGTAACTTTTGACTCTCATAAGTATTGGAATTTCAACACATTGTCTGCGTGTGACCTGTGTAAGGTTTCGAACCTAGTACACAACAATTGAAGATGATGTTACTCATCGCAATGTCTTGATCTTGTTTCACAGCTGATGTCAACCCAGCACAAGTATGCGGACTTCATCTTTCACCTCGCTGACATGGGCTGCTCCTTGGAGATCAACCCTCTACGAGACGGTGCTAGAGCTCTTCTGAAAATCATCCCAGCAGGCAAGTCTGGAAAAAAAGCTTGCTCTTGCATTTTAAATGAAAAAACTCTGTAAACACGACAAATACTCCCAGTCTGCACCAACAAAAGAACTAGGCAAAGTATTGAGCGCATTGCTTCTTTATGCTCGGCACTTGTGTGAAAACATTGGGTTTTTTTTCACTTTCAGAAGAAAATTAGTCAGACAAAATTTGTGCCATATGACTAGAACTTGCAAGAAAACATTCAGTCGCTTGCTTGGGTGGGACTCGAACCCACGACCTCTTGCTTACTAGTGCAGACTTTTTTCAACCACTCGACTGCCAAGTTTGCCGGGGTAAGCTAGCCGGTTGGTTTCTAATCTGGTGTCTTTGTTATATGGTCTTCACAGATACTTCCACAGTAGACATGCTGGCGGAGAACTGCAGGAGCAACGCCAAGCTCGGTGACCAGTCCCCCTCCCCCACTCTAGAATCCCTCTTCTTTGGGACGTCCCAGTCGCAAGTACTCTACCATCTAGAGGTAAGGCTGGGCTTCTGTATAAAGTGATGTCACTTAGGCCCGTTCTAGACGCCGTGCTTCTGCCGCGCCAAACTTATTTGAAACGAGTGCGGCAATAGCTCGTCTACAGCACGGCAGTTGCTCTACAGGGTGTTTCAAAAAAAAGGAAACCGAGCTTATTTTGTTGATTTCTCGGGTATGACTAATTATTAAGGAAAATGGTAACCACCATCTGTTACATAACAGTGTCTTCTTTTTCTTGACACCACCAACTCCCTTTTACCGTCACGGATGACTGAGCACCAAGTGATTTAACTGACATGCCAGAAATGGCCTTGTACCACATGCACCATAAGACCAATTGACAGTTTTCAGCATGTTGAAAATAACAAAATCCAGGACGTACATTATCAAAGTCATTTATTCAATTGCTAAAACATATCAAGGTTTATCACTGTCCCCGTTAACCCCACTGTCCTTCAACATGCCCCCCATTCCTTTCAACGCAAATCTCTGCCCTGGTTCTCATTGCTGTGAATGCATTCCTGATAACGTCTCTCTCTGATAACCGTCAATTGGTCTTATGGTGCATGTGGTACAAGGCCATTTTTGGCATGTCAGTTACATCACTTGGTGCTCAGTCATCTGGTAAAATGGAGTTCGTGGTGTCAAGAAAAAGAAGACATGGTTATGTAACGGATGGTGGTTACCATTTTCCTAAATAATTAGTCATACCCGAGAAATCACCAAAATAAGCTCGGTTTCCTTTTTTATGAAACACCCTGTATATGCCAAACTTAATGGTTGACCCTTCGTGCATCTGGAATAATGGGCTAGGTTCAAGCAGTTCAATGAACATTCAGTGCAATCAAAATATTCATGCCAATATATTCATTCCCGTGTTGCGGACACGAGAATTGAATTGGGTTCGACACGGCAATGGCAGGGCGTTTAGAACACTGCTATGCCACTGCTGTTCGGAATGGCATGGCGGCCCTGTCGAGAAAAACTAGGGTGCCGTGCCGAACTCGATTTGCAGAGCCAATTTGTTCTAAACACTGTGCTATCGCCGTGCCGAATTAGAAAAGTCAAATTAATGGAGTTCAGCAAGGCTTTAGCACAGCGTCTAGAATAGGCCTCAGCGAAAATATTTTGTGAACTTCGGTGCTTAGCAGCTCACAGATATTGGCCCGTGGTGTACTAGTACAGATGAAGATATTAAAGAAAAATAAAACAGAAATATTGTTCATTAAATTATTGAAATTGTTACAAATTTGTTTTTCGCAGGTTCTGTATGCTCTACTAATGCCAGCTAACAGTCCTCATGGAGAAACAGCATTCGAGTTCCAGGTGAGAAAGTTAATAAATCTCCTTTTTTGTTCTTATAAGTAAGTCGATGCTAAGATCCAAAATGTACGCCATGTGATTTTCCTAGCTCAAATTTTGGTGGAAGTGTGTGGAAACACCACATGAAGTGACTGCAGTCATATTAATTGTTGACTTGGTTTTTCTCCAGTACAATTTCTTAAAGAGTGGCGGCGTGATGTGCGTGATGAACATGCTGACCAAGAACAACTTCCTTCCAAATGCCGACACAGACACAAGAAGGTAAGATCTCGCATATACCACGGTTTCTAATCAGATGCAGTCTTATAGTATTCATATATTGACTGGCAGTGAGGGCACTAATGGTATTTATGTGCCCTGGCTGCTGATCATATTGACTGGGTTCTTTGTCCTTGCGCAGGTTGGCCTTGCAAGTCGTCCTGAAGATCGCCAAGCTGATGCTGACCACCGTGGGCTACGCCAAGATCGCCTTCGTGGCCGAGGCCTGTCAGCCGGACGCGGCTGGGGGCTCCCAATCCCAGCATCCCCAGGTCTCGGCCAGCGTACACAACCAGGCGGTGGTGTTACAGCAGGCCATGCAGCACATCCCGAACCCTAACGCCGAGTGCGTGCTGCGGAACGTGGCCGTCAGGCTGGGCAGGCATGCTGCCGAAGGGGTGAGTGGACTACTCAAACATACCCGGCTTAACCACTGTCTCCAATAGACCATTATCATGTTGTGGCGATCTAGAGTTTTCCCCATTCAAATCAACGTGACCAAAGTGAGGCTGGAAGGACAAATAGTCTGGTTCCTTTTTGCACAAAAACATTATCATTTAGTAATGTTATTGGATACAGGGAACATGACTGAAATGGTGGCAGCATGATAAAGGTCTATTCACTTCAGTGGACTATGTAAGCACGATCTGTTGCCAACGGGTATCATCAAAATAAGATTGAAACCTAACTAATCTTTTTCCAAGCTTTTCCTAAGTGTAATTTTGTCTGATGGCCTGCTCAACTTACTTCTTTGTGTCCCCCGCAGGCTAAAGTAGAGTCTCCCGATCTCAGTGTGGTCAAAGCAGTCCAGAAGATAGCCTGGTCTGCTGGCTGTGGCTGCCTGCATCTACTACACGGCTCCAATGAGGAGGTCCACAAAGGCTATGTAAAGGTAGGTCGCATTTTGAATTTCGCATTCAGTATTCAAGAAGGATCTATCTTGGTGTTGATTCATTTTCCAGGTCACAAAAAGTAGAGCATTTTGCTAAAAGTCCGACCACCATGTCTAATAATTTAAGCAGGTGTGATCATTCAAATTCAAACAATAGCTCTTTTGTAAGAGACGTGTGGCCACCAGCCAACCTTAGTTTACGGTCAATGCTCGGCCCAAACTATGACCGCAACAAAGCAAAAGAAAGATCTACAGAAACAAATCTAAAATGCCTTGTGTTTTTAGCATTGTTCTTCGCCTCTTAAACTTTGACCCAGGACAATGCCAGAATTCCTGAAGGAGAGGACGTAGCGCTCTGCCGCGAAGCCCTGGAGGTGCTCTCCGTCTGCTTAGCCCTCTGCCCAGCAGCCCTGGACGCTCTCAACAAGGACAAACCCTGGCAGTGCTTCATCATCGACCTCTTGCTTCTCTCCAAGAGCCGGCCGGTCCGCATCTCAGCCATGGATCAGTTCCTGCTGATGGCTACGAAGTGTTCCACCGTGCAGCGGCCAATGTTCTTCTTCATCACGCTGTGCTTCACAGTTCTACCGGTATGGGAAAAAACGAAAAGCAAAACAAATTCTTGCATTGATAATGGTTTTTTTGTGCAAAAAGGAGCCAGACTTTTTTTATTTCCAGCCTCGCTGGAGTGCCGTGGCCTCGTGGTTAAGGGCATTGAATTCGTGGTCTGTGGGTAATTCTGCGGGTTGTGGGTTCGAGTCCAGCCAGGGGCTATGGTGCGTGTGCCCTTGGGCAAGGCACTTTGTCACTCATTGCTTCTCTCCACCCAGGAGTAAATGGGTACCTGTGAGGGCAGAGATGGTTACGTGATTGATTTAGCTTGCTTGCGCCTAACAGGCAGCACCGAGCTGTATACTCCCCCAGGGAGCTGAGATGGTATTTGGAATGTTTAATTGGCCCAATGATCAGGGGTAATAATAATACTGTAAGCGCTGTGATTTACAGGCATGCAACTTTTCCTTGGATCAGCTGATGTCCTCTTTTTTTACTTCCCATGTGTGCCATTGAAAATGGAAAAACACTGTACAAAGTCTTGGAAAGATGTGAATTTCCTCTTTTTTGTGACTTCCCAGTTGCATGCCTGGATTTAGTTTACTAATAAGGGCGTTCTTAAATGCCGATTATTATTATTATTATTATTTGGTTACGTTGATTTGAATGGGAAAAAAATCAAGATGACTGCAACATGATAATGGTCTGTTGGTCTTATTCCTTTTGGTTCACTTTGGTACTTGATTTTCTAACTTGGCCAATTTTCTTTTTTTGTGCAGAGCACCGTCAAGGATAACTCCAGGCACTGCTCCGAGTACTTCTCCCTTCTCTGTCGCCTGCTGAACTACGCCTTCGCCACCAGCACTGCCATGCCCAACGCCGAGATCCTGCTGAACAATGAGATCGACTGGATCAAGAAAATCAGGGTAAGCAAAGTGAAAAAGTAGAGACAAAAACATCAGCTGTCTTTTGAATTCGGCTGATTCACAATGCAGTGCGCCACCAAGAGTTTGCCACGGAGAGTTCATTTTTCCCAGTGCATTGTGGGAGATAGTCGACAAATTCGCAGCGCGGGACATTTGAAATTGTTCGTTTTTCCGGTTAGTAGTTTCGTAAGCGTATGATTCGAGTATCTGGTGGCCCTTTTCTTTTCTTTTTATCAATATGGTGTTTTTTGTAAGGCGGCAGAACGCTATGCCCCAGTCTATAACAAATAAGCTCAAGTTGTCTATTGACACTCGTTCAAATGGGCCATGTTTTGTCGGACGTAAACTTGAAAAATGGACTCTCATTCATTTTTCCCAGTGCATTGTGGGAGATGGTTGACAAATTCGCAGCGCGGGACATTTGAAATTGTTAGCTTTTCAAGTCAGTAGTTTCGTAAGCGTATGATTCGAGTATCTGTTTACCCTTTTCTTTTTATCAATATGGTGTTTTTTTGTAAGGCGGCAGAACGCTATGCCCCAATCTATTTATATAACAAATTAGCTCAAGTTGTCTACTGACACTCTTTCAAATGGGCCACGTTTTGTCGACCGTAAACTTGAAAAATGGACTCTCCATGGCAAACTCCTGGTGGCTGTGCATTGTGAATCGACGGTAGGAGTTTTGGGGTAAAATCGGGCATGCAACTTTTCCTTGGATCTGCTGATTTCCTCGTATTTTACTTCTCATGAATGCCATTACAAGTTGAAAACACTGGACAAAGTCTTGTGTGGTTTGGAGTTTCCTCATTTTTCCTAAATTCCCAGTTGCATGCCTGTAAAATTTAGTGTTGAAAAGTTGAAGAAAAACGTAGGATTGAAATTTGACACGCCAATTTGGACTTGATCTTTCAACATGTAGACTGCAAATTCCGATGTTCGATCTACTAATTTGTCAAACCTGAAATTGATATTGTCTAGGAATTATTGTGAAGCTGTCTCAGTCAGTCTTTTGAGGGTTCGTTATAACGGGCATTTTTGCTGGACTTGGAAAGGCCAGCCATTTTGTCCTGACTGACTGACTTTCAGATCCAGGGCGACAAGCCATCTTGTTTAAGCATGCCTTGGTTTTTGCAATCAAAATTATAAGTATCGAAAACCGACGCAAGACTTGTTCAGTGGTAACCTGTAATCCACCTTGTATGCGTAGGATGTGGTGCTGAGTACCGGGGAGAATTTCTGCGAGGAGGGTCTACTGGAGGGCCATCTAGGCATCACCAAGGAGCTGCTGGCGTTCATGACGTCTGAGAAGAAACACCAAGTGGGTTCTAAGAAGGACGGCTGCCAGCTCATCAAGGTGAGAATATCATGGAATAGTCAACTTGTGAACTGAAACTGCTAAGGACAAAAATTTACTCAGCATAGATGAAATTTTGCTTAGCGAATACAGGTTACCGGTCAAAATGTAACTGGTTCCCTGCAGAATGAAAAAAATGCTTTTCAAGTTAAAGGGAATATACATCATTTGCCTTTGCTGTAATTTTCAGTAATGGATGGAATTGGGGGGTTGGAAATATATAGCAAATATAGTTACACTGACTTTTTTGAGGTTTTGGGTTCAAAAATGCTATAAAAACCAGGAAAAACAATCATTTTCCTGTAGTCTGGTTCCCTGACTCCATTTAAGAAGAAACAGAGCAGTTTACATACATTGGGGAATTGTAAGGTCAGGGAACCAGTCTAGCAAACATGTGCGATGGTCAATTGGGGCCAGTATTTGAAAAAAAGCCAGTTTTTTCCAACGCTGGTCGGCTGATCAGCATTGGAAATTGATACAAAAATACCACTTTTCTTGAAAATGACAGTATACCAGGTGCCATGATTTTACAGGATGCTTTACACTGTCATTCACTAACAGTCCAGCAAGGTATTTCAAAATGATTTGGTAGTTTTATTTTTTGACGTTTTCAAATGTTGTATTTTCCCTTTAAACCTTTCATTCCATAATTTTTTTTCCCCCCTTTTTTGGTCATTGTTCCCTACAGGAGCTAATGGAAGATTTCCTCTTCCCGGCCTCCAAGATCGTCGTCCAGACGCGCAAGAACGGTGCCGAGACGCCGCTGGATCCCATCCGCCCAATCTGCCACACACCGCCCACCACCAACGCCGCGTTTGACCTCTTGGTGGCGCTCTGCAACAACTGCGTGCCTAACCTGCGCATGGTGGCCGACACGCTGACCGATATGTACTACTCGGGTAGGTTGTCCTGAAGTGTCGGAACGCTTCGTAAATTTAGAAAATTAATGTGAATTTGTAAAACTTCTGAATTTCAACACCGTTGATTGGCCACTTTTGGAATCTACAATATTGAATGTTATTGACTCCTTAGTTCCTGGGCGGTTTTGTTACAGAAAATACAATTTCTGACTCTTTTTTTCTTTGGCAGGCACGGAGCCACCGCTAGCAGAGTGGGAGTACCTACCACCAGTCGGCCCAAGACCCAACAACGGCTACGTCGGCTTGAAGAATGCCGGCGCCACGTGCTATATGAACTCTGTTCTCCAGCAGCTGTACATGGTGCCCGATATCCGATTGGCCATTCTCGCTTCGGAGGGGGCAGCCACAGACCAGGACGAGGACTTCTCTGGGGATGAGAAGCAGGACACAGAGGTGAGAATGCCCCCCGGGAATTTCAAAAGCGTCATTTCCAAATAAGTCCTTTGCTATTATTTGACAAAAGTATTCTTCTAGAACTTGGAGGGGAAAAAATAGTTGATGGGTGATCCATGAATGCCATTTTGACTTGAACTCGCAGAAAAGAAAAATTGGATGGTGATCCATGAATGCCATTTTGACTTGAACTCGCAGAAAAGAAAAATTGTATGGTGATCCATGAATGCCATTTTGACTTGAATTAGCAGGAAACAAAATTTGGATGGTAATTCATGAATACCATTTTGACGTCAACTCATTTGAAAGAAAAATTGGATGGTGATCCATGATTGCCATTTTGACTTGAATTTGCAAGAAACAAAAAGTGGATGGTGAGCCATGATTGCCATTTGACTTGAACTGGCAGGAACGAAAAATTGGATGGTGATCCATGAATGCCATTTTGACTTGAACTTGCAGGAAAGAAAAATTGGATGGTGATCCATGAATGCCATTTTGACTTGAACTGGTAGGAAACAAAATTTGGATGGTAATTCATGAATGCCATTTTGACGTCAACTCGTTTGAAAGAAAGATTGGATGGTGATTCATGATTGTCATTTTGACTTGAACTTGCAGGAAAGAAAAATTGGATGGTGATCCATGAATGCCATTTTGACTTAAACAGGTTTGAAAGCAAAATTGGATGGTGATTGATGATTACCAGTTTGACTTGAATTTCGCTGGAGGGAAAAATTGGATGGTGATTCATGATTGCCATTTTGACTTGAACTGGCAGGAACGAAAAATTGGATGGTGATCCACGATTGCCATTTTGACTTAAATTCGCAGGAAACGAAAATTGGATGGTGAGCCACGATTACCAGTTTGACTTGAATTTCGCTGGGAGGAAAAATTGGATGGTGACTCATGATTGCCATTTTTCAGGTTTTCAGCTCCCTTGAAGGAAGTCATGAAAAATTAGGAGACCGCCAATAGGGCTCGTTCAATGACGGCCATTTCTGTAGGAGAAGTGCAACTGCGTATTTTACACAATCTAGCACGCATTGCGCAGTGTTGAAAATGTTCCATTCCTGCGCGATTGTTGCTCGAAATGTGCTCGAAATACGACGCAGCTGATGCCCGTTATGCAAGTTGACGCTCAAAAAGCCGATGCACGTGGATGGTATGTAGGAAATGACGCCATTTGAACGAGACTTATAAAGGGCTTGAAAGCTCAGTTGATAGGGTACTGGAACACTATTCCAGATTTCACAGGTTCCAATCCCGCTGCAGTAAAAAATTTGGCTTGGTTGATGGAGCACCAGTAACGCGATCCCAAGTTCAGGAGTTCAATTCCATCGCCATATAAAAAAAAATTGTAGCTTAGTTGATAGAGCACTGGAACGGTATTCCAGAGTTCACTTGGTTCAAGTCCCACTCAAGTCAATCTTTTTCATTCAATCTTTTTTTTTTGATTGACTTGCGATTTTAACAGACCAACATCGATGTGGGTGATTCAGAGCACGGCGGCAGCCCCGAGGGGCAGACCAACTTGTCCAAGCAGGAGGAGAGGAAGGAGTATAACCTCTGCGTCCTGAAGCAGGTCCAGGCGATCTTTGGTCACCTCTCGGAGAGCAAGCTCCAGTACTACATCCCTAGAGGGTTCTGGAAGCATTTCAAGTGAGTGAACTGGAGTTGTCGAGGATCCAAAGTATGGCTTTCGAGGAGGGAACCTTCAGTCAAATTTTCCTTGACCGTCTTTGGTCAAAGCGTTATAACTACATCCCAAGAAGGTTCTGAAAGCCTTTGTAGTACCTGATTGGGACTTATCTAGGATCTAAGGCATGGCTTTTAGAAGGTATAATCTTTGGCCACATTTTTCTTGACCATCTGTGGTCATCTATGTGAGTTCCAAGCTCTATTACTACATCCCAAGAAGGTTCTGGAAGCCTTTATGGTACCTGAACGGGACTCATCTAGGATCTAAGGCATTGCTTCTGAGGGCAGAACCTTTGGTCAAAATGTTCCTGAACCATTTTTGGTTTTGTCTCGGAGAGCAAGCTGTAGTACTACATCTCATGAAGGTTCTGGAAGCCTTTCTAGTCAGTGAACAGGACCTATCCAGGATCCAAGGCATGGCTTTCGACGAGGGAACCTTCAGTCAAATTTTCCTAGACCAGCTTTGGTTGTGTCTCAGAATACAGACCTCAAGTACAACATCTGCATTATGCTTTCCTTTTCGTATTTTCTTGTCTCAGATTGTGGGGGGAGCCAGTCAACCTCAGAGAGCAACACGACGCTCTAGAGTTCTTCAATAGTCTAGTGGACAGCCTTGACGACGCCCTCAAGGCCTTTGGGGCCAACGCCGTCTTTGCCAAAGTCCTGGGCGGCTCCTTTGCAGACCAGAAAATCTGTAAAGACTGCCCTCACAGGTAGGTTAAGTCTTTCAAAAATCTTCCTCCGAAGTCTTGCTGTAACTTTGGTCGCCTGTGCCCCTTGAAGTCTGCTCACATTCTGTAAACATTGTTTATCAGCGGCACAATTTACACTAACAGCAATTTTCCTCTTATTTGTACATATGCATCATTCATTGAACCTTAACATTTTCATCTCATAATATAGCTTTCAATTTTCAAACAATTGAAAATGATAATATAAATTTAAAATTGACAATATAAAATTATAATGCCTCCCTTAACATTACTTTCATTTTTTTTATCTTGTAATAAGCTTATTAATTTAATTTTAGAGTATAATTTGAAATTATAATGGGACAGAAATGTCTTTCAAATTGTAAATGATTACTATTTTGTGTGCGTAGGTATTCCCGGGAAGAATCCTTCACCACCCTGAATGTAGATATCCGTAATCACCAGAACCTCATCGACTCGCTAGAACAGTACGTCAAGGGAGACCTGCTAGAGGGCGCCAACGCCTACCACTGCGAGAAATGCAACAAAAAGGTCAGCTACGGGACACCCCAGTATTGGCCGCAGCATTGTGGCAACCCCCCCTCCCCCTGGCCCAAAATAAGAGTTGTCCCCAAAAGGCTTAAAGGGAATGTACATCATTGGCTTTTGCTGTAATTTTTCAGAAATGAACTATTTGAGGGGTTACTATAATAGATCAAATATTGTTACACTGACATGTTTGAAGTTTTGTTTTTCGAAAATGCTGAAAAATCAAGAAAAACACAAAATGGTGGAGTAGTCTGGTTCCCCGACTCCACTAAAGATAAAATGGATCAATTTATAGATGCTGGAAAATTGTAAGGTAAGGGAACCAGTCTACCTGGCCTGCACCCGTTCATAAACATGTAACCAATAGCAAACAAAATTTGGACTGAAAAAATGGTAAATTTGGAGGAGAAGTTGAAAAATAGTTAGGTTTTTCCAACGGTGGTCAGCCGATCACCGTTGGAAATTTATACAAAAATACCATTTTCTTGAAAATGACTTCACACCAGGTGCCATAATTTTACAGGATGCTTTAGACTGTCAGTTACCAACATCCTAGTAAGGTATTTCGTAAACACTTGGTAGTTCTATTTTTCGATGTTTGCAAATGTTGTATATTCCCTTTAAGCTCACAAATTTGCTGAATACCAACCAAAAAAATTGGCTTGGATAGTCATTAGTTGACACTATTCTTGTTGACCATTTTTACTTTTTTTAATTAGGATTCTAAGTATTGACAGATTTTCCCCGGCAATTTAATTTTCAGGTCGATACTGTCAAGAGGTTGTGTATCAAGAAGCTACCGAGCGTCTTAGCAATCCAGTTGAAGCGGTTCGACTACGATTGGGAAAGGTGAGTAGGAGACGGTTGAGATGTGAAGATGCGGTGCAAAAAAACTGAGATTTTCTTTGAGAATCCTTTGGTTCCGTGAAGGAAATTCAAAAGTTAAAGCTGTGATTCTTTCTGTCTTTCTTCTGGACATTTCAGGGAATGTGCAATAAAATTCAACGACTACTTTGAGTTTCCCCGCGAGTTTGACATGGACCCGTACACCGTGGCAGGACTCGCCAAAATAGAAGGTAAGCAGTCAACGATAATGACAGGGAGGATAAGAGTAAGGGATGGGGCCACTGGTTTGGGATAATGGGACCATACATTTTAGTAGCTGGGACCATGGTTTGAGGAATGAGAACCATGCGTTTTACGAATAAGGATCATTTCTCATCCAGGGCTTTGAAAACATGAACACAGGTTATGGAATGAGAACCATAGTAATGGAGTGAAAGCCATGGGCTGTGAGGGTTTGTAGAATAGGTTGAGAAATTGGAACCATGGGATATGGAATGAGGACCAAAGTAATGGAGTGGGACCATGGGCTGTGAGGTTTTGTAGGATAGATTGAGGAATTGGAACCATGGGTTATGGAATCAGGACCATAGTAATGGAATGGGACCATGGGCTGTGAGGTTTTGTAGAATAGGTTGAGGAATTGGAACCATGGGTTATGGAATGAGGACCATAGTAATGGAGTGGGGACCATGGGCTGTGAGGGTTTGTAGAATAGGTTGAGGAATTGGAACCATGGGTTATGGAATGAGAACCATAGTAATGGAGTGGGGACCATGGGCTGTGAGGGTTTGTGTAATAGGTTGAGGAATTGGAACCATGGGTTATGGAATGAGGACCATAGTAATGGAGTGGGGACCATGGGCTGTGAGGGTTTGTATAATAGGTTGAGGAATTGGAACCATGGGTTATGGAATGAGGACCATAGTAATGGAGTGGGGACCATGGGTTGTGAGGGTTTGTATAATAGGTCAAGGAATTGGAACCATGGGTTATGGAATGAGGACCATAATAATGGAGTGGGGACCATGGGCTGTGAGGGTTTGTATAATAGGTTGAGGAATTGGAACCATGGGTTATGGAATGAGGACCATAGAAATGGAGTGGGGACCATGGGTTGTGAGGGTTTGTATAATAGGTCAAGGAATTGGAACCATGGGTTTGATAGAGATGGACCACGGATTTGTGGGATATCACTCTTAGTTGGGAAATGGAGACAATGGGTTGGAGAGTCGGGACCATGGATTGTTGAGAATTGTAGATAGGTTGTAGTCAAACCTTTCACAAAACAAATCACAAGCCCATCACAGTTAAGTTCGCTTTGATAAAGGGATAAATTGTGACAGAAAAGCATTGTGATGGACTTTGTGATGACTTCGCAGCCACTGGGAGGGGACAGCTGTTGGTTTAAGTAATAACGCTTGCGTATTATTCTAACCTACCTCCAGGCGAAGTGATTCATGACGAGCGAGAGAGCAGCGACGAGAATGAGGAAGAGACGTCCCACAGTACCAGGTACCGGCTAGTAGGCGTGGTGGTACACAGCGGCCAGGCTAGCGGGGGGCATTACTACTCCTACATCCTACAGAGGTAAGTCCAGCAGAGGAGCCAAAAAACTTCGTAAGCTTTGAGAGTCTGAAGCACTCATGTTCCAAACAAAACATTGGTGGGGAGAGCAGTTTATCCAACAGAGGGCAGCAAATAACAACTGAGGTGTTTTTTTTCCTTCTTCTTGACAGGAATGACAGTAACGGGAAGTGGTACAAATTTGATGACGGGGAGGTGACGGAATGTCGCATGGACGATGACGAGGTAGGCAATATCTGTCTTCATTCTCATTATCTTGGGTGGCATGGGTGGCTTGTGCGTAAAGCGCTCGCCTCTCACCAAGGTGACCACGGTTCGAATCCTGGCCGCGGATCGCATGTGAGTAGAGTTGTGCGTTGGTTCTCTCCTGTGCCACGAGGTTTTTTTCCGGACGCTCCGGTTTTCCTCCCTCCGGAAAAATCAAACACTTTCGATCTCAGGCTGTGCTCCGTGGTCATATATGGGTCGATGTGGCCGGCAGCCATAGGCGCCTTTACATGCCAGCGGCCTGACCATGTTGTAGCCACGTCCTTCGCAATTCAGCATACCAGCTGCGAGTAAGGATGATTAGCCTCCCAAATTATTATTATTATTATTATATTTCTTTCTTTTCTTCGACAGGAAATGAAGAACCAGTGTTTTGGTGGAGAGTACATGGGTGAAGTCTTTGACCACATGCTCAAGAGGTAAAGACAGCAATCTCAATTTTTTTTTTATAAATGGGGACAACGCCTAGTACCAAATAACAGTTGCTATTACATTAAGCTTAGTTCATATTTGACAAAAATGCACAATAAATGCAGATGCACATTTGTGACGAACAAAACTTAAAGCTATAGTCCATCATTTGTAATTTGTGCATTTTGTTCGTTTGAAGCAACAAAAGGGTTCAAAATCTAATGAAGGATACTGAACAACTAACCTGATGAAGTTTCAGCTAAGCTTCAGCTGTACATTCTGAGAAAAACGGCATTCTAAGATCTCAATTTCAAATCAAAGTTACTGAATCATGTTTTGAATTGTTTTGAATTGCAGCTATACGCGACGTAGCGCACTGATCCGACGAATTATAACAATCGCGCGCGCGTGTGCGTCGTTCCAATACTTGTGCGCGCTGCGCTGAATAAAAAAAGAACTACTAATTTAAATTTTCCTACGGTGCTTCACTGTTGGAAATGCCTTCTTTCGTTGATTACTTCAAAATGACAGCTTCCCAGAAGGAATAATTTCACAGGGAGTTTAGTTCCCTTACTATCTTTCAACCAAGTTTGTTTTTCAACAATAATTACGCCAGTTACTTTTCGGATGGCTGCAGATGATGGACTATAGCTTTAACACAGTGTGTCTTGACGTGGAATTTGCTTTGTGTTTGCATATTTATGGATTGAACATTGACCTTTAATATATCAAGCTTTGTTTTCCTCCAAATCATCCAGGATGTCGTACAGGAGGCAAAAGCGCTGGTGGAACGCCTACATTCTGTTTTACGAGCGCATGGACCCGCCCAAGAAGGACTTGGAAAAGGCCATCGAAAATCTCACTATCAGTAAGTGTTTGTCCATCGAAGAATAGTTTCTACAGGTGGATTCGAACCTACAAGTTCTGATATCCCGTTATAGTGCTCAACCAACTGAGCTGTCTAGTCGGTGTCATCTACTGGCCCCTCTCTGTTGGGTAAATTAACTGTTGGTAGACCACTGGAACTGCAGTTTGATGGTCTAGGGTTCATGTCCAGGATAATTCCCTCTTTTTGTATTAACGCTCAGCTCAAAAGTGAGTGACCACACGATATAATTTGTGTGTTCTTACTCAGAATATGTTAGATAACATAGTTGTTGGTACTTTACCGGAACTGCAGTTTGATGGTGTAGGGTTCATATTCATGACAATTTCCACTTTCCTATATTAATGTTCACACAATATCGTTGTGTTCTTACTCAGAATACGTTAGATAACACAGTTGTTGGTACTTCACTGGAACTGCAGTTTGATGGTCTAGGGTTCATGTTCACAATCATTCCCACTTTTTTATATATTAATGTTGAGCTCCACAGTGAGTGATCACACAATATCTTTGTGTTTTCCTACTCAGAGTACGTTGGGAAAAAAAAACAGTTGTTGGTAGACCACCAGAACTGCAGTCCAGTGGTCTTGTGTTCACATCCACATTGAGTCGATTTTTGTTTATAATCTGCAGCTCCAAAGATCCTAATGAAGATGCCAGCTTCCATCCAGCGTCGGGTGAGGCGGCAGAACATCCAGTTTATGCACAGTCGCATGCAGTACAGCATTGAGTATTTCCTGTTCATTCGCAAGCTGGTCACGTGCAACGCTGCGCTCTTCAATATACCCCAGGGACAGGAACAGCTGGTATGGTTGCGCAGATTTTTATTTATTTTTTTTTTTTTTTTTGTTCTCCTTTTTTTCCCAAGAATTTTCTGATTTCAAGAATAAGTCAATTCAAAGGACGGGAACAGTTAGGGTGGTGGGGAATTTATTTTATTTTATTAATTTTTTTTTTTTGATCCAGGATTTTCTGATTTTCAAGACTTACTAAGGTAAAGCTTGAGGGATGGGACAGTGTGTTTGCACAGATTCTTAATTTTTTCAGATATTAATTTTTCCAAGGAATTTTTCTCAATTGAATGCTTTTCAAAGGCATTTTATTACAAAGGGATACACAAGATGAAAATGGAAGAATTGTTTTTATAGTGAGGACAATGCTACCTCAGCTCAGCAATTGAGAACACTAAAATGTCATCATGTTAAGTTTGAAACGGGAGTGAATTTATGCGTATCACAATAAATTTACAGATCGGGAGTCTTCCTTTGAATTAAAAAGTCACGCATAATAAAACGTTGGACACAGTTTTTAAGCAAATGGAAACTTTCTTCTCATCCCCAAGGGTCCGGAGGCAGAGGAGTTGTCCATGATCAGTATTCAGCTGGCGTCTCGATTCTTGTTCAGCGTCGGTTTTCACACCAAGAAAACGCTACGGTGAGAGCCGGTTACCCGTAGCCCTAAGATAAATTCAACCTTCCACTGCCCCCACCAGGGTGACCATTTTAGCCGATTTTCGGCTAACTTTGACAGATTTTTTGTTAAAAAACGAGCTTGACAGAAAATTTGACAGAATGGAATTTTTTTGGCAGATTTCTGGCAGAATTCTGCAAAATTGGTTATTTAACAGAAAAACATAGCAAATTTGAAAAAAAATGGTACATTTGTTTAAAAAAGCTTCAACTTCACTGGGAACCGGACTTCGTATTGACGCAACCGCGTTTTGCCTGAAATAATTGCGTAAATTTCAAATTTACGCAATATAATTTCATAACATTTAATTATGTGACTATAGATTGTTTATAATGTTATTTGAACCTTAATTAAGGAAATACTACAAATCTGCATGTGATTTTAAGTGTTTATATTGTATTTCGAGTAATTCTGGGGAATTTGGCAGATTTGTGATAAATCTGACAGATTTTTGAAGGGCACTTAGCAGAATTTGGCCATGACCTTACGGTCAGCCTGGCCCCCCACTTCCCCCTCCTCCACACCTCCCAGTGGAAATTCTTGAGACAACCTGCTGAATCTTAAGAAATCCCACAGTTGAAAGAAAGCGCCATTCCCTCGATTCCAACAGAATCTGATATCCTCAACAAGAAGCAAAGCTTCCGGACTTGTTCCGGGTGGAATCATTCACTTTGTCCTGAAGAAACTCTGCATTTGTCCCGGACATTTCTCGAGGAAAGTTTCATCGGCAACTGCGTTACTGGCCAGTGCTGATAACTTCATTGCGGGGAAGTTGTTCAGAATCCTGCATTTTTTTACCCAATACGATGTCCGCAACTTGTGCAGAACTCGTCCTGGATATGCATTGAGGCGGGCCCTAAATCAGGCATTCCCCAACCCCTTCTACCCTGAAATTGGTATAAACAGGAAGCTTGTTCTTCAGCAAAAAAATGATTGAAGCAATTTTTAGAAAGTCTTTCAGACAGCTTTTATTGTTGCTCATAAATGTACTTTCATCATAAGGAATTGATATTTTCAAAGCAGCCAGCACGCCATGAAATTCGGGCGATTCACAATGCAGTGCGCCACCAAGAGTTGGCCATGGAGAGTCAACTTTACAAGTTTACGGTCGACAAAATATGGCCCATTTGAGTGAGTGTCAGTAGACACTTGAGCTAATTTGTTATAGATTGGGGCATAGCGTTCTGCCGCCTTACCAAAAATCACCATAGTGATACAAAGAAAAGAAAAGGGCAAACACATACTCAAATCATATGGTTATGAAACTGCTGACCGGAAAAAACGAACAATTTCAAATGTCCCGCGCTGCGAATTTGTCGACCATCTCCCACAATGCACTGGGAAAAATGAACTCTCCGTGGCAAACTATTGGTGGCGCTCTGCATTGTGAATCGACCCGAATTGGCGAGTGTTTTTACTCTCTCAGGATTTGACTTTTTCTGACATGTATAGTGACTATGATTCATTTGTTTTGCAGGGGACCGGCCACCGAGTGGTATGACGCCCTCTACGTCCTGCTACGGAGCAGCAAAAGTGTACGCCGGTGGTTTTCGCAGAACGTCCTCTTCGCGCACCCCTCGCGATTCTCCGAGTATCTACTAGAATGTCCCAGCTCTGAGGTAAACGGAACATTTTTTTCTAGGGATCATGGTGTTACCAAACGCCTTGTCCATTGTGGATGTGATCGCTTGAATTTATCTTTAGATTTCCTGATTTGCCCTTTTCTTTAAACACATACATTTCTCCCAGTCTTCCAAATTTGTGCAACTACATGTGGGTGCCATTGTTTGCCTGTACAGTGTTGGGAATATTTAAGATTCTGGACGCTGGCCAGCAAAAATACCCTAAGAAAGATAAGTTTGATGTAAATTATGGCTTTATTTCATTTTCGTGTAGGTGCGGAATGCCTTTGCTAAGATCATAGTAATTCTAGCTCACTTCTCACAGCAAGATGGACCATTCAGCCCAGGTAGGAAATTTGAACACGTTATTAATACCACGTTTAAAAAAAGTAATAATTGCAATAACAATGACGTGTCTATAAAGTCAAAGAGCAAGATCAGTGGAGGACTGTGGTTTACCATAGTTGGACTAACTTCGCTCGAACGCAGGATGGTTGGGCTCCGCTAGACGTCTATTTGGAACCGGACCACAGGGCACTGTTGCATCACTGGTTACCAATAGCGGTGCGCATCGTAATGCACAGCAGGGAACCAGGATCGAGACGCTTCGCGATGACGTTTTGACCAGCGTTTTGACTAGAAGCGTTCGCACGTCAGGGCACTGTTGCATCACTGGTTACCAATAGCAGCGCGCATCGTAATGCACAGCAGGGAACCAGGATCGAGACGTTTCGCGATTACGTTTTGACCAGCGTTTTAACTAGAGGCGCTCGCACATCAGGGCACTATTGCATCACTGGTTACCAATAGCAGCGCGCATCGTAATGCACAGCAGGGAACCAGGATCAAGATGTTTCACGATGACGTTTTGACCAGTGTTTTGACTAGAGGCGTTCGCACGTCGCAATTAGTGCGCATTTGTAGGTTAATAAGCAAAGAAAAGGTTACGTCACAAATCAACCCCTAGTCCACTAACGGTCGTCCCCCAAACTTGTTCCGAGAAATCCATTACAAGATAAGTGTCAACTTTATCCAGTTCGCGCCAGGATTATTTTGACATTGACTGGACGCAGGCGCAGGATTGTTTTTCATGAACCTCGATGCCAGACGGGTTCAGGCCGTCATCTGCGGGTAGCACACCCTGATATTTCCAACCGTGCTCGCTGTGAGCGGGTTGCAGTCAAATATTTTTGGCCTCGCACATTGCGTGTCAATCCGTCATCCGTTTTGAATACCGCCAAACGTTTGCGTATATACACGTCATCCAACGTGAACTGCTTTAGAAAGTCACAAGCTCAAGTCTGTTATTCTTTGCTCCCGTAGCGGGCCAAGCCTCGGATTCCACCAGTACCCTGAGTGACTACCTACTCCACGCTGTCCTGTCTCTCCTTAAGAAGGAAGTGTCGGAGCACGGCAGACACCTGACTCAGTACTTCCATCTCTTCCAGATGTACGCCAATCTGGGCATTCCCGAGGTGAGTCTTGTCAAAAACGCCCGTAACCTCTATCTGTGTCGCAAGATTTGGGAAAGGACTCCTACTTACGGTTTGAAAACCTGTGATATACATTTGCATTATTAAGTAACGGTTGGATCGCTGCTGCGCGTATCTTTGTGATTGCCTTATGGGCTCCGTGCGTGAACAAAAGAGGGCGCTTTTTTACCACTTTTGAGAGCTCGGGGGGGGGGGGGGGGGGGGGAGAGACACACCTTGTGCGCGTACATGGTTCGAGTGCGTATGGCGCGAAGTATGCATGACTTATTCTATTTTGACTGTACACAAAGCCATAACGTCTTCGCGTGAGCATCAAGCGTCGTCGGCAATGCGTTGGAATGTCTCTCCCAGTGGTCTCCCCAACTCTCCCTTTCATACCGATGAGGGGGTACTTGTGCACGGAGCCCATATTGACTTACGATTGTCTTGTAATTAACTTGTCTACAAGTCTGTTATCATCACAAACAACTTAAACACGAACTCCCCTTTTCTTTCTTACTTCAGAGGACACAGCTCCTGAAGCTGAACGTGCCAGCCACCTTCATGCTCGTCGCGCTGGACGAGGGGCCGGGACCGGCCATCAAGTACCAGTACGCTGAGCTAGGCAAGCTGTATTCTGTCGTCTCCCAGTTGGTCCGGTGCTGCGATGTCACCTCTCTCACCCAGTCCTCAGTCGCGGTATAAACACAACTTCCAAAGTTCTTTCTTTTCATTGACCAAATAGTATAAATTTACAAGTTTTTATTCCGAGAAAGTCAGAAATACCGGTAGAATGCGATAGTCCAATGGTTCAGTGTCCAACTCATGTTTGATGATATTTGGTTAAAAACCGTGATAGGGAGCATGGCATCGGTGTTCTTGGGCAAGACACTTTACTACAATTGCAACTCTCCACCCAGGAGTATAAGTGGGCACCTGTGAGGCTAGGGACCAGTTTGCACTGGTGTTGGATTGGCCATTACATCTTGCTTTTTGTCATATTGATGGGTTTACATCATCCCAACCATAATACATGAACATTTGGACCTGGAATTATTCTCCGCCTTTTTTTCCCAGGGTTGCGCGGCAAGAGACAACCCCCACGGCGATAACGTCTGCCTACAGCCCATCATGCCCATCCAGCAACAGGTGGCAGACCAGCTGTTCCTAAGAGGAGGCTACGTCAAGAAACTCATCGAAGACTGCAACAATTCCGATGAGACCACCAAACTTCTAAAAGTAAAAACAATTCTTAATTCCTCCGTAACCTTGCACGTGATTGTGATATTACGTCAATAGCTGTGGCAGAAAATGGTTTTTACAGAGTTTAGAACTTCCTTTTCGTTGATTGTCAGGGTATGTAGACTCCAAGATCCCGTTATTCAAAGTCACCTGGACTCTTAGATTTCAAGATACCAGTGGCCTAGAGTACTAGGATTCTAAGGTATCTGCATTTCAGGATATCTGGATTCCATGTCACTTGGATTCCCAGAAACCTGGAATTCCAGGTACCTGCATTCTGCTGCATCTGGGTTCAGGGTACCTGGATTCCAAGGCACCTGGATATTCCAAGGCACCTGGATTTTTCAAGGCACCTGGATTTTTCAAGGCACCTGGATTTTCCAAGGCACCTGGATTTTCCAAGGCACCTGGATTTTCCAAGGCGCCTGGATTTTCCAATTTTCCAAGACCCTGGATTTTCCAAGACGCCTGGATTTTCCAAGGCACCTGGATTTCCAAGGCACCTGGATTTCCAAGGCACCTGGATTTTCCAAGGCACCTGGATTTTCCAAGGCACCTGGGTTTCAGAGTAACTAAATTCCAAGACACAGACTGTCAGTCAGTTTCAGTTTAATGGGTTAGTTGTGAACCTCCAAAAAGTTCTTCAGTCTAGGAAAGTAGTACAGAGAGTAGTTAATGTAAAGACAGCATAGAATATTAAGCCAAACAATATGCAATTGCAACCAAATATGTACAAGTACATTTATTTTCCACTTCTCCTCCCCTTTACCTTTCTCGCAGTTCTGCAGCTGGGAGAACCCCAAGTTCTCCCACATGGTCCTCGGCGAGCTCCTCTGGCAAGTAGCTTACTCCTACACCTACGAGCTGAGACCCTACCTGGACCTGCTGCTCCAGATGCTGCTACTGGAAGATTCCTGGCAGAACCACCGCATCCTCAACGCCCTCAAGGGGATACCGGACGATCGGGACGGCCTGTTTGACACGGTCCAGCGCTCCAAGAACCACTACCAGAAGCGCGCCTACCAGTGCATCAAATGCATGGTGGCGCTCTTCACCAACTGCGAAGCGGCGGCCCGGCTGCTGGCCTCCAACGGCGACCTCAAGCGCAAGTGGCACTGGTCCGTGGAGTGGCTCGGCGACGAACTGGAAAGGGTGAGTTGCCGCTTCCAATTTATAAAAAAAAAAAAAAATCGCAGAAGGCGATGTTTGAGATGTTCCTTTAGCTAAAAGATGTGCCAAAATCGGAAAGTGGAATTAGATTAATGTCATTTCCCATCGTGCTTCCTTCAAAATCTTACCAAAAGGCCCAACGATCATTTTGATAACCTGCTTTTATTACAGAGGCCGTATTCAGCCAATGCCCAGTACACCTACAACAACTGGTCCCCGCCGGCTCAGTCCAACGAGACGTCTAACGGCTACTTCCTGGAGCGCTCACACAGCGCACGCATCACCCTGGCCAAAGCCTGCGAACTCTGCCCAGACGACGTAAGTCTTCGTTTCTCTCGTCAATCAGCATTTCTACAACTTCCGTGTTAAAATTTAATCAAGATCTGAATGTCTAGCAAATTGTACTCTATTTTTGCCAAATAACAACTCCAGCCTTTTTTTTTATTACTTGTGCATACAGCTGTGAATTAGTATAAAACAAAGCAGAAAATTCCAAGCTGAACAAGCAAGTTTGTCAATTAGTGATTTTGGTTTTAATAAAATAATGGAAATACTCCAAATTTAGGAGCCAGAGGATCTAGACGCCATGGACGAGCAGGAAGGGTCACCCCAGGACGAGCCGCCAGTAACCAACTACCAACAGCATCTACCCCACTTACAGCAACCAAACAACCAGCAGATTACATCCCAGGTGAGTCGTGCAGGGGGCCGGGGGGGGGGGGGGGGGGCGGAGCAAGGGGAGGGGCTTGGGTGGAGATTTTTTTTGGGGGGGGGGTTAAAATGCCTTGGTAGTGTGATTTATTGTGGGTTTTATTGAGGGTCAAGGTTTGATGGCAGTGTCTTTGACATGTTGGTTCGAACCCCACCAGAGCAGCAGGAATATATTTGTCCTTGGGCAAGACACTTTACTTCAATTCACTTCTGTATGACTATGTGCAGAGCTTGGAGATAGCTTGATAATTTGGAGTGTTTAGTGGCAGCATCCTGTGGATCCAGGTTAAAACCCCACCAGAGGAGCATTCTTATTATTTTATTGTCCTTAAACAAGACACTTTGATATAATTTGCTTCTGTAAGGAGCAGAGCTCAGCCATGTCTAGGTCTCTGTGAAGGGCCAGTGTCTATGGTTTGCGTGTCTTGGTTCGAATCCCACCAGAGTAACATGTACTTTAATTGTCCTTGGGCAAGGTGCTTTGCTGTGATTTGCCGTTTCCAAGAGCTCTGGCATGGGTCGGTAATATTGAGTGTTATATGGTAATAGTCTTGATGATTTACCCCAGGTACAAGAAGAAGAAAGCTCCCCACAAGAGGACGCGCCCATCACTAACGTACAACAACAGAACAAACCCCAGCCGCCACCAAACAACCAACAGCAAGTGACCGCACAGGTATCAGATAAACTCATTTCATGCTAGTGTTCCAGAGTTGAACGGAACCGAAATGTGTCGAGAACAACTAAAGTGGATCCTAATACAATTAGGTTTAGACCGTCAAGTTTATGTGCTAAGTTTTCCTTTGACTGGACTCTTTGAGTTGTTTGGAACAACTGCAGCAGTTGATCTTCTGCTTGTGGTCCCCCCTCCATGTTCCTAACGTCGAACTGAATTCTGGAATCTTTGGAATAATTTGGTTTCTAGTTAGTGATACAGTAAACTCCGGCTAAACCCACATCGTACAACTCGTCAAATCGCTCAAGTCAGCCGTCTGACTAAAGTCCCGATTGTCCGTAATGCATTTCCATTGAATTTTTTATTTCTAAGTCTGCCTTTGTAAGTCGCCATTTCGCTCAAGTCGTCGTGTTACTCTTGGTCCCCTTTGCACAAAAAGCATTACAAAATCCTTTGTGTAAGTCGGCATTCAACAAATCACGCATTGGCATCGACTTCCTGTACTGCGGATGGCAAAGTGTCGAGTGAAAAGTGGATTCGCACGGCCCGTGATCGCTGTGTGCATCGGTGTCGAAAAAGGGTGTCCTTATGCATACATCGCATATACATCGTGAGCATATCAATACCAGTACCCCCTCTGTCCATTTTGGGGGTCGTCTTATTGAATGACGACTGCTGCAGTCAATACGTGCGTGGTATATACCGGACCACGCATGCATTTAATTCGTTACTGTGCACGTACATATGTATCGTGGTCTCCACTATCACTACCCCAAACGTGATGATACAATTTGAGGATTAATTTGCTGGATTCAACTCGAGCATTAAGGAGATAATCCAGGGTAATTAGTGCAATGAATCATGTGTGCATACCATTCATGTAAGTCGGCAAAATGACGACTTACAGCAGATATGGGCATTCGCGTAAGTCGTCACAAATTCTCGGGTCCCGAGAGTGCCGGTTTAGCCGGAGTTCACTGTATTAATGGATTTGTGATATCTTTGGTTTACAGAACAGCCAGCTTCAACCGCAAGTACCCAACAACCAACAGCCCCCGCCCTTCACCCAGCACCACCAGGCCAACCTTCACCGCCACCCCAACGCCATCAACAACACCCTGCACAGTCCCCCGAACCCTCCGGCCCACAGGGGGGGACTCCAACAACAGCAACAGCAACAGCAGCAGCAGCAACAACAGGGGGAGGAACAGCAGTCCGTGGAACCGACGCCTGACCCCGGCGACGGTTACCCAAGCAACAAGGAGAAAGAGGGCCAATGAGGCATCGAGGGTTCGTCCCGATTTGCAGAGAGTTTCTGACAGCGTTGTTTGATGTCCTTATCCGGCTGCATAGTCTACTAATTAGTGATAAGAACAACAACCAGTATTTTAGACTTTCAGTTTCATGCCAGTCCCCTGCAAGAAAAGATCACTGTATGTGATCAGCAACCCTAGTGAAAAAAATATATATATTAATACGATAGAAATGTTATGAGCCCAGAAATGTTATGAGCATATGAATCGGAGAGTGTTGTTTTGTAGTACATGCCAAAGCTTTTTTGAATGTACCACTTAAGTCCAAAACAATTGGTCAGTGATCGTAAATAGTTTGTTGTCGATAGTTGCAAGCATGACCATAGAATTGAAACCTTAAAAAAAGATGTGGTTTTTTTTAAGAAAACAAAATAAGTGCACTTTTTTTGCATTTTCTATATAATGCCTGGTTTAATGAACATATGCCAGCAACGTGAAGTGATATTTAAATAAAGTCATGTTGTTCATAATGGTATTCTTTTTGAAATTGTTCAAACATTTCAAGGAATTTAGCCCCTATCGCACACTTTGAAATACCGCTTGGACTTGTGTCGAGCATATTGTTTGTTTTGCAGCATTTGGGTTCTTTTGGTATCCTTTTGAAGTGTTTCAAGAAAGAGGACGACTGGATTTTTGAAATGTACATACTCTAGATAACATATCATTGTTTTCAGTTTTAAGTTTTCTCTTTTTGTGCTGTTGCGTGCCAAGAGAGCAGTTACGTCCCAAAAACAAACGGTTTTGGTTTTTTTCTGATCCAGAGAAGACGTATTTGTATGACGGTTGTTGGAATATGGTTCTCTATGGTTTACAAGCGGTCGTTGTAATTTTGGTAACCAAAAATGACTTTATCAATATGGTATTTATTTCAAACATGGCAGTAGCAGAGACTTGCCTTTATAATAGTTGAGGACCATCAACTATTTTGAAGAAAAAAAACTTTGTGTGCTTTGAATTTTGTAATAAATAAAAGCTAAAATGTGATGGTGCGATTGCATTTTACGCTAGGTTCATTCACTAGTCCATCTGTGTGCGAAAAACTTTGACAAAAACGTGGCATTATCTTAAAGTAAAACAAAATTACATGTATAATATTCAAAAGAACATGTATATGCTGTTTTCAAATGTCATTCTTTGAGGTTGTCAAATTGCGTTTTGTTTTGTCGAGTGTTCCCCTTTTGGTTTTCAAAATTTGGTTTTTACTTTTTGTTTTGTACTTAAGATGAATTGTTTGGCCCCTTGGATTTCTCAATACACTGTTTGCTTTTGTTTGTTTGCTTTTGAAAACTTCACAGGAATGCTTGCCGGGGATGTATTTTTTCACAGTAAGCATCTTCGGAAGGTTTTGATGGGGGGGGGGGGGGGGGGGAGACTAAAAGGGAAAATGTAGATGGGGACTGACATTCTGCATATTATAGGGTTTTCTATTTTCCATGGCCGTCATGGTGAACAAATTGGACATATTGACATAATTTCAAATTTATGACCTATGATTGTTACATTATGATCTATGCAGGGTGGTTATTTTCCTTTTGTTTTTGATCGTTTTCCAAGTTTTTTTGTTTTTGTTTTTGTTGTTTTTCGTTTCCCTTTTTTTTTGGAACGCATTCGAAAGGTTCTGCTCAGAGTATTTGGTTATCGGAATGAAGCTGTCGGTTGCCACGGCAACACTAACCAGTCGATCGCACCAAAATTTTATATGCATTTATTTAAGAAGAGAAAGAGTTAAATACTTTGTGTTAAAGCGAAGTTTGTTTAAACTAAAATGAGATTTAAAAAAAAAAATAAACCCTTTTGATTTGGGTTCTGTATATAAGTTAAAAACAAAAATTGGAAATATGATAGGGAGATAGTAGTGTTGTATATGTGTCGTCGTAGTACACTAGTAGCCAGAAACATGATGTCATCATTACAACTAGCCTTGTCTTCGAGTCGCACACCGAGCTTTTGTAGTTTAAAGTATAGTTAGCCAAATAAAAAAATGTTACTGGCTGTATAATTTATATAACAAGGAGAACACAGGTTACGAAGTGCAAAAAAAAAGGACCAGTCATGTCTGTGTATAAAAAAAAAGACGCGAACTACTGGTTGTTATTTTACTGGAAGCCTTAACGTGTTGAAGCTAGTGTTTTATAGCAAATTCTTATGATTCTTAAAATTATAATGATTTTCGCACGGACATACACAAAACAAAAATTGATATGTAATTCTATAAATGTCAGTCGGCTCCATTGGACCGCTGTGGTGAACGTGTGATAAACGAAGACAAACAAAAATAGAAGATCCTGAACAATGTATTGTTTTGAAGAATGTATATGTACGATGGAATAATAAACAGCTATGAAGCACGCGAATTCCTCGCTCAATTTGTGATCACAGTTGCTTGTTCTTTGACTTAAATTGAAGACTTCTCCGGTTCTTTCGAGCAGTTCTGGACTACGGTATTCTATATATTGCGCCTATCAATTGTTTCCCCACCCCTTCTCCCGCCCCCGGGCTGCCCCACCTAAGACGTGGGGATTGTCCCTTTTGAAGTGACAAAATCCCCACCCCTCGGGGAAAACTTGAAGTGACAATCCCCGACCATGCCCCGGCGCACTTGTGATTGCCTTCCCATGTAGTACGCCAATGGTAACAATGTAATTTGAGTGACCAAAATCCCCACCCTGGGGCGAGAAAAACGTGACCAAATCCCGACATCGGACCTGGGGCAGCGCAGGGGGGGGGGGGACATTTGATAGGCGCATATTATTCTGGGGTTTAGGTGGTGTTGCCAAAGCCTCGTTGAAACCGAGGTTGGTGAAATGCCCGAAGCTTCTACCGATTGGTGAATTGAAATGTAGCAATTGGTGAAACCATGGAGGACTTGAGACGAAACCTATGTTTGTATGACGCACATACGTTTTTCTACTTGCGGCTCCAAACACACCTAAATTAAACCGTATGTGTATTTTTGACCTTCGCTAAATATAAGTTGAAAACTCTTATAAAGGTTTCAAGTTAAATCGTCGGGGGAAAAACATGGTTTGTTCCAACAGAGTATCGATTATGTGCTTCTTAATGCAAAGCATGGATATCAGTAGAACTAGGCCTATTTGTTTTTGCCTTTGCTTAATTACTCTTCGTTCAAGGTATCACGCTTTTGCGCTTGCCGCGGCGCTTTTGCTTTTGCCGTGACAGTTGTGGGCCACCGTAGGATACGCCCATCGGATTATTAGCTTAATGCGATACCATCAAATCTAAAGGTCGTGAATATATGCAAACAAGATTGCCTGTTTTACTACTGTTTGCTACAAATCAATGCACACTACCACATACATTTATATGACATTGTTTTTCCTGAGCAACTGGAAAGTAGATCTGTGAAAGCAACGTAAGTTTTCGAGGGTCGTTTACTTATGAGCAACAATGCCAGTGGATAGACAGACGTACTTCTATTCCTGGGCCATCTTGTCTTTGTTGGCCCTGGCAGTTTATTTGGGAGAGGACAGCATTGCTGCTAAAATCATCGCTGGTACCTTGGCCGTGGCTGGGCTGTACATTGGAGGCAAACTGGTGCCCAGGGGTCACGTCAGCCCCGAGGGTAAGGCGGTGTTTATTACCGGGTGTGACACGGGGTTTGGCAACGGGTTGGCGAGGCGGCTGGACGGCTGCGGCTTCACCGTCTTCGCTGGGTGTTACATTCCAGGTAATCATTAATAATAAAATGTCAAATTGCCCATTTATTGACTGGTTGATCGATTGAGCAATCGATTGATTCATTAATCAATTGACTCATCATTACACTGATTCATCATTTCATTGATTGAATGACCAATTTTGAGATCAGTTGATTGATCGAATGACGAATTGATTGATCATTCGAATATATTTTATAAATATATTGATTTATCTACTAAGTGATCGATCCAGTGATCAACTAATTGATTGCTCAACTAGTAATTGGTAGAGTGGTTGATCGATAAATGAATCGATTGATGGTTGATTCATTGATTTACTAATTGATCAATTGGTAATCATTAGGGTAATTGGTTGATTGATCGATACACCAGTGGATGAATCAAATGATCACAGACTGATCGATTCATAGATGCGTTACTCAAACTGTTTAACTGATCAATTGATGGATGATCACTGATTATCTTATTGATTGGACCGATGATTGACTGATTGATGGATTATTTAATGGATTGATCAACCTAATGATTCATTGGTTTATCATTGGCTTGATTGATCGATTGAGCGACTTTTATTGATAAACTGATTGATGGATGGATTGATGTATTGATTGTCTCCCCCAGATGGCCCGGATGCCCAACAACTCGCCAAGGAAACTTCGTCTAGGTTGACCATTGTTCCTCTTGACGTCACGTCTGATGAATCAGTGGAAGACGCTAGGGACATGGTCAAGGCTGGACTACAAAGACAACGGGCTGGTAAGAAACGCTATGCCGTAGCTATGCTTTATGGTACCAAAATAATTTATTGACTCTGTGTACAAACCGCAATAAGATTTTTAAAATCCCCTGACACCTCTTCCCATCGTCCCTCCGAGACAATGAAAAAGCCGCTTCGGCAAATGTGCAAGATCAGCCCTACTTTTTTATGTCATCATAATCGCGACTGTTTGGATTGAAGGCAATTCCACTGAATTTAAACGAATAGGTCTAACACGAACTTTTCTTCACCCTTGAATTTAACTATCGCGTCTTATTAATTTTGAAGTACAATTTTCTGCTATGCAAGTTTTACATCAGTACAACTTCCGTTAATCAAAGAGTCATTAGGCCTAGTGACAGTAGAGTCAAAAATGCAGGAATAGAACATGTCATTGTTTTTAACGGGTTGTTTTTTTTCTAAGAGCTGTGGGCGGTGGTCAACAACGCAGGAATATGGCGCTGGGGCCTGATTGAATGGACGACCATCAAGCAATACAAGCAAGTAGCTGAGGTCAACGTGTACGGGATGATCAGAGTCACTCAGGCTTTCCTACCGCTCATCCGCAGAGCAAAAGGTAAAAGGGTCGGTCACGGTTTGGTCATACCAAGAAAGTTATGATCATATTCTATGACCAAGCTAATTGAAAGATCCATCATAGGCCCCGCCCATTGCGCACGTGGGCAACAACAGTCACGTGCGCCAGTCTGCGAGGCATGTACACGCATTTTGGACCCTAACCAGGACCGTGATTGGTCGAAACAGAATGGGGCGGGGTTTAAAATAGGAGAGAATCCTAAACCTTCCGGATTTTAAGCCCACCCACCTTTGGTCTATGTACCGGGCTATCGTGGTCACCTGACCAAAAGTCGTGACCTTATTGGTCAATGCGCACTGTTTGATTGACGCGCAATCCGGTTTTAAGTGACTGCGTGCCTATTGGCAAAACGCCTGTTGGCTAAACATGCAACTTTGTACTTCTTCAAGTTCCAATGGTTACAACGCTACTCTTCGTGCAGTGGGCGTGGTTTATGTTGAAATAACCAAGAGTTAGTCTGAGTGTCACCCGTTATCCACGGAGCCAGTCTCCGTACAACGTCTGATGAATTAAAGCATGCAGATTTATGCGATCTCGCGCCTCAGCCAATCGGAGTCGAAGTTACTAAATCGTGACGTCATTTCATTTCCAAATCAGGACTAAATATTTGATTGATCATTTCAAATGCAGTGTTTTGTAATACAACAACAGCCGGGCGCGTATCGAGTAACATAATACAGAGCGCGTGACCACAGCCTTTGTTGCTGTATCTTGGTGGTTTTTTTTATCCATGTCTATGATGCGACAACGGGTGAATGAAGACCCGAAGACCCGATATAGAAAGCGCTTGCTGATTGGTCAAAATCTAGAGGTCAAGATGCGGTTGTCTTGCATAATTAATCAGCGAATCTGCTCAAAAATTGCAATTAGTCACACAGATTACCAAGAGTTTGTTCTAGCCAGAAAAAAAAATTCGCAATGGATTTTGGAGTCGCCGTCACTTGAAAGACGTTTTTGTTGTTGCATTTATGCATCCAATTATTTTCGAAGCGACGCAAGCCATTTCGATTAAATGTTCGAGCAAAAACTTTATCGGCCTATGAAAATGTTATAATGCAAGTGTCAATGACACTGATGACTTCGGGCTCTGGAAGGATGCACGCCTGTAAAAAGTCAAAAATCCGTCCGCCGAGCTCATGAATAAAAATACCCTCAAAATATTCAATATTAGAGAGTTTTGAGAGCCTTAAAATTGGGGAATTGAAGAGATATGGTAATGAACCTCTGGCCCAGACTTGGGGCTTCCAATTCTGAGCATTTTGGATGCTATTGGGCTCGAAAGTGGCGCTATTTTGCCATGTTGTGGAGGGATCGTTTTTCAAGATGGCTGCTTTTCCGCTTTGGGGAAAATAGGGGCCGTCTTCTTTGGGTGAGAATATCTCAAAAAGTCAACGGTCAACCCACCAAAAAAAATGAAAAGAAATGAAAGATGACACACTGATCATCATTTTTTTCTGTGCAGCTTGAATACCTGTGAGAGTTTGGAGTATTTTTAAAAGAATTTTGAAGTATGCGCATTTAGCACTATAGTGTCTATGAGATTTGTTTTGCAGGGTTGCACCCGGAAGTCGTTAAGATTTAGGCTGCATGCTTTAATTTCTTTTCAAATTCTCAGGTCGTATCGTGAACGTCAGCAGCGTAAGTGGACTGTGGACAATACCTTACATCTCCAGCTATTTCATGACGAAATACGCAGTCGAATCTTTCTCCGATGCACTGCGTTTTGAGATGAATCCGTGGGGAGTCAAGGTGCGTAATTAGGGCGCCCTCAATGACAGTGTGCATAACCTGTGCATTTTTGGATGATTTTTAAGTTCAGATTTCGCAATGGCATTTTACGAACTATAGACCTCATGCGTAGCTGCCATCTTGGAGTGCCATGCCTTTGTTTTGCTGTATTATACTTGAGTGAACCCTCTGTGCCTTCATTGTTGCTGAATACAAAAGATGCCCTCCAAGCTAGAGTCTGAGTATCACCCGTTATCCACGGAGCCAAGTCTCCTGTATAACGTCTAATATGTCTAAACATGCAGATATGCAAGCCGCGCGCCGGCCAATCGGAGTCGACTTTACTAATCGTGACGTCATTTCGTTCCCAAATCAGGACTAATGGGGTTGGTCAGTTCGAATGCAGTGTTTTGTAATACAACAGCCGGACGCATATCGCGTAACATAATGATACAGAGCGCGTACGTGACACAGGTGTTTTTTTTATCCTTGTCTATGGCGCGCAACGGGTGAATGCCTGAAGACCCAAAATAGAAAGCGCCCGCTGATTGGTCAAAATCTAGAGGTCAAGACGTGGTTGTCTTGCATAATTAATCAGCGAATCTGTTAGACCATGGCTTTCGCATGGTCTATTACATAGACTACCTTAAGATGGCCGAGGCGCATATAAGTAGGCGTACTGTTTGTTGTCAGTATTTGGGTGTTAAGGTCATTACTCCATGTTTAAATTTGTGCCTTCCAATTTCAGGTTGTCTTGGTAGAACCCGGTGAATACGGTAAGCTAACCGGCATCGCCCTGCACTCCCGAGAGTCGACCCTTGCCGTCTCCGAGCCGCTCTGGGACGGCATGCGCGACGACCTGCGCAGAGACTACGGGCGGGAATACTTCGACGGTCACGTGCAGCGTCTCCACCAGGCGCGCGAGGCATGCTGGGACGACCTGACGCCCGTCTTAGACGCCATGTTGGATGCGGTGGCCTCGGGTAGACCGAAGCACCGGTACCTGATTGGGGAGTTGTCCACTTACTACTTGAAGTTCAAGTTTAGCCTGCTGCCGTCCTGGATGACTGATTGGACCCTTTACAAGCTGGATGAACCATTCCCTAAACCGGCAGCACTGAGGGAGAAACACGACTAGTTGGTAACGGTCAGATCAGCCTATAAGTTCGAGAAGGAATGTCAAGTTTCATGATTTGTGTTTAACCAAAGTTAGAATCATCTTCATCGAACGTAATACATGTATAGGCGAATCCGGGCACGTAGTGTCTGTCCACGTAGCCCTATGTACAACTTAAAGCCCGGGCCCTTTGAGTGGATAAACCATTGTGCACGCTATTGCACAAAGCAGCTGCTCAGTGATGGATGATCTGAACAATACTTAGCACAATGCTTTCGCCATTTACCGGGGCCTTAGTGGTAGAATTGATAGCGTTAGCGTGCCCGCATTGGTTTAAAGTCTGAAATTGGTAGCATTATCAATAGCTGCGCTATCTTTATATCCATCGTGTTCAATGTAACCATAGCGTAGGCCTTTAATTATTACATCATGAGTCCGCCATATTAAGAATGTGCCATCTTCGAGTTAGGATTGTGCGTTAAAATATCAAACATCTAACAGTAGGCCTACTGAAATACTTTTGATTGTTTCTAATTTCATGCAATACGGTATCAGTCATGCGTTATCAGTCATACGGCGTATCATGTTCCAATTGAGTTTGTTCCTGGTTTGTTCGATTGTTTGAAATCTTATATTAAACAACATGAAGTCGCTGAAATTGTGGCCACAGTTGTTCGTTCTTTGACAATACATTGGAGACTTCTCCGGTTCTTTCGAGCAGTTCAGTTCTACGGTATTCTAAAGAATCCTGGGCGTTTTTAATACGTAGGTGGTGTTGCCACAGCCGCGTTGAAGCCGATGTTTGTGAAATGCCCGAAGCTTCTTCCCGATTGGTGAAACGTAGCAATTAACTGGTGAACCATGGAGGAATATTAAAGGAAAAAACTATGTTTTTATGCCGCACACACGTTTTTCTCCTTGCTGCTCCAAAAAACACCTAAATTAAACTGTTTGTGTAATTTTTTTTTTTTACCTTCACTACATAAAAGTTCAAAACTCCTAGAGGGCCCAATTTCATGGAATCCGTAACGCCGAATTTTGTGCTAACGGCCCGCAATTTTGTGCTAACCGAGCTAGCACAAAAATTCTGCGCTATCCTTGTAAGCACAAAATCCTTAGTTACGGGAAGTACGCATGCGCACAAGCCAAAATTCCTTGCTAACCCGTGAAATACGCTAACCGTTAAAAATGCGATGCCGAAAAAATGCGACGCCGATGGCACATATGGAACACCATACTTTTGGTCAATTTTTAGGACCGATCGAACGACCACCAAGTGACACGTAGAAGCTCCTCGTCCTACTCGTCCTACGTGTATTTGTTTTTGCCTTTGCTAACTTACTTTTTGTTCAAAGTATCACATGATTAGTTTAGTAGTGTACTGGTCTTGGTCTGAAAAGCATGTTTGGAGTCTGGTGTCGTATGGAATGTATACTCCTATAAATTCTATGAAATTGATCTTCAGAGTGAGATCCCGCTGTGTGCGCACAGCTGTATGCGCAATATCGCCATAGTATACATGTATATTTCAGTCCATATATCATACGACACCAGACCTTTAAGCTTGTGGGCGTGGTTTATTTTGCACTTCGACTCCACACGTACGTACACCCATCGACTGGATTATTAGCATAATGTGATAGACATCAAATCTAAAGGTCGCGAATATAAGCAAACAAGATTTCACTCAAATCAGTGCACACACTGTACCATATACCTGTGACATTGTTTTTCCTGAGCAACTGGAACGTAGGCCTAGATCTGTGAAAGCAACGTAAGTTTCCGAGGGTCGTCGTTTTGGAGTAACAATGCCTGTGGATAGACAGACGTATTTCTATTCATGGGCCATCTTGTCTCTGTTGGCCCTGGCAGTTTATTTGGGAGAGGACAGCATTGCTGCTAAAGTCATCGCTGGTACCTTGGCCGTGGCTGGGCTGTACATTGGAGGCAAGCTGGTGCCCAGGGGTCACGTCAGCCCCGAGGGTAAGGCGGTGTTTATTACCGGTTGTGACACGGGGTTTGGCAACGGGTTGGCGAGGCGGCTGGACGGCTGCGGCTTCACTGTGTTCGCCGGGTGCTACATTCCAGGTAATCATTAAAATAAAATGTCAAATTGCCCATTTATTGACTGGTTGATCGATTTAGCAATCGATTGGTTCATCAATGAATTCATCGGTTAATATATTGAACGACTAATATTGATAGTGTTGCGTTCCCGCAAATTGCGTAGTTTACTTCTTTCCCAACCAATCCATTCCACTCCGTGCACAGCGTAATGCTTGCAGCGATCCTGTGTGCCCTCACACAGCGCGAAGCTTTACCACGAAGTCTTAGACACACGTTTAAGTGTGCAGCACATTGTACAGTACACTATTGTATAGCGCGCAATGCGTGTAGCACTCACTGCTATTGAACATGTACCGCCATGGGACATGTACTTAGGACTTCAGCCATTTTCCCTCCACCTTTCCCCGGAGTCGATGCGAATTCCCCTCACACACCTTACCTCGCATCCGACCCACATTGACCCCGAGCATTTAGCGAATGTGGCTCGCTAAAACCTACCCGTGTATTCACCCCTTAGTGACCCCGTACACCCCAGCGAGTGTGTCCCACTAACCCACTGGCCGAGACCTACGGTAGCTAGAGGTCAGATTACGTCCTTCATCTCATAGTTTTACTCCATAGCATTAGTGTGTAGATTCTTAACTAGTCTAGAGACTAAGTCTTGTACACAAACCTATGTACCGAGAAGTTATTCCCTTTCCCTTTTCCTTGAGGATCAGTTCCCCGTAACGCACCCACGAGTGATCCTACTTCGCCCGCTAACCACTGCTCTCGGACTTTCTTCCACTAGAATGTCTAAGTCAGTCGTGTACAAATCTCCCATAGAGAACTTTCCCCATGCCTTTGTACACGGATGCATTATTCATAACTACTAGAATCCAATGCTCCCATTGGCTAAGACGCGCCCCCAAAAGTCTATATAAAGCGCGCAGAAATGGCAGTTCTGGTCATTGTTGTACTGGGCTCTTCCCCAGTAGATTCTTGAGCTGAGCTCTGACCTACACAGAGCTCTCGCATATGATGCATTAGATTGTTGATCTGGGCTCTGACCCCGACAGAGTCCCTGACATGTGTACACGTAGATTATCGAGCTGTCCGCTCACTGGCCATAGACCCTACGTCTGTACACAGATAATCATGTACGCCGTAACTTTACATTGTATATAGTGCGCCCTCTATTGACCTGAGATGTAAATAATCCCGAATAAAGTACTAGTGTGTGTGTGTAAGATACTTGTATCTGACTCTTTATTTGATAATGTCTCTCAACCCAGAGAGACGTTACACTGGTGGCAAGCGCTGGGATACGAACTTACACACACCATCGAACTATACCATGACTTTTAATTAAGTCACTTCATGTACCCCTCCACTGAACGGATCTCCCAGCTTTAGACTCTGACTTTCTGCTTGTCAATATCAGCAGCCAACATGCCTGCCAAGCGAAAATCTCGCAGGTTACAGTCGTTGTATGATGATGATGACACCAACCTGTATTCAAGTCTACAGGAAGAGAGTGCAGAACTTCAAGAACTTAAAAAACAGTTCGAACTTTTCAAGCTTCGTTCAGTGGAGGCGGAGAAAGAGCTGAAACAACTCCGAGCAACTGCTGCATTACACAGCCCATCAACGGCTGAGCAGACAGATGCCAATGTTTCAGCGAAATCGCCCAAGGACTCACAGCCAGTGATGTCTGCTCCCAGTACTGCCCCTTCCACCGTTCCACAAGCTGACGCCCCTAAACCAACAGCAGCAGAGCAAGCAGAGCCCCGTCCTCTCCGAACCCAGCCGAGTCATAAGCTGGATGTTCCTCTCCCTCGCCAAGGAGAATTTGACGGCACGAAGTCATGGGAAGGCTTCGTCCGACCTCTGATGGGTCTCGCCGAGGCTTGCGGCTGGTCCGAGGAAGAAAAGCGCTTCCGACTTGTCAGCAGTCTACGTGGAAAGGCGGCCGAGTACGTGTACCAGCAACTGGATCCCGAAGCAATCAAGTCGTCCGACACCCTGGTGAAGGAGCTTGGTAAACGATTTGGCGAACGACAATTGCCAAATTACTACATCGCTCAGCTAGAAGCGAGGAGACATCAGCCGAAGGAGAAGCTGGCGGAGTTTGTAGCCGACATTCGCCGCCTCGTCTTTCGGGGCTACCCTACGGCAGATCCAGTTACCAGAGAGAGCATCGCCCTTCGCCATTTTCTGAAGGGCCTCCCCGACCAACAGATGGCAGTTTCCGTTGGCATGACGAATCCCCAGTCCCTCGAGGAGGCAACAACGGCGGTGGAAAACTTCCTGAGCCTCCGTGACACCACAAGCTCGGGAAAATCACATCGTGTGAACACCGTACAGGCAGCATCTGAGGCTGATCCCGGGTTCGTCAACCAAAAGCAGTTTAAACAGTTCCAAGACAACCTCGACCGACGGTTAAACGGAATTGTCAAACTGATCAAAGATAAGCCCGCCTACAAGCAGAAATCCGCCAAGCCTGCTGAAGCCAAGAAACAGCAGATGGATGTTACTTGTTTCAAATGTGGCAAGCCCGGCCACTTTGCAAACAAGTGCCCCGACATAGCGGCCAAGGAGGTCGTCGTCATACAGACGGAAAACTAACGCGGACCGTGCCGTCCGGCCTGGCACCGGTCCGTCCCAATGAACAGAACACTATCCGAATGGGTAGACAGCAATTTCAAGGCATGTCTGCATTTTTGCGAGTGCAGATATGCGACCAAGACAGCGAACTTTTAGTCGACACCGGAGCGGCGGTGACCATCATTTCTTCAGCACTTTTCAGCCAGATCCCTGCTGAAAAACGCCCTGAACTCAAACCCCCGTGCAAAAGCACAAAACTAGAAACTGCAAACAAGGAACTCATTGACATTGAAGGTGTTGCCACAATCGACATGATGATTGGTGAACAGCACTTCCAATGGGATGCATTTGTCGCCCCCATCAGCGATGAAGGAATCCTTGGCTATGACTTTCTATACCACTATGATTGCATATTGGAGGCACGTAACGGCATACGAATTGCCGGTAACTGGGTTCAGTGGACAGTCCAAGGAGCCCCTCCCCGTGTAGTTAAGATCGCACTGAAGCAGAACACTACAATTCCAGCATGCAGCGAGTGGGTAGCAGAGGGCATAGCTGATCATCACAAACTGAGTTCCATGTATGCAGTCGTTGAACCTGCCAACCTTCGTCACAATGTTGTGGTTGGCAGTTCACTCATTGATCCCCGCCGAGAAGACATCGGCATACCTGTCCGACTTGTGAACACTTCACCCGAGAACATTGAACTTCAGGCAGGTACAACGCTTGGATATCTGCATGAAGTTGATGCGGTTGAACTCATAGCCGAGCAGGAAAACTGTGAAACCGATCACCTCTATCGAGTAATGCGAGTGTGCAGAGAGCATGCCCGCCCAACGTCATACGCAGTCAACCCAGTCAGTCCCGCCGTCCCCGACACCCCAAATCCTTCTGACAAGTGGTCAGAAAACCTACAGAAACTGTACGAGAGGAGTTGTGAAAACCTGTCCCCACACCAGCAGAAAGCATTGTGTGAACTTTTGGCCAGCCACGAGAACACTTTCGCCAAATCCGCGGAGGATTTGGGAAAAACGTCAATAGTGCAGCACACTATTGACACCGGCGACGCACGCCCCATACGACAGCCTCCCCGCCGTCCCCCCAAGGCATTTCAGGGCGAGGAGGAGAAAGTTCTCGAGAGCCAACTCAAGGCGGGTGTGATCCGCGAGTCAACATCCCCCTGGGCATCACCAATGGTTTTTGTCCGGAAAAAGGACGGCACAACTCGTCCGTGTGTCGACTATCGTAAGCTGAACGATGTTACGCGCCGTGACGCGTATCCCCTACCCCGTGTTGATGACTGCCTAGATTGCCTGAGTGGGGCAAAAATCTTCAGCACTCTCGATCTGCAGTCGGGCTACTGGCAGATTGAAGTGATGAAGGAAGACCGTCCCAAAACCGCGTTCGTAACCCGAAGTGGACTGTACGAGTACGTGACCATGCCTTTTGGGTTATGCAACGCACCCAGTACCTTTGAGCGCTGTATGGAGCTAGTACTCAAAGGTCTGCAATGGCGAACTCTGCTGATATATCTAGACGATATCATCATCCTGTCATCAACATTTTCCGAGCATATTGAGCGTCTTGGTGAAGTCCTACGACGACTAGGAAACGCTGGACTGAAGCTGAAACCGAGCAAGTGTGAACTCTTCCAGACGGAAGTTCTGTTCCTCGGTCACATCATCACACCAGATGGTGTCAAACCAGACCCTAGTAAAGTTTCTGCTGTGCAGAACTGGCCCACCCCAAGAACATAACTGAAATACGCTCTTTCCTGGGACTATGTTCTTACTACCGTAGGTTCATAGCCCAATTCGCCACGATAGCCAGCCCCTTACATCGTCTGTTAGAGGCCGGACAGACGTTTAAGTGGACTCATGACTGTCAAGCGGCTTTTGAGAAATTAAAGGCCGCCCTCACCGGCAACGAAGTCATGTCATACCCCAATGATGATGGGTTATTCATCATTGATACCGATGCTTCAGATAGTGGCATTGGTGCTACTCTATCGCAACTCCAGTGGTGTGATCGGACCCAGAGGGAGGAAGAACGGCCGATAGCATATGCTAGTCGGTCGATGACAAAGCCGCAGCGTCGCTACTGCACTACGAGGAGAGAACTCCTCGCAATCGTCACCTTCCTTCAGTACTTCCGACACTACCTACTGGGCAAACAGTTCCTCATCAGAACTGACCACAGCGCTCTTCGATGGGTCATGTCTTTTCGTGAGCCTGTCGATCAGATGGCAAGATGGCTTCAAATCTTGTCTCAGTTCGACTTCAAAATCGAACATCGACCAGGGAAGAAACATGGCAACGCAGATGCCCTCTCTAGGGTGCCATGTGACCCTGACGACTGTCCGTGCTACGACGGAACGACCATACTCGCTGAACTCCCCTGCGGCGGTTGCGAGAAGTGCAAAGCCAAAAGCGAGCTGTGGTCCGATTTTTCGCAAGTCGACGATGTGGTCCCCCTTTCGACCAGACGAGTAAACGCTACCTCCGCTGAAGTTCAATTCCCAAAGAGAACATCAGCTGCTGACGATCAGCCCTCGAGCAATGACGTCAACCCTCAGGCCAAACCCGTATCCCCACGGACAGTCCTCGTACTGATGGCAACGTTGGTAACCCTCCTACTGGTTCCTGTGTGTAGCATTGGTAAACTTATTTGGCGCTCGTGCAGTGAGTTTACCTGCAGCGACTTTGACGATGGACAGTTCAAAGGTCGTTTTTCGCACACAGCCACGCCTACTGGAGAAACTCCCGGGCAAGCCAATTTGCCCACAGCCATTCGGGTAGTACGGCCGAACAACCGAACTAAACCTGCTACAAAATCCTCTGATTCGGCTGGAAGAGAGTTGGACTGCAACGCGCCCTGCATCCCGCAAAAGGATGCCGATGCCGGTTCAAGTACCGGGCAGCAACTTGCAGAACAATCGAATCCAACCGGACAGCAAGACGACCAAGATGGTGAGGTCACGAGTGATCGTACCCCTTCTAGCGCCCCCGCCGGTCTCAGCGCCGGACGAGCCACATCTTGGGTCGGTGGCTACACGACAGAGGAAATAGCTAAACTGCAGAGAGCAGATCCAGACCTGAAGATCATCATTGAGTTGATGACCAAATCACCTGAGAGACCAAGCAGAGACCAGATAGCACGCGAAAGTCCCACCACCAGGAACTTGTGGTTGCTATGAAAACAGCTGGTGCTGAAAGACGGTGTTCTTTTTAAAAGATGGGTGACTCCTGACCAGACCCAATCTTACCTGCAACTTGTGATTCCTCAAGCACTGCAGAGTGCCGTTCTTCTAGCTGCACACGACGCCGTCACCTCTGCTCACCTCGGGGTGAAGAAAACTGATAGTGTTGCGTTCCCGCAAATTGCGTAGTTTACTTCTTTCCCAACCAATCCATTCCACTCCGTGCACAGCGTAATGCTTGCAGCGATCCTGTGTGCCCTCACACAGCGCGAAGCTTACCACGAAGTCTTAGACACACGTATAAGTGTGCAGCACATTATACAGTACGCTATTGTATAGCGCGCAATGCATGTAGCACTCACAGCTACTGAACATGTACCGCCATGGGACATGTACTTAGGACTTAGCCATTTTCCCTCCACCTTTCCCCGGAGTAGATGCGAATTCCCCTCACACACCTTACCTCGCATCCGACCCACATTGACCCCAAGCATTTAGCGAATGTGGCTCGCTAAAACCTACCCGTGTATTCACCCCTTAGTGACCCCGTACACCCCAGCGAGTGTGTCCCGCTAACCCACTGGCCAAGACCTACGGTAGCTAGAGGTCAGGTTACGTCCTTCGTCTCATAGTTTTACTCCATAGCATTAGTGTGTAGATTCTTACCTAGTCTACAGACTAAGTCTTGTACACAAGCCTATGTACCGAGAAGTTATTCCCTTTCCCTTTTCCTTGAGGATCAGTTCCCCGTAACGCACCCACGAGTGATCCTACTTCGCCCGCTAACCACTGCTCTCGGACTTTCTTCCACTAGAATGTCTAAGTCAGCGTGTACAAATCTCCCATAGAGAACTTTCCCCATGCCTTTGTACACGTATGCATTATTCATAACCACCAGAATCCAATGCTCCCATTGGCTAAGACGCGCCCCCAAAAGTCTATATAAAGCGCGCAGAAATGGCAGTTCTGGTCATTGTTGATCTGGGCTCTGACCCCGACAGAGTCCCTGACATGTACACGTAGATTATCGAGCTGTCCGCTCACTGGCCATAGACCCTACGTCTGTACACAGATAATCATGTACGCCGTAACTTTACATTGTATATAGTGCGCCCTCTATTGACCTGAGATGTAAATAATCCCGAATAAAGTACTAGTGTGTGTGTGTAAGATATTTGTATCTGACTCTTTATTTGATAATGCAAATTGGTGACTTGGTGTACATGCGAGACAGCACAAAAACCGCTGGTTATATATCTCCCAAGCTAAAACGAGCTAAATGGACAGGCCCCTGCGTCATTCTCAGAACATTGAGTGATCTTCTGTTTGAAGTCCGGTTCAAGCAACGGGGAAGAACAAAAATTCTTCACCATGACCGACTTAAGCAGTATCTCAGTGACGAGGTCCCAAAATGGATGCTGGACCTTCGTAAAACTTTGATGGAGAAGGGTTCTCTCTCAAAGGATGATGCTGTCCCCCGCAGTAACGCCAGGAAAACATCCAGCACCAAACGCGCTTATGACCCCTCATCAGCCCCGCCTGCTACAGTATCTGTTTCCCCGACACCAACTGTAGCGCCCTCTGCGACAGGAACTTCGCCCTTAACAGAGAGGAGGAGTACCCGTTCTAAGAGAAGGCCAGCGAGACTTCAGGATTATTTCTAGTCTCCCACCTCCATTTTCACGACGCTTATTCATGGTCGATGAACTGCGCCGAGTCGATGAACTCAGTGTTTTTCCCTCCATCGATATGGACACTGAACTTTTACTTTCGTCGTTCTAGATGAATATTTACCTTCTTTTGTTTTGATTATCTCTCATTTATCCGCATTTAAAGGAAATATAACCGTTCGTTATTTTCTTTATGTTCACTTTTAAGTTTTACACTTTTTGCATGTTTTTAGCGCTCCATTTATCTTTGATTTTCCTTAACTCTTGTTATTCAGTAATTCCTTTTATTACAACGAGGACGTTGTAAAAACTAGGGGGAGATAGTGTTGCGTTCCCGCAAATTGCGTAGTTTACTTCTTTCCCAACCAATCCATTCCACTCCGTGCACAGCGTAATGCTTGCAGCGATCCTGTGTGCCCTCACACAGCGCGAAGCTTTACCACGAAGTCTTAGACACACGTTTAAGTGTGCAGCACATTGTACAGTACACTATTGTATAGCGCGCAATGCGTGTAGCACTCACTGCTATTGAACATGTACCGCCATGGGACATGTACTTAGGACTTCAGCCATTTTCCCTCCACCTTTCCCCGGAGTCGATGCGAATTCCCCTCACACACCTTACCTCGCATCCGACCCACATTGACCCCGAGCATTTAGCGAATGTGGCTCGCTAAAACCTACCCGTGTATTCACCCCTTAGTGACCCCGTACACCCCAGCGAGTGTGTCCCACTAACCCACTGGCCGAGACCTACGGTAGCTAGAGGTCAGATTACGTCCTTCATCTCATAGTTTTACTCCATAGCATTAGTGTGTAGATTCTTAACTAGTCTAGAGACTAAGTCTTGTACACAAACCTATGTACCGAGAAGTTATTCCCTTTCCCTTTTCCTTGAGGATCAGTTCCCCGTAACGCACCCACGAGTGATCCTACTTCGCCCGCTAACCACTGCTCTCGGACTTTCTTCCACTAGAATGTCTAAGTCAGTCGTGTACAAATCTCCCATAGAGAACTTTCCCCATGCCTTTGTACACGGATGCATTATTCATAACTACTAGAATCCAATGCTCCCATTGGCTAAGACGCGCCCCCAAAAGTCTATATAAAGCGCGCAGAAATGGCAGTTCTGGTCATTGTTGTACTGGGCTCTTCCCCAGTAGATTCTTGAGCTGAGCTCTGACCTACACAGAGCTCTCGCATATGATGCATTAGATTGTTGATCTGGGCTCTGACCCCGACAGAGTCCCTGACATGTGTACACGTAGATTATCGAGCTGTCCGCTCACTGGCCATAGACCCTACGTCTGTACACAGATAATCATGTACGCCGTAACTTTACATTGTATATAGTGCGCCCTCTATTGACCTGAGATGTAAATAATCCCGAATAAAGTACTAGTGTGTGTGTGTAAGATACTTGTATCTGACTCTTTATTTGATAATGTCTCTCAACCCAGAGAGACGTTACAATAGATCAATCGAATATTTTATCAATCGATTGATCGACTAGTACTACATGATCGATTGATTGATTGGTCGACTTATTGATTGATCGACTACAGTATAATTGGTAGAGTGATCAAATGATAAATTCATGAAATACGTAAAGGTTGATTGATCGATCACTTATTGATCAGCTTGGTAATCGTTCTGGTAATTGATTGATTTGTCGGTAAACCAGTGGATAAGTTATCATTGATTGACGATTGATGGATACGTTACTCCAATTTGTGTAACCGCTCATACTCGATAGATGATCACTTATCAACTTATTGACTGGACAGGTGAATGACTGATGGATTGATTGATCACTCGATCGACGAGTTATTATTGATAAACTGGTTGACTGTTGGATCGATTGATGTATTGATTGTCTCTCGCCAGATGACCCGGATGCCCAACAACTCGCCAAGGAAACCTCGTCTAGGTTGACCATTGTTCCTCTTGACGTCACGTCTGATGAATCAGTGGAAGACGCTAGGGACATGGTCAAGGCTGGACTACAAAGACAACGGGCTGGTATGGTACCAAAAAAAATCAGTTGACTCCATATGTGTCAACACAATGAGATTTTAACAAACCTCTGACACCTCTTCCCATCCTCCCCTGAGACTTTGAGGAAAAAAACCGCTTCGGCAAATGTGCAAGATCAGTCCCACTGTTCTTATGACATAATCATCGCAACTGTTTGGAGTGAAGGCACTGAGTTCTTACGCAAATGGGTCGATCTAGTATGAACTTGAAAGTAACCACTGAATTTAAGTATCGCGTCTTATTAATTTTTGAAGTGCAATTTTCTTCTTAGCAAGTTTTACATCAGGACAACTACCGTTAATTCAAAGAGTAATTAGGCCTAGGAGTAATTTGGGGAAAAATGCAGGAATATAACGTGTCATTGTTTTTAATATTATTTTTCTAAGAGCTGTGGGCGGTGGTCAACAACGCAGGAATATGGCGCTGGGGCCTGATTGAATGGACAACCATCAAGCAGTACAAGCAAGTAGCTGAGGTCAACGTGTACGGGATGATCAGAGTCACTCAGGCTTTCCTGCCGCTCATCCGCAGAGCAAAAGGTATTTAAGTTGGCGTGGTTTGGTCATACTAAGAAAGATAAGTTATGATGATCCATTAGGCCACAGCCACTGCACAAGTGGGCAACATGCGTGCGCCAGTCTCCGATGCACACTTCACTACACTGCGTCGTATACGCGCGAACTTAACCCAGACTGTGATTGGCCAAAACACCAAGGGGCGAGGCTAAATGGATCACGTGACGTCATCTCAACTTAGCCATGCGTACTTCACACAGTGTATGTAGCATATAGCAAGAATGGAACCGGAAGTTAACGCAACTTAAATGTTTAGCCAATGGGGGCTTGTAATCAGTAGTGCGTGCGCGTGTATGACGAAGTCACTAACGAACCGGATTGGTAACAAATTTCAGGCCCTGAGGTCCTCTTGTGTCATTGAGACTTGAGATATAACATTTCTGGCCGATACGCCTAATATAAGTTGCTCGACCAAGCATTAGGCCTATTGAATCGGAAATAGCTTGCGTCGCATCGGGGGGAAAAAGCAGTGGATGAAAATCGTACATCTTCGTCTATGAACTGACGGACTTCTCTCCAAAATCTATCGTGAAAAGTTTGCTCGCCAGACTAGCTCTTGGTAGCGTTCTGTAAAGACCCTTATTGCCTGTCAATCAAACAGTACGCATTGACCAATTAGGTCACGAACTTTGGTCAAGTGACCCACAGTAGCGTGGTACAGAGACCAAAGGTGGGCAGGCCAAAATCCTGAAGGTCTATGAATCATTGATTTCTATTCTAAAGGCTGCTTGACTTTCTTTGAAATTCTCAGGTCGTATCGTGAACGTCGGTAGCATTGGCGGACTGTGGACAATACCTTACATCTCCAGCTATTTCATGACGAAATACGCCGTCGAATCGTTCTCCGATGCGCTGCGTTTTGAGATGAACCCGTGGGGAGTCAAGGTGCGTACCCAGGGCGCCCTCAATAGAAAATAATTGAGAGTGACCAAAAATGGACGTCCATAAGTTAGGCATCGCATAAATACTTCCTCTGACGGCCATCATTTTGAAAATATTGCATATTAAACCAGTAATCCAATACAACTAGACAGTGTGCATAACGTGCATTTTTGGTATAAGTTTTTTTTGTATTATTTTTGATATAAATTTATAGGGTTTATATTGTGCCTTCCAATTTCAGGTTGTCTTGGTAGAACCCGGTGAATACGGTAAGCTAACCGGCATCGCCCTGCACTCCCGCGAGTCGACCCTTGCCGTCTCCGAGCCGCTCTGGGACGGCATGCGCGACGACCTGCGCAGAGACTACGGGCGGGAATACTTCGACGGTCACGTGCAGCGTCTCCACCAGGCGCGCGAGGCATGCTGGGACGACCTGACGCCCGTCTTGGACGCCATGTTGGATGCGGTGGCCTCGGGTAGACCGAAGCACCGATACCTGATTGGGGAGTTGTCCACTTACTACTCGAAGTTCAAGTTTAGCCTGCTGCCGTCCTGGATGACTGATTGGACCCTTTACAAGCTGGATGAACCATTCCCTAAACCGGCAGCACTGAGGGAGAAACACGACTAGACAGTCATATCAGTATTAAGGTCGATCAAGCACAAGCAATATACAGCTTGCTGAGAGCGCCCTCTTTTGTGGGCAGGTCTCTGTTCCTCTCTGATATTCATGAGTAGACATTTTGCACTTTCGTTCGCTCGTACCCCCCGCCCTGCAAACAGGACGCTGGGATACTCTGATGAGCTTTACTTAATCTTGTGAAGGAAGTGGCCTATGACCTATGTATAAAGCATCTGGCTACAGCTGTTCAAGACCGCAGTTAGACAATGTGCGCAAATGCTATCCGAAAACTTCCCATAAAATTGCGCACATTCCATACCGGATGTGATTTCTGTTTCATTGCGGACCATGTGGACAAAATTTTGAGCGTCGCATAATGCAATCCGACCGTTCGTGATTTGAAACGGAGCCTGAGCGAGTGACGGGAATTGTAAATTTACAACACAGCCTGAACACAGATAAGGTTTACAGAATTTCCTACATTATTACGCTTTTAAACGAGAAAAAAATCTCTAAAGTGGAATAAAAGAGTAACGAATCAGTCTTAACGGCCGTTTCAAACCTTGCAGAGTCATGACCTTGATGACGCGCAGGTCACTGGTCACGCAAAATCCAACCAATCAGAGCGTGAATTCATCAGAGTATCCCAGCGTCCTGTTTACAGGGCGGGGGGTACGAGCGAAGCACTTTTGTTGTCACTGAATTAAAATAAAAATGAGGGCGCCCTGTTCAAGCTGTATGTTTAACCGAATTAGAATGTAACTTTCATTGAACAAAGTTGTAGACCTACTACAGTCGAGTCTCGTTAATACAAACTCGTTCGGACCTAGCCAAATTGTTTGTTATATTAGAATTTGTATTAAGAGGAACATCAGTCCCATTCATTGTGCACATAAAATATGCACAGTCGGGACTACGGCTTTATGTTTGTTATAACCAGAATTTTGTATTAACAGAGTTTGTACTAACGAGATTCGACTTTATTCTGGTGGGGAGCAGTGTCATATAAAAATTACTCTCCTATGAAAATCGGACTCATTTACCCTTTTATTGGTTATACCCTCTCACGTGACCGTTCACCTCAATATCTTCGCTTAGGCATGCGCAATAATGAGTCCGGACCTCAATTCACGCTACATCGGCCTACTGTAAGGTTTTGCTGTTTATCAATAATCACGTTATTCAGATACTAACAGTGCGTTTATTCTGATGCATATATATACAAAGGTACATCTGAAGCTAAAACTGTTCATCTCACATTTTAGTAATTATAATAATCACTTGTTTATAAATAATTTTTCATCAAATGTAGAGCCTCTGAAACAAAGTTGTCAAAATCATATGCAAAAATACAGTTCTAAAGTTTCAGTATTACATGTTCTGCAATTTAAAATTAACTGAATTGTCCTTTATATTTTGCCGATAGAAAAATGAGAAAGATTTTTATACAAGTTAAAACTTCACCAAATAATATGAAAAAAAGCTGCACCTATTGTCAAGATTGTTGAACGATTGAATAAATTTCCACACACATTATATTTACCATAGTTATAAAGTAGAATATTAGTGGGTTTTTTTTAAATCAAATTATACAAAATAATACCTTACTCGCGTTTTACTAGCGAGAGATCCCAAAGGCCTATTCATAATTTTTCAAAGTTAGGTCAGTCACTCACAAACGGTGGATGGCATTAAATAATCTGATAGGCGGACAAAAAGTCACCTTAATATTATTCAGGATAGATTCATTGGTAAACTCGGTCAACAAGAACAATATTGCTGACCAATGAGCAGATTTTGAAACCATTTTTAAATCAGCGTCGACTGCGTTCAGTCATGGCTGTAAAGGTAAAGTGTTATGTATACGCTGGCAATAGAATAACAAGTCGATCGAGATCAAGCCTGAGTCGGTATTACTGAACTAGGGCCATGGTTTGTTAATTCACCATGCAGTGTTTCAGTCTGGAAACTTTTACTGTGATGCCACAGCGACTCTCACCCCGGCCAGACGCATGAGGTGCAACACCTGCTTCATGGGTAGAGACAGGAAAGCCTGGACTTCAAGGTCCGGGTGGAGCTCCCTCTCGTGTTTCTTGAGAGACTCTTGGCTCTGATACCTCAGGTTGCACAGCAGGCATTTGTAGGGGTTGGCGAACATGCGTTTCGGGCCCAGAGGAGTAAAACTTGTTGAAGGAGAGGTGTGCTTCAGTTGCTTCTCCGCGGTGCCCCCGTCGGCCATCTTGTGGTATAAGGAATTCAAATGCGTCATGATCTTGTCCACTTCGCGATCCCGGACGTAGTCACGGACCACTTGTTGAGCCTTCAAGATGGCGGCCTCCTTGGTCCGGCTTCTGGTGTGCTCCGGCTTTTGCTTGTCGTGCACGCGTTCGTGGCGCTCCAGGTTGCTCTTGTGGCTGCTGGCGTAGCTGCAGATGCGGCAGGCGAATTCTTTGACTCCGTTGTGGACGCTCATGTGGCGCTTGAGCAGCGCCTTGCGGCAGAAGAGGCGTCCGCACTGCAGGCAGCCGTACCCGCTCTCGTGCTGGTGCCGTACGTGGCGCCGCAGCTCGGACTTGCTGCTGAAGAGGCTCCCGCAGCACTCCAGTTGCTTATCACGGCTGTGCATGGCCTGCCGGTGCCGCTCCAGGTTGGTGCGGCGCTTGGTGGCGTACGGGCACTCTCCGCACCGGTGCAAGCTGAGGCGCAGGCTGGGCTGACTGGCCGTACCCACGCTGCCAGTGCTGCGCCGGCGGACGCGATCCACGCGGAGATCCTCGGCGTCCTCTGACCAACTTCTCGCTCGGTTCTTGATCGGAGACAGGGATTCTTCCTCAACGTAGGAGTAAGATGGGATCGAGTAGTCGATGGGAGAATTGCAAAAGTCTGAGGGAAAGAAGTGGAAGTGTGTTAGTCAATGAGCTTGACGGTGAAGGTTAACTTTATGCAAGCTGTCTGCTAGCTGCTATTCCACAAGAAAAAGTATTCAAAATAAATAATAGTTTAAGCTTACATCATTAATCAAGCCACTTTGGTGTTGTCTGCATGACAAGTTCTACACCTTACTTATGAGCTCTTGTTATTTTCTAAGAAGGACGATCACGAAGACGATCGAAGCACAGTGATAGAAACGTTGATTATTAATCTGGCAGTTTTACCGCAGAGTCTTCTTGATTCAAAAAATTAAAAGAACCCTCATAGAATATCGTGGTTATTTTTTACTCCATTTACTATACCACCATGTAGCTTGAACTGATGGGTTTTGTTGGGGTGTCCATTTTATTCCCCCCCAAAAATTGTAAAGTGAAATATCTCCGCCAAATTTGACGTTTGGGGTTATTTGCCCAAGAAACAGAATTATTGAAAAAGAAGCAATAATTTTTTTTCGGCTGACAGAAGAGCTTCAGTCTGTACTTTGGGGGTAAATCTTTTCAGAAATTTCTCACAGCACCGACATTGTGTTTGCGTCACTACCAACAGTGTACTCATTGTTAACAATACTTTGCCCTACATAATATTCTTCTTTCACTTAGTAAAGAGCTATCTTTGTATTCTAGTATATTTTTCAAAAGAAGATGGGAACAATAAACAGATGGCCTTTTTGTCCAACTTATTTCTAAAGATTTGTTGGGTACAGATAAAACACTATAAGGAATCACAGACAAGTCGCAAGCATTTAACAATCGTCGCACGGATGTTTCTATGTCATTAAGCGTGGTGTCGTCTAGTGTCTGCGACTGGTCGCTAAAGTATCACGTGACGTCGGTGCGCGTTCCAACTTCCAAATAATAATTACTTATTCTGTCCGCCCGTCCGCAACAATCGGACATAAAACAACACCCCCCTGCAAAAATCCTTAGATCCGCCCCTGGATCGTTTATCGTTCTACGAACTGATGAATACACATTAAATACAGTGAAACATGGACGTCCGTGAATAAACGAAAACGTGCAAAGGAAAACAGACACAAATCGCCATCAATATTTCAGAAGAAAACAATAGAGTTGACTTGTGCCTCATATTCAAAACACAGAATCTGACAGTAGAACTAATGTTTCAGTCTTGACTCAAATGATTAAAATGTTATTTGTATTTGAATGACTGTGTGTAGAGCTTCCAATGGCATTCCATGGACAGCTATAACAATAGCTTCTTTTAGTAAAACATGTATAACTTCTGATGGCATGGATCGATGCCTTTTATGAAACAAATCAACAATCCAGGTCACATTCTTCTTGCCTATATACCCCTGTACAAGTTGCATTTATGTATTGAAGATGACTATGGGACTAGACTATACAGGGTGAGTCAAAGAAAAACCCGAAACCCAAATTTTAGGACTATTGATTCAGTGAAGTTCTACATGTAGCACTTTAAAAGTCTAGGATATAAAAGCCCAATTCATAAGCTTTCTTTTAGTACAAAAATCATTCAAGTCACTTATGTACTTTTCAAGTTACGGAATTTTAAACACTACTACCGTTTTAAAGTTCTGTCCACGGATCACACAAAAAAAGGTGTGCGTCCAGCAAAACGAGAACAATTCACACACATCCCTATGTGATTTGTTTTCGTTTTGCTGAAAGAACACTTACCTTTTTGTGATCCGTGGACAGAATTTAAAACGGTGCTTGTGTTTAAAAGTCCGTAACTTGAAAAGTACATGGGTGATTTGAATGATTTCTTGTACTATTAAGAAAGCTTATGAATTGAGCTTTCATATCCTAGATTTTGAAAGTGCTACATTTAGAACTTCACTAAAACAACGGTCCCGACATTTGGGTTTCGGGTTTTTTTTACTCACCCTGTTGTGGGACTAGACTATACTAGTTGCTATCTCCATCAGTTCTGCTAACTGATTATCGACGTGCTAAGCAGCAGCTTATCCAGCCCATAGCAGTGACTTTTTCTCTACTTATCTGTCAGAGAGGAAATATGCTTACAGCAGGTTTTCATGGAAACACTGCCTTTCCTTCGCCTCTGCTGCGAAAACTCGCTTTAAAAACTATAGTTCAGTATATAAAAAAAGAAAGTTGTCTTACCTGGGTGAGCATATGTTGTTGCTGATTTTTCAGCCATGGTGCACATTTCGATGTTCAATGCTTGAGCGACAGTGCGAGCCAAAAAATGTACCGAGTTGTGGACTAACCAGGTATGGGGGTGACGGAGCTCCTAACGGCGGAAGATTTCTCCTGGCCTCGCCAACGCGGCGTAACAGAAATGTGGCGTGCCGCGTTTTTTTGTTACTTGTATATAGCTCAAATAAATACAAGCTAAGTGTTGTTCATTTTGTACCACTGTTTGGAGGGATCTCCTCGGAAATAAAAAAAAGAGGAGTAACTTACACGGCCGCTTCAAAAGAAACAATTCTTTATTTGCAAGCGAAGGACTTTCCACGACAATCGAATAAGAACGAGTTAACAAAAAGGCATAGAAAATTCAAATAACTTGGAGGATTGCCCGCGGCAGACAAAACTGACAACCTTTTCTGAAAGATCATAAATCATAATGGACTAAAAGTAAAAAGAGGTATATGTGGGTGCTGATGGGCCACACAACTTAAAACTCATGTTTCTCTATCTGTCCTCATTCGTTTCAAACGTTTCCTTTTTCACCCAAGTAATTATCTTTCAGTATTTCAGACTGTACTTCTCCCCCCCCCCCCCCCGAAAAACAACAACATTGCAATTTCATGCATCCCCCTTAAAAAAAAAACAACTGTTACACAGTATGCTTTAGATGTACAAATGAATCAAATTTAGGAACAAAAATACCTCCCCGGCACGGACATGGAAAAATCTGCGACTAGAAATTGAAATTTATTTTCGTTCTTTCTATTCTTTTTTTTCTAGGGACACTGTAAAATTAGATATGCTCCATCGCGGGTGACGTGGCCGAGTTTTATTCCCTGGAATCTAGCTTTTCAAAAACCATTGATAACGAGACACAGTAAAGCTGTGTTCCTCACTCCTGTCGATAATAATGATCCCATTTTTTTCCCTTCGAAAAAGTGCACCGTTCGTCACGGCGAGTGCGCCAATTCATAATAGGTTTTGTCGTGATTATTTCATTCCCGTGGTAGAGATAATTGCCTATAGGTGGTTTAACTCGCGAGCACGCGAAAGCAAGGAGAGGTTTTCCTTCTTGTGTTTTTTTTCTTCAGAAGGTCATTTCGTCTCGCTGGATCCCCAAATCGACATCGTTCAAAAGCGTCTCATCGAACGCGAGGTCGCGAGACTCATCTAAACACTTCAACGCGTTTGCGCTTTTGTGACTTTACAAGAGAATAACACGTCTGTCTCTGTGCATGAATGAGTGTTTGTCCTTATAAGGTTTAGTATGTCTACATGTAGATTGGAGTCATTTATATTGAATAGTTTGTCTGCTCTTTTTATCACCTTGCTGTCTGTCTGTCCGTGCCTGTTGTTTGTTTTGTCTAGTCTGGTTTGTGCATTTTTCATTCGTAAGACTGGATGGTTGGTTGGTTATGTTGGTTGTCCAGTTTGTTCGTTCGTCGGGATGCTTGTTAATTGGTTGCTCAGTCGGTCGGTCGGTCGGTCTGTCGGTTTGCAGGCTGGCTTGCCAGCTGGAAATCTGGTGGCACGGTTGCCGCACTTGCACTGCTCGTCTCAGGCTGCCAGCAGTTGCTCTTAATATCCGCCTGCCTACCCCTTTTGCTGGCTCCCCTTGAACTCGTTTTGTTGGCAGTTCAGATCAGAAGCTCGCTTCACCGTTCCACAGAGTGTCGGTAACCAACAGAGGAGTTACACCAGTGAGACAGGCCGTCCTCTGTTGATGAAAAATCGCTCATCCGATGAAGTGCACCGAATTCCAATCTGGCTGTCTCTGTATGATTGATAGCCCGTCACATCGGTATGCCGGCAACTTTTTGAATCGTTTAGTGTGACGCTTTTCTTTTCTCCGGCACTATATTTTCAGTAACCATTTTTCTCTGTGTCCCGGCAGTGCATTGTCACCTGTGCCAGCCTGTATCGCAGGCAAGGATTGTTCGTCTGGTAATGCGCGTTCTATGGTTGAAAAGTGCCGTATCACGAACAAACCGCCCCTTGTATCAAACCCAAACACTATATACGTCTGTGTCAAACTTATATTTTAGTTGGACCCGAAGGGCAATAATCCTTCAGGATGACACCAAGTATATAGGCCACAAATCCGTCCGCCGAGCTCATGAATGTTTGCTATCCTATATTGAAAGATCCTACGCCGTCTGTCTGTCGGTCGTGGTGTCTGTCTGATGTCTGTGTGTCCCTTTTTGTGTGTGTTTAAAAGGCCGATGTGCGGGAAGACAGAATGCAAGGGTCTATGGAAAGGCTCGGTTATATCATATAGCTCCATGGCTGTATACGCCCCGAATTCACTGTCCGCTGAAGTTACAGTTTGCATGAGAATAAAAGAACGATTTCTTTGTATTGCTTTGCTTTTTTAGCAAGTTTGTTTCTTTCAAACTTTGACTAGTTAAATATTACAACTTTTATCTCTATGAAAACACTCCGAAACGTATCGCAAAACATAACATTCATGACGAAAAATGTGGCAAAATTGTTGAATTCGTACGACATGAATATGCATTTCGAAACTGTAAAATGAACCCCTTCTAAAAAATACTTCAATTGAGGGCGCACTGACCAGCTATAGTGGGTGCCGCTAGTAGTACATTAGGCCTGTTAAATTATTAGACTAGAGAGTTTTTAGAGCCATTGAATTGGGGGATTGAAGACATAGTTATCATGCAAGCTCACCTCTACCTGTTCTGAGCATTTCGGATGCAATTGGGTCCGAAAGTGGCGCTATTTTGTGGAGGGATTCTTTTACAAAATGGCCGGACGCTTTTCTAGTTTGGGAAATATAATTCGTTCTTCTTTGGGTGACTGAGAATTTCTCTCAAAAGGCCCACCAAAAATTGAAAGGTTGATTTTCATCATTTTTCTGTGCAGCTAGCTTGAACAACTGTGAGAGCTCTGAGTATATTAAAAAAGGATTTTGAGGTATGGGGATTTGTATCTATGTGAATTTTTTTACTTGGTTGCACCCTTCACTGACTGACTGACTGACTCCCCGACTGAGCTGCTCCCCGACCGACTCCCCGAATCACCAAGTAAGCCTGTAAAATCCTAAATGGTGAGGAGGCTCAGCTCGTTAAAGGCATGCCTTTTTCTTGTCTCTTGTTAATTAATCAATTTTAGCAGATCCCAAAGTTTGTCTTGTACGTGACATGTTTTTAAATTGTATTTGTTTGTTTTACTTTCTGCATCGTGGATCGCAAATTGTTTTTTTTTGTTTTTTGCACAAAAATATTGCGGCGGCTCTGTGTAATTTGCATTGGAACTGAAAGACTTTTCTCTTATAAAAAAAATCAAAACAAGATGTATGGAAAAAGAAAACAAGTTATCCGCAAAGGCCCTACAACAAATAAAAGGCAAAGGATAAAACGTCTTTACCTAGCGCCCTCTGTTTTATTACTGGAGACAACTGGAGAGGGCGCTGTTTTTGTAAACAACGTGCTCGTCATCACGTCACGGATCCGGAACGGGATGGAATGCGGACGTGAGCTGTGTGCACTGTAGTTGGACATGTTGGACGAGGATATGTGTAGTAATAAATGTGCTGTAATCTCATTTTTGTTGTTGTAAACCAGAATTTTCCTTTCCTTCAATTTAATAATATTTTTCGTACACTCTGGGGGGTAAGGGTTAATATTTTCACCTATTCTAGCTCAGATTTGTTTTGTAAACAGCCGAGTTTTGTTAATTGCAAGTCAGTCATCGGATCATCACAACTGATCACTGAGAATTGCAGGAATGCCTTTCAAAGCTTCAGTGAATTTGTAAGGTTTGTCACAGTTTTGATTCAAACGTAGTTTTTTCATTTAAAAAGGTTTTCACGGTTGCACCTCTATGTTCTGACACCCCTATGTTCCGACTGCACATATTCCTATTCCTAACCCTAACCCTAACCCAGACAGGGCTCTGGAGTGCTCTGAAACGTGCAAAACTAAATCAGGCCCACTTTACTCACAGTTTAGCCAGCAAATTTCTCCAAAAATTCCACTAGGGCAAAGAACATGTCCTCAGTATTTCACCAACCAAGTTTGCAGACTCAATTCAATTTTCAATTTTCAATATTTTGCACATGAGAGGGAAGTCAAGTGATTCCAAAATGGGGCTACACACTAGACTGGTACATGTCCAGCCATGGTCCAACTATTTGAAAAGACTGACCTTTTCATTCAGTGTCAATAGTCTGGTGGCTTTACTATGGAGAAATGTGTGGTAAATTGAGACTAGTTCCCGCTTTATGCCACATGTTTCTTAAATTCTTTTGGCATGGTTGATTGATGCAGTACTGAAAGCTGTGTTGGACTGGTTGTTTTAGGTGCCAGTCTATTTTCTTTTTTTGCATGTTTTCAATACCTTAAGTTTTGGGACTCTCATACACAGTATTGAGAGTCCCAAATTTTCGGACTAACCCTAACCCTAACCGGGAGTAACACAATCTAGGTTGTCGGAACATAGGGGTGTCGGAACATAGAGCAGTCACCGTTTTCACGACGTCTTTTCCTTCCTTTATGGACAGCGTGACCTTAGATTGACTATGTCATGTATGTGTGGTGACGGTAATGCAGTGTACCTTTCGCCACACAGCCACTACATACAGTAACAGTTGTATTGTATGACTATGATGTCTCAGCTTTTGCTCTCTGGGTCAGATAAGGTAATCATAGCTCCAATTTTTTGAGAAATTTAAGCATCTTTTTGGGGTACAACGTCCGTCGATGGCAGCCATTTTAAATGTAAGAAGCATGACCCCGGGCCCTAGGCTGTGATGTCGTGGTATGCAAATCGATCTTGTCACTCCGGCCGGCTGTGCGAGGGGCGATGCGTCAGCTGTTTTACGCACAACCTCTCAACCGATCATACAAGGTAGCTCCCAAACGGACCATACTGTCTGGGTGAATCTGTTGTACATGAAACAGCCGTCGCATCGTAGCTTGCGCAACCAGAGCAAAAAGGCTAAATTGCATAATTAAGATAATTTTGATGTTTTATGAAGCAGCCCGAAATGAACAGAGCGGCCCTTTTCAGTCTGATGGTTGCCATGGTAATTGGCAGCATCAGTGCCAACAACAAGTGCAACGATGCTCAAACTAACGGGGCGACAGCGACAACGGCGATTCCTGACATTGAAGTGACGTTGGACCAGCCAGATTGCAAACTCTACAATGTCCAAGAAGGTGAGGTCCTGTGCTAAGCACGGGAAACATTTGCTTAACGAAACAAAAACAGGTTAGGCCTACCAACTGAATTGTCATGTGATGCGCATGGCCTGTGGCTGGTAGCTGGTATTTTTGCTAATCTCATAAATATTCTAAGCAGAACTTTTGGCTTTTAATTAATTGCATCTTTATGAAATTGGGCCCAAAGGGTAACTTTAAGTTTGGAGAAAAAAAAAAGTTTTAGATCTTTAGTCGGTATTGCTTGTTTCTCATGTTTAAGGATTAGTCACTCTCTAGTCCGAAAATTTGGGACTCTCAATACTGTATACGAGAGTCCCAAAACTTAAGGTATTGAAAACATGCAAAACAAGAAAATAGATTGGCTCCAGAAACAACCAGTCCAACACCACTTCAGTACTGCATCAATCAACCCTGCTAAAAGAATTTACACTTATACAGTGTCGTCTTTTGTGTTTAATTTGTTTTATTTTGTATTTAGTAGCTTTCATACATTTTTGTTTAGTTTTTGTTTTTCATACCGTGTTTGTTCATTGTGTATTGTTTTGGTCGAATAAATAATAATAATAATAATAATAAGAAACATGTGGCATGAAGCGGGAACTAGTCTCAATTTACTACACATTTCTCCATAGTCAAGCCACCAGACTACTGACACTGAATGAAGAGGTCAGTCTTTTCAAATAGTTGGACCATGGTTGGACATGTACCAGTCTAATCTTTAGCCTCATTTTGAAATCACTTGACTTCCCTCTCGTGTGCAAAATATTAAAGAAATGTCTCCTTAAAAAATTGAGTTGAGTCTGCAAACTTGGTTGGTGAAATACTGAGGACCTTTTCTTTGCCCCAGTGGAATTTTTGGAGAAATTTGCTGGCTAAAAAGTGAGTAAAGTTGGCCTGATTTAATTTGGCACGTTTCAGAGCACTCCAGAGCCCTGTCTGGTCACCCTCATGACTTTTTCAATCATTGTTTTCCCAAGGTCTACCATTCGGCTTCACTTCACCCCAGCAAATCTCTGTCGTCACTGTCACCTTTCTGAATTACGTCGCCCTCGACTGCTCGGCCCAGAACTATTGCAGAATCCGGTGGTTTAAAGATGGTGCGCCTTTTGAAATGCAAAATAAAGTTGGGCTGAGTCACGACAACCAGACATTGGAGATTCAAGAAGCCTACTATAGTCGAGCAGGCAACTACACGTGTGTGGTGACAAATGCAACGGACACCATCAGGCGCACAACTCAGCTGATTGTTAGGGGTATGTGGAAAAATAATATAATTAATATTCATAAATACCTCAGACAGTTTAGCTATTCCTATTGGTCGAGAGCCCGTCACGTGGCCGGTCTTAAACGGATGATAAAGACATGGCTGGCTGGTCTTAAACACTTTTCCAGTGTCACAATAAAATGTGGACACCTAAAAATCCAGTGCCTCTTACCGTTTCATTGGTTGAACGTTCACAATCCTCACGTAGGCATGCGCAACACTACCAGCGAGTCAGGATTTTATAGTTCTAAATTCAAAACGCAACGCCCCAGGTGCGTTCTGCGCAACATCGCGCAGAACATGCTACGCGCGCGTCAATCTCCATAAAAGGGTTGTTTACATCTTACTCGCCAGCTGAACACTCCATTATTTTGCTAGAGGGATGTTTTAAAAAGCATGAAGTGAACTTGTTGAACAAAATCGGGATTTTTGAACGAATTATTTGATTTTTTTGGCCGAAAAGGTATTTATGAATGGGAATAAATATGTGCTACCCTCGCCTCCGGCTCGGATAATTATCAGCACCCAGACTCTAAGCGGTCTTATACAGAGTGATAAAAACCTCCGGAGCACACATTTATTCCCTTAATTAAACACCCCTCTGGCTATGTTATGGTAAGTGCCTCTCATGAGTAGTCCTTGGATGGAGATGGGAGCGTGCGTGGCTTGTGCAGCGCTATGTGGCGCAGAACACAGCAGTGCCGGTGTAATGTGAATTTAGGACTCTACGAAATACAGACTTATTGGTAGTCTCGCGCATGCCTAAGTGAAGATTGTGGGCATTCAACCAATAAAAGGGTAGACTAAAGGGACCAGATTTCATGCAAGTCCAAATTTCATGCGACACTGGAAGAGTGTTTAAAACTAGCCAGCTGGTGTTTTATCAACTGTTTCAAACCACAACCGTGACAATCTCTCTCCAAATATGAATAGGTAAACCATCTTAGTAGGTATTTATTAATAAGGGAATAAATGTGTGCTCCGGAGGTTAAATACCGACCGAGCACATATTTATTCCCATTCATAAATACCTTTTAGGTAAAAAATATCAAATAATTCTTTCAAAAAAATCCTGATTTTGTTCAACAAGTTCACTTCATGCTTTTTGAAACATCCCTCTAGCAAAATAATGCTGGCGAGTAAGATGTAAACAACCCTTTTTTGGAGATTGACGCGCGCGTAGCATGTTCTGCACGATGTCGCGCAGAACGCACCTGGGGCGTTGCGTTTTGAATTTAGAACTTTAAAATTCTGACTCGCTAGTAGTGTTGCGCATGCCTACGTGAGGATTGTGAACATTCAACCAATGAAACGGTAAGAGGCACTGGATTTTTAGGAGTCCACATTTTATTGTGACACTGGAAAAGTGTTTAAGACCAGCTAGCCATGTCTTTATCATCCGTTTAAGACCGGCCACGTGACGGGCTCTCGACCAATAGGAATAGCTAAACTGTCTGAGGTATTTATGAATGGGATATGAAGGTGCATTTAAGGGATTGCATAAAAAAAAAATATTTATGAATGGGATATGAAGGTGCATTTAAGGGATTGCATTAAAAAAAAATGACATGGGCCCTTCAATTTGAGTAATTTACTATACAGAAGAGAGCAGTGATGCATTGATGTTGGTGTCATAAATCTCACTTTTAAAATCTTGAACTATTCCTATCAGAGGAACCGTGGAACAAAGAACCGTATCCATTGTCTGCAGACAGTTGCGCCAACCAGACGGCAAACATCGGAGACGCAGCTGAATTTTTCTGCATCTTCTTTGCCGGTGATTTCAGCAAGGACGTGCAACTGACTTGGTACAAGTGGTCGGTGTCCGGAGCATGGGTACCAGTCAGTGCCTTGTACATGCGGAAAACGAGGTACGAGGAGCGGCTAGACTATTCTGAACTTCGACAGTACAGGTGGGTACCAGCCTTGTTCCCAGGGTCTGCTTCTATCAACTGTGGTAGTACCCCCTGGGAGTGTAACTTGCTTTCCATACAGGGTGAGTAAAAAAAAAAACGAAACCCAAATGTTGGGGCCATTGTTTCAGTGAAGTTCTACATGTAGCGCTTTCAAAATCTAGGATATGAAAGCCCAATTTATAAGCTTTCTTTAGTACAAAAATCATTCAAATCACTCATGTACTTTTTAAGTTACAGAATTTTAAACACAACCACCGTTTTATGGTTCCGTCCACGGATCACAAAAAATTCAGTGTTCTTTCAGCAAAACAAAAACAAATCACATAGGGATGTGTGTGAATTGTTTTCGTTTTGCTGAAAGAACGCACACCTTTTGTGTGATCCGTGGACAGAACTTTCAAACGGTGGTTGTGTTTTAAATTCTGTAACTTGAAAAGTACATAAGTGATTTGAACGATTCTTGAACTAAAAGAAAGCTTACGAATTGGGCTATATTATATCCTAGATTTTGAAAGTGCTACATGCAGAACTTCAATAAAACAATAGTCCCGACATTTGGGTGTTTTGTTTTTTTACTCACCCTGTACTGAACACCGCTATACTGAACATTCAGCTATATCGAACGTCATCCTTGGCTCCCGGTTTTAATGTACAAAACGTACCGAACAAAAAATCTACCGGTTGTACTATTAACGCTATTTGGACCACTTATAATTCCCGAGCATCAAACCACCCATAGTTACATCGTGTTTGAATGTTGAAGAGCGATAGATGGCTATTATTTCACCAAGGAATAGAAGGGAAAACCACCCGTTGCTAAAGTTTCGTGACGACCCCTCGTGCGGCTGCAGGATGTGAGAAATGCCAGTTCACTACTGGTGAAAAAGAAGGTACCGGCGGTTCAAAATTGCTATACCGAACGATCGTTATTATGAACAATTTCTGTGGATCCTGCGATGTTCGTTGTAGCGGCGTTCCACTGTAATGGTCATGTGCTCAGTGATTTTAAATGTGAATATTGTATTATGCCCATTACAACTCTGTTATCATGTATATCTGCCTTTTTTTTCATTTTGGTTATTTAAAAGTATCCGCTCCGTTCACACGTACCCCCTCACCGGCAAAGGAAGTACATTTGGGGGTGACCAACCGACGCCATCTTGCCTGACTCCAATTCATTTGCCGCGAAGCGCGGCCACTGTGTGTACATAGTAAAAATCCCCTGGTGTACGTGCATCACACACAAGGAATGGTGCGCGTCAACCAGCAAAATGTCCCACCCATGAGACGTCATTGCTAGGTAAAAGGGCGCCCTCTTTGTCGGCGCACGGAGCCCATAATGAGTAAAGGTTGAATACAGTGTGATTGCCACCTTACCACATGTACTTTGAAAACAATATTTCTTTTTCCAGCACAATTTATGTGAAAAGATGTTAGCATGGACAACAATGCCTGTTTTGTACACCGCCAAATTCTTCTCCATCTTGGTGTTGTATCTAGACTTCTGATGTTTGATTTGTATTCTTTACAGTGGAAGTGGCTGCAAACCGACCGCCGGGATGCGTTTGAACATTAGGGATGTGACTGAAGAAGCATACGGTGACTATCGACTTGAGGGAAACAACAGCTACGGAACAACACACACCGAACCCCTGTCTCTTTCAGGTAACTGGAGATAACTTGGTATGTATGTTATAGTAACAGTTGCTATGGTAGTGACAGGGATACTGACCACATCTAGAGAGCCAACAACAACAGTGACCACGATGAAAGTGTCACTAAAAACGCTGATGAATAAGCGCTGGAAAAAAATATGGTCAAGATAAGTACATGCGTACACATTGTCATCTTTGGTTTTTCTCCTTCTTCTAGCGCCGCCTCCTAAACCTCGGCTAGACCTGACTGCCGTTATAACGGCCAGTGGGTTGGTGGCGTTGATGTTGATTCTAGGAGTAGTGATGGCCCTGGCGTGGCAGTTTGTCAAGCTGGACTTCAAGATATGGAGGAAGAACCGCTTTGGGGCTTTGGAAGATGACGGTGAGTTTGGATCTCAAGACTTGGCCAGGGCAACTCCATTTGTGGATGGATTCTATTTTTCGTCCAGGATTTGCGATTCTGTTCTGAATAAACTCCAAGCACAGGTCAATCATAAGACACTCACAAAGTAATCACAAGTCAATCACAAGTCAATCACAAGTCAATCACAAGTCAATCACAAGTCAATCACAAGTCAATCGCAAGTCAATCACTAGTCGATCACAAGTCAACCACAACTCACTCACAAGTCACTCACAAATCAATCACAAGTCACTCAAAAGTCACTCGCAAATCACTCACAAGTCAATCACAAGTCAATCACATGTCAATCATAAGTCTCTCACAAGGCAATCACAAGCCAATCACAAGTCACTCACAAGTCAATCACAATACAATCGCAGGTCAGTCACCAATCAGTTCCATGTTAATGACAATTAATAAATACCTTGGAGAGTTGATGGTTTCTGATTGGTCGAGACTCGATCACGTGGCCAGTCATTAACGGTGATAATGGACCGGCTTCAAAGATCAAGCGAATAAATGGCCCCTGAACCAGCATTGATCAAGCCCCGTTCAGCCCCATGCAAGCCAATGATTGGTCAAAATATAGTAACAGTCCTGCGGTAGCTTTTAACAATTGAGCACTGCACATGCGCTCAACCCCATCGCGTGAGACTGATGCGCGCGTACGCAACACAGTTGCTAGGGATGCGTGCGTGCGCGCGCGTAAGGAAGTTTTGAAACGACATCGTACAGCAGTGAAGTATATTCTGAGGATGTTTACGACGAAAGCGTAGATGTACGATTTATTTTCTTTGAAACACTTCACCCACTGACATATTTACCTTTCCTAAACCAAGCATCTTTGTAATTCCGGACACAAGCAATGTGTAAACGAGATTTCAGCTTCCTCCATCAGGTAAAGATATGAAAACATTGTTGTAATTTGTTTCGCTACGGCAGCAGTTTCTGTTGAGTTTACGTTGTTATAGCTGTTAAGCTAAAATATGGCCCATGAACATGAACACAAAAAAGTCTGGAAATATCGTCGGAAAAAAGTCACAAAATTGGAGCATTTTAACTGTTTATTTCGTTATAAAGGTATTTATTAATGGTAATAACAGTGTGAGGATCCGGTCTTCACTGCCTGATGATGACCGGGTGTGGGGGTGACCGCTGTTAATGGACCTCGACTTCGTTTCGGTCCATTAACAGCGGTCACCCCCACACCTGGTCATTATCACGCAGTGAAGACCGGATCCTCACACTGTTATTCCCTTAGTCACTCACAAGTCAATCATAAATATCACTAACAGGTCACTTAAAGTCAATAACAAGTAAATCACAAGTCAATTACATTTCAATCACGAGTCAATCGCAAGTCAATCTCATGGTAATGGCACATCAAATCACGTCGATCACAAGTAAATCGCAAGACAGTCGCAAGTCAGTCACAAGTCAACCACAAGCGACTCACTAGTCACTCACACGGTACTTACAATTCAAATCACAATTCAATTACAAGTTGATCACAGGTCAATCTCATGTTAATGACAAAGTCAGATCACAAGTGACCGAGAATGAATAGTGTCTTTGAATAGCTTTCCCCATAACTTCAGACTGGACTACTTGATGACATCATTATTTGATAACCTTTACGTCGAGGGAAGTTTCAGAATATTTCTAACAGCACCTAACGATTTTACGCCACTGTAAATAAATGTCTCATTGCCAAACCCCGACCCCATCCACATTTAGCCCCACGAAACTCCTTGCCCTCGAGTCAGATTTGCAAAGACCAAGTTCGGCTCTCGCCTTCAGAGTGTCAAAACGAAATCTTCAAGGATTATCTAAGTCACCATTGTTCATCTTTGCAGATGGCAAAACATACGATGCCTTTATCTCCTATGCTGATGAGGACTTGCCGTTTGCACTCAACATCCGTGAGAGGCTGGAGCAGTCTGGGTACAGTGTCTGCGTTGGTGACATTGACTTCACACCAGCAACAAGTAAGGCCCCATTACTCAGTGTTTGAAGTCAAACTGGTACTCTGAAAAATTGAAAGAGGATTTATCCTTTAACTTACTTTCTACTCCAAATACTCTGATTCTTACCCATGATAAAGAGCCTTCTTTAAAGGGGTTGTGGAATGCTCGAAGACATTTCCGTAATTTTTTGGGTGTATGTAGCCTAAGGTGTGATGAAATAAAAACGACTATTGTTTCTGTCATGAAATGAGTACAAAGGGTACTTTTGAGAGCTATTTTTCAGGTCCTGTTTCGACCCGAACGTGCAATTTGTGTAAAAGTCGTCGTTGCGGGCAGCAAACAAAACACGGTGAATCGTGACGTAATAAACAGGACTCGTTTATGCTACTCTGCATCGGGAGTCCTGTTTATTACGTCACGATTTACTGTGTTTTGTTTGCTGCCCCAACGACAACTTTTACACAGATTGCACGTTCGGGTCAAAACAGGCATGACAGGACTTGAAAAACAGCTCTCAAAAGTACCTTTTGTACTCATTTCATGACAGAAACAATAGTCGTTTTTATTTCATCACACCTTAGGCTACATATACCCAAAAAATGACGGAAATGTCTTCAAGCATTCCACAACCTCTTTAACAATGAAACTAAAAATTGCCACATTAACCAGTGTGCGCCGGAGGTCGTGTTTACACGCAAAAGTTTTGCGGTATTCGGAATGGATGACAGATAAACACGCAGGGAGCGAGGCCGGAAATATCTGTCAGCGACCCGCACGCAGCGAGCGAGGCCGGAAATATGAGTGTGCTGCTCGAGGGTGATGGCTTCAACCCGACTGGCTTGAGGCCAAGCGAAAATGAATCCTGCGCCTCGTTGCGTTCTTGTCAAAATAATCCCGGCGTGAACTGGTTAAACTAACTGAATACTTGATGCAGTCTTTCAGCGAAGTTTTAACGTGTTCCTTTCTTTCCATGCAGCTTTAGTTGAGGAGATTATTCTTGCCCTGAACACCAGCCGTCGTTGCATGATCATCATCTCGCCGGATTTCATCCGCGCTCGGCACAGTGCCATCCAAGTGGACGTCGCCATGGAGCAGATGCTCCATCGTCAGATCAAGATCGTTCCTGTCATCTACCGTGACGTCTCCTCTGTCGACTGCGCGGAGCTGCCAGTCCTAAAGCGCATCCTGGCCAACGTGCGCCGCGTCACCTACGACGAGAATGCTGCCGCTGAAAAGTTCACCAAGCAGCTGCTGGTACACATGCCCCCCCACCGGCCCGTGCTTCCACCACAAAGAGATGGGATCGAAGGCAGAATCCTACTCCGGGGTTCTGTGTCCTCCGCGAACGGACAGGTGGATGGAAACATGCCCGGGATTCAGGAGAACGCCAGGGAATGTGAGATGAACCGTTTCCTCAAAGATGTTGCAGAAGCAGGGAACAAGAATCCTCACGCGGTCCAAGATCAAAGGGAGATTGCCGTGCTATGCTGAATGACTTGTTTTTGTCTCGCCTGTACAAGACTTTTGTTCCAAACAGTCTTGCTCTGTTACATTGTACTATTGCCAAAAATTTTGAACTGGATTTCCGTGTTGATGTTAATTGTCATGTAAATATATTTTTGGTAGCTATAAAATACTTGCAAGGTATTTAAAAAAAAAAGTTATTTAAGTTTACGCTGCCACAAAATTTCTGAATGCATGTATATATATTATTTTCTTCTGCAATTTTTCTTACATATTTTTTAATATTTTGTCATACAGTACTCATAGTTATTGACTTACAATAAATTAAGATATTTTTATCAATTAAGAAAAGGTGATGATTACTGTTTTATAGAAATATGTTCCTAGTCAACCAACTTTATACCATTAAGTTGACCTATACACAGATGTTGCGGGCTGTTCAGAACATTTCTTGGCAACAACATCTCCCTGATTCTGTTCTGTATGATGCTCTTCCCCCTATCTCCGCCACCATCAGACAGCGTCGCCTTCGGCTACTGCCGGTCACGTTCATCGACATAATGAGCCAGCTTGTCAAGTTCTCCTCTGGAATCCTGATGCCCCTCGATGAAAAGGTCGTCCCAACATGACCCTGAAAACATCCATCGAGATAGAAACTGGTCTGAGCGGTCCATCTCTTTCCAACACTATGCTCGACAGGGACAGTTGGGCCCAACTCATCAAGTCATCATGAAAATGAATGAATGAAGAAGAAGAAGAGAAGAAAGAGTTAATTCCCCCCCCCCCCTCCTTCCCCCTGGATCCGGACAAGCCTTTACATTGTACTCTTTGCAAAAATGTTCAACTGGAATCCAGTGTTAATGTTAACAGTAAAATGTAAATATATTTTTATAAAAGACTTGCAAGGTATTATAAAATTGATATTATTTTACGCTGCCACCAAATTTCTAAATGCGTGCATCAAGTGTTTTCCTCTGCGATTTTTCGTACATTTTAAAAATATTTTGATTGACTTAAGAAAATTTATACGATTACTGTAACGAAAACTTTTCCTTGTCAACTTATCAGCTCTTATGAACAAAATTTATGCATCTTTAACGGGAAATTAACTGTGTTGAATTTGGCAACGTTTTGGAACGTTTACAACAATATTAGTCGAAGAATATTTTGTTTGGCTGATCATCCAATACTAGTCTTAATGCTAGTCTTAATATTTAAACAGTACTACATAATCTGCCTCTTCTTTTAGCTATGCCTTTAAAGATTGCATTTGCCGTCCGAAAAAAAAGCCAGAATAATAGTTTGAATAAAACTTTACTACAAATACATGTGCATTGCATGAGTTTTTGATTCTTAGGCCATTTTTCAAACTGTGTCTTTGTTTTGACTTAGCACCGTCTCGGGCAAAAGTTATAAAAACGCTTATAATACTCGAACCAAGTGGAAACTTTCCAAAGTATTTCCTTTGATAAATGGATATGATATTCCCTTTGCAGAAAATGAGCCCATAATATAATGCAAGAGTCACCGTAAACATCATGAACTGAAACTATAGAATCTGAACCGAACCCCAGGTTTCAAAAATAGCAGGGGGTGACGTGCACGAACTTTGCATTGGGTGTGACAAAGCAATACTGAAAAGATTGGTGTCGCTATTGTTTGCTTTTGTAGTAGTAGTACTCGGAAATGTAAAGGGGAAATCCCTATATTTGTTTATTCAGGGTCACCGTGCATTCGAGTGCCGTTTGCATGCAACAATGAGTGGGCGAGATGTTTTGCCGTGTTGCAGTTAACCGGGGAACCCGAAACCTGTACACGTTGGCTCAAAAAAAAGGGGAAAAAAGGAATTATGCACATGCAGGATGTTTTGTCTGCGATGTGTTTTCACCCTTTCTAACAAGAAATGTTTTTATACAGCCACTGCCGGGAGGCTAGGACTTGTTTTGCAGGATCTGCTGGTCTCATTATATTTCCGTTTCATAGGGAGTCCCTTTTTATTACTTTGGTTCTCTTTTCCGAACCGACCCGATTTTGGGCTCGACTTTTCAGAGCCTGAGGCAAGAAATATGAGAACCAAAGAAATATAAAGGGACGGCCTTAGATAGGCCGAGGCCGCCTAGGTACTTGTAAAAGGTCGAGATATTATCCAAAATGTTATCTGGATGATCTTCTATATAATTTAGGCTCAGAATTCAGTTTATTCCTAATCAATTATCTTTTATCAATGTTTAGACTTAGTAGGTTAATTTCCATAACCTCTGTGCCCTTTATGCCGTTGTTGACGATATGGTCTTTTGTTTGCGTCTTACTATTGGTTGAGAGTTTTTTGGAAGTTCAAGAATTAGAAATACTTGGAGTTGAGCTGATCCAATAATAACAAGGGGCGCAGTTTTTAACAGCAAAATCTATTCATTGCGTGCAATCAAAATCATTTTGCAGTCACTTCAAATTTATGCTCAAAAAGCCATAAAACACTAGCGGGGTTCACTAGTATAAGCGTCCATAATTGTAACCATTTTTATATTTGATTTCTCACGAGAACAACACAAATGATTTCTCAATCCCTGCCACTCACCGGAATGGAACGGTCTGGCGTCACTGGTGTACACCGGCGCGCGCCAGATGAACAAAGTGTAAGTGGAACACGTGGTAGCCTGCCCTACACTCCTGCCGTACTGAATTACGAAGGAAGGCCAAGCGGCAGTACTATTTTTGGCAGCACTTTTGGATTTGTTTTGTTGTGTTGTTGGAAACGCAAAGAACCGTGAATTTATTATGTCCAGGTTTTCAGCTCTGCGGATCTGCCGATCAACGTTCTGTATTTGTACCGGCTGATTTCATGCCACTAAAAGTGACTGCTGCGAGATTTGAGGGTAAGTTATGCTGCGGAGTTTGCCGTGTATGCAATGTACGACAGCGTGACTGTATATGATAAAACCAGCAGGAGATCCGACGGTGCTGCAAAATCATGTGAAACGATTTGGAAAGAATGTTGCATCCTGACGCCATTTTCCCATCATAATTATGTTATCTCATTGAAGGTCAGTCAGTCATTGCACAAATGTCGAATAAACCTGAATCATTTGGGACTGAAAAACGTGTCCAATTTTTTTGAAAATGCACTCGACTCTCCGTAAACTTTGTATGCAAGCAAATAAGTGACGTACGTATGCATATCTACTTACATTCTTTTCCTATCCATAAACCTGCAGTGACGTTTCTCAGTGCAGACTTTTTGAAAAGAAATGCATCCTTCAGACCTTCATCCAGTTTTCAGATTTGGAAAAAATGTTGCAACCTGACGCTACTTCTGCGGTTGTGTACAAAGTTTATGGAGAGTCAAGAAAATGTTCTAAGTATTTCCTAACAAAATTGGAAATGTTTTTTTTTTTTCAGTCCCAGATTCATGTCTTAATCATCATTAGTGCAGTGACTGACTTCATTGAGATGATATATGAAGAAAAAAGCAGCGTCAGGTTGCAACATTCTTTCCTCAGATTTTTTTTTAAATGGACAATGTCATCCCTAGTAAACACTGTCAATTGTTTTAGCTGCTAAACAGCAATATCAATCATTTTCAAAATGAATTGAGCAGTATCAAGCATTTAAAAAAAAATAGGCCCACGAGTTTAAGAATTTCTTGTTTTGAGGCAAACTTCAGCTTATTTTTATATTAATTGTCGCAAATTAATTAATTGTTACAAGATGAAAAATTACCTTTCAAAATCTAAATCGCAAGGAATTTTATTAACACAGATAAAAGTACTACATCTTAATTGTTTTGATTATTGCAGTCCCAACTATTGGAGCAAACAAAAACATGGCTAAAGAATGCAGCAAGAACCACGGAGACCGGTTGTCATGGAAGCCTCCACATTGCTTCTCGGTTCTGTTGATGTTATGTTTCACTTTTGGGAGCGGTGAAGCCAGCTGTAGCTTACTGAATAAAAATGGTGAGAATTTGGAAATAAACATTTGGCCGGGGGACACATCTGTTCTAAATGCCTATTGTTTTGTGGCATGAATTGGTATAGGGTTATATTATTGTAAAGTTATTTTTGAGTGAGAGTGTTATGTCAGCAAACTCTTTCCAACTGTTTGCATTAATTTGAATATAATGACTAAGAATATATACTTCCAGCATGTTGAAGAAATTGCAACTGTATCCGCATAACATGTAGTGGCTAGTCTCTCAATTAATAGTGTGTATGAGAGTCCTAAAGGCCCCCCCCCCCAAAAAAAAGTCTTCGGTTTCTGGTATGGAGCTTGCCCCCAAAGTGGTGCGGCGACACGGCTTTTTTTCCCCCTACTTTTTTGGTACAACATCGTCTGCATATGGTGCTTGACTGTTCTGTGCAAAATATATGGGAGCCCAGAAAGGCCACATAAAGCTTATACTCGATATAGTAACCCCATCTGAAAACACGTTAAAATTATGCAGCAGCAGGATTTTAGTTAAACCTGTGAGTTTGGCGGTTTTTAGACATCAGCTTACATTGAAAAAAACAACTACGGCGACGCGTGCGCAGACCAGTAACCAGGGCCTTTTTTTGGGCCAAAACTTAAGGTAGTGAAAACATGCAATACAAGAAAATAGACTGGCACATGAAACAACCAGTCCAACACCCCTATAGTATTGCATCAATCAACTGTGTCAAAGAAACATCTGGTTCCAGAACTGTCTTTCTACATATTCTCTCCATAGTCATCAGGTCACGCCACCAGACTACAGAAGGGTCATTTTTTTCTCAAAAAGTTGGACATGTATACCAGTCTAGTCTTAGGCTTCAAATTGAAATCACTTTGCATCACTTGCTCACCGGGAAAATGTTGATGAAAAGTCTCTTTTAAACATAGAATTGAGACCTGTGAAATACTGAGGACCCTCGGTGTCTTTGCTTCACGAACATTTTTGGAGAATTTTGTTGGCTCAAGATTGAGTATTTGTCCCTGTCTGGTAGGCTTCTCGGCCTATTCTAATTTGTAATGGATCATTCATGATTATTTTAATAGTTGTTTACAACACAAAGCATCATTTTAAGTATTTATAGACATGTACATGTATATGACAAGTATCTTGTGACTTTTCAAATGTTTGTTACAGTGAATTTCCTCAAATCTACTGGCACAGTTACGCTGCATGAGAAATCAGAAAGCTAGAGTCTGGCCTCTGAACACAATAGAGCCATACAATGCGATTGTGCATTTCTGTGAAAACTTGCGTTGGACAATTTAGTCTGAATATGCCTGTCGTTCTGGCATATTCCATTCATTCATTCTGCTATTTGGTTGTCTGTGAATGGTGTTTTTTGCATGGAAGTAGGCTATATACCATGTTGTGTGTTTTTTTTGTCCCTGTTATTAGTGATCGGGAAATTTTTTAATCAGACAGTGATTTTGATCAATCAATCATTCTAGATACTCCATTGTCACTTGGTATCAAGCTAGACCCATAGCAAAAAAAAACATTTTTGATTTGTTCAATTGCCAACCTCATTATTTGGGTCGGGAAACCACAATGTTGATTTCAGCATGTACTGCTTGAGGGGCAGTTTTCGTAGTTTCGGTCTTAGAAAAGTGATTTATAACAGTCAGAGTTTTTGAAAGCAAAATGTCCCCTCAAGCACCTGTCACAGTTGTGTAGTAGTTCAGCCTGTAAAGGGATTTAATCTAGAAATGATTGTAGGTGGTTAAATAATATAAAAAGAGGCAGTTGGATCATTGTATAGAATCATAATATATGTAGGTAGTCCTACTGTGAACTAAGATTTTCCGCAAAAGTTGGCACTCCATATTCTCAAATTGGGGCATGGATAAATATGATGCGAGAAAGGGAACAGTTTTAGTTTATCAGATTTTCAGTTTCAAACAAGGTTTTGCTATCGGTATAAAGGGCTTCTACACATGGGTGTCAATTGGTGGGGGGGGGGGGGGACAAGCCCCCATAGCTCAGAATAGCTGATTCACATGACACTTAACTTAAAAATGATGTTTCAAAGGTGATCTGTTGCTTAAAAAATGGTTTTAGTGGTCAGAAATTGCTTCAGATTGCACCACAGTCTAGAATTCGGGGCCTTTATGCAGGCCCTCAACCCCACGCCGTTCGGGGCTTCGCGCTTTATGCTTCATTAGTGCTCATCAAGGTGTGTCCCCCCACTTTTTGATACCCTTGCTTCTGGACACCCCCCCCCCCCATTAGCCCTACCATCCCCCATCTACCATCCCCCCTCGTCATTGTTGTTGATCTTTATAACTTAATGATATCCGCATTGCGAGGTTCATTTAGTTTCCAATTTACCATAAATATTTTTGTCCCTTTCATAGCTGTAGCCTTTAAAAAAAATAATAAACTTCTCGTTTTGATTTACCGGCATGTTTTTCTTATTTTGACTGAGTGTTTAACCTTTATCCTCCCCCAATGCATTCCCTCATCTTAAAGGCAGTAGCACTACCATGCAGTTCACCAGTCTGGACACGGTCAAGCAGCACGTCACCAAACAGGGCTATCAGGCAATCTCCTGTGAAGTTGTCAATTTCTGCCACGTCCGCTGGTACCGCCGCCGCCACCTCACCGGGCAGAGGGAACCCTACCCTTGGGACCTGGGCAAGTTCACCGTCTTCTTCCTGGAAGATGACAACCAAACGCTCATCTTCAAGTCAGCGGATGAGACAGCCAAGGGATTTTACGAGTGTGAAGTGTCCAATAGCACGCACAATATCACCAGACGAACTCAGCTGACAGTGGACAGTAAGCACAGTTTATCGATCTTGTTTTTTCACTGTACGAGTCGCAAACTTACTCATTTTGAAGCAACACTATACAGTAAACCACGGTACTTTCTTCGCAGCAAAATGTGTATGTAGAGTACCATGGGTGTAAATCGTGGAGAGAGAGACGGGGGACATGTCGCGTCCACTTTTAGAAGGTTGGGGGACACTATATCAAATTCCCCCCCCCCCCCCAGATGTTCGAACTCGTTTGTCTCATTTACAGAGCCTATACTACAATGTATCTTTTGCTAAGAAAATATTGGTTAAAGTGGTAAGAAATTGCCTCAGATCGCACCACAGAGCATCTATAATCGTTTTTTTTTCAGGGCCCCTAAGCATGCCCCGAACCCCACGCCGTATAAGGGCTTTTGTGCTTCGCATTAGTTCTCATCAAGGTATCCCCACTTTTGAGAAGCGATTGACGCCCCTGGTACATACATTTCATCAGCCAGGCAGTCCAGGACTGCATCCTTCAAAATTGTACAAAAAGTGGCGGGTTTTGGCAGATCTTGGATGAGACTTCGGGGATGGCTATAAGTTTTAGCCTTGTTTTTAAAAAAAAGTTGACCAAAAAACAAAAGGCCACAAGCCAATATTGTAACATGAATATCTTGCTAGGTATTGAAATGTTTACCTATCGGGGTGTTAAATAATTAGTACGCCCTGCCTGAAACAATTTTTTTTAAATTTTTTTTATGTGACATCGCAATAAAGGCAGGCAATGAGTACACCACCGTCTTTTCCTCAAAAAAACATTGGTTAAAGTGGTCAGAAATTGCCTCAGATCGCACCACAGAGCATCTAGAATCCAAAAAAAACCAAAATTTTTTTTGGCCCCCCCAAAAATTGTGTTCTGGATCCGCCCTTGGCCTGAAATGATCTGATATCAAGCCTTTCCAAACACAACCCTCTATTTTCACTGGTCGAAGTGCCAATTGATAAGAGTTTTCCTGTGGAACCACCGTACATCTCGACCCCCTCCAAACAAAAAATCCCTCTACACTAATGTGGTTAGAAAAGGTTTTAGGGTACATCCATTCAGGGAGTTAGTGATCATAAATAATCGATCCCATTCCATTTCCTGATTGGTTCAGATACCTTGAACCATACTCAGGTCGACCAAAAACGAAACTCAGTATATTTGTGAAATATCTCTAACTTCCTTCCTGAAGTCCAAAGTAAACACTCTTTCTTTTTATTTAAATCATTGAAGACTTTATCATGTTGAAGCTGTGTCCTGAACACCAGGAGGATATCCTGTTTCCTCCCACTTTGTGATGCACCATGGCTGAATTCATGCATATTCATGCAAAGTTGGGGAAATAATCATTTTCCCAAAACAGCTTCATGACATTCCAGTTAACAAACACAAAATAGGACAGACCCTTCACAACAAATTTTAAAATTTCCTGCCAAATTTTGACAGTAACGAAGGATTTGGGTTTTTTGTTTAATAGTTTTTATTTAAATACTTACTTTTAGTCATAACCTTTGTTCATGGTCTTTACCAACAGTAGTCTCTGAAGCTATTTTAAGAGATGTGCTCTGTTGTTCAATGCGATAAAATTGACTTGAGATATTATCCACTTCTCCCTCCAACCCAACCTGAAACATAATAGAAATTTGACCTTTCCAAATATCCTGGATTCTTTGTGATGTTTTCATTGTTGCGCAGTGGGAGCTTGATACGGAAATGAGTAGGACCCAGTTAAACTGCACAATGAACACGTTTTAGCAATAAAATGGCTTCAACTATATCAGAAAGGGCTTTTGAAACCAGCAGGAATTCGCTGCGACATTTCCTGTTCAAGTTTTGCACATTTGCAATGCTAATACTTGCCGTTGTGTCACAAATTCGCGTGCCCATACATAACGAATGTTTATGATTGCAATGGTGAGAATATTTTCATGCGTTGAAAGATGGAATGCTCCATTCAACAAGGCCGCCGGAAGCCAGGTTCAAAGGAGCCTTCCGTCTTTCAACGAATGAAAATAATCTCACCATTGCACGAATGCAAAACATTCATTATTTGTTTCATATAACATCCAAGTAGATCTTTAGTCATTCAACTGGAGGATAAAACTATAATCAACAACATTTACAATATGGTTTCTCGGCATCCACTTTTTTTACCAGCTTGTTCAAAGTTCAAGTTGGCAAATTAAAGGTTTAAAAGTCAAAACATTGACAATATGAAAGTTAATATTGCAAAAAAAATCTGCAAGGCAGGTTTAGTTTGTAACTGCATGCACTTTAAAGGCAATTTTTGTCTGCTATATAAAACACGTAATGTGGTATATAGTGCAAAGATCGTTATAGCACCGCTGCGCGTCTATGCGCGACGCGCTTTACGATCTTTGGACTAGCGTATGCATGCAGTAGATCCAAACTGCACGATGAATGGAACCAAAAATGCATGTAAGCCGTGACGTAGGCCATACGATGGTTTAATTAATGAATGTCGCGTGACCGACAATCCTCCAATCAAATGACAAGGATTTGTTATGTAACAGCCTATACTAAATTAATTTTTCCTTCCAATTTTACTCCAGAGAGGTTCTGGATTGGTGAACCACTCCAGCTCCAACACCAGCTCTGCCACAACCACACGGCAGTGGCAGCCGGCGAGAACGTGACCTTGCTCTGCAAGTTCTACGTGGGCGCCCTCCGGGACTTCACCACTGTGTACTGGCAGCGGCCCAACATGTCCCTGCCCATGGAGCAGTGGTCCAGCTGCGGTAATGGATCGGACTGGCTGCTGGTTAACCAGCTGCATGAGATTTCCCACGACACCACGTACCGCTGGACGCCAATACGGATGGATGACAACTCGTAAGTTTGGAACAAACTTATAGTACATTGGGCAGTGGTGGCACCAGACTCTAAAATTTAGGGGGGTTGGTCATGGGAGGGGGGGGGGGGGCAAGGAAACTTTTTTTGGGGGGGGGGCATTCAAAATAAAATCTTAAGCCTGTGTACCGGCACGGGTGCCCATTGTCAATGGTCCGGAAATAAGCCACCAGAGCAACTATAAAGTGTATAGTCACTTTTATGAATGAGAAATGTATCAAATCGCAGAGTGATGTATAAGAAATTATACGGCTGTATAAATGCATGTGTGGCGTGTTTTGTCTAAAGTACCAATGTTTATAATGCTTTCATTGGCCCAAATTTGATGTGTCCACGTTTATGAATCTTAACAGCGAAGAAAATGGGGTGGGGGAAAGGGAAAAAACTTGGAGTGGGGGAAAATGTGAAAATTTGTCTGACACCTTAATGGAGAAATTAGTTCAAAATACACACTTTGCAAACAAATTTCAAATAAAAAACATTGGGGCGGGCGTAAAAATCGGGGTGGGCAGTGATGAAAACCTAAAAATCAATTACAAAAGGCCTAAGTTGTTTCCCCTCACGTTTGTACTGTGTTGTCCACATGACATAATTCTACATGCACAGTAGTGACGCGGTACCGTGGGTGGGCAGCAAGCTTGAGATTATCAACGTGAGCGAGGAGGCATACGGGATTTACTGCGTCATCGCAAACAACGGCGGTCATTGGTCACGTGACATTCTGATGCTCAGCCCACCAGGTAATTGGATGCATTCGCTGACTGTATTTTAACCTGAAACCCACTCAACCTGAGACTAACTGTTCAAGAGTATGTTCGTAAACGATGGCACACACAAAAAAGGAAATGAAAACACACTTTATAAATTCTGAGAGGTCATGATTTTGCTTGGTATTTCAAAATTATTTCTAATTTGAAATTGAAAATGCCACTCCTCTTTTGTGAATTTTAACTCCTGTTAATTTCAAATTTTGAACTATCAAAATTGGAAGAATGAAGTGAACTTCAAAATGTTTAATGTTCTCCATTATCTACGGTGTAACTTGTATTAACTTTCAAATGTTTATCTTTGACAGTTCTTTTCTTTCCTTTTCCCATATATTTCAGAAGAGCCCCCTCAGCCTGATAATTATCACGCATTAGCCGTGGCCATCTTTGTATCATCTTTCATCTTCGTTGCCGTTTTGTTCCTGACGTGGAAGATGGTGGCACTGGACGTCAAACTGTGGTACCAGGGCCACTACGGCAACACTGAACAAAATGGTGCAGCAACATTTTGGTTCATTTTCAATAAAACATTTAGTCGATGTCACTATAATAGTTCAAAGAAAAAAAATACTAATGTTCCATCCCTCCGGCTTATATACAGGTCGAGTTAGAATGACCTGGACCCAAGTTCACCATTTTGTGTGTGGCAAATACAGTATATTGAAAAAAGGTACTGAGTATTTCATATGAATGGTTATTACCTTGTCTTCCTTGGGAATTTTGAATTTTTCAAATTAGTGGCTGTGGTGAGGAGTTATGCCATTTTCGTTGAAGTGGTTCATTTTCCAGTCTGCACAGGGAATTGGTTTTGCCTTTTTTAAATCTGTCAATAACTTCAAGTGAGTCAGTCACCATGACTAGGTTTATAATTGCTATTACACTGCTTCACATCAGTGCGCGATTTCAATAAATTTGTTGAGCCGTACGTGGAACCTAAATCTGCCTTTGCAGCTATCTTGTTTAAACCAGTTTTGTCCTTTATTTTATTTTTCAGATGGGAAGATGTATGACGCCTATGTGTCCTACAGCTGGTCAGACAATGATCGACAGTTTATCCTTCGCGTCATCATGCCGTATCTTGAGAAGTACGGCTACAGGCTCTTCGTTCCAGAAATACACACGGTTCCTTCAAATGGTGATGCATGTTCGATTATTACCGCTAATTGTTTGTTTTATTTTTAATTCATCATTACTATTATTATTTTTATCGTAGGGGAAAGAAAACATTTCTTTAACTGATGGGGCTACTGTGGTAAAATGGAAATGCTAAACAAAATTTTTAAAAAGTGAAGGAAAAGACCTCTTTTAAGGTTTCATTTTCCCTGTTGTAGTTCTGTTAGAGGAGCTTAACCGAGCCATGGAAGCCAGTCGTCGCTGCATCATGCTCATCACACCCAGTTACACCATCTCCGAGTTTGGTAAGTACGAAGTAGAGCTGGCCGCTGACATCATGTCCTCCAGGTTGTCTGAGCGCATCATCCCAGTTTTCTTGGGCGTGTCTCCATTCAGCGACCCGTCGCCGCTGAGCGGCTCAGAGCCATCGTTGTCATCTGCGTCGTCATGTTCATCCTCAACCCTGCCGTCATCACCTTCCACATCCTCACAGCCATCGTCGTTGTCATCAGACTCAGGAAATCACTCCACCTCCGAGACGTCTCCCGACTCTCTCTCCTCCTGCTCCTCGGCTAGCTCCAAGCCAGTCAAGATCGACTTCAACATTAGCCCACTCCTTGGGCAACTGATCAAAGTCCTGAAGCCCCTGAAGACCAGCAGGAAAGAACCCCACATGCTCCGCAATCACACCAGGTTCCTGAAGAGGTTGCGACTCCGCATGCCCAGACCCCCGGCCGGGAATGGCGTGGTGATTCCACGCCAAGAGGTCATCATGGAGACAATGTCACAAACTAGTGACCTGGTGGACAATGAAGTCCTGCCCGACGGAAGAGAGGAAGGCATGGATTTCAGAATGCAGACCTTCCCACGGTTGTACCCAGTGGTACCCGATGGGGACACACAGAACGAAGACGTGGCTGGGGGTGTATACCCAGTGGAGATCAATGCAGATCCCACTTCTGACACCAGCATGTCCTGGAATCCTTAGAAGCATGGATTTCAGAATGCAGACCTTCCCACGGTTGTACCCAGTGGTACCCGATGGGGACACACAGAACGAAGACATGGCTGGGGGTGTATACCCAGTGGAGCTCAATGCAGATCCCACTTCTGACACCAGCATGTCCTGGAATCCTTAGAAGCTCATCGACCCCAATGGGAAAAGTTGGTGGGTCGATATGAACTTTAATTAACTTGCTGAGAAGTCATAGTCTCATTTGGAATCTTAGGCTTGTCTTTCCAAAAGTTAAAAATGTCACAGACTCTTTTACTTGCAATTTTTGAAGAGAAGTTAGTTTGGATCTTATGTTAAGATATTCTGCAACTCTGTATGTTTATGAGAAATTCTTGAAGATTTCTATTTTCATGTTTCATAATTTTAACAAAGATAATGTTACGTTAATTTGTCCACCTACTGAAATAATCAGTACCCTTGATACATGTTGACTTTTGTACCATTTATGTATGGTTAATAACGCAGTAAAAATACTTATATATTTTTTTTAGATTAAAATGACTAGGCCCTATAATATAGGAGTTAAGTCATTCTCTATAGTACTTGGATTTGAAAATATGTACATGTGCGCATTTGTAGGCCATTATTAGAGATACTTTATAAATGAAAATATAAATTGCTTCGAGGTGTTGTTAAAAAGCTGACAAACTAAATTGAGTTGAAATGTATATAGACAAAGCATCATTGATCTTACATAAATTCAAACCATGTAAAAGAGACGTCGTTTTACAGTACTTATGAAGACCTGCAGCTTTGACAATAAGCCTTCCTTGTGTTTTATATAAGAACAGGAGTTAGAACTGTGCTCCAAATATGGGTTTTAACACAGGTTAAACTGCCGGTTGTACACATGGCAATACATTGCAGAAAATAAAACCTCTCGAACTTTACCCATTCTTTCCTCAATATGCAAATAAGGCTTCAGATCCTTCAACATAAATATTTTACAGAGTCTAAAAAAAAGTGCACCGAGCTTGTCTGATTTGCATATTGGTGGTCAAAGTCGTTGGCGGCAACGAATTGACGCTTGTGTAGTTTAATCAAGCAAAGGGCAGGCGTATAATGCCATCAGATGATTCGTTATCGACATTCAGGCCGCCGCGGCGATGACAGTTTTGATGATGTTTCAGTTGCGTACTTATTGCTTCTGATCAGTGATTAGATATCTGTTGTTAACTCCTTGTCGATTCTAAAAAAAAAAAACTGGTTGTGAGAGTATCTCACAACCAGTTTGGAGAGTGTCTAGCCTTTGGTGACGGAATAAATTATCTAATGCAAATAGTTGACATCCGTGTACTCTGTTTCAAATGTCGAGAAAACGCTTTCGCAACTGGATCTTTCAATTGACGCTTCATCAGTGAAGCTTCCAATTATTCATTTTGCAATTGGTTTTGAAACATTGTTTATAGCTTTTGTTCCTTTTGATTGAGTTTTCGACTAGTCAAATGTATGTTGATACTTTTGTTGGTATTTTTGGTATGTTGATATTTTATTCGTTCTCCTAACGAATTATGAATTTTGTATATTTGATTAAAAGGGAATTTTAAAGCTGTTTTTCTGTTTCAGGCGTTTTCAAGCACATGCATGAACTATTGCCAAGCCGCAGATAATTCGAAATTCGTTCAGAAAATATTCCACAAGTAAACATGGCCAAAACTTTTTGCGATTTCTCATTAATGAGTTTTGTATTGCGAGAAAAAAATAGCAAGTTTAAGAGCCTGTCATCTTTTTCCGGGGTGAAACTCAAAAATAGCATGAGGAGAAGCAACTTTAACTTTGTACAAGAAATGTGAGCATAGGTGGCCCTATACACACGCCCACACTAAATAAAAAGCCTCAAATCTCGTATAAAAATGTTTTGTTGAGTAAATTGACTTTTGCAAACCACAGTGATTTAAAAAAAAAAAATCAATTTATTGAAACATATAAATGAAAGCTTTATATAAAACAGCTCTTATTTTCAAATCACCTTTGGTATTAGTGCTATTAGACAAACTTTAGAATATATTATTCTAACGAACTTTCTAAGGTCTTGAGGTTTATTCAAATTATATTCAGTGTAAGGTCAACTTTATATAAAGACGAAAGCTTTACATATTAAGAACTCTATTTTCAAATCATCTTTGGTATTATACACAGTTAAAATACATCGGTTTATTGCAGATGTTATCGGCTTTTCAATTTTGAAAATCTACTTTTGAAAAAGAGATATAAATTTAAACCCTGTTGGTTTCAGCTGAAATTCTTTTTTTCACTCTGCAACTAATCTAATTCGACCTGCGTCCAAATCAAGTCATCCCAAGTCATACAAAGATCATCAGAGGTCAAGTGACAACGTATTTAAATGAACCCTCCTGCTATCTGAACAGTTACAGACAGTCAAAAAATCAATCCTCTTCGATGCATGACTTCTACAAGGGCTAGTCACCAACAGTCATATCATATTTTAAGCAAGCACTGTGACTAGTCAAATTCAGTCAACAGACAAAAGCAGACGTGGTTGGCACAGGCTTGTCAATCGCCTACAGTCAACGCATATAGCTGTATCAAATTACATAAACAGTCACAGCCAGTCAATCCTGCCTTGTGCCTCATAGGCCGGGAGCTCTTAACAGTACTGTTGAAAATAGTCACTTGATTGATTTTGACTGAAAGGGCTTGGCAAAGAATGTACATGTACAATGTACATTTTACTCTTGTCCTTATTCGCTCTTTTCACACTTCCGCCATGGGCATGCAGAACCTCGATCTGGCAACTTTACACAATAAATATAGCCGGTTCAGTGATTCCCGTGTCGGGGTTCAGATCACTGAACCGGCTATTTTCATTGTGTAAAGTTGCCAGATCGAGGCTGTGCATGCCCAATGGTGGAGTGTGAAAAGAGCGAATTGTGATTCGACTTGAAATCGACGTAAGATTTGAGGCTTGTGACATGACTTATCATTTATGACTGACCTGTGATTGACTTACGATTGACTTGTGATGGACTTATGCTTGACTTATGAACGACTCGAGTCGAACTCCGTCTTCAGTCTAGGTTAAAATCATACAGCGAGTTTAATAGCGACATCGCACATAGCCGTTAGTGTTGGAGCAAACATAAAGATGTGAGCGCAAACATCATGACCGTGTATACGGTTACCTTCCCGGCGGGCGACTCTGAACTATTTGGGGCGGAACCAGTCGTGGCTGCGCCGGCAGTTGTGTCGTGGTTAAAAGCTGATCAATTTGAAATAAAGCAGTTGAAAATTAAGGATAAACACACCAATGCAGCTTTTATGCCCTTTTCTTTAAATGTCCCGCCACTTTTAAGGGATCTTACACCAGCTAATATCTTTGACGATTTCTAATTTTGAAAGGTAAAGCAAAATGTCCCTGTTTACTTCACATTTGCTGAATTCATTTGGGGAAATATAAGTTTTCCCTTTCCTCTGCCTTTAATTTGCCGTTAAAATTGTGCCTCGAACTTTTTGCAAGATAGGCCTTATTTTTAGTTAAGTATTCTCAACGTTGAAGGAAAGTTTTATTTATGGTACAGCGCCCTCATGCGACCATTATTTAATCAGGAACTCTGTGGAAACCAACGCTCACGAAACATGTATTGAAATTGTGTTGGTTAAAAAAAATGTGTAAATTCTCCATGCATGTTGGGTATATTTTACTCAACGTAAAATTAGTCATTTTACCCAATGTTGATTCAATTTAACCAAATCCAACGTTGTGTAAATTTACTCATTCCTGCATAGAAGGATCATTTTTCAGGATTTTCTTTTCCGCTTTGGGCGAGAATTTTTCGAAAAGTCAAAGGCCAAGCCACCAAAAAATTAAAAGGAAATGAAGTGATGACATGTTGATCATCATTTCTCTGTGCAACTTCAATACGTACCTGTGGGAGTTCTGAGTATTTTTAAAAGAAATGTTGAAGTGTGGGCATTTCGCACTGGTGTCTATGGAAATTTTACTACAAGGTTGCACCCTATATCCTAACCATCCGCCCCACCCCCAGTTTACATGCACTCCCATATCTCGATCCCATGCAGTTTAATTCACAACGTTAGAGTATTCTTCAAATCCATTGTCCCTGAGTATTTTATTATAATAAGCCTTCACAGACTGGATAGCGCATGCGCCCATCTCCCTACACAAAGCTGTGAAGCCACCGCAAGCCCCAACAAGGCCCCGGGTACGGGTAGGCGTCCATACATTTTGGTCTTTCAAGATGGCGCCTTAGTGACTTCACCCCATGAGCTGCATGCGCTCTCCATTCAGAATTACATGTATGAGATCAGTGCTTCCGGGTACTATAGCTTGCACGGGACGCCCTCACTATGGATAGGTTTCATTATTTAAATTCCGTGGGAACGATGAAAGTCGGGCCTACAAAGCGTTTAGGTAAGCATATCACACAGGGAAAATATGAATCTGTCCACACTTTGAGGGCGTTCTATGCAAGCTCTACAATCAAGTAAAAGGAAACATAATATCGCTATTCGTGTTTCTGGAACCCCATTTTGATTTTTTCCAGCAGCGATTTGGCAGTACCTCCGTTGCCGGTCGGGCTGGGGTTGACGGACACCACCGCATCCGCCTGGTACCCGTTCGAGTAGATTAATGCCATCCACGATCCGAAGGCGTTGTCCTTGATGTTGGGGATTTCAAGATTGGATACAATGACACTGTCCATCCTGAAAAAAAAGGTAAAGAGTAAATTCAGAATGTGCTCAAAAATGTGCAAATAGATTTGCTAAGCAGCTTTTCCCACCCTCAGCAGGCCTGTTAAAGTTTTGAAAGTGAAATTGTCATTCTGTGAACTCTGATCTTAAAAATAGATCGGAAAAGTTTGATATGAAAAGAGTGGCGTTTTCTGTTTCGAGTTCAACAGAACAATCATGGGTTATCCATCACGATCCGTATCTGGCAAATTTTATCATGTGACTGACATGATTACCGTAGCTCTGTGTGCGTTTTTCTAAGGCCTATATCTAAAGAACTGTAGGTCGATTTGGTTGTAACTTGATATGTACCTATACCGGGATGTGTTATAGCCTAGATGGAAATTGAAATTACGTCATGATTACGTCATCACACTTCATGTGATGTCAAATTAAAGGTGCATTTCAAATGTCTATATCAGTATATCTACTGAACTGCGTGTCCGATTTGGTTGTAACTTAGTAGACACCTAGATCAGGATGTGTTATAGATGAAAATTCAAGTGCCGTCGTGATGACGTCATCGCATGTCGTGTGACGTCACATTAAAGGGACATTTTTCTGAGGCCTATATCTAGTTAATTCAATGTCTAATTCGGTTGTAACTTGGTGTAATACAGTATTATGTGTTATCCTTTAAATTTAGTGCATCGTGACGATGTTATTACGAGTCACAAAAAGCCATTTCAAACAGTTGTATTTGTCCACGGTGACAAACACACCTGTACCCATACTGAAATTTGTATCCTTTACATTTCTTTGTTCTCGTGTAGTAAAGTTTTCGAGTTTGAAAGTGTAGTTTCAAAATGCTCTTATTTTAACCAGAATTAATTTCTTTGGCTGAAATTCGGACTTAATATCCCTTTTCTAAAACTTCGAGTTCCATTTGCGACAGATCAACCCACCTTGAAAATTCCTAATTTTTGAGTAAAATCCATACATCTTTTTCGTGAAAACCGTGTGGAGACTTATTCATCTATAGAAATTGCCCTGTGGAGACGTATACAATCTCTTGTTCCCTATTGTGTGCATGTCTCCAGAGGGCACGGTGTATCAGATCATTTTGTGTGGTGTTGGTCGGGGTCTCCTTATCTGTTTGTCTGTCTGTAAACGTACCTGCTACTCTGCTCCGTTTGTGTCTCGATGTCTTCGAGCCACTCTGCCGGGGTTTGGCCTTTCTTATCCACGCGGTACCAGCTCACAAAGCTCTGCGTTAACAGGGCCTTGCCCACGAAGAACTCGCACGAGAAGCGGACCGTCTCGCCGACCTCGGCCGTACGATCGGTGCAGGAGCCCCCGTTGCTTCCCAAGAAGATGGGCTTGTCAGCCCGCGAATCCTCTGTGGATGGAGAAATTTAATTTCGATGGCCCAATTAAAAAAAATTAAAACGATTGGAAGTAATCAAATAACATATAGTTGGATAAGTACAAAAATGTATATAGGAACAAAGCTTTCAGGTGTGGGGCCTTGAGGGGGGAAATTTTTCTGTAGATGAGGGCATTCGATGGGTTTGGTCTAGCCCAGGTTGGACTCCGTTGTGTACACGCAAGTCGTAATGCAATGAAGACGTCGTCCAACCTGGGCTAGGTTTTGTCATAGTTTCAAATATTACACAGCTCATTTTTCTTTTTTCCATTGCTCCCCTATTAACGCCACACTGCGTCCAACGAACAACGGAGCCTTCAAATTATTATGATAAACTAGAAAACCTTAAAACTTGCATTAGCCCAAATTTCAGCGATAAACTTCAACGATACTCAAGTTCGAGTTAAAGACACATGACTTTATTGAAGAGCATGAATTTCTCAGATTTAAAACAAGCCCATAAACAATTTCATTGATAGAAAGATTTTGTTTCGAAGTTTAAACTGGCCCGTGTTTTGGGGTTTTTAATGGAGTTCAAAGTTCAAATCTCACCAAGGACTACAAGTCGTATTGTCCTGTTGATATTCTCCACTCCATTGGACACGATGCACGTGTACTCTGCCTGGTCGCCGAACTCAAGTTGCTTGAACCGCAGAATTTGACTCTTCTCCGCTTGGTTAGGGTCCTGCGCAGCCTCCTGCGGCGCCCATGGCAACGGGATGCCATCCTTGTACCACGTGACGCTGCAGAAGTTGACGGCTGCGCAGTCCAGGCTTTTGGCGTTGCCGACGTAGGCGATCTCGGTCGAAGATATCTCGTTTATGAAGTTGGGTTTTCCATCTGAAGATGTAAGTGTAAGAATATTTTAGTTCTTTCTGGTAATAAAATCAAAGGTCACTGGAAATTACACAGGTACTGTGGCTTGAAAGCCTGAACTTGCTGAAGAAACCGAAAGAGAAAATGTTTATTTATTTATTTCTTCTAATTTCAAGCAGCGATATGCTGAAACCATTTACACAGACCCACAAATAATACAACCTATAAACAACAAAATATGAATGATAAGAATAAGATATTGTCATTAAAATACATTGTGTAGTTAAGAAAGCTACATGGTATTGTATATAACAAGTATTGAATTATCGCCTATCGAAATTGAAATCAACATTAAAAATGGAAATTAAGAAATGCTGTTTTTTATGAGAAAAAAAAACCCGGAATGATCTTCGATTGAACGTTCATTTCGTAATCTGGGATGAGAAGGGACGGAAAAACCCAATCCTTATGCCGGGCAAGAGGAGGAAGGAGAGGGAAGTAGCGCTGCGCCAACCCGAGTCTCTCTCTTATTTTAAGAGAGTGGTCCGCTCCATTTGAGTGGAGACAATAACCCCAATGACCAGAGTTGTAACCAAGTCATTGTTTTTTCCAAGTCAAGTCAAGTCCCAAGTCAAATTTAAGCAAGTCAAGTCCCAAGTCAAATTTTAGCAAGTCAAGACAAGTCCCACGTCAAATTTTATAGCAAGTCAAGTGAAATCTCAAGTCAGTTGGGTTTTTTTTTCAAGTAAGTCTCGAGTCAACTCTTCACACACAAGTCAATTCACAAGTCATATTTTTTTTCAAGTCAAGTCTTAAGTCTTAAGTCATTTTTTCCCGAGTCAAATCAAGTCTCAAGTCAAAAAAAATAGCGACTCGAGTCCAACTCGAGCCAGAGTCAGCGATTCAAGTCAACAACACTGCCAATAACTGAAACTATAGGGAGTAGACGTTTCAGAGTGAAATTCATTCAATTGAATAGATAGATTTTTCACTCGCGATGATTCTATTTTCCCAGAATATTTTAGTCTAAAATTAGAGTGATTTCCACTCTGAATCTGGGCCCAAGTTTCACTCTTTGATGAACAGAGAATAATCTACCGATCATTTTAAATCAATTACTCGTCCAAATTTGAAATCATCATTAAAATGGTCATCATGAACTAACTTATTGACCTAATTATGCAATCGTGTGTGGATCGACTGCTGATGTACATGTAAATGTATACGCGTCGGACGTGTATTTTGACCAACGGCACAAGGTCCGGTAAGCTGCGGTCACTCAGCTAGCTTGGACTGGTCAAATTTCCGTCTTAGTAGCCTACCACCTCCGGGTCGTCACCTGAGTTAATGAGGAACTTTTAAATACCGGTGTACGTAGCGTGCAGTTAGGAGTCAATGAAAAACGGACTCATCGGTAGTATTGCGCATGACTAAACAAGTTGTTTAAAAATTTGAACATCTGCTTTTCAAATGAACAAGTTTAAACATTTGGTTGTTTAAAACTTTTTAAACACTTTTTAAACAGCACATGTAAAGAGTTTTTGGATTAGGCTTCTATTTTCAAGTGAACAAAAAACCTTATAATACTAACGGTTTGTATTTTAAATAAGTTCATGGACTTGTTGTCGCGTACTACGTCTTGTTGAGGAAAAAAAACTTCCGACTAAAGTCTTCGTTTGAAGCGTTTTTCCTGTCCGAAGACATTTGAATGCTGCCAAGTTTGTGACTCTTCACCACTTGGAATGACGATGCTGGAATAATGTGTTGCTCATGAAGTTTGTCTACCCCCCCCTCCCCCCCCCCCCCCCCCACCCTCCGCCCCCACCACACCCCCACCAAAAATTGGAGAACAAAACCTTACCTCCGATCGGTTGTTCCAGAACGCACCCCCTGCCAGAGAGAATTCCAACCGTTAGAATGACGAGAACCTGCACGTTTGCGATGAAATCCATCTTGGGTGATAATGTGTAGAGCTCTTTCTCACTTGAAAAAAATCTGGACGAAAAGAAGTTTGGCTTTTTATCGACCGCGCGTGGTGAAATTCAACTCAGCTAGTCCTAACTTACTGCATGGTCCTGGCCGTCCTCTGAACCTTTTATAGATTTCCAGCGGTTGTGGCCTGCTCGAATTAGCTCGTCTATTTTTTTTCAAACGGAAGTAACCTCGGCTCATACCAACTTTTGGTTGCTGTACGCGTGGGCTGTGTGATGTGTGTGATCATGTGTCAGTCACGTGACTCTGCATGTAAATTTGCACTTGTCATTTCACGATGATAAAGCTCTGTGTTTCGCTTTCATATCTGAGGAAAAGTAGTTAAAAACATCAGTCATCATGATTAATTTCTGCCTAAAGAGGCTTAGGGAATTTTTAATTATTGTTTACTCGATCACAGGAGGGTCTTAAAGGCACATTCGGGGTGAGAGTAAAAAGAAAACGACACCCAAATGTCGGGACTATTGTTTGAGTGAAGTTCTGCATGTAGCACTTTCAAAATCTAGGACATGAAAGCCCAATTCATAAGCTTTCTTTTAGTACAAGAATCATTCATATCACTTACTTTTCAAGGCACACAATTTTGAACACAACCATCGTTTTCAAGTTCTGTCCACGGATCACAAAAAAGGCGTGCGTTCTTTCAGCAAAACAAAAAACAAACATCCTTATGTGATTTGTTTTCGTTTTGCTGAAAGAACACTTACCTTTTTGTGATCCGTGGACAGAACTTTAAAGCGGTGGTCGCGTTTAAAATTCTGTACCTTGAAAAGTGAGTGATTTGCATGATTCTTGTACTAAAACAAAGCTTATGAATTGGGCTTTTATCCTAGATTTTGAAAGTGCTTGCAGAACTTCATGGTCCCGACATTTAGATTTCGTGGTGTTTTTTTTTTACTCACCCTGTATAGGATCATTTGCATTTACCCCAAAAGTAACCTACCGAATTATTATCAAAAGCTTACTTGGATGAAAGAATGTACTGGTACTAAAAACCCTGTGAATTTTCTTCCGTCTGGCTTGTTGTAATTGGAAAAATCAGGAAAATAATAGTGATTTTTGTTATTAACGAAACCGCGTGTTGCGATCAAATGGTTGTGCATGTTTCCCCCCCCCCCCCCACTTTTTCTCGAAAAGCGTCACGACTGCTGAGCTGAAAGTTCAGCAGGTAAGGCTTTTCACATTCCTCTTGGATTTTGAGTGGTGTTATTATTGGAAACGAACAAAATACATGAATTGCAGTGCAAATTATCCTATATGTCTTTAATATGCAGACATATGTAGACATAATGTCTTTAAAACTGTATCTGCTGCTGTTGATTTGCGTTGAGCAAGGTAAAAAGAATATCCAAACAAATTTTAAAAAGCAAACAAACAAACAAACACCCCAACAAACAAACAAACAATTAACCAACACAGAAGACATACAAATGTAGTTAAGGCTACTTTAAGACTCTTTTTAATGGGTTAATTGGGCAACATTTTCCAATAAAAACAACCACTGCAATGACTTTCTAATAATATGAATATAAATCGTGGGGGCGAAGAGGTTGTTTCGTTACCCTGGCCACCAGAAAGTGGGCTGGCATAATCAAAGACGGTGGGGGCGGTGTTTTAGTGGTTGCTAGGGAGGTTCAGTTCAGCCACCCCACGCATGCGTAGAATCCTACACACCAACTAAAAAAAAACTTAAAGGTGAGTCAAAAACAAAGTGACCGTGTGGGAGAAATAAATATTTAAAACAATAAGTGACTCGCACCAGTCAATAAAAATAACATACGGATAAAGAACACATCAATGACTATAGTAAACGTGAAAATTTCGCGCAGTTTGTGTACTATATTATGTTAACAAGTTATGTCTATTTTAATACAGACATGACAGAATTCAGCTGTCCACCACCAATGATCATTTACCGTTTAAATACAATGAAACCAGTTCATTTGTTCTGCCTTCGTGAAATGAACAAAAATTTGCACAGGGAAAGAAGACAAATCGTCATCAGAAGTAGATCCTCATATTCAAAACACAATATTTGACAGTAGAAATAATGACATTTATTTATGATTTCAGGTTTCAGGTTTAATTCCGTACTACAAGGTAATTAAGTTAAAGACGAGAAGCCGAAGCTTGTACTAGGTCTGCCGCCTTCACAAAGAATACATGTAGTTATATATACAATTCATGATTAATCGTAGGATATGTCAATAATATGTTATTACATTAAATTCATGAGCTCATGCAAAACTTTACAAAAAAGAGTAATAAGTTACTTGAAGTAAATTTACCATTCTTGGCGTTAAATGTGTTGTTAATCATTTTACTCGGCAATAAAGTAATAATTTGCTCTTAATCACCATTGACATTAACCGTAGTGAGAAGTGGTTTTATATAATACAATTTACATGCTCCAATTGAGGTCATTGGGCAGAGAGATCGAATTTTATTCCAAAGGAGAGGTCCCTGGTGTCTAGCGGTTGAGAGGTGTAGGGATGTTCTAACTTTATTAAGATGAAGCTTATTTGACGACCTTGTGTCGTTATGATGAATATCTGTGTTCTTTACAAAAAAAAAAAACCGATTTAATATTCAAAGGCAGTATGTTTTTTTTTCTTCAAAATTATACATTAGAGCACACAATTTATATTTATAAAGATCAGATAAGGTGTTGAACTTTAATAGCAAATAGCGGGGCAGAGTGATCTTTAAAACTAGAACCATGAATCAATCTTAAAGATTTCTTCTGTATAACTAGCAATTTATCAAGGTAGGTTTCATGAGTATTTCCCCAGGCAAGTATACCATATTGAAGATGAGGCAAGGATAACGTACTGTAAATTGAAAATAGAATACGGGATGGGACAAAATATCTAAGTTTTCTAAGAATGCCAAGGTTGCGAGATATAAGTGTAAGGACTTTCTGACAATGATATCTTCACGTTAATTATCATCAATAATGACCCCCAAAAACTTACAGGAATCAACCTTTTCAATATGATTATTGTGAAAACGAGTCTGAATACTTTTATCTACAATTCGATTTGTAAAAACCATCGTATGTGTTTTCTTAAAAATCAAAGATAATTTATTACATACAAACCACTCAAATACATTAGTTAGCTCATTGTTCATTATGTCAACAGCAGTCCCAAACCAACCACACAACTTTCCCGCATTTCCCCAAGCACTTCCCATGCCTAAAGTCGTTCCAACGAAAGCTTTGAAGAAACAGTTGACTTCATAATTCTGACAAAAAACATCGCGCATTTTCAACTTTACATGCAGTTACACAGAATGCAATCGGATGTGGGCAAGTTTGCACTAGTCGGTGATCGTCGTGCATGGCACATAGTGCCAAGTTGCTGTAGTATGGTTTATAAATGACATTATAAACCAGTCCAGCTTGCTGTCAATTCAATCACGAAGGCCCCTCTTCACTAGCGAAAGCATTGTGCTAGCTATTGTTCAGATAATCCTTCACGGTGTGGTTGTTTTGTGCAATAGCGTGCTGGATGATTTCTCCATTGATGGGGGCCTCGCGAGTGTTTACAGTGGTCACGTGACCGGATTCGTCCATGGCACACTATGTGTCAGGCACTCGAATGGTTAGGACGTACAGGCTGTTTTCATTGCCATTGTAATGACGTAAGTCCGCTTGGTTGTGCGTGGAAGACATGCCTACCGTACCGATACGTCAAACGTGGCGCTCACTTTCGCCCCTTTTATGGGGATTTTAAACATTAACAACTTTACCGTCACCCCTGCTCCGGAACTGTCACTGTTCTCATAAAAGATCCAGCTTTGAAGTACTAAAAGATTACGAACAATAGGCCTTCTTCATCGTTCATGGGCTTCGCTCGTACCAGTCGTCCCTCGAGTTTTGAAGGGTTTATTTACTAGTCGGCCATACTAAATTGAAAGCGAAGTAAAATCTTCATTTTTGGAACTTGCGAATATCAATGAAAACAACGACATAAAGTTAATTAAAAATTAATACCAGTCTGTTCTGGTGCATAAAAAAATGTGATTAAACCTACCCAAATGTTTTAAGCCACATTAAAATAAAAATTAAAGTGAGGCTTGGAAAGCATAAATAGTCTGGCACCATCCCATTCAACAATTTACAATTTATAAAATACATTCAGGGAACACGATCCAACATGGCTTCCTCATGAATATGTACTTTCCTCCAGGGGTTCGGCATTTTGTAAGTGACAGTAAATGTTCGGTGGTGATAAGACTATAATATTTGGTCTGAATGACCATATGGGCGGAAATTCGAAATATAGAACTCCCAAGGCGCCTCGGAACAGTGTGGTGTAACCAGAGGCGGAGCTGTGGCCAGGTTTTCTTAAAAGTGATCCCTGGCATTAGTTGGAAGCCTTGTGGCTGCAAGTCGGCTTTTATGTAGGTTAACCGGACAAGGGTGTCGCCGCAGTTCGACACTGATTCTTTGAACTATCGAAACTATATATCCTCCACAACTGCATTAAGTTTCAACCAATATTCCAGAAAAAAATTCAAAACACACTTTGTTGTTTGTTGGCCTACTGCCAAACTTTTGTTTTGCGGTAGGCGAAACTTTTAGCCAATCAAATCGCTTCGTTTAGCGCGCTGACCGCTTAGCGGTCGGGGTATTCCTGACATGCGCAGTGACCCCTGACCTGTATTACAAAAAGAAGTGCAAACAATTTTCCGTCTATAATAACACAAAGTCACTGCGCTACGAAAGAAAGGATTGATAGGTTTTTGCAATTGTTTTCGGGGTAATGATGATTAATTCTCCCGGGACAACATGAAACCATCTCGTGACCATGGAATTAGCAACATGTAGTTTACTTTTCCTGCTAAATTTATTACATAAACTGATGCGAATTCTTTCGAAATATAATCCAACAACCTTGATATGTTCAGTATTAATCTGCTGATCACCAGAACAATACGAGGTACTGTCTAAAGCAAAGGTAATTAAAGCTGAAAATATAACAAAACCGAAACGGGAAGACAAATAAGCAAACATTTCCCGCAAAATCTAACCGCTTTCTGAACAACAGTGACCAAGCTGTGTAACTTTGAAATATGATAACGACAAGTTGAAAAGTATCATTGAATAGGTTGCCAATTACACTGCACTCTTTCGCTCTTTTCATGGAACTATACGGGATTTATTGAATAAAAAGGAAACCCATATGTAAATCTAAGGGTCAAAACATGTACTGAGCCAAGTTTTTCCTGGCTATAATAATACTGTTACTTGTTTGTTATGCAAAGGTTGAAATGGAATAATTGTTAAGTCATCGATGAGTTACATAAGCACTTTTTGCCACGTTGAAGGCATTGGGCCATGAGGGGTTATACTGGCTATGAGAATGGTTAACTCACTGTGTCAAAATTGAATAAATTGTTTATAAAGAAAACGATGTCTTGCTTTAAATTAAGCCGTTCCACATGCCCAGAATACCAGTTACCCTTTTGCACAAACTTGGCCCAGTGCAGGTTTGACCTATTGACAGAACACCAACGAATGCTCAGTCATCCGTGGCCGCAGACACACAATCAAGGTATCATTGGAAAGAAGACACATTGGTGTTTCACATGATCTTTAACTTATTGCAAAATATTGATTGATTGATTTGTTATAATTATTTTGTATAGGCCTCGTGACTTTTTGTCACCATTGCGTGTTCACCTTGCGGTTTTGGGACGCTCTCTCTAAATTGCTGGTGCGCATCCGCCATGATGACCTTGTTAAAAAGTACTACATGTACCTGTCCATTGCTTGCTAGTACATTTTTTTTCATGGAAGTCCAAACTGTGGCACGTTCTAATTACCTATTTAAGACTTTATTTGCAAGTGAGTTCTGCAGTTACTAGGCCTATCTGGTTTGGTGCTATGAGGATCCCAAGCGATTTGGAATTTAGTCGGACGCTGAGCTAATCGGCGTTTGCTTCCCATATAGCGACTAAGTTTTAGTCATTTCTCGAGATGTTTGATAATGTATTTTAATAAGATCAACATGCCGTATATTTCGCCATGCATATAGGTTACAATCAGTCTGGTGACGAGGCCATGAATAATTGACGGAACGTGATCCGTGATCCCACGTCTCCCGGAATGGTCGTACTACGGAAAATCCGGTTGTTCATCATCATCCAGGACTCGTAGTTCGTGATATTCGTTGGGTTTGCTCCAGAGATACAGGGGTGGATATACTAGGAAAGAGGGGGGGGGGGGTGTACCCTTTCCTTATTAAGTTCACCCCGCCTCCAAAAATGTGAAGTACACAAAAGGAGAGCAACGTTTTTCATTCATCATGCCTAAATCAGGCGCGGTTCTAGAGCCAATATTTTGGGGGCTAGCAAGGTGGATCCAGAATTTTTTTGGGGGGGGGGAGGCGTGCTGAAATGTAGACCGGTTATTTTCTCCGGACAGTTAGGCCTCTGAAAATCAATACGGGGGGGGGGGGGGGGGTTCGTGCCATATTTTCAATGGGGAGCGCTGATAAAATCCTACAATCAGGCACACTATATTAACTAAAAGTGTACAAAATTTGCACCCTTCTCATTTAGGGGGAGACCGTTCCCATGAACGTCAAATTCTTACATTTTGCTAGTGCATTTTTTTTATGGAATTGTTTTTTTTTGGGGGGGGGGGCTAGACAATTTTTTTTGGGGGGGGCTAAAGCCCCCACTAGCCCCCCCCCCCCCCCTAGAACCGCCACTGGCCTAAATTCTCAAAATATGCTCCTGCAGAATGCAGAAAAAGCACCTAAAATTCGATTATTATTTCCGAAAGGAGTATCCTAATATGTAACGGGGGGGGGGTGCGCCGAGAATTCCCCCTCCCCAGCGAATCCTGGATCCAGGACCGGAATATTGATAAGGAGAAATCGAATTGACGTAAGGACGCCCCTGCTGCAAGTGGCGTATTTTTATTTAAAAGGGGGCATTTTCAGCTATAGTATTTTTTCGGGGGGGGGGGGCTAAAGACAAGCCCTTCAAATCGTCCCATGTGCATTGATTTAGACTAGCCGATATTTCAAAAAACTGTTACATGATGAGGCATTTTTTGAGTAGAAGTTGGTAACATAGCCATTTTATCTCACTTTAGGGTGCTGAATCCGAAAATGATGGCTATCAAGCTGGATTTTTAGTGGAAGTATGCCTAATTCGCATTAATATTTAATACCTGTCGTGTAATATATTTGTTCCCATATTTGGATACATATATATATATATATATATATATATATATATATATATATATATACATATATGCAATAAATTCAGAATATGAGTTAAACAAACTTTGGCATATCTCTCTTCTGGACAGACTGTTTCGTACCATAAGGCACTCATCAGCAAAATATATATATTTTTTGTAAAGTTTATTTGGGTGATTCTACTTACACTTCCTTGCGTCATGATCTGCGTTAAGTGATTTCAAACCTACGATCTCTTTCGGATTTTTTTCCCCGGAACCAACTGTCTTTCCGGCCAGGTCATCCCGGATTGCCGGATTCCTTCTTTTTTGGGGGGGTGCAAAAATCAAACTTAATTTCATCATCACTTATACTTCGAACCGTAAAGCTTTACTCGTCACCTATACTCATCTTTCCGACCCCCAATCTTTTTTATTTCCTCGATATCGTTATCACGCGATCGGTGAATCATCCATCCATTCTGTATCTGTATGGTTACGTTGCAGAAACCTATTCAGGCATTATCGCAACGGAGTATAGGTACTCAAGGCACTGCAGAGTATATAGGTACTCAATGCACTGGGAGTTATGTCTATTATTAGATGAATGAAGTCCGGTTCTTTTCAGAACCACACATACTCACAAAAGAGATTTATTCACATGGTGCTACCGCAAACTTATCTTGTCTTATGAATGAAGTACATGAGAAATATGAGACCCATTATGTAGCACCTTATAAGGGTTTACAAGGTGCTGCGGCCACTGCCCAGGACACCGGGGCGAACCCCTTCTCTTAACGACAAGTGTTACTGGGTTCTTTAACGTACATTACACAACACACGGGACCTACGGCTTTACGTCCCATCCGAAGGACGAAGCATGAATGGTTAAGTGCCTTGCTTAAGGGCACAAGTGTCCGCCGGCGGGCTCGAACCCACCGTCACTGTTGCCTCTGAAACACCAGAACATGAGTCCGGTGCTCTTAACCGCTAGGCCATGACACTCCAATGGAGTAATTTTATTTGTTTGTTTTCCCGCAGATTATTAAATAATGGAATATCCAGTTCAAGGCGTTTGCTACCCAAGTGTCCGGAGAAAAAACCTGTGTACATTTCCAGATATGTTTGCTGATGAACCCCCCCCCCCCTGCGAAAATTCCTGGATCCGCCCCTGCTTATAGGCTTATTTTTTTCATTTTTTCCCCACTTCTGAATTCCATTCTTTCGTAGATAGCTGGTCAAGGATTTCGTAAAAATTTGGTTGTAATATCATAGGGCCTATCAGTATCAATAATCAGCAGTGCCTTAAGTTCAGCCAATTAAACTGCACGTGTTTATGACCGTCATCATGTAAACACAGTGTGTCGATCAATATTTTTTATCAATGAAATTTAGTCTAGCGCCCTCATTTGTCTGACAATGTCCATGTTCACCACGTAAACGTGTAATGGCTGGATTGACTTGCCACTGAAGCGGAATTTCGTCGTAAGTTATTTTGTATCAATTTCAATTTCATAAAACAAACGAGTGTGTCATTGTGCTTGTAAGAATGTCAGTTGCTTCTTTACTATTTTCTACTACCGCCCTGTACTAGTGTAGTAAAATGACCATCTATGTTTTCTTTTTGACGGTGAAGGACCGCGCGATCGACCGTCGCTTTAGCAAGTTGCCCCGCCCCTACGTTACAGTATGGAGGGGTAGATTTGGCGATCGTGTAGTGTAGGGCCAGGGCCCGGTTCTAGCATAAGGGAACAAAATCTACTTTTAAAATTATTAGACCGACCAAACTTGTTGGCGACGTTCTCAATAAACAGGTACGGTATGTCATAGATAGAGGGCAGCCGGCAGGGTTTTGATTTTTTGAGGGAAATTTGGGCATGATTGTTGGGGGTAAAATGACGATGACAGTGCGACGACAACATGCAACCCGAAAATAAAGATGGCAATCACCGCGCAATGTACCGTGAACATACTCCTAGAACTATGAGGCTCCACGTAGTGGAGCCTCATAGGCAGATTACCCCTCTAAACTGTTTGCTATACAAAACACCAACTAAGTACAAAAACGTCCATCCCAACCAAGCTTTTTCCCACAGAACCGCTGCACAGTTTGCCCCTAAACTCCGTACAATACCTCATGACATACTCGCGTTATGTGCACCAAACGAACATCGGTGGATTCTGTCGGTTTTTCGGCAAAAATGATGAAAAATATGCCCTTTCCGCACTGAGCCAACCTGACACTTGAAAAGTGCACGCGCGCAGAATGATCGCAGTCATTTTCGGTTCGATCGCTCTGAGCGCTCGTATTGTACGGAGTTTAGGGGCAAACTGTGCAGCGGTTCTGTGGGAAAAAGCTTGGTTGGGATGGACGTTTTTGTACTTATGTTTTTGTATAGCAAACAGTTTAGCGGGGTAATCTGCCTATGAGGCTCCACTACGTGGAGCCTCATAGTTCTAGGAGTACCGTGAACATGCACGGCGCGCTGAATCGCAAGGCACAAACCGTGCAGAAAAATCGTGATTTCTACCCCAAGAAACTGTTCAAAATCGCAAAACGGGTGTCATTAGAATCGAGAAAAGTCTGCTTTTGATTGCAAAGGTGATTTTTGAGCAATAAAAAACATTTTTGACTCTAATTTGTTCAAAACAAAATAGGGGCCCTACTCTACACCTACGCAGGTACTCAGCAAAGTCCACTTCTGGATGTTAATGCTGAGATGAAGTTTAAGGTGCATGTGAAGCAGGGGGAAGCTTGTGCAGAAGCAAAATTTAAGTGCGAGTAAAAAAGCTCCAATCTTGGAGCTACTTGGCAGAGATGTGTGCCCTGAAGACGTCCACTGATGGAACTGTGATGACGTCTGCAGGAAGGGCATTCCAGAGCCGGACTGCTGTAGGCACAAAGGAGAACTTGTAGATGTCCTTGGAGGAATGGGTTGTGAGAAGCTGGTATCTTGCCGGATGGTAGTTTCGAAGTCTGGTATCTGTCATGGGGGTCAGGTAGTACTGATATTTGTTAATTGCGATGAGGTTATGGGATATTTTGTATAGCATGATCTTGATGGCTGCTTCCCTTCTAGATTGGAGTGAAGCCCACTGCAGGTTTTGTAGCATTGCGCTCACACTCTCAGTACGTTGGTAGATGTTCAGCACAAATCTAGCTGCTCTCTTCTGGATGGCTTCGACCTGGTTGATAGTGGTTTGATGATGTGGGTTCCACACAGTGGAGCAGTATTCAAGATGTGGCCTGACCAGAGAGATGTAGGCTTGTTGTTTTAACCGTGGGTGGCAATGCTTCAGGTTCCTTTTAATAAGCCCCAGCATCCGGTTGGCTTTTAAGGTGATGTTTGATATGTGCGTCTTCCAGGAGAGCTTGGATGTGAAAGTAAGACCCAGGTATGGATGTTCGTTTACTGATGTCAATGTGTCGTCGCCCAGGTGGTAGTCAAAGTCGATGTTGTTTATGCGGTGGGAGACTTGCATCACATGGCATTTGTCTGAATTGAACTTCATCTGCCACTTTGGCTGTCCAAGAGTACAGCGTATCAAGATCATTCTGAAGAGCTCTGCAGTCTTCCACGGTGTTTATGTACCGGTACATAAAACAGTCGTCAGCGAACAGGCGTAAAGACGAAGTGATGGAGTCTGATATGTCGTTGATGAATGTTAGGAATAGCAGTGGCCCTAGTACCGTGCCTTGGGGCACACCAGACAGAACATCTGACCACTCCGAGGCTTCGCCATCCACCACGACTCATTGGGATCTTTTGGTGAGGAAGTTGCTGAACCACTTCAAAAGAGAGCCACGTACCCCATAATGATGTAATTTAAGGAGGAGTCTTTGGTGGGGTACTCAATCAAAGGCCTTGGAGAAGTCGAGGATTATGGAATCTGTTCGCTTTCTGTCATCCAGGGCTTTGGCAAAATCATGGGCTACAATGATGAGCTGTGATTCACAAGAGCGGCCATGGCGGAAGCCATGTTGACTTTCGATTAAGATCTCATGAGTGTCGTAATGGCCCATCACATGGCTAAAGATGTATGCTCAAGGATTTTGCATGATATTGATGTGAGCGATACTGGTCGGTAGTTGGCAGCTACACTGCGATCTCCTTTCTTATATATCGGCGCTATGTTTGCAATCCTCCAGTCATGGGGAATTTCACCAGTATCCAGTGACTGCTGAAAGATGGATGCCAAAATAGGGGATATTTCCTCTGCCATTTTTTTCAAGATGCAGGCTGGAATTGAGTCAGGACCTGTTGCCTTGGTGATGTTGGTGTTCTTTAGCAGTTTACAGACACCATCCACTGAGATTTTTATGTCCTGGACTTCAGGGAAAGGAGACTCACCCATCGATGGCAGATCAGACAGATTTTCAGAGGTGAAGACGGATTTGAATTTCGTATTCAAGATCCTGGCTTTGCCTTTGTTGTCGGAGACTGTCCTGTCATTGTGTGTCAGGGGTGAGATACCAGAACTATCTTGCCGCTTGGCTTTGATGAGGCGCCAGAAGTTTTTCTTGTGCTTGTCGTCATGATCATTTAGCATGCGGTTGGTGTAAGACCAGTAGGAGGCTCGGATCTTTTTCTGCACAGTCTTACGGAATGACTTGAAATGGTCCCAGTCATTTCGAGAGTTAGAAGTTTTTGCCTTCTTGTACATTCGGGCCTTCTTTCTGATCATACGCTTAATGGAAGGTGTAATCCAAGGCCGGCTAGCACGAGATCTTGAAATCTTGCTGGGGATGTTTTTCTCCATTGTCTGCAGGATGAAGTTTTTCAACAAGAGCCAGTTCTCATTGGTGGATCGCTGAGATAATACGTCATTGAAGAACTCTTCATGAAAGGTTTTAAAATCAGATCTTACACCTTCCATGTCACCTTTGCTGTAAATAAAGATATTTCTTGGTTGCTTCTTGTTGACTGCAGGCCGTAAGTCGATGTCACCCAGAACAGCTTGGTGGTCACTACACGATAGCCATAAATTTACACACGCATATTCCTTGGCAAGAGAACAAAAGTCCACATAGTTTTAGGATATTGGACTAACCAATCTACGATTGTTGTGGATATGGAGCAGGGTTTTGATTTTTTTGAGGGAAATTTTAAGGTCAAATGACGACGACAAAATGCAACACAAAAATAAAGATGGCGATCACCGCAGTGCACCATGTTCGTGAAAGCACTATTGTGTTGTGCATTAAGGCCTACTGGTGTTACGTGAACCAGGTAGGTAGGCCGACGATGCACACCCCTAGTTGATTTGCATGGTATCAACTGTCAAATGCATAAGAAAATAGGATTTTGTACTGAAAGATAATTAAGATATACCGTTACCGGTACTATTACTATTCAAAATTTCAAAAAACAAATTGTGTCATTAGAATTAAGAGAAGTAATAGTCTGCTTTACTTTGCAGAAGTCATTTTGGAATGATAAAAAAGTCTTGACTCTTACTAGCCCCATAAATGTGGCCAATTTACTGGACTACCTCCGTAAACATAGGCCACACGTCCACCATGTACAAAAACGTGTCGCACTTTGTCAAATTTTGATTTTTACATTTAGGCTTAGTTTGTAGGGTTTTTTGCTTTAGAAGCATACTTACCCTATTGATAGGCTAATCAGAAAGTGCTGCCTTTTTCAGATGTCTAATTTTTGTGAAATTTCATGTTGAATTTTTGATACGCAAATGTGTGCAAATGAATCTGGAAATTTCACAAAAAATAGACATCTGAAAAAGGCAGCACTTTCTGATTAGCCTATAAAGAGGGTAAGTTTGCTTCTGAAGCAAAAAAACTTACAAACTAAGCCTAAATGTGAAAATCAAAATTTGACAAAGTGCGACACGTTTTTGGACATGTGGACGTGTGGCCTATGTTTACGGAGGTAGTCCAGTAAATTGGCCACATTTATGGGGCTATACTCTTACTTGACCAAACCTAAAGGGAGACCTGTAACTTCACAATGCGTTCCCTAACCCTTTTACCGGTCGGTGTGACCGAAAATGTGCAGTAACTGAAGGTATAGTTTGTGCTGCATTATACGAAAGTTTGCACAAAATCCCATTTGTAGTTCACTCTGTCCCACAATGCAAAGCAACTTGATGTCTTCACTGCATACTTCCAAGTTCCAGTTTCTCCATGAAACCATCTTCAAAAGTAAAGGCTAAAACTAATTTGAGTAACTTATCTAAAGCATGTACTTGTTGCAGAAACACACGACTGATTGTGGAGTTTACACACCTTCCCCCCTAGAACCACTGGGACAGCATGGCCACCCCTGACCAAGCCCCGCCCACTGGGGAGGGAGGGGAGAGCAAGTCTACCCCTGGTAAACCCGGAAAGGTAAGGAAATGTTTAAAAAGCGTAACTTAAGTTCTCCTGTAATGACTAAATTTTAGGAAATTTTGTTCAAAATGTGATGGGAGGCATTTTTTTTGCAGGAGTAAATGCACTTGTATTAAAATTGCATAATTTGCAACAATGATTCGGTTCAAATTTTTAGCCCTAACCTTCCCAAATCCTCCAAAATCCTCCTTGCATGAAGTGGAGGATTTCAAATGATTGAGGCTATATGGCAAAAATGTGTGGCTGAATTTGACTGACTGTGTCAAGGTCTTGGGCCGGACCTTGTGTTGTTTATGCTCAGCTGTGCATAAGTTTAGGCCTAAATTATACTTGAAATCCTCCACACTGCTCCAGGATGTTACTGGCTCTGCCTCGACATATTGACAGTGATTGCTGGAGAATGGAGGCAGAGGTCACCGCTCCAAGGAACGTCTTCAAGAAATAATGGAAGATTTAGAGGATTGAGGCTGTGTGCAATTTTTTCAAGGAGGCAGTTGGAGGATTTTGCAGGATTGAGGTTGCCTCCTGGCAAAAATGGTTAACATGCGCAAGTAATTAAAAACAATTTTGCAAATGAAGAGAATGAGAAAATGACATTGTTTCCTCCCCCCAAAATATTATATTTCATTGGACAGGAACTACTGTAAGTACCGGTATTAAAATGATGATTAGGCCGAGTAAAAAAAAAAGAAAAGGTTCTCGTCCGGGTGTTTGAAAAATAGGAGGAAGAGGGGCTTTTTATTTTATATTTTTAATTTTTTTCAAGATGGCCACCATTTTAAAATTTCCTGCAACCGTTGGTGTTTCCACTGTTCAAAGACACTTTTAAAATGAAAGACAAGTTGGACAAGAGAACTGAACATATTTACAGTGTCCTTTAGAGTTGGTCTACCAAGAACAGTTTTAGATGCATTTGCTTTAACCGCCAAAAGTCGCGAGCGAATTCTAAAAACACATGCTCCAGCGTGAGCTAGTCTCATACCGGTTGCATTCTGGCTTTGAAGTCAGCATTTACCGCATACAGTACGGCAGACAGATTCCGGTTGAATTTTCAAACGACTGTAGTCTAAAATTATCAATATACATACATGTACGTAGTCTGGTTCCCTAGACCTGACAATTATTCCTGACGCTTACGTCTCAGCCTCGACTCCATGGGCGCGTAGATTCATCAGGAATAGTCAGAATCTTTTCGTCTGGGAACCAAGTGGGTGAGTTGTTGTTAACTCGCCATGCTCGCACTGTCGCAGGGGTAGCGATCACACGTCGATATTATGTGGTGTACAAAGTGACCGACAGAGTCTATACTGAAAACTTCGACTCACATATTTCGCAAGTATTTATTTTCCGATGAATTTGTGGACTTTTTCAGTGTTTTTACTGCATTTTTCAAAAATAAAAAATAATAAAAAAATCCAGGTGGTCTCCAAAAAGAGGCGGGCGGGGACGAGAAACTTGTTTTGTTTTTACTTTGCCTTACATGTACTTTCAAAATTGGATGTTGCTGTCACTTCAGTTTACTGTGTACATGATGGCATTAATGATTTTGTAGCAGTTTTGTGTGTGTATATGAATTTACATTTATTATTTATAAGATGAATTTGCGTCGGGGTGATGTAAATAAATATTAGATTTTGCCCTTCTACATATAAACACTGTATACTCAGTGTGTTTTTATTTTATTATATTTTATTTATTTATTATCGGGCAAACAAGATAAAAATATTAAAAACAAACAGGCCCGAGGATTTTCCAAAATCGAAACTAATCACTATTTAAAGGGATCTCCAGACAACAGATAAAATACAAACAGTAAACAAATATACTCACATACATAAATAGACAAAAAAAACATTGACATAGGACAACATCCAGTCATTAGACGCATAAAAAAATATTAAAAAAATATATAAAAATTCATGTATTACTGCTTGGATTGTATTTATAAAAAGTTCTAAATTTCACGAGAGGAGGGCGCCCCACAATAAAAAAGAAAATTAGATACATATAATATATGTATGTGAGTATATAAATATTATTTAAAAATACAGGAATAAAAATACAGGAATAAAATTACATGGATAAAAAAAAACAAAAAAAACCCCCAGAGCCCCAAAGACCAAAATCATGTTGCGGCCACCCTGACTTCATCCAACCCAAATCAACACAACCAAGAACGAGGCCAGAAGGAAAAACAGACCGGTTCCCCTTTGCACAAAATACATGAACTCAGCACCGTCACCGGATACAGGGAACACGACTGAAATGGTGGCAACATGACAAAGGTCTAGCCTATATTACAGTCATGGACAAACCTTATTACGTATTAAAAAAAAAAGAAAAAAAGGCAACGTTAGGCCCCCCAAAAAAGTCTCCGGTTTCTGGTATGGAGCTTGCCCAAAAAGTGGTGCGGCGACGCGGCTTTTTTTTTTTTTTACCTGTTTTTTTTGCTTCAAATGTCGGCTGAGGACTGCAATTGGTGCCAGACTAAACTTAGTGAAAATATATGGGAGTTCAGAGAGGCCACATAAAGCTTATTCTCGATCATATCCCCATCTAAAAACACGTTAAAATTGTGCAGCAGCAGGATTCCAGTCAAACCAGTGAGTTTGGCAGTTTTGAGACATCATCTTTTATTGAAAAAAAAACTTTTTCATTTTGCCGACGCGCATGGCTACGGCGACGCACGCGCATACCAGAAACCGGAGACTTATTTTTTTTGGCCTTATCATTCCAAAATGTGGCGCTGTATAACAGTTTTGTAGTTCGTTGAGTTGATGGCTTGGTCTCTAACATCAGCAGGCAAACTATTCCACACATAAGGAAAATTGTTAAAAACAGAGAATTTGAAGGAGTTGGTTCTGGCAAAGGGGATTTTAAACCTAAAGTCTTCAAGATGCCGGGTATTGATGTCAGGGAGGAGATGGATTTCTAAGTCATACCGTTTGTGAAAGCAATGCAAAATGAATGTGAGAAGTTGATATTTATGACGGTGTTACCTCCCCAGTAAACAGAAAAAATCAATTGGGTGGGACTCGAACCCACGACCTGCTGCTTTCTGGTGCAGACGTCTTTAATACCACTCGACCACCGAGCTAACGGGATCGGTTGGCTGGTTCGAATTTGATGGACATGTAGATATCAATATTAAGTTTTGCCTTTCATCGACGTACATGTATAAACACTGTATACTCAGTGTGTTATTACCTCCTGAGTAAACAGAAAAAAAATTAGTTGGGTGGGACTCGAACCCACGACCTCCTGCTTTCTAGTGCAGACCACCAAGCTTGCGGGATCGGTTGGCTGGCTCGAATCTGATGTACTTGTAGCAGCGGGTACCGCAATTAAACTATTCATTTTTCCAATGTCACTCGGGAGGTAACACACTGAGTACATACAGTGTTTATACGTCGCTGAGGGGCAAAACCTAATATTGATGTTATACATTTGTCACCCATTTCTTTTCATGCAGGAAACATGCACAAGAGTGCCCACTAGTATAATGCACAAAAACACCAGGCTTAAAAAAATGGCAGTGCTGCGGTACATAATGCCTAGCCTCGCCAAGGGCAATTTTATAAAAATGCAGAAATTGCTGCATTATGTATCGCTACGGCTCACTGACCGTACATAGCCAAGAGCTGCATTTGTTTACTCGCACCACCACACCCAGAGTTGCACACACATCGTTGCTACGGGTACTGGCTTGTTAACAATCGTCTTTGTGGTTCGGTCAGGCGCAAATCTCATTCTGTGGGGAATATGCTGTCGTTCAATTGAAATCGAATGAATTGATGGTTCGTGCACACTGCACACAGGACTTGTTTTGCTAATTTCTGTGCAAAAAAATGGAATCTGATAGTGTATTTATTCAACTTGAATTTTGAAAGAGTGAAAAATTTAAATTTTGATATATTTTTGTTTACATTTCCCCTTTTTACAATGGTTAGATTACATGTCAGAAATTTAAATAGTATATGAAGAACACTACCAAAATTAACAGTCTTGTGAAGTTCTTGATTTGTCGCAGATAAGTATTTTTTTTTCATGGTTTGTTTGTGCCAATGAGACTTTCTCTAGCTAATGGAAAAATTCCGCCCCCCCCCCTCAGGTCTCGGCCATTGAGTGAAGAGAAATTATTAAACTTGGTGAATGCATAGAACAACTTAATATGCACATGCCCAAGAAATTTCATGACTATATAGGTTGAAGGGTTTTAGAATTATCTGCTAATTAATTATTCATATGCACCAATGGTAATTCGGCTTTGCGTACACTAAACATATGGGGAAATTCAGTTTCAGGCCGCAGTAACCCATGGTCAGAATTTTATGTTTTTGTTATCAACAGATGCCCAACACTCGAGGCTAAAGTCAGTAAAGCTCGAGTCGGGAAAATATTTTTGGCAAGGGTATCGCGGAACAAGTTGAGGGGAGGTCCCCCTTGGCCCTTTTAGGGTTAAAGTTGGTTTGGAATGGTTTCCAAAATACAAAACCGAAAAGTGAAATTCAAACGGAATTTTGAAATATCCGGATTTTGAACCCACCGTCGGTTATGAAGCTTTTTATGTTACATGCAAGTGCAAAACTTGTGTGTACTCACACATGTATGCACTGCTTTTTCTCCTTGTTTTATGTGTATGAATTTAGAAGTCTAAAAAAAATTTAAAAAGCTAAATCCTTGATAAAAAATGTTTAGGATTTTGTGTTCATGAAGGTATCTTTAATTAAAACAAAAATATATACCGGTAGATGGCATTATTTATGCAAATTGAAAATCGACCCTGTACCCGGAGCAGTTGTTACTCATTGGAAGTCAGTATTTTACGGCCATGCTATTAATAATTAATTTTTATTGAGCAAAGTGGAACATCTGTCCAAGTTGAATTTGATTAAACTTATTGATTTTTGAAGGACTTCGTGGTTTGTTGTTGCAGCTTTAGTTGGATGCATTCTTCTGGTTTTTTCTGGGTTTTTTTTCTTGTCTGTACTTTCCTGGTGGCCACTTGACTTATTGGAAAAAAAAAGTTTACAGTGAAGTATTTTTGTAGAGATTTTCAGATTTGAGCAAAAGATTGAATTGTTTCATCTAATGTATTAAAGAGAATATACAACAATTTGCAAACATCGAAAAACAAAACTACCAAATTTTTACGAAATACCTTACTAGGATGTTGGTAAATGACAGTTTAAAGCATCCTGGAAATTTATGGCACCTTGTGTGAAGTCGTTTGTATTTTTGTACCAATTTCCAACGGTGGTCGGCCGACCACCGTTGGAAAAACCGAACTATTTTTCAACTACTGCTCCAAATTTACCACTTTTTTCAGTTCAAATTTTGTTTGCTATTGGTTACATGGTCATGAACGGGTGCAGGCCAGCCAGACTGGTTCCCTTACCTTACAATTTTCCGGCATCTATAAATTGATCCATTTCATCTTTAGTGGAGTCAGGGAACCAGACTACTTTAACATTTTTGTTTTTGTTGTTTTTTCCCCAGCATTTTTGAACAACACTGTCAGTGTAACAATATTTGATCCATTATACTAACTCCTCAATTAGTTCATTTCTGAAAATTACAGCAAAAGCCAATGATGTACATTCCCTTTAACAGGCATGCAACTTTTCCTCGGATCCGCCGATTTCCTCGTTTTTTTACTTCCCATGAATGCCATTACAAATTGATAAAATACTGTACAATGTCTTGTGTTGTTTGGAGTTTCCTAATTTTTTTCCTAAAATCCCAGTTGCATGCCTGTGTATATAGCACAGAATGCTCAGTGCTTGTAACCCTAACTGAACTCAACCCATCAAAGTCCAACAGCAGGTTTTGTTGAAATCTGTTAGAATGGGTACAGTACCCCTAAACTGATGGTCTTTTACATTGGGGTTGGCATACCTCCAGAAACTAAGTCCAACAGTGTGTGTGTACAATTTTCCATGTGGGTGTTGGAATTTGCCAGAATGGGTACGGTTCCTAGTAAATTAGGGAGTTAGGGGTAAGAAGGAGTATGGACGAAAAAATATTAGTGTTTTTAACCAAATTGTGTCAAATTTTTACGTAAAGTGACGCGTAACTAATATATTTTCCTCTCTTTTTTGCAGTTGGACACCTTGGCAAGGGAAGATTTGATCAAGTTCGTGAAAAAGCAAGCCATGCAGGTGCAGAAATTAAAGGCACAGTGTGACAGTAAGTATGGAAACCCTCACCAAATTTACTTCTTCGCGGGAATCTTCTTTGCTCTTCCAAAATCCAACGCTGCACTGTAAAACAATGGCACCTTCTTTTTTTAAAAATGAAATCGGGATGTAAAGCCCCCAAAAAGTTGATCACAAAATGATTACAAGTTGATCACAAGTCAATCACGAGTCCATCACCAATCATTCAGTCCTAATTCAGTTAACAAGCTTTAAAAAAAATAAATGCGACAAAGGCCTTTCTTGTGACATGAAGGGGCATCATGGCGTGCATTTGTGAAATGTCTCAGAAAAGATCTTGAAAACTGCACGGACCTTTTTTTTACTCGATCAACTTTCAGAGCTTACTAAGGAGAAGGCAGGCTCCACCCCGCCCGGCGACCAACCTGGCGTTGCCAAGGCAACAGAAGAGCTGGAGGCAAGACTCAAGACGTCCGAGGAGGAGCTGGCAGAGTTGAGAGATGAACGGGAAGGGATGCTGACAGCTTACAACGCTGTCCAGCAGCAGCAGGAACAAGCCGTAGAGACACACAAGGTACCATAGAGCTAATGAACGGTAGAAAGTGTACCATTACCACTTAAAGGGAAAATACAACATTTGCAAACATCAAAAAATAAAACTACCAAATCATTTTGAAATACCTGGCTGGACTGTTAGTGAATGACAGTGTAAAGCATCCTGTAAAATCATGGCACCTGGTATACTGTCATTTTCAAGAAAAGTGGTATTTTTGTATCAATTTCCAATGCTGGTCGGCCGACCAGCGTTGGAAAAAACTGGCTTTTTTTCAAATACTGGCCCCAATTGACCATTGCACTTGTTTGCAATCGATTACACACCTATGAACGGGTACAAGCCAGCTAGACTGGTTCCGTGACCTTACAATTCCCCAATGTATGTAAACTGCTCTGTTTCTTCTTATATGGAGTCAGGGAACCAGACTACAGGAAAATGATTGTTTTTCTTGGTTTTTATAGCATTTTCGAACCCAAAACCTCAAAAAAGTCAGTGTAACTATATTTGCTATATATTTCCAACCCCCCAATTCCATCCATTTCTGAAAATTACAGCTAAAGCAAATGATGTTTATTCCCTTTAATAGAGCTCTGTCTGCAAGACACATGGCACATATGCACTTGTTTGCAATTGTACTGATCAGGTAGTACGCACAGCTAATTTTTTATTCTGATTGTCAACAAACGCATGTTGTCGTTGTCTGAGCCCCAGGTTACGGCGGCAATACATTCAAGTCCGCTCTAACTCTCTCTAAAGCGAGCCAGGCAGTATTTAAGCACAAAAACCTAAGAATAAAAGATTTGATAAATTACCTGTCTTTAAAGGGACACTAGGTCCTGGAACAGCCCAATTGGGCTACAAAACGCGCTTTGAACGAGATGATGTTAATCGGAAATAACATTTAAAAGTAGGATATAAACATCCACACAACTATCCTTTCAAAACTGGGCGTTTTTGTGTTATTCCTGTATTATGCATGCGAGAACGAATTTCGGGGTCCACTTTTGCGACCCCATAAATTTGAGCTGTTTGGATGCTAGTTGTGATTTCATTCGTAAAGTGTTCGCCTTTTGCGGACGTTGAAGAAACCATTTTTTTTCTGCATTGGTGATTGGTCACCGCTGTTCCCGAGACACACAACGTGTATATCGTACACTGAGAACGACACGAAAAACGTATTCGTACTCCGTCATGTCCGATGTAAACAAGCGGGGGTTTTTGTCTTTTTCTCGGGAATGGTAAGACATTAGGTTCGTTTCCTTTCAACCAGATGTTTAAAATAGGCTAAGTAAACAATCCAAAACGTAAAATTTTCAGGGATTTCAGGACCTAGTGCCCCTTTAACTTTTACGGAAGTTTTTCATGAAGTGCAATCTTTGTCATTCCCAGAATCTTGAGGATGCCTTGAATAAGGTCTCAGCAGAGAAGGAGGACTTGGGCAAAGAAGTTTCCCATCTTAAAGACGATTTGAGTAAGGCCACCTCAGAAAACAAGGTAAGATTGTCGTCTACTAATGTCCATTTACTGATATGTTTTATCAATATAGAGCTTGAACAAAGATATTGAATGGAGCGAGATTAGAACCTACTACCTTCAGAACACCATACTGGGAGTCAGGTTGGCGTAGCACAAATTTTCCTGGCCTTCCATCGCTGTGACCCGGGTTCGATTCATGCCTGGGCCAATATGTGGATTGGGCTTTCAGTCCCTACTTGATTCCTTGGGTTTCCCCCCAGAATATTCTATTCTGGGGATTTTCTCTCACATCTAAAACTTGAATTCCTTCACATTGTCTTCTCTTTCCTGGGCCTCATGGGAGACCTGTGGATTTTACTGAATGGGATACCCATTTGAAACAAGAATTGAGTAAATAAACAAAAAAATAGTGTTAGACTTTTTGTAATTTATTTGATGAGTTATTTTTATTGCGTAAAACTTTTCAAAACTGGATCTGTTCCTGACAACTGTTAGATGAAAATTACCCAAAGATCAGAAGTTTTCAGACCCTGGGAATTTATGTTTGTTTTTTATATTTTTAGGAGCTGTTGGAGCAGCTAGAATGCATGCAGATGAAGCAAGAAACAATGACGTCCACGTTTCAGTGTCTACAGGAAGAACAAAGCACTCTGGGGAAAGAAAATGAGGTCAGTTCCTCTTACTCTTAATGAGTGAAACCATAAACCTTCAAAATCCTTCAAATTTTCCCAGTGAATGTTAAAGATCTGGGAGTATTTAGAATTCATCCATGTTGACAATAAAGCTATATCTTTGTACAATTTCTGTTGTTCCAAAGGCCTTGCAAGAACAGATCAAAGTGCTAACGGCTGCAAGGGATCAGGTCATGGACTCGCTGCAAGCCTTCAAACAGCAACAGCGGGAGAAGTCAAGTGACGCCACTCAACTGCAGAACACCCTTGCTGAGGCGACAACTCAGAGAGACAAGCTGGCTGAGCAGCTCCAAGAGCTGCAGAAGTCCCAGGAAGCCTCTGCCACTGAGATTCAGGAGCTTAGGTCCAAGCTAGAAGCTGCTAACGAAGAGAGCAGCATTTCTCAAAAGCAGGCGGTGGACAGGACAGCTGAGGAAGCTCAGGCCAGGAAAGATCTCGAGGAGGAGATCCAAAGGCTGCGTCGCCTTCAGGAGGAGATTGTTAAGTCAAAAGACAAACTTATCACCACCAATGAAGAAGCTATGAGAGTTCTTAGAGAGGAGCGTGAGATGGCGAAAACAGAAAATCTCGAGACTCAGAAAGACCGAGACAATCTGGCAAATGAGGTGACAAAGCTCAAAGAAGAACTTGAAGCTAGAGAAAGAGACTCTGGAGATGCAGCACAAAGACAGAGTGAATTAGACAACCAGTTGCAGCAGATGGAGGAGAGTTTGAAGGCAATTGCTGCTGCGAAAGAGCAATCTATTAACGAAACTGAAGAGCTAAACTCTCAAGTTATGAAGCTGTCATCCGAGTTGAAATCGGCAAATGAGGTTCTACGCTCATCTGAGCAGGATAAGGACAGCAGCCAGGCCATGTTGAAGGAACTAAAAGAGAAACTTGAGGATCTGAGAAGTGAATTGCAGAGGTCTGAAAATTCTAACAGTGAGCTAAAAATCCAGATTGACCAGTTGACAAAGGAGAAGGACGAAGCAACTGAAGAGACTCAAACTCTCAAAGAACAGGCTGAAGATAATGAAACACAGCTTTTAGATCTTAGATCGGAACTGGAGAGCTTGAGACAAGAGAAGGACCAAGCCATCAACGATTTGGAAGAGAAGGCAAGGAAAGATGAGACCGCAGCGGAAAATCATAAGAAGCTACAGGATCAACTTGATGCAGTCCTAGCTGAGAAGGAGCAACTTGCCGGAGAGATATCCACCCTGAGGCAACTTCAAGACGGCAGTCAAGAGCTGGACAAAATCGTAGAAGGCTTACAAGAAGAGAAAAACAAATTGGCCACCAAAGTAACTGACATGGAATCAGTGAATTCCTCACTTCTTAATGGCGTGGACTGCTTGAAGAAAGAGAGGGATCAGCTTGTTGCAAGGGTAGAAGAAGCCGAGAAAGAAGTAAGCCAGCAGTTGCAGAGCAACATCAATTTAGAGCAACAGGTGCAAGAAAAGCTCAATGAAGCCAAAGAAGAAGCACAGAAATTGTCTGAGAACCACAAGAAGGCCTTGGAGATAGCAGAGAGAGAAAGGGACAGGGCCAGAGAAGATCTTGAAGCTGTCAGAAATGACCAATCAAGCTCCAATGATGAACTTCACGAACAGCTACAAAGGATCCGGTCTGAACGGGATAGCTTAGCAGATGCCAAACTCTCCCTGGATTCAGAGGTGAAAAGGTTATCAGAGGACTTGGCCACAGCTCAGGACAGCTTTAATGTATCTCTGAAAGAACAAGAGTTGAAACTGGAAGTTGGGAAAGAAGAAGCGACCCGTCTAGAAGGAGAGTTGAAATCAATAGAACAGACCAACGAGGAGCTTCACACTGAGTTGATGGCCATTAGGGAGGCGCATCTGGAAGCTTTGAATCAGTGCACAAATGCTGAATCACAGCTGAAAACCTTGAAGGCTGGACAAGACGAGAGTCTGTCGAGAGAAAAGGAGGAACTCCAAGAGAAGTTACAAAATCTGAGTACTGAAAAAGACGGGTTGACCATGCAGCTTCAGGAACAAGAGGTAAACTTCAAACATCAGTTGGAAGAGGTGTCAGTTACCATTCAAACTTTGGAGAGGGAGAAACAACAAGCTTGTGATGATCTGGTTAGCTTGCGGAAGATGGAAGCATCAGAACGCGGTCTAAAGGAAAGTCTAGAGACAGTTAAACATGAGAATGAAAAACTGCAGGGAGAGTTTCAGGCCAAGGAAACTGATTACAAGAATGTAATTGGAGAACTGAGGGGGCAGTTGGAGACATTAGAAACCAACCAAAGCAAAGTCAGGGAAGATCTAGAAAGGATGGCTTCAGAGCTTCTTGATAAGGATTCAGTTATTCAACAAACTACAGAACAGAACAAGGTTGAACTGGAAGCCAAGCAAACAGAATTAGACAGTGTTAAAGCAGAACTGGAAGCTACTCAACAAGTCAAAGAAGACTTTATTGCAAAGACCGAGCCCAAGGTTCAAGATAGTTCACCAGAACGAGCATCTGCGTCCGACTACCAACAGACCCCAGAATCTAAAATTCAAGACCTGGAATCAAAGATCAAATCTCTAGAGGCAGACAAGGTGGCTTTCAAAGCCAACTTTGAGAAACTCAAGAAGGCCAGCCAGAACAAAGTCCAGCGTCTCAAGGATCAGATGGAAGCCATCCAAGAAGAGAAGAAGACTCTCTCCGAAAAACTTGATGCCTTGGCATCCTGTGACAGAAGCAGAACCAGCCAGATTGAAGAGCTAACTGCCCAGACCGAGTCCCTAAGAGTAGAGAAAGCTGACTTGTTGCAAGAAGCGAAATCCGCAAGAGAGGATTGTGAAATGCTAGAGAAAGCAAAATTGAAGCTGGAGTCAAACTTGAAGGATGTGGAAACAGAGAGGACATCCCTCTTTGCCGACTTGCAAGCAGCACTGGCTGAGCAGAGCTCCCAGGAGGAGGGGCAGCAGGACTTGGCCAAGAGGCTCCAAGATATGGAGGCGTCCAAGCAGAAGCTGGTCAACGAGCTGCAGGAAGTCCAGGCAGAGGTTGACCAGAAGGGAGAGGAGGTCAGGCGCTTGAGGGTGGACTTGGAAGACGCTCTTGCAGAGAAAGAGAAGCTGAAAGAGAAGGGAATCACAGGAGCCATCTCTGAGAGTTCACCTGAAATGACTGAGGTAAGGGATACTGGTGTACTTAATCAAACTCTTTGTTTAGGGTTAGGGTTACAAGTTCTGCTTTTACTTTGCCCCAAATTTCTCTAATCTCGAGTGTTAGTCATGGCCTCTTGATTTCTTGAGTCTTCAAAGTTTGAGATTTTGGGAATTTTTACCCCTGTCCAGAATTGTTAATAGCGCATTTAGGATCCGAACTTGGGTCAAACAGGTAGCAATGAAGTGAAAAACCACTGCACTTGTACAAGCCAATTGTGGTTATGTTTGCTTCAAATTTTGCCTTTGCATCTTTTTTAAAACCATCTTTCAGGAAAAGCCGAAAGAAAAAGAGTCCCTTCAAGCTTCCGCCCCTGCAGGCGACTCTCTGCAACAAGAATTAGGTAAGAAAATATGTTAGCAGGAGTACCTTGAAGTGAGTTTCCAGCATGCTTGAAGTAAGCCATTCTTAAATTCCAGATTATGTGAGGTTCTTACGGGGTGGAGTTTGTTAGAGTGACTATTCTGTGTTCGCAAACAGTTGGTCTCCCGTTTAGCCGGGATCCTTCAAAATCCGTGAGGAACGGCTGACGAGAATTTGCACAAGCCTCTCAAGTTTTAATCTCAATAAAAAATGCTGAAGAGGTTAGGGTAAAGCTAAAAACGTCTCTGGCTTGATTTAACGTTTTCTTGTGTGTCTTTGTCAGACGCCAAGGTGAAACAGTTGAAAGACACCGAAGAGAAAGCTCAGAAATTGAGATCCCTGGCGATGAAAGTGAAGAAGGAACTCGAACAGGCCAAGAAACAGGTAAAGCACAAAAGTCATTCTTCATTCATTGTTTACTTGATTTTTGAGAGAGTGGTGTAGACGACTGGACGGTGTTGGATGGGGTGGTCACTTGAGGCCAATTGTCAACGAACGGATCTCTGCTGCACTACGTTATATCTCTTGAAATATGAATGGCTTAAAAGTATTGACGAATGCTGTTTAATGTGGGCCAAATAACATGCAAACGATGCTTAAATGTTTGGGTTGCCGGGCGATTGCCTGTCAACATGACATCAAATGACACATGTTGTATTTAAAGAGGTTGTGGAATGCTCGAAGACATTTCCGTCATTTTTCGGGTATATGTAGCCTAAGGTGTGATGAAATAAAAACGACTATTGTTTCTGTCATAAGATGAGTACAAAAGGTACTTTTGAGAGCTGTTTTTCAAGTCCTGTCATGCCTGTTTCGACCCGAACGTGCAATTTGTGTAAAAGTCGTCGTTGCGGGCAGCAAACAAAACACAGTAAATTGTGACGTAATAAACAGGACTCCCGATGCAGAGTAGCATAAACGAGTCCTGTTTATTACGTCATGATTTAGTGTGTTTTGTTTGCTGCCCGCAACGACGACTTTTACACAAATTGCACGTTCGGGTCGAAACAGGACCTGAAAAATAGCTCTCAAAAGTAACCTTTGTACTCATTTCATGACAGAAACAATAGTCGTTTTTATTTCATCACACCTTAGGCTACATATACCCAAAAAATGACGGAAATGTCTTCGAGCATTCCACAACCTCTTTAACAGTCCCCTACGAATGAACAATTTGTATTGCGAAAATTCAAGTTTTTGAAAATATCTAATATTTCTGTGAATATTTCTTTGAACAATTGCATCAATGAAATTAATGAAATTTCCTCCAAAAAGTGTTTCTTGAAAAACTATTGAAAAGATCAACAAGTCAATAAATATGTATTGAGAATATTTAACATTTTGTTAATATTTCCAAAAGTAACGGCTACCGAAAATTGATGAAATTCAAGCCAAATTGTTTTGCCCAATAGTTAGAAAATGTTTGCGGATATTAGTAAGCCATCCTGCAGTTTAATAGTGAAGGATCTTTTAATGAAAGATTCTTCATTTGATGTCGTAGATAACTTCTCAGGTGGAGGAACTGAGCCGCGTGACATCAGAAAAAGAGCAGTTGTCGAAGAAGTTGGACTCTCAGACTCAACAGCTAAGTGGAAGCAGGCAGCACATCGAGAACTACCAGGTAAATCAAAAAAATAGTTCGAGCTCCACCCCAAATTCTGTAAATACCCAAAATCTGGTGTTTTTTTTAGTATTTGGAGAGTTCAAGGAATGTACCGGTACAGCACAGTCACAGTCGAGGAAATTTTTTAATGTTTACCATTAATAAAGGAATAAATGTGTGCTTGGCCAGTTTTCAACACTCTGTCATGTGTTTGGATGCTCATAATTGAAGGCAAGGGTAATTATCAGCACCCAGACTCCAACTGGTCTTAAACATAGCATTTAATACCGGCCAAGCACATGTTTATTCTCATTCATAAATACCTTTTCGGTCAAAAAATCTAAACTTTTCGGTCAAAACAAGTCAAAAATTGTAAATCTCCAACCATTTCGTTCAACAAAACACCCCTCTAGATATGGTATGGCTCTCTCATAAACAGCTCCTTATATTGTGTGTACTGCGTGATGTGGCACAGAACACAGCTGTGCCGGTCTAGTGTAAATTTAGGACTATGAAATACGGCGGACACACTGGTAGTATTGCACATGTCTTCGTGAGGATTGTGAACGTTCAACCAATTAATCGGTACTGGCACCAGATTTTGTAGGAGTCCACATTTCATGTGACTTGGGAAAGTCTTTAAGACCAGCCACCCGGTCTTTATCAACCGTTTAAAACTGGTCATGTGATGGGCTCTCGACCAATAGGAATGGGTAAGCTGTCTTAGGTAAATTGAGATTTGAATTTTTTTTTTACAGAGCCTTCATGTTGAGTATGAGAAGTTGCAAGATTCGCTGGATGCTGAAAAAGATCTGTAAGTATCGAAAAACAATTCTAAATCTTCTTTTATCAAAAGAAAATGACACAATTTGTGTGAAATTTGTGTTTCATTGACCAAGTTTATGCTCATTGTAAACAATCTTCTAGGTCCCGAGAGCTGCAGAAGAAACTAAATGAGACGTCTGAAGATCTGAAGGTAACGCTTGTTTCTTTTCTAAATCAGTCAGATCAGTCACATTTGCTGTTTCAAAATAGGAAAAAATTAATAAGTAAAGTAAAATAAAAAGGCCTGCAATTATCAAAACTAGTGCTGATGCAGACGGTATGCTAATATTTCACTTTACGTGGCCTGGAGCAAGCCCACAGATGTGTAATAGGAAAGGAAAATATTGAGGACAGTTAAAAAAAAAGGCAGTCTTTAAATGTGGTACAGATGGGGACGAGAAACGAATGATTCATTACACATGGCCTGATCCAAGTATTTTGGTCTTTAATTATACAAAATTAACCACAGATAAAAAGTTAACGCAGTCATCAAAACTGAATCAGGTGCGAATGAGAAACCAACCATTTACTTCATGTGGCCAGATGCATTCACTATAGTAATGCACTATGTTAATTTGGATTTAAAGATAAAATAATTATAAAAAGAACCACTTTTTTTTTGGTCAGAATCTTTCCTCGGAGTGTGCCCAGACCAAAGTGGCTAAGGAGGAGCTAGCCAGGTCATGTGACCACGCCGTCAAGGAGATCCACACCTTAGAACGGAGCGCAGCGGAACTCAGGAGCCGACTTCTTGCCGTAGAGGATGAACGCGACAAGGAGAAAGAGGAGAAAGAACGAAAGATACAGGAGCTGGAGGAGGTACATGGGCCTTGAGTTTGTTGGGGCTAATTTATGCAAATTTATTCCAACTTGGTAGGATGTTGGCTGTACAATAATTTATGCAAATTTACTCAAACTTGCTAGGACTACCAGTTCAAATCTACCAGTTTTTTAATTTATGCAAATTTATTCAAACTTGGTATGATGTCAGCTCTTCAATAATGTATGTACATTTAATCAAAGCTGTTACAATGTCAAATCGATTATTCAACAATAAAATAGGAATTTATGCTCAAACTTAATGGCCCGTATACTGCGTAAACACGGACATTTGAAAAGTAAGTTGTGTTTCTTTGATTTACAAAGCAAGGTTGACAAAGACTTGGATGCATTTTTGTCTTTTCCTGAATTTTGTTTTTGTAACAGGCAATCGAGAAGATCAAAGCATTTGAACACGACGCTGGGAAACAAAAGGAGAACTTTGACACCACGACAAGGCAACTGCAAGCTGCTCTCAAGGTAACTACATGTCTTACCAAGGCCAGTAACAGTTATACCTCCCCTCCCCCTTTTCACCAAACCCATCTCCCCCCCCCCCCCCCAAAAAGGACTACATTTTTATTGGACACTATTTGCTGAATCTACAAGAGATATAGCAAAATATGTACCTGCGGTAATTTTATGCCTACTTACAGAAACAAACATTTTCTGACTAAGGGAAGAAGAAGCTCGGGATGCAACTATGACTGCCCACCACTTAATTATGGGATTGTTTTTTTTTTTACAAATTTGAACAAGTTTTCTTCTCCACCGTTCCACAGGAGGCCAGCCAAAGCAACCTGATGGACCTGGAGATTGCCGACTACGAGAAGACTGTCTCCAACCTCAACCATACCATCCAGGAGAAGGACAACCGCATCGTTGAGAGCAACACGGAGATAGAACGTCTCCAGAAACGCATCGAGGCTATGCAGAAAGAGACGGGTCAGTTGCCTCTTTATTCCCCCCCCCCCCCCCCCGAACTAATTTGTTTAAAACCAATTAGAGCACAGTTGTGCAGAAATGTCTCAAAATGTTATCTTGTTCTTTTCCCATCCTGTAGATGCATCTGATTATCAGCGAGCGCAAGCTGATGAAAGAGGCAACAAGCTGAAGGCCATGCTCATGAAAACCAAGAAAGATCTAGCGGACGCCAAGAAAGCTGTAAGTCGCTCCAAGAAGCTTGTCAGGTTACAACCCTTGGTTAAAGGGAAAATACAACATTTGCAAACATCAAAAAATTAAACTACCAAATCATTTTGAAATACCTTGCTGGACTGTCAGTGAATGACAGTGTAAAGCATCCTGTAAAATCATGGCACCTGGTATACTGTCATTTTCAAGAAAAGTGGTATTTTTGTATCAATTTCCAACGCTGGTCGGCCGACCAGCGTTGGAAAACACTGGCTTTTTTTTCAAATACTGGCCCCAATTGACCATCGCACTTGTTTGCAATCAATTACACACCTATGAACGGGTACAAGCCAGCTAGACTGGTTCTCTGACCTTACAATTCCCCATTGTATGTAAACTGCTCTGTTTCTTCTTATATGGAGTCAGGGAACCAGACTACAGGAAAATGATTGTTTTTCTTGGTTTTTATAGCATTTTCGAACCCAAAACCTCAAAAAAGTCAGTGTAACTATATTTGCTATATATTTCCAACCCCCCAATTCCATCCATTTCTGAAAATTACAGCAAAAGCAAATGATGTATATTCCCTTTAACATATACCCTGTCATCCAGTGCCCCCACCAGACCCAATCTTCCCCTTCTGCCATACTTGCCAATCTTACTATTGTCGACTAGGTTGGAATTGCTCAACGTCTTTCATAATTCAACTCTGTGGAGACAAAATGGCTTCCAACAATGTCCCTGAGAACACTTCTGATGAAAACATAAAGATGGCGTACATCACTGCATGTAGCAAGTCTTTATTCACAGCTCTTTCTTGTTTGGTGGCATTGCTTTGTAACACATTCTTGACCTTTAACCTTTGACCTCAGGAATCTGACCAGCGGACCAATGAGGCGGCTCTCCACGGCCAATTGGAGCGACTGACCCAGCAGTCGGAGGCCCTCAAGGTGGACCTCTCCGTCTTAGCGGCTGAGAAACAGAAGCTCCATGACCAGGTTCGTCCACTGAAAGGACACGCTACAGAACTGACTGTGGCAGGGTCTGCGGATAGTAGACCACATCAACACTGACGTCACATTTGCAATTTTCAATTTGTGACACCCGACTGTACAGCTACCCAAATGCCTGTCTCATGAAAATCCCCATTATTGTAGTGGACAATTCCAACGCTATGAAAGGAATGGTAATGTCTGTGACACAGGCAATAAACCATAATATCTAATTAATGATTTAGAGAATGATCCAAAACTCCTAGTACAACGCCATGGTCCAGTGGTTACTGTGTTTGACTCACGCACGATTGTGCGTGGGTTCGAATCCTGCCAGGAATATGGTGTTTGTGCCCTTGGGCAAGACACTTAACAACAATTGCCTCTCTCCACCCAGGAGTATAAATGGGTACCTGTGAGGGTCGAGGACCGATTGAACGCTGATATCGGCTGCCACGTGGTCCCATGGCCTGATGAACGGGGCAATAATTGTAAAGCGCTTTGAGATTGTTGATACAATGAAAAGCGCTGTATAAGCAGTACAATTATTATTTTTGTTATAAGTCTGTAATCTCCTTGACCATCACTAGATGATAGATGTGTAGGATTTAAAAATTCACTGCGCTCCTGCAGGTTCTGTCATGGACATGACATAAGGCTTTATTTGCTGTACAGCAAAAATTAATACTGCAGACGTTAATTTAAATTTCCCTACAATGTACCCCATGAATGATTTTGTTCTCATGCGTTTGGTTGTAGCTACGCGCAGCCAGCGACGTCAACCTACGCACCGTCCGCGGCTTGGAACAGAAGAACCGAACCTTGCGGGAGGATCTGGAATTAGTGAGGAACGAACTGGCGGGCACACAGGAGGAATTCGAAAGCTACAAGGTACAAAAAAAGAAGGAAAAGTGTGCTTGAAAATGACTCCGTCTGGCTGTCAGTACAATTCACAATTAAAATTGTGGACAAAATGAAAAACGACACTTTTGTGAATTGGCCATAACTCAATAAATGTTTACTCGATTGGAAAGGTTGGTTTGATGCACTACAGTCTTTAACTGTGTATCTATATTTGCGGTGTATTTGAGGGCGCTTTGAGTGTTGTTTTTTGGGGGGACACCCAGTAGTCAGCAGTAAGGCCAAAAAAAATAAGTCTCCGGTTTCTGGTATGGAGCTTGCCCAAAAAGTGGTGCGGCGACGCGTTTTTTTTTTTTTTTTTACCTGATTTTTTTGCCTCAAAATGTAGGCTGATGACTGCAAATTTTGTTCCCGACTAGACTTAGTGCAAATATATGGGAGTCCAGAGAGACCACATAAAGCTTATTCTCGATCATAACCCCATCTAAAAACACGTTAAAATTGTGCAGCAGTAGGATTCCAGTCAAACCAGTGAGTTTGGCGGTTTTGAGACATCATCTTTCATTGAAAAAAAACCTTTTTCATTTTGCCGACGCGCATGGCTACGGCGACGCGCGCGCATACCAGAAACCGGAGACTTTTTTGTTTTGGCCTAAACTGATATTTGTTTCTTTGTCCTCCGGCTGACATTACACCTTTGACCCCATGTTGGCATGTCACCTTTGACCTCTGCAGGTCAGAGTTCACAGTGTTCTGAAGCAGCAGAAGACCCGGGACAGTTCGCACGTGGACGTGGAAGCGGAGCTGCAAGAGAAAGATCACCTGGAGAAGATGAACAAGCAGCTCAAGGCCAAGATCCAAGAGACAAGGTTCGTACATCTTCAAAAAAATGTGTTTAATAAAAATTCATAAATACCTCAGACAGTTTAGCCATTCCTATTGGTCGAGAGCCCGTCACGTGGCCGGTCTTAAACGGATGATAAAGACATGGCTAGCTGGTCTTAAACACTTTTCCAGTGTCGCAATAAAATGTAGACCCCTAAAAATCCAGTGCCTCTTAACGTTTCATTGGTTGAACGTTCACAATCCTCACGTAGGCATGCACAACACTACCAGCGAGTCAGAATTTTATAGTTCTAAATTCAAAACGCAACGCGCCAGGTGCGTTCTGCGCGACATCGCTCAGAACATGCCACGCGCGCGTCAATCTCCATAAAAGGGCTGTTTACATCTTACTCGCCAGCTGAACACTTCATTATATTGCTAGAGGGATGTTTGAAAAAGCATGAAGTGAACTTGTTGAACAAATCGGTATTTTTTGAACGAATTATTTGATATTTTTTACCAAAAAGGTATTTATGAATGGGAATAAATATGTGCTCAGTCGGTATTTATCACTCTGTTTAAGACCACTTAGAGTCTGGGTGCTGATAATTACCCTCGCCTCTGGCTCGGGTAATTATCAGCACCCAGACTCTAAGTGGTCTTAAACAGAGTGATAAAAACCTCCAGAGCACACATTTATTCCCTTAGTAAAGTGTGGTTCCTTTCTCAAGCAAGAGCACGGCAAAATGTTTGAGTCCAGCGTCATAAAATGTTATCAGTTTGGCCCATCTACCAACCTTTCATGAAGAGCTCTACTGTACAACTTTACAGCCTGTTAGCGTCAACTAATAATACAAAAAAAAAAAATATCTCAATCATGATCAAGTCTTAATCCTGAAACACTTGTTTATGTTTTTGATATAGGGATGAGCTGAGGGCAGTGACAACAGAGTTGGAACTCCTCCAAGACGAGCACGACCGACTGCTGCAGCGACACAGCGACATGGTGCTGGACAGCCAGAACAAAGAGGCAGCATGGAGGGAAAAGTAAGCTACTGCATAACTGCAGCTGCTGCCTTAGTCTTGGTTTCCAGACTGGATTTAATTTAATGTTCCCTAAACGCAACCAATTCTTTCCCATCCCCCACTCTACTGGCACAATTAATCCCCGGCAATAGAGGGCGCTCTCAACAAAATGAAGCACATTCAATCTTTGGGAATCTTGGCACTCGAACCAAAAAAATTTACGTGAATCCAGGTAACTGGGAGTCCCTCAGGACTGAGTGCCAGGATTGCATCCATCTTGTTGGTAACGCACTCTACCATCTCAGAGTTTTGGCTGTGCTTGGGCACGTGTGGTCTAGCGTTGGAGCACAGGATTCGTGATCGAGAGGTTGTGGGTCCGAGCCCCATCGTGGACATGCGTGTTGTGCCCTTGAGTAAGGCGCTTCACCTCAATTACTCCTCTCAGCCCAGGTGTTAAATGGGTACCGGCATTATTCAATGCTGGGAAGGTATAACAGACTCGCTTTGGAGGAGGTGTGGCGATCTCCCCACAGCAGCATACGAGTCTGGCCCAATCGCTATGAAAGAGAGATGGGCACTCCGTCCCTGTGAATACAGGTTCGTCCCCTTTACTTTTTTTTTTGGCTTCAGCCTGAATGCCAATGCTATATGCCTATTTTGGCATGGAGCACTTTCAAGCTCATTATTTTTTTTTTTTTAGGATGGAGAAACTACGCATAGAGAGCCAGTCAAGTAACATTGAGCACCGCGAGACGATCAGGGAACTCACTGCCCAGAACGACTCACTCACCAACACGTTCAAGGTAAAACTAGGGAAGCCAATTTTCTCAAATTTCAATAGTGACTTCCGCCCAGTAAGAAGCGTTGGTTTCAGGTGCCGTTTAACCAACCTGATCCCGTTTTTTTTATTTGCAGGCACAGATGCGACAGCTACAAGACGACCACCACCGCAGCTTGGACTCGCTGCAGCACCAACTTGAGATGACCGAGAACCAGATGTACCGGCTGCAGAAAGAGCAGCAGCATGCATACCAGCAGCAACAGCCGCAGCAGCAGCAGCAGCTGCAGCCAGGGCGCCAAGCACCTGCAGCAAGGAACGGCGGAGAGACCAAGGAGAACCTGCAGGACGCGTCGGCGGCAAGGCCCACACTGGAGGAGAGGGAACAGGGAGAGGTGAGATTGACACCTAGGCACATTCACTTTCATTTTAACATTTCTACTTAGTTTTCAACCATCACAAATTATTAACTCTACAAACGATCCACAAAAGGAAACTGACTAGGTGCATTATAATAGGTGCATTGTCCTGGGCATTCAGAAGATGGTGAAATCATTAAAATTTAATCGAGCACATCCAACAACAAAAAAGGAGAAAGAAAAATGTGAAAAGTGCGTAGCTTTGTTGCCATACAAGGAAAGTAGACTTTTTTCCTAAGATGCACTGGGGATAAAGCAGACTTTTCACTGAAAATGGCAGCTTTTTGTGAACCACATGCATTCTGGCACCTGATTTAGAAAAATTCATGTGTATCCCAATATTGTATTCCCCACTTTCTCCTGCCAATTTAGGGCATGGAGTACACGGACGCGGAACCCAGCACCGCCAGCAAGCAGCGTCTCTCCTCCACGGCCAGTAATGCCCCCATGGTACCCCTGGCTCAACTCCTGAGCGAGTCCTCCATGGTGGAGTCTGCTCCCAGCATGGTCAGCCTGGTGGGGTCCACCGCGGAGGAAGAACAACTCAGGACGGAGCTGACCGCCACGAGAAAGAAACTTGATCACTTCAGCGAGGTAGGACTATCTATTCAACCCTAACTGTATTGGATCCTTTAACATTGCAAACAGCTGGTTTCATGGAATGTCACATAACTTTATATGTGATGCGATCAATCTAAATGAGTCATTTGTTGGGAACTTTCATTTGGAGATTCAGGCCAAAATAGGGCCACTTCATCACATCACTTCATCACATTTCTTGGTGTTCGGACTTCCATAATTTTTGAACTAAAGATGGTACCAGCATGCGGTTTTTTACAGCAGTAATGCTTAGATTGTGCTCTTTTCAAAACTGTAAAAAAAAACATTTACCAGGGTCGACAAACGACTCATTTAGCTTGATCGCATCACATATGCCAATAGATGGTGTTTCACAGTTAAGATTGATTTTTGTGAAACTCGGCATGTCCTGAGTATTTTAAACAACTTGGACCAGGACGATTTAAGCTGATTGTGTTTAGTTTTACGACAGTCACAAAAAATAGTCTTTGAATAAGCTCAACTTTTGATTCTGAAAAAAAAATATCTTTGTTTTTTATACTTGAAATCACTTATCAACTCTGAAAATGGTTTCACAGGAAAACAGTGTTTCTTTGCCCGGAAAAACAACCCAATTTGGCCAATGGCAGACTTTACGACTATCAAGAAGCTTGGGAGGCAAATATTTAGAGGGAGGCTTTTAAAACAAAAATGGAATCTTGAAGAGAATTTTTTAATTTCTTCAATTTTTTTTTTTAATTCAAACCAGATCAAAAAGTCAACAGTATCCATTCTAGACAGTTCCAAGGGGTGACTGAGTGTAATCTAAGTTTAAAAAAAATTGAGTCGCAGTCCACCAACACGAGTATTTACACAAACATAAGACGTTTTGTAGGTTTCTTCCTTTCCAATACAACATCTTATTTCTCAAGTGATCATGTTATTTTTATTTGTGCAGATCATGAGTGACAACGAAGCGACCATCATGCGATTGACGGAGCAGGCCAAGGTGCTCAAGGAGGAGATCCGACGTCTGGAGCGAAACCAGGAGAGGGAGGATGCGATCGCCAACATGGAATACCTCAAGAACGTCGTCATGAAAGTAAGACCGATACCTTTCTCTGTTTCTTGACTTTAATAATCTACGCGTATCAAATGTTGCTTCAAATTAAGAACCCTGTTTACTGGGATCCCCCCCCCCCCCATAAGATCTTGGCCATCGAGTGACGAAAAATTTTGAAACTCAATACATGCATAGAGCAACTCATCATGAACATACCCAACAAATTTCATGACTATAGGTCAAAGGATTTTGTAATTATGGCTAATTAATTATTCATATGTACGAATGGTAATGCTGCTCTGCCTACACGACGTATATGGGAAAATTTAGTTTTCACGCCGGAAAATGTTTCGCTGTGCGGCAACCCATGGTTCGATTTTTATATTTTTGGTATCAAAAGATGCACTAGGTTCGAGGCTCAAAAGTCATAACAGCTCGGGTCGCGAAAACAATTTTTATCATAGCTATTGCGGAAAAAGTTTTAGGGTTAAAACACTAAAACCCCTAATCAATCCATTTCTGAAAATTACAGCAAAAGCAAATGTTGTATATTACACTCTACCTATAAATTATCCAGTAAGTTTAAGACAAGTTTATCCGCATTTGAAGCAAAAGACGACAAAAAGAAATTTCAAATTCTCCTCTCAGTTTCTGGTGCCAGCTCAGTCAGGCGAGAGGCAGCATTTGATCCCCGTGCTGACCACGATGTTGAAGCTCAGCGACAAGGAACGACAAGAAATCTTAGATGCCATGGAAGGTGAGTTTCTCTCCAAGATGCCCCCGCCCAAAACTTGCCTACTTTTGCCACATTTCGTCATCATTGTACAAAGATACAGTTTTAAAAATCTTATATTTTCACCCATTTCCAAGCTATCGAATCATGGCCCAGTTCATCATGTATCTATTTTTATACTTTGGGGAAAAAAAATTAGAAATACATCAATGGAATTTCAGATTTGTTATTATTGTTTCTATTCATAAGATGGATTTTTACTTTTTTTTCTGTTAAATAGGGGAAGAAATAGCAGCTGGAAATGAGACTAAGAAGTGGGGTTCCTACTTGCACCGCTGGTCTGGGGGCATTGTGTGAATGCTGGCACACCACAATCACGGCTGAAGAAGAGGCCACAGATAATTTGGCATGGGCTATTTACGGTGACCCGGCCCCTAGCCCGTTTTAAATGCACTTTAATACCGAGGAAAAAAGGAGTGCCACATTGTTCGGGGATATTTGTAAATTTCTGGCAAAAAGGAAGATTTAGAGGACATGTTTTGTAGGTTTCTTTTTACAGGACACTAAACACCTGCTTTCTCTCTGAGAAGTGTTTATCAGAATTTGGAAATATTTCTTCCGCTTCAGGGACTGTTTTTGGTTGATCACAATTCAGGCATTTGATTTCATCCATAACAAAAATCAAGACATCTAGAGAGAATGTCCTTCAGGTTTCATATTCAGCTCATAGAATTTTTTTGTTTCAAAAATGTTTTTATGATTTTGCACCTTCTTCCTCCTCTTACTGGCTATAATGTTGAAAGTTGAATGTTGGTTTCTCAGAAAAAAAAGTCCTGCTTTTGGTGGGTTTCTTGTGGTTCTCGCGGGCAAATGTTTTGTTGATAAATTAATACATGAAAAAGTAGAAATATTGAACATATGTTTATTTTTGTAACAATCCTGTAAAAAGTAATGGTAGCATGCAATCATTCCAGATATCAAAACTTTGCTTTGACTTAAATAAGATAAACAGATCACTAAGTGGTGGACCAGAATTGAAAGTGTAAATGACGAGACTACATGTAAATACAATTATGAGCGGTAAATCAAACAGTTTAATTTGATTAATTAAGCACCCCTTGGTAATTCTCAAGCCATCTCCTGTTTATCATGAGATTCATTCGTCAATATACTGATTTTATTAAAAACATTTCAAAAGTTGAACTAAGACATTGACTGGAGCGGGGTTTGAACCTGCGACCTCCGGTTTGCAGTTCCGGTGCTCTACCAACTGAGCTAGCCCTATGTTGGCGGTTCCCCAATTTGTCAATGTATTTTTTCAAGGGGTGCTAGTCAGGAGCCATAAACCTGTATATGCCATGTTTTTTTAACTTTGACAATTATTATAATTAACCTAGCCAGTTTCCCCTTGTATTTTATTTTGAGAAAAAAATTGTGAATTTTTGAGTAAGCACAGATCTGAAGTAAAACTTGAGCCGAAACAGCACTTGTTTTCTTCTTTTTTTTCCCCTCTAGACTTACACTTGTGTAATAGCTATGTAGGTATTTCGACCACCAGAAAAAAAACCCATGTTTTTTACCCAAACAAAAATGGGTTGTGTAGGGGAAAAAGAAGAAGAAAATATCAAACTTGGGAAGATGACTAAAACTTCTGTCCGTATATTTACCCACACAAAAATCCACCAACACTAATTGTATATGATAGTGTATCGTGGCTGTAAATTATCATAGCTTATTTAGGAAAATTAGTGTGCATCAGTTTTTCGCTATAAAACCTTAATCTGGACAATATTTTATACTACAAAAGCATTATCCATTTACATTCCCCCCCCATCCCCCCCTCCCATCCCCCCATCCCCAAAATATTCCATATCTCTTGCTGTATATTTCAAGTTGTGTATATAACTTGTTCTAATACATGTAATGTAAGTGCCTTAATGCCATCAGCTTTCATGCTATGAATAAGATTTCTGAAAATATGTCAATTAAACCGGAGAGGAATCTTGGTGTTCTTTTTTTTTTCCTGTCAATGAAATTTTCATGACTTTTTTTGACTGATTTTACCCCATATTCTTGACGCAATGTTTATTTGGAATAGCACATCTTGCCTGTAGACGAGTTCATGCATCTTCCCGGCAAGTTTCAAACAATTTCATTTATTGGCCGAAATTGAAAACAAATGCAAGGGGTTACCCTTGCATTTTTTCCATCAAATTTGGCCAAAAATTGACTTTTCTCCGAACAGCTCAGAAATACCACCGGATGCAAGAGGAGCTTCAATAACTATTCAAACACACAAAATCTGGAGGATTCATCAATTTTTATTTAAAAAAAAATCACATTTTTGACTGATTTTAGCCCAAATCTTTGGCACTTTTTTGTTTGGAATAGCACACCTGTTCAGAACTTAAGTCCAGTTGGAATGTGTTTTAGGACCCTTAAGGCATCTTTCTAGCGACTTTCAAGCAATTTCATTTTTTGGCCAAAATTGATAAATGCAAGGGGTTAACCTTACTGTACATTTTTAGTCAAAATTGGCCGAAAAATGTCTTTTCTCGAAACAATGCAGAAATTCATCTGGAAGCAAGAGGAACATCAATTAATACTCTAACATGCACAATTTTGAAGATTTGAGCAAAAATCATCCATTTTGCAGAAAAAGAAGTAAATCTTTTGAGCGATTTTACCTTAAATTTTCGACGGAATTCCCCCTTTTATAGCACATCAGTCCAGAAATTGATTTGGAATGCCTTCTAGGGCCCTAAGGGCATCCTTTTAGCGACTTTCAAGCAATTTCTTTTTTTGGCCAAAATTGAAAAAATGCAAGGGGATAACCTTACATTTTTAGTCAAAATTGGCCAAAAATTAACTTTTCTCGAAACTGCAGAAATTCATCTGGAAGCAAGAGGAACATCGATCAATACTGTAACAGGCACAATTTTGAAGATTTGGACAAAAATCTTCCATTTTTGGAGAAAAAGAAGTTAATTTTTTGAGCGATTTTACCTTAAATTTTTGACGAAATTTCCCCTTTTATTGCATATCTGTCCAGAAATCGATTTGGAATGCGTTCTTGGGCCCTTAGGGCATCTTTCTAGCGACTTTCAAGCAATTTCATTTTTTGGCCAAAATTGAAAAAAATGCAAGGGGTTAACGTTGTATTTTTCGTCAAATTAACTTTACATTATTTGTTAGTCAAAATTAGCAAAAAAAATACTTTTCTCGAAACAATGTAAAATTAATCTGGAAGCAAGAGGAACATCAATCAATACTCTTACACACACAATTTTGAAGATTTGGGCAAAAATCATCCATTTTTGGAGAAAAAGAAGTTAATTTTTTGAGCGATTTTACCTTAACTTGTCGACGGAATTTCCCCTATTATGGCACATCTGTCCAGAAATCGATTTGGAATGCGTTCTAGGGCCCTTAAGGCATCTTTCCAGCGACTTTCAAGCAATTTCATTTTTTGACCAAAATTTGGCCAAAAATACAAGGGGTAAACCTTACATTTTTCATCAAATTTGGCCAAAACTTGACTTTTTTCCAAACAGCTCAGAAATACCACAGGATGCAAGAGAAGCTTCAATAACTATTTAAACCCCAAAATCTGGAAGATTTGGGCCAAATTCATCAATTCTTGTAAAAAAAAAGTCCCGTTTTTGACTGAATTTTGCCCAAATCTTTGGCGCATGTTTGTTTGGAATAGCACACCTGTTCAGAAGTCCAGTTGGAATGTGTTCCAGGGCCTTTTAGGCATCCTTCCAGCCAGTTTTAGCAATTTCATTTTTTTGGCCAAAATTGAAAAAAATGCAAGGGGTTAACGTTGTATTTTTCGTCAAATTTGGTTTTAAAAAAATGGCTTTTCTCGAAATAAAGCAGAACTTCATCTGGAAGCAAGAGGAACATCAATCAATACTCTTAACACGCACAATTTTGAAGATTTGGGCAAAAATCATCCTTTTTAGGAGAAAAAGAAATTAATTTTTTTGAGCGATTGTACCTTAAATTTACGACAGGATTTCCCCTTTTATAGCACATCTGTCCAGAAATCGATTTGGAATGCGTTTTTGGGCCCTTAAGGCATCTTTCTAGCGACTTTCAAGCAATTTCATTTTTTGGCAAAAATGGAAACAAATGCAAGGGGTTAACCTTACATTTTTAGTCAAATTTAACAATGTGACTTTTCTCGAAACAATGTAGAAATTCATCTGGAGGCAAGAGGAACATCAATCAATACTCTAACACGCACAATTTTCAAGATTTGGGCAAAAATCATCCATTTTAGGAGAAAAAGAAGTAAATTTTTTGAGGGATTTTACCTTAAATTGTCGACGGAATTTCCCCTATTATAGCACATCTGTCCAGAAATCGATTTGGAATGCGTTTTTGGGCCCTTAAGGCATCTTTCTAGCGACTTTCAAGCAATTTCATTTTTTGGCCAAAATTGAAAAAAATACAAGGGGTTAACCTTACATTTTTCATCAAATTTGGCCAAAACTTGACTTTTTTCCAAACAGCTCAGAAATACCACAGGATGCAAGAGAAGCTTCAATAACTATTTAAACCCCAAAATCTGGAAGATTTGGGCCAAATTCATCTATTTTTGTAAAAAAAAGTTCCGTTTTTGACTGATTTTAACCCAAATCTTTGGCGCATGTTTGTTTGGAATAGCACACCTGTTCAGAAGTCCAGTTGGAATGTGTTCCAGGGCCTTTAGGCATCCTTCCAGCCAGTTCCAAGCAATTTCATTTTTTGGCCAAAATTGAAAAAAATACATTTTTAGTCAAAATTAGTAGAAAATGGAATAAAGCAGAACTTCATCTGGAAGCATGAGGAACATCAATCAATACTCTAACACGCACAATTTTGAAAATTTGGGCAAAAATCATAAATTTTAGGAGAAACAGAAATTAATTTTTTGAGCGATTTTACCTTAAATTGTCGACAGAATTTCCCCTTTTATAGCACATCTGTCCAGATGTCGATTTGGAATGCGTTCTAGGGCCCTTAAGGCATCTTTCTAGCGACTTTCAAGCAATTTCATTTTTTGGCAAAAATGGAAACAAATGCAAGGGGTTAACCCTGCATTTTTAGTCAAATTTGGAAAAATGTGACTTTTCTCAAAACAAGGCAGAAATTCATCTGGAGGCAAGAGGAACATCAATCAATACTCTAACACGCACAATTTTGAAGATTTGGGCAAAAATCATCCATTTTAGGAGAAAAAGGAGTTAATTTTTGAGCGATTTTACCTTAAAGTGTCGACAGAATTTCCCCTTTTATAGCACATCTGTCCAGGAATTTATTTGGAATGCGTTCTAGGGCCCTTAAGGCATCTTTCTAGCGACTTTCAAGCAATTTCATTTTTTGACCAAAATTGAAAAAAATGCAAGGGGTTAACCTTACAATTTTAATCCAATTTGGCGAAAATGGGACTTTTCTCGAAACAATGCAGAAATTCATCTGGAGGCAAGAGGAACATCAATTAATACTCTAACACGCACAATTTTCAAGATTTGGGCAAAAAATCATCAATTTTTGGAGAAAAAGAAGTTAATTTTTGAGGGATTTTACCTTATATTGTCCACGGAATTTCCCCTGTTAGAGCACATCTGTCCAGAAATCGATTTGGAATGCGTTCTAGGGCCCTTAAGGCGTCTTTCTAGCGACTTTCAAGCAATTTCATTTTTTG